GTAGGAGAGGTGGGGGGGGGACGTGCAGCTTCTGGGCAGCGCGCGCTCGGAGATGCGGGCGTGTTGTTTCCAGGGATCATTCGCCGGACGATCGATGGCCCGGCGTACACTCGCTCGGGGGACGGTGCTGTCAGCTTGGCGGTGATTGTTGATGGATCTGAGCTTCGAGTCTGGCGGGGAATATTAATTGTGATATGTAACTTAGCTCGCTCGGCTGTGTCCGGGGCAGCCCGATTGAGCAAGGTTGCAGAATTGCAAATGGGCAAAAGCTTCCGCAGAGGACGAGGAAAGTGGTTGGAAGACGACGCCACCTGGCGGCTGCCACATCCAACCGGTACCTTTCGTAAACCTGAGCGGGTCGCACGCTGCGTCTGCTCGACGGGGAGCGACCCCGCATGCCGCGCTGCCCAGGCCCCGACTCGTGCTGTCCCGATCCGGAAGTTCATATAAACTGTTTGGCACCCGTGTACGTCCTATCGGTTCGCAGCAGAGAATCCCGCTATATTTGTCTTCGACTATAATATATGATACTGCACAATATGATCTCGAGCACCGTCCCGCCTCGTCACGCCTCGTCATGGACGCCCATCCCGCCCTCCAGCTCAAGGAAGAGATCATGGATCTCGACTTCCCCGGCCTCGACGCCGACTCCCGCAAAAAACGTCGCAACCGCACCACCCAGTCCTGCCTCAACTGCCATACATCCAAGCGCAAGTGTATGTCTGCCCCGGGCCTTTGCAACCGCAACGCGCTCACTGACAAACCCCCACCCAAGGCGACCGCAAGAGGCCCTGTTCGCGGTGCATCCAGCTGGGGCTGGTACGACCCTCCGCCCCATTGCATCATCGTACCGCAGCCCTGACGATCGATGCAGACCGGCCTATGCATTTACGAAACCTCCGACCCCAACGAAAGGCGCGCACTGACATCACCTCTGACCCTTGGCGCCCCTGACCAACCCTCTTGCAGGGATGACCCCAACCTCCCAGAGGTGGAGCGTCTCAGAGGTCGCGTCGCCGAGCTCGAGAGCCTGGTCCGCGAACTGCGAGGTCAGGACGCGACGTTTATTTTAATTTACAGCATCGTTCTCAACGTATGGTCCTGCGGCAGGCAAACCCCACCCGCGGTGGGCCGAACAGCTGCGCGAAGTCGACTGCCCGTCGAAGCCAACGCGCTTCCCCAAGCTTTCGCCCAACGGCGTTCACAGGCATAATCCAGACTATGACTCCGCCGACGGCGTCGTCTCCCCCACGTCGCCGATCAAGACGGACTTCCAGGAGGGGTCCCGTCCCCAACTCTATCGCCTGTCTGCATCGCCGCCGTCGACCGCGACCTACCGTCAGTTCCCACCCAACGGACAGGCTGACGCTACCTCGTACTTCGACGACGCCAACCGCCGTGACTACCGCGCCAACGGTCACGGTCCGGGACTTTACTCCCCGGTGTCCCCCTCGGTGTCTTCAGGCTACAACGGCAGTCACTTCAGCGACACGTCGTCGGGATATTCGCCTAGGTCTCCGTCCGCCACGAGCTTCCAATATAGTAACGCCTCCAGTCACACGCCTGTCTCCGCACACGACGGTTCGTGTGGCGGCTATAACGACAACGACAGGCTGAGCGTCCACGGACACCCTAGCTGTGCTTGCCTGATCAACCCTGCCGTGGCGCACACCTATATCGCGCTCACGCACCAGCTGCAGAACACCGCCAATATAATCAGGCAGCTGCCTGAGCACGACGGCCAGTCCCAGTGCGGACTGCTGAGACGAATCGTGAATTTGAATTCTATCATGCAGTGAGTAGTTCCGATCGCCCTGTCTCCTCGTCCCTTAACTCATGTCGCAACGTGAGATCCAGTGGGAATCCCCCCGCGGAAAAGATACGATCGTCGTACGAGACGACGACCGTTGCTTCCACTATCCCTGCAGCCGCCACGCCCGCCGACTACGCGATCCCGTCCCAGCAGGGATGGCATCACATGGCCACAGGTGGGTATAATTCACGATACACAGTCCCTGGACACGCGGAAAACGGCTATACTAAGCCTTTGACGTATCATGTCGGAGCCTGAACTCGGATAACGCAGCGTCCCCAGCACGTTCCGAGGGCGTTCTATTGGCCGAGTCGCTCGATCGGACACGTATCGGAATGACCTTTCACATATATATTCACGGATTTAAAAAAACGCCATGCGACGTATCTCTTTGACGTATCGTTTTGTTTATGCTGCTCTCCTCGGACTCCACCTATAGACTCGCTTTCTGGAAATGCTATGTTACGATATAATCTCGATCGATGTTTTCAGTATCACCCCCCTGTCTATCTTGTATATCCTAGTGCTTGTTTTGCAAAGAGATTTGCATCCGGAATACGTGTTCGTCCGGGGGTTGCTGCTTTTGCAGAACCCCGTCTGACAGGCGCCAAGGTTCGCGCTCCACGAAAAGAACTTTGCCATCTCGGCGGACAAGGATGACGGTCGAGAGTCGAGTGCCGTAAAAATCCGTAGCATGGGTCGGATCAAAGGCCACGGGGTACGGCTCAATGTGAATGGTGTTGCGGTGCTCCGCTCGTTCACGAGGTGGAATGGCCGTACACCATCTTTGTGGAACGCACACGGCATGAGAGCGAGCCCCATAAAGAGAGAAGGCGGGGGACCGTCGCTCACTCCAGAACGTGGAAAAGATCCTCGACGAGGCGGCGCTCGTCGGATGCTTCGGCGGATTCAATTACCTCTCGCATCGACCGGATGCCGACTTGGACTTTCGGCCACTCGTCGGCACCCTGCCCATCGATCCCGTTAGATAGCCCTCCGCACCGACGTTCCTCGGCCGTTAATGGCCTCGCGGTGAGAGGGCCGCCCCCGCCGTGATTGGTCAGGAAGATTGGCGAGAAAGAAAGCGATCCAGACGCGTCTGTGATAGGGTCAAAATACACCAGATTGAATCCCGCATACTTCTCGTTCCGCGTGACTACGTTTTCCACATCGGTGTCCGCAGGCAAATCCGACAGGAGGAATGACGAGACCAAATGGCCCCTGGATGAGGTATAACTGCCCAGTGGCTCGGTGATGTTGGTGCTGGCGGCGTGATCTGAGGAACTCTCGGAACGGTGAAGGTGACGTGGGGATACCATACAGGACGGCGATTTTCCCCGATCTGTTCAGCCCAAGCCATGTGCCTCCCGCTTTCAGGTCTCGGCCGGACAGGATCGGTCCTTCAGTGTTAGTCTTTCCGGCCTCGTGTTCGAAATGATGAAAGTGTGCGCGTTCGGTGGGTCGAGATAGAAATTCTGGACGTCCGGGAAGTTTGGTATTATGAACGTGGTTTACTTCCTCTTTCGTCACAAGATCCTTACCATCTCTGTTCGAGGCGAGGACTCTGCGTGCCGTACTGTCAGCAAAAAGAGTTTTGGTCGTGGTCGCGAGACGGGCGCACAGAGCGTAATCAGGATGGTCGAGCGCCCACAGTGCGATGCACATCGTGGTCAGTGTCTAAAGCGCGTTTTCGCGTCACGGTCGTTCCGGTACACCGCATATACCGATGGCATTACCCGCGTTGGCCGTCGGACGGCCGGAGCGAGCGAACCATCGGCCTGTAGATCATCTCGTGTGAAGGGCATGGGAGAGCATGCAGCGAATGTATGAACAATGATGAATCCCATCCATTCGGGTCGGATGAGCTCAAGGAGAGTCCAGGAACATTCTCAATGACAGACCGAGAATAGGTAATCGCTGTAACGGGCATAACTCCATACGCCGGGATCGCTACAGTTTCCACGTATAAATACATTGCAACAGGATATAGCCAGAGGACATTGCGCTGATAACACAAAACTGAACGATAGAGAGGGGGATGCCGGGGCTATAGGCGCCAGCGGTGGTGGCCACGGGCTGTGGAGACGCGACGGAGATGAAGATCAGAAAGTGCTAGCCCATGCTTCAAGATCGAACTCCGATGCCCGAGCGTTCTCAATCCATGGGTGTTGCTAGAAATGGGAACATTTGAGAACCGCGGATGACGAACGTAGGGAGCTGCATCATACCAGTAGCTGTTTAGGAGTGGGCCTTTCGTCCGGATCTTTCAATAAACAGCTATCGACAAAATCTTCGGCCTCCTTGGGGAAGCGACCTTCTGGGGTGAGCCTCGGAGCAGGCTCGTTGACGATATGCTGGAGCAACTCAAGGATGCTCATCGTCATCCCACCACCCTGTAGACTGACGCCCTTGCTCTTACGCCTGTCCCGCTTCCGCTTCTCTTCCTTGCTGGGTCGGGTACTAATGGACACCGGTCGGCCAGGCGACAGGGTGCCCTCAAGATCAGAAAGATCCGAATCGTCCGACATCGACTCTGCGAACGGGAATCTGCCGAGGGCGAGCTCTATTAGGGAAATGCCCAATGACCATACGTCGGATTTGACCGTATATTGCGCCCCTTGTATACGTTCGGGCTGCAGTGCAGTGTGAGACACCATGCGGTAACGCGCTTCATGTTACGTACACTCATGTATGTCGAAGTGCCCACGAATGTATCCGCAATGGAGTTGATGAGCTCTCCGGACACGCCAAAGTCACATATCTTGACTTGCCCCTGCGAGTTGAAGAGAATGTTGGAAGGCTTGATGTCTGTGAACTCAGGTTGACACGAGTATACCAGATCTGTACGACGGGACATACCACGATGAATGATGCGATGCACGTCGTACAGGTAGGTCAAGCCTTCGAGAACGGCCAAAGCCACTTTTGCCACAACCTCGATGTCAATGGCACCGATCTTCTTGTAAATGCCATCCAATGAACCCTTGTCCATGGCCTCCATGCAGATGCATATATTTGGGTCCGCGAGGTAAGCTCCGTAGAAGGAGATGATGTACGGCGAGTGGCAGTCATGCATGATCTGCAGTTCCCGAAGGATCTGCTTCCTCACAGCAGGTTTCGCGTCAATGAGGACGATCTGAGGAAGCGATGAGGACTTGATTTCACTCGTGGTGGATAATGCGCACTTTCTTGGCCATGATCGTGCCCGTCGGGATGTGCTTGACCAGTTTGACGCTCCCTCCATTGCCTTGGCCCAACTCGTGCAACTCCTCTAGATCTTCATTACCCTTGAGCTCGATCTTTGTTTCTGCACTTAGATCGAGGTTCGCGAGCGTGTTGGACAGCGCAGTATGGTACGTCATGCGTTTCGCGGATGGTGAGATAGCCGTAGCTGGTGCGGAACTGGGACCATTGGACACCGTCAACAACACACCGTCGCTTTCATTGTTATTGTTGGTGGCTGCTGGTATCTTGGGCGCAGCAAGAGTCATAGGAGGGGGACGTTTCTTGCCGCCTGGTCCGCCCGCTACAGGCGCAAGACGCGTTGGTTGGGGTTCAGGCGCAGGGGGCGGCGGCGCGGGTGTTGCGGCGACATCGAGCCCGAGCCCCTTGAAGTTCCTCTTCTTCCGGATCGGTGTGGCCATGGTGGTGTTGGAAGGGAGGCAGGGGAGGGCAGGAATGATCAAAGGAACTCAGCCGCCGGCGTCTGTTGCAAGGCTGCTCGACGCGCCAGACACCGCTTGACCACGACGGTGATCGCGGCGAAGCACTGTTGCCTTGAGAAATCCGAGAGTTGTTCTGCACGCGCACCGGCTTTCCGCAACCTGATGCCCCACGCGTTCTGCGCTTGGCCGGAAAAACCGAAGAACGCGTCTCCGGTGGTGAGGAAGGCAAGGTTTGCCTCCTTAGTCGTCGTCGTGAAAATGTGACTCATGTAGAGCGCTTGACCAGCTTCATCATTACGCAATAAACATGGACCAAGCAGCAAACCAGGCTCTTTCCCGCTAGTGCACAGAATCATAATGCCTGCGACAACCCAGACGTCAGAAAGTCTCGAGCTGGGAACACGAGAGCCCCCTCATCCATCAAGCTCGTTACGATCAGTGCAGAGCCATGACAGGACATCTCCCGTTCTCGAGGACGGACGCAGAGATGATCCTCAAGGCAGCGTTGCACGACGCAATGAAATTATTCTTGCTCCGGTAGATCGAGGGATATCCGCATGGTTGTTCGTGAGTGACACTAGCATATGACCGTACGAAATGCGAATTCACCTCGCGATCAGTTGACTGGCGCATTCTTCGTAGGCGCACTGGTTTGGGGATTTCCGACAGCCTACGGAATCTTTTTGGTGTCGTACACGGAAGATCCACGCTTCCGGGACCAGAAACACGCGTCGTCGCTCTTACCCCTGATCGGTACATTATCGTCAGGTGAAGCTACAAGCGTTCTCAATTATACATTCGCTAATCCATCCCTCAGGCATCATATACTGTTCCGGGCCCATCATAAACCCTGGAATGGCGCGTTATCCTCAGCACCGTCGCTCCGCCTTGTGGACCGGGCTCGTATTCTGTTGGGCGAGCTTGTTTGGTGCTAGCTATGCAACGCGGGTAGGCCGTATCGAAATATTCCTTGCGATCTAGACCTTCCTAACTAATCGCCGCAGGTCGTGACGTTGGTAGCCTTGCAAGGCGTGCTGTATGCCATTGGCGGAGGTGAGCTCCGCGACACGCCCGCTTTACATCCGCTTAAGTTCAGAACAGCACTACTATATGCACCGTGTATCTCTTACCTATCGGAATGGTTTGTAAATAGAAGAGGGCTCGCTAACGGGATCATCTTTGCCGGTAAGTCCGATGAGAGATAGATCCATATTTTCACCCGCGTTAACGCCTCTTTCTTTCCAGGGACCGCTCTGGGCGGGCTAATCCTACCCCTGATCATCCCCCCGCTTCTCCGGCAATTTGGCATTGCAACTTCGCTCCGCATTCTCTCCATTGCGATTGTGATCGTGTTGACTCCTTTGCTTCCGTTCATCAAACCGCGTCTTCCTGAGAACCGCGTCCGTGGCCCGGCGGCTCGCTCGATTGATCGATCGTGGTTGAAGAATGACAGGTTCTGGCTCATGCTGCTCGCTAACACCATACAAGCGTTCGCTTATTTCGTGCCGATGACATGGCTGCCGAGTGAGTACATTGGGCAACACGATGTCCGTCAACTGACTCATCCAAAGCGTTCGCATCCGACCTACGCTTGGGCGACTCGTCCTCGGCCTTGTCGCTTGCGCTGTTGAATGGTGAGTCGACGTTGATCTCACATTTACGGTGCTGAAATTGGTACCGTAAGGTTCTTCTGTGGTTGGGCGTATAGGAATAGGCGCCCTTTCCGACACAATGGACTCGTGGCTCCTAGCATTCGCCAATCTAACTTTCACTTCACTGGTGACCTTCGTTCTGTGGGGCGTGCTTGCGCACTCGCTACCCGGCCTCCTTGTTTTCAGTGTCGCCTACGGTACCATTGCGGGGGGCTGGTCCAGTACATGGTCCGGTTTCATCAGACCGTTGTGCAGTGAGGACTGCGATTGCCACTTCTCGCAATGCGCTTACGCCTATTGCAGAGGACGACCCTACCTTGCACACCTCCATATTCGGTTTCCTGCAACTAACACGCGGCCTCGGCAACATCCTGTCCAACCCGATATCAACTTCGATGTATAATGGCTCTTCTCGTCACCCGTCCACCCGTCCGAGGACGGGTTATACTGTTGGAGGCGGACGCTTCGAACAGATGATAATTTACGTTGGCACCTGCTTCGCCTGCGCTGCCCTCACATCATCTGTAGGGTGGCTGTCGGCTAAGTATCGTAGTAGGACACCCCAGTCGTGACTCTTCGAGCGGCATATGATTAGTATCAATTCTATGTTGCTACGATGCGATTCACCACGGCCACCGCACGATCGATGGATAGCACAATCGCGTGACGAGGAACTTGAATGGCAGGTGTCGCGTCGCGTCGCATGATTAGACGTCAGATACACTCTTAGAGTTCGAAACGTGTTTCTTACGTCACCGAACCCTCCTTAATAAGTTTACGACGATGCATAACGGGCTATCGCCCGCAGATGAAGATCTCGAGTCCCAGGGCCTTCCACTACCATTCGCCGTGCCATACATCGCCATTCAACCCTCAAGTTCTCGTCCTGGTTACAGCCATGACCCGCCGTCCTTCCAGTCCTCCCAATTCGACATCGTCCTCCGCAGGCAACGCACACGACCGAGGGAAGGCGGTGGAGTCAAAGTGACGGGGGTACCTTCGCGGTTTTTGAATTTATCAAACGCCTTCGAGTTCGCCGGATGGGGGACGGTTTCTCACGTGGTCCTCAGTCAAGACGACTTGGATGCGGGTGAACGCGCGATCAAGGCGGCTTCGGACGCGAGGACGTTAGGTCAATTCACCGCCAGTGCTCTTGCGGGGAATGCAATCCTTGGCAGCGTCTTCTACGCTCTGCCTGCTGTTGTCGCGGTGGCCAGCGTCTAGTGAGTCCGCCCTCTGCGCGTCTCAACCCCTGCTGTCCAGCTGATCGTGTACAGTTCTCCCATTTCCCTTTTCGTGGCAACCCTCATCATATTCCTTTGGCGGCCTATCATGGAAGAGTTGGCCGCAGCCCTTCCTATCAGCGGAGCCCCTTATAGCTACCTGTGGGTTCGAACCCTTGCTACCACATGATCCCGCATGTTCATTCCCAATTTGTTCAGATTACACATATCGTCAAAGACAGTGGCACTTGTAGGCGCTACCCTGCTGCTATTGGATTTTGCAGCGACATCGGTGGTGTCCGCGGCGACAGCTATCACCTATGTAGCTGGAGAAGTCACGCTTCCATTCCCGGTCTTCGCGGGAACGGCTCTCATTCTGGTGTTCTTCCTCGCGGTCAGCATGAGCGGCCTCAAAGACAGTGCACGGCTAGCACTGTCTCTCCTTGCATTTCACGTATGGTCAGACTTTTGGGAAGCGTTTTGCTGGATTAACGCAGTCGGCAGATCGTGGCCATGTTAGTCCTGATGTTGGCCTCTGTCGTGACCTGGGCTCAACGAGGGAATTCTCAGCTGCACGAGAATTGGCAGGAAGGAAAACGCTCACAAGGTGCAACGGCGGGAGCGATACTTCACCAGATATTCAATGGCGTATGCATCGGCATGCTGGGATTAACGGGATTCGAATGTAAGCACGATTTTGCTTGTCATGGCATGTCACTGACGGGCAGGATGAAGGCATTCCGTCCTACGTTGCCAACATAAAGCCTGGACGTTACTCGCTTGTCCTTCGCAATCTTCATTATGGTTGCATCGTCCTGAATGGTCTCATTATGCTCCTCGTCCTGGCACTTGTTCCTCTTGAGACCGTCCTCAGCGGCGCGAATATACTCAGCGTTCTTGCAGAGCTGGTATGCATGGAGTTCTTTGCTTACGGCACCTACTCATGATAATACATTCAAGGCACTGGGTAGATGGCTTCGCATTTGGATTGTTGTGGACGCTGTCATCGTGCTTTCTGGCGGTGTTCTGACAGGTGAGGACCCATGTTCTGTAGGAGGTAGCCGTCTGACTTCATCCCAAAGGTATTCTCAGTGCCTGTGAGTTGCTCCAGCGCCTGGCGCATGATCGCGTTATACCTCGGTATTTCCTGTCCAAACTCCCAACCCAGGCACCATACGTCACAATCCTCAGCTTTGGCGTATTCTGCGGCATATTATATGCGTCGTCCGGAGCCAGCCTGCAAGTAGTGTCAAAGATGTAGGTTCGATCACCACTACGCCCGTTGATCGAGCTGACAGTGGGCCGTCAGGTTCTCATTAGTGTGGTTGACAGTCATGGCGTTATTTCCCTTTTCCGATCTCCTCCTCAAGTTCAATCGCGGTCGATTGCCACGAGACCGTCGTGCTTCATTCATCACAGTCTTAGCCGCTCTGGCCGTAGTGATGTCCGTCATCGGAGGCAACATTGCCATCGATCCCTCTATCGCTGGGTGCGTTGCGTATTTCCGCATGATCAGTATTTTATTGAATTGTGTCCCAGATACTTTTCTGCATACGTGATTGTGCTATTGTCCATATTTGCGCTTACCCAACGGAAGGGCCGATTCCTACTCGGGGTGTTGAGTGCCTACGATCTGGTACCTATACTTCACAGGTCACCTATAGTAAGGCGATGGAGCGATCGGACTATTGCATGGATAGCTCGCTTGAGACGGCAGCCGCTCTGTTTACTTACCAAAACAGATGAAGTAAGGCTCTCGGCATTGGCATTGGAAAAGAACCATAGCTCATACGCTGTTATCACCTAAGATCAATCACCTCGTACGAATGGTGCTTTATGTTCGCAGGAACGAAGAAACGTCCTGTCTGAAGCTTGTTCATTTTTACGGCGACGTTGGCATTCCTTCCGAAATGGAAGCGAACTGGAAGAGTATGTCTTTGTACCATATGGCAAGCGGGACTTTAACTTGTTCTTCCGCCAGTTCTCGACGAAGCCTTCCCTGAAATAACGATTGATCTGGTTCGTCGGTCCATGATCATGTGTCTTCACCACGTTCATACCCCGCCCCCCCCGGACAGGTCCTTGTTAAGCGACCATTTACACCCCGAAACGTGGCAGCTTTGGCTCATCACTTGCAAATACCTGCATCTCTCATGTTCATGAGCTGTCCGGGGTTGAACTTCGCATATCACGTCTCTGATTTTGGAACACGCATTATTGGTCTATAGGAACACGGCGTTGCAATGGATGCTTCCAAGGAATAATCACCTTCCTCATATGACGGGTTTCGGTATAATCGGGTGGATCGCTATCTTTATGTTATATGTTATATTGAGCCCGCCTACGCCTGCTTCATGAGGCACACAGAGTGGTGTATTCACTTGTTGAGCCTCCATATGCCGTCCTTTGCGATAACTAGCCCTTCGCTTCTTGCTGCCTCCATGAATGTCGCGAGCTGGTCCGGGCTTCGATCGTATCCAGGCGCGGCGAACTTCAGCATGGTCTGAATACGATCCAGACCGAGACCACCGAGATTCGTGAGCATGCCTTCGATGAACTGGGCATGGGATAGCAAACATCAACTCAGGGATACTGTCGGGGACAATCCATCCGTCGTACCTTCCAATAGACTCGCATTTGCTCCGCCTGCTGCTGCTGCACGGACGCCACCGGTGCAACTTCTTCCGCCGGTTTGCCTAGATCACACATACACATGAATAACCGAAACAACCGCGCTGCCGCGAAGTACCCACCAGGGCCAGACGCTCCTCTACCGAATCTTCGGCTGGAACCCGCGGGTTCAGCGACCTCGAGCAGTCGATAGGTTGTCTCGCCATCTTCCGCCAGGACACCAAGGTCCTCCCATGTAATCAGCGCCTTGAGAACCACCGTCCGGTCGACCGAGCCCAGAATCTTCACAAGATCGTCGATGTCCCATACAGCTGTGAAGACGATGCCATTAGCTGATCATCGCGGTGGAGGAAACAGGCCGAGCCCACGTTTCTCGCTAAAATGTTCGATGAGCGCGGCCTCCAGGGGCGTGACCTCGGCGTTGACAGTACGATCTTCCAGCTGCAATTCCAAATCGACGGTGCCCAGGTGAGGAAGCCAGCGGAGTTTCTTATCCGGCTTGAAGGTCGTGAACTGTTTCGTGTATTCCTGCTGAATACTATACGATCCCATCAGCAGCCGACCCACAAGCTCACATACGGCAATTTCATACCTTTGTAATTGTGACGGTAGATTGAGACCGCTCGATTGGAGTGCGGGCCAGAAATGCTGTGAAAGGATTGTGGGATGCAATACAGACTGGCAGTCTTGAGCTGAGCGGGTGTTATCGGAGAGAGAGAATTGCCGCGTACGCTGTTCTGAGCTTGAATGTGTTCGTCCGTTCTTCGCGAATCGGTCATGTCTTTCAGCATAACTTCACACACTTGAAGCGGTGCTTCACCAAACCGGACTTTCAAGAGTTCGATGTTCCGCCGCTGCAGCAAAGTAAATCGGCACTAATCCTAGTCTATGAATCATGGAGACCGACCTCATTAACGAAGTTACCATCCTTGATGTTCAGCAGCCGCTGTGCAAGTAGAATCTGCAACTCCTTCACGAACAAATCGTGAGAAGGATAGATGCTGACGAGTGTGCTGATAATATCGCTTGGCTTATTGGCGCGGAAGTCTGCTCAGGGGTAGAACATAGTAAACTGTGAGCCTATGTCCAACTAGGCCTAGATGCAGCATACCCGGTCCGGCGTCGATAGGGTCTGGCTCCCAGTTGGGGTCGGTGTAATCCTCCGCAACAGCCTGTTGCAGGGGTCCCGGAGGCTCATCGGAGTCCACAAGCGAATCACCGCTCGAGTCGTCGCCCACAAGGCTGGCCACGATACACCGTATAGTGTCGGGACGTTCCCGCAGGTATCGTCTAATCGGGTCCGCTACCTTGAATAGGAGGACTCCAGGCGGGTCGATGATCCGGAGGCAGCGTATGGTGGATACATATTGCGTTAGTATGTCTCGGGTGTCGGCTCCTGGGTGCAAGAGTCGCTTCTTATTCCTGTACATAGGGCCAAACAGCGGACAGATACCCGAGAACAGCCGAGCGCATTTCCATCATTGAGCATAATGAATAATCTTTATGTAAAGATGCAGGGACGAACGCTTTCCGGAGAGCTTGGACAAGTTGGGCACGCTGATCCACACGCAGCAGGCATTCCTACCGGCCATCGCGGGATATATCGACGAGTCAGAACAATGCAGAATAAGGGGACAGGAGTGCCATACCTTGAGATCGCCCAGCGCGGGCACCGAATCCGGATAGTCCACGATGATGTCGAAGATTTCACTTGTTCTAAAAAAGAACCATACTCGGCCTCAATAACAACGTATGCGAAAGATTAGTTGCGCAGACCAATCTCACCTCAAATCGCAGAGTACCTTACACGCGTGAAAGTCGAAACGAGAGCCCACGCCCTGCAGCATAGTACGCGCTTCTTCCACTAAGTAATTAAGCCATAATTGTCAGCGTCCTTCGCACAGGAAGAGTCACGAAGCCCGAAAAGGGCCAATGGCGGAGATGAGTGAACTCACTAGTCTTCGCGCCGCGGGCATAAGGCTTGAGCATCCAACTAACGACATCACGAGCCATCCAGGATCTAACCATAGGAAGCATCGCCTCGTCCCATTTCCCAGCGCACATCTCTGTCACCTTGGTCTCAATGTACTCATAGCACACACTGGCGATGAGCATTTCATATCTGTCAACGAGGCCGAGTGTTTCGAATGATGACCATAAGTTCGGATCTTGAACCTCGGCCGGCATGCCCTCCGTCGTGGGTGGCAGTATGGTCCATGCGATAAGCTCTTTGAAACCCTTTGCGAACTCGGCCGGAAGACGAGAGTGCACTTGGGCTTGAAACGTGTTCGTATAAACTACACTAAGGCCCAATCTGCGCCAGCGAAGCTTTCGGTCAGTAGTTCTAGTGGGTGAGCGCTAAGCGTACTCATGCATAGGCGCCCATAGCTGGTAAATATCAGCGAGCCTTCGTATGAGGAGAGCTATATGCCGGATGCCAGTAGATGTCTGTGTTGCCTATATGCATCAATGTGAGCTAGCGAGATACAAGAAATGCTAGCAAGCGGCTCACTTGCCATTCCGACATGTAATGAGCGATTATGTCCGAGAGTCCTTCGCAGGCGTATCGTACGTCCGCTGCATAAATAGATGTAAGAACGTGATCGCAGGCGAACGACAGCATACAAACTCCGGAACAAATCGCTCAAAGTCGATAGGACCCTGGCCTCACTTAACACCTTGAACGCTTGTTGGACCGTCTGTGCAGAACCTAGGCTGAGCTACACCAATTCCCGAAGCCTTCAACAATATAACATGCCTGATTGAACACGGCCTTTGGAGGCGGGGTTTCCGACCATTGTGTCATAGAGATAGGCTTGAGGTATCTCCTTCCTACTTCCATGGCCTAGCACATCCCCAACATGAGTGAGCGTGTGAGACATCTCAACATGGAAAGTGGCAGGAACCTCGCTGACGGACATGAGGCCACTAATTCCTGGCTGATCACGATTGAGACGAGCGAAAGCTTCCTGCCATTTCGCGTTGACCAGATCGCGTAGAATATCCGAGCCAAGCGACATGGTAGGGGTGTTCATGCTGGATCCCGGCAATACGTTCATAGGGGTTGCGTCAAGGTTAGCCATATAAGTCGTCGCACTTTCTCTTGCGCTAGCATGAAGCAGAGATGAGGCGGAGGTGCACCGTCCGTAAGTTATGGAAATCCGGGGAGACAGGACACGGTGATCTAACCATTCATTGACTCCTCACGTGAATATCATGTGCTCATTGCCTCTCGACTTTTTGTAGCCCCCTATTCCTGGACAGCGCCATTGACTTTGATTTAACCTTCGGTTATGTCTTCCTCTATGGCTGCTCCGATTAGCAATGTCATACAGAAAGACGATACGGGCTCGTCGCTTGCACCCGGACAACGCTCCTTGGATCCGAGCCCCTCGTCAGGCGAACTGAGCCCGCCGATCTCCATCCCAGAGTCAAGCGGCGGTTTTTTCGGGTACACTGAGGAACGGCACCACCACCATGTACGATGCCCATATTGCCTGACCTGTCCTGCGTGCTCTTTACGCGATGCCGCAGACGGAAGAGAAAATGCTAGCCCAAAGGAGAACATCCGACGCCGGGTTGAGACCGGGGTCGGTCTCCAAACCGCAATCGATCTATGGATCTCCCCCTAGCTCTACGGACATGAATATGCCTGGTGTTCCTGGAAGCTTTCAACTACCACCCGTGTTCGAACCTGACGTGTTATCGAAGTCGAGCGTTGGTGTCCACCATCCCCAAGACGTGGCGCCTCTTCCAGAGGCGCATGCTCCGCCTATGGCTTATGGTAGCGAGATTATATCGGTTCATATGGGCCCATGTGAAACTGATCACGTCTACAGATGCGGCATCAGCGCATGAGCTTCCTCGCATCTTCGACAGTTTGATAAAATGCCTGCAGCTACGGGACAAATACATGCTTAAGTCCTGCCAGCGCCTCGGCGACAATCCCAAAGACCATGACGGTCACTTCACCGGCCTACCAAAAGATCTTGCTGATGTCTCCGGCGTGAGGCCTGACGTAGTCCTGCCCACGGACCCAGGTACATCGGTTTCCAGTCCGTACAAACCCTGGACGATCTACCCCAAACCGCCTCCGCCGCACTGGCACTGGACAGATAAGACCAAACCAGTACCTCAGCCATCGGGATCTACTGCTCCTCAGGATGACACGGAAGAGTTTGACTTCAGCAAGTGTATCATCCCCGAGGCTGATGATCAGCTGGTGTTCGCCCTGGATGAGAAGGGCGTGTACCAGGTATATGACTCGTTAAAAGGTTCGTTTCCCTGGAGAACAGACTCTACGCGGGTTGACGATGAGTATCACTGTTAGCCGCGAACAAGGAACCGATCTTCGATATTCCCAATTTGCGAGAGTACTTCATGGACCTCGACTACGTTTGCAGCGTCATCGCCGACGGTCCCACAAAGAGCTTTGCCTTCCGCAGGCTGAAATACCTTGCAAGCAAGTTCACTATGTACAGCCTGCTCAAGGAGTTCGACGAGATGAGCGATATGAAGCGTGTCCCGCACCGGTATGAATAGGTGGACACGTTCGTGGCATGTGCTAATCTTGCTATGTTCAGTGACTTTTACAACGTCCGCAAGGTCGACACGCACGTTCACCACTCTTCGTGCATGAACCAAAAACATTTACTGCGTTTCATCAAATCGAAGATGAAACGCAGTCCTCATGCAAGTATCATCCCCGATATGATAATGACGACTTCTCAACGGTACGACAGGATGTAGTGATATTCCGTGACAACAAGGAGCTCACCCTCGAGCAAGTTTTCCAATCCCTCAACCTCACTGCCTATGACCTATCTGTGGACACCCTCGACATGCACGCACACCAGGATTCGTTCCACCGGTTCGACAAGTTCAACCTGAAGTACAACCCCATCGGCGAGTCGAGGTTGCGGGAGATTTTCCTGAAGACCGACAATTTCATCCATGGAAGGTATCTGGCGGAGCTGACGAAGGGTGAGCTGCCAATCGTGCATGCGTATGCAAGTCTTGATGAGCATGTTCAGAGGTGATGACCGACCTAGAGCAGAGCAAGTATCAGGTAGAACTGATTCCTCTCTCGATTCCCTCCACGAGAGGTTTAATTGTCCATGTCTAGAACTGCGAGTGGCGGATAAGCATCTATGGTCGGTCCGAGAAGGAGTGGGACAAACTCGCGAAGTGGATCATCAACCATAAACTGTACTCTCACAACGTCCGGTGGTTAATCCAGGTGCCTCGCCTGTATAGCGTCTACAAGGAAAATGGATCGGTCGAGACTTTCGAGGATATCGTTCGGAGTATGACCCCACTTTCACCTGTATGGGTTTTGGTAACTCTGGATCTTCCATAGACGTCTTCAAGCCCCTCTTCGAAGTGACCAAAGACCCCTCCTCGCACCCAGAACTACACGTATTTTTGCAGCGTGTTGTTGGATTCGACACTGTGGACGACGAATCAAAAACAGAAAGGCGCATCCACAAGAAGTTCCCGTATCCGCATCTATGGAACACCAGCCAGTCGCCGCCATACTCGTACTGGGTGTACTACATGTACGCCAACATGGCGTCGCTCAACAACTGGCGGCAAAAGCGGGGCTTTAGTAAGATCCTCCTCCAACTCCGTAAACCCATATACTGATAATACTTCATCAGATACGTTCGTCTTTAGACCCCACTCGGGCGAAGCCGGCGACCCGGACCACCTTACATCTGCCTTCCTCACAGCGCACTCGATCTCGCACGGCATACTCCTGCGCAAGGTGCCCGTGCTCCAGTACCTCTTCTACCTCAAGCAGATCGGGCTTGCGATGTCCCCGCTCAGCAACAACGCGCTGTTCTTGACGTACGAGCGGAATCCGTTCCCCGACTTCTTCAAGGTCGGGCTGAACGTCAGTTTGAGTACGGATGACCCGCTGCAGTTCCATTTCACCAAAGTACGGGTCACGTTCGAATGCACCCTCGTATGACGCGAGCACTGACCCTTCCATTTTACGTAGGAACCGCTGCTGGAAGAGTACAGCGTCGCCACACACGTGAGCATCGCCGCTCCTTGCACACTCTCACGGACGCTTGCCCACAATTGTCCTCGATATAGATCTATAAACTCCCTCAGAGTTCTCTGGCCGAGCTGGTTCGCAACTCCGTGATCCAGAGCGGATTCGAGATGGAGATCAAGCGCCATTGGCTCGGCCAAGATTGGTATTTGCCAGGCGCGGCGGGGAACGATATCCACAAGGTATGTACAGCAGCTATTTATGCCTGCTGCGACTGCTTTGTTTTGCTGGATACCAGGCGCCACACTTCCATTATCGAACGTGCCCTGGACCAGCGCCCTTGAATTCTCGTTTTCGTGGCCATCGTCGCCGAGCGCTCGTGTTCCATGACATTATGCAGATCACGCGGCACTCAGGGGTGTTCGGGACTGCATCTTGCGCTCGCACTGCCCATATCCGTCGCAGTTGCTATATCTTGCGATGTTATTGTTCGGCTGGTTTGGCTGTGTGCGACGACTCGCTGACCCCGTTCCATTCGCAGACGAACGTACCCGACATTAGGCTGGCGTATAGGCACCAGACGCTCGCGGAGGAGCTCAAAATGATCCACGGCGGCCCTGTGCCTCACCCTTGAGCGGATCGACCATCATGAACCCCACAAAAACATTCATATGCAAAGCCCTATGTCTGAGATCCACGGTTTAGAAATGCTCAGTGCCGTCTAGGTGACATGGAACCACACTACGCCCCATTATTATGCAGTGCAGTGCATTGAATTTGATTGCTATGTAATACGTAAATGATCCGCCGCTATGCGTATAGTTCAGGGTGGTGCGCAGACTGTCTACTGTTGCACCGCGCGCAGACCAATGGTATTGACGGGCATCTCGTTGACATCGTTGGCTTAACGGCCGGTGAGCCGGGTTAGGAAAGGTTACTGCTTGTAATTCGATGAGTGAATGGCTTTCCTCCGCGAGGGGAGAGGATTTCGTGCGGCAGACGCAAACGATGGTCGATGATTGGTGGCTTCTGGCTATCGCAACTATGAGATGCCGTCGACAGGAAGCCATCGTCCGCGCCGAACGAGCGACTTGTTGTCCGTGGAGGTCGGGGAACCGGGACCGGCCATCAAGCCGGTGACCTCGCCACTTCCCACGACTCTGGCATCCTGTCCTCGGCGATGGGCTTGACGGCGCCTCGGTGAACAGCTCGCTGCTTCAAGCACTGAACGTTGTGCCCAGCATCCGGATCCTACACAATAACGCAAACTCTGGTTGCACCGCATATGTTCGCGGTACAAGGCAACCAACCAGTGGGACGACAGCCGACCAATGGGGGGCTCTCCAGCAGAGTTTAGAGCTGCGACATGCCTGATTTGATTCGAAGAGCCGGCGACGCCGATTGACGCCCATGCCACATCCGTCCACGGTCCCAAGGACCGTCGAAGAGCCGGCGCGTTCCCTGGAGCCCTCGAAGCGGCTGATCGCTTGTCCAAGTCCAATGCATCCTCCTCTTTGGGATATATAGCCTGCCCCTTCTGCGTCGGCCTGTGCCATTCCCGCTCGCCATACCCACTCCGAACTCGTCCGTCACTCGTCCTTTGCTCGACACGCTCAACCATGACGCTGCCGGCTTTCTACGAGGAGATGTGCATGAGCGCGGCCGACGCGTCGCGGACGCTCGTCTTGTGTTTTGACGGCACCGCCAACCATTTCGACGGAGACGTGCGTGCCCGTTCCTTCATTTAACGTTCGGTCTCGGATGCAATATCCCATCGTGTCCGGCCCGTGACGACATGACCGCCGCTGACAACCGTCCGCACACAGAACACGAACGTGGTCAAGTTGTTCGAGCTGCTGAAGAAGGACGACCACAAGGTCCAGCTATGTTACTACCAGCCAGGCGTCGGCACGTATCTCAAGCCGGGCTCGACCAGCCACTGGCTCGAAGGCGCCGCCAAGCTGCTGGACCAGGCAGTAGCATGGTACGTGCATCCTGACGTCGTGACCTTCTCCCCGTGCTCATCGCGGTTACGCGCTTAGGTATCTCGACACGCATGTAACGGATGGATATCAGTTCATCATGCGCAACTATCGCCCCGGAGATCGAATATGTCTCTTTGGTGCGCCCCATATGAAATCACCGACGGCCTTCTCCTGAATCATGTCCCCCATCAGGCTTTTCTCGGGGTGCATATATCGCTCGCGCCTTGGCCGGCTTCTTGTATAAAACCGGCCTGCTTCCCCGCGACAACTTCGAGCAAGTCACGTTCGCCTATCGCCTGTACAAACGCACCGACGCGAAGGGCCTGAGGCTCTGTGAACGCTTCAAGCGCTCGTTTTGCAGGGATGTCAAGGTGGACTTTGTCGGCGTCTGGGTACGCCCTTCCTCGCCGATGAACGTCGAGCGTCTCTGACGCTATGACTCAGGACACTGTGGCGAGCGTCGGCATGTTACGTAGCAAGTCGCTACCTTTCACAGCCGCGAATCAGTGCATCAAAACGTTCCGGCATGCACTCTCTCTCGACGAGGTGAACCTTAGTTCATCCATCGCAAAACGTCGACTCGCGTGCTCATATCATATGCGCAGCATCGCGTCAAGTTCAAACCCAACCTGTACCACCGCATGACACCGGAGGAACGAAAGCTGGCCGAGAAGGAGCAAATACCCGTCATAGAGAAGATTGAGCGGCAGCTACACCTCACGCCGAATCGCGAACACAACGCGCTCCACCTGGAGGGTGTCGACCGCTCCGCTCACGGCAAAGACAAGGAAGACCCGCGGCCGCCCCGTCCGTCGAACGACAGCGGCGTCGCCGACGTGATGAGGAGGAGCGGCGAGTCGGAAAGGCTGCAGGTACCGGGCTCGCCACCACCTATTTCCCCCATATCAGCGGTCAGCGGCGCCTCGTTCCTCCCCGCGGGTTCCTCTTCTCGTTCTCCGAGCCGAACGCCTCGTCGCGGTGGCGACCTCCCCAGGCTGTCGGAAGACATCGACCTGGACATCGGTGCCGTGACGTTCGAAGTGCCCAGACCGTCGGGCGAGTCGGTATCTGCGGCGCATCCAGCGTCTCCGACCCTCCAAGGGCATGCCCCTCGTGCTTCCGAAGACACCGCGGCGACGCTGGTCCATCGCCCGTTCCGCAATTCACGCAAGCTCAAGAAGAAGCGGCGAGAGTCCACGTGGAGCGAAGCCGAAATCCAGGTTTCCAAGCACACGCCCGACCCGCATGCCGCACCCCGCCGCCCGGGCGGCACCGACGTGCTCGAGGTCTGGTTCGCGGGCTGTCACGCCGACGTCGGCGGCGGCGCCGTCTCGGACGACACCCCCGCGCTCGCGGACATCGCCCTCCGCTGGATGGTGCGCGAGGTGATGGCGGCTCAGTGCGGCGTGCTGTTCGACAGCGACGCGATGCGGCGGATGAAGATCCCGCTCGACGGCGTGTTCGCGGCCTCGCCCCGGCACGCGCCCAGCCGCGAGCTCGCGCTCGATCGGGAGGAGGCCGGACTGCCGATACACGACGAGATGCGCGTTTTCCCCCTGGCGCCGGTGTGGTGGATTGCGGAGATGATACCGTTCAGGCATATGTGGCAGGACGGAGAGGGGGGGTGGCATCACAATAGTCTGTGAGTATATCGTGGTGATCGTTCAGGTTCAGGTTGGACGCTGACCGGCATATCACGCGCAGGCCAAACTTCTTCAAAGGCCGACGGATCCCGGATATCCAGCCCAACTTCCATATCAGCGTCAAGGAGCGCATGCACAATGCTGCGCTGCATTACAAGCCAAAGGCGAAGTGGAAGACTGGAACCGAGGTTTACGTCGAGTGAGGCTTTCCTATCATATAACACTACTATTCGATGGCGCTTTCGATACCCTCCGATGCACTTGACGTCGTCTTCAAGTTTATGCTCTCGATGACCCGCTAATGTTTCTTGACGACATATCTTTATTTACGTTACGCTTTCCACGAACACCTTCATGTTCTTGACCTCGACGTTAATGCCAGTATTCACGGAATAATGAACACGTTCGGTCGCTCTCCTCCCAATTGCACGAACAAGTCCGACGCCATGCCGTCTGGGCCGCATAAACCTCGGATAAATTCCAGGGCCGCGGGATCCAGTAAGCCATGCTTCGTCGCGGTCTGCAGTCATATGCAACTGCTACCTGCACCGTAGAAAAGGGTATAAATGCCCACCAAAGGTGGGACATGCGGCCGATGCACGATGCCGCACCCGATGCTGACCTCCAAGCGCTTCGTGTCCTCGAACGATGGAGTCCAGATCTGCACCTATTCGGGGGGAAACGCCAACGGGCCGGCTCTCGTCCTCATCCCTGGGTTCTGCTGCACCTCGCTGGCGTTCGAGAAGCAGTTCTCCGATACAGATCTGTTGAAGGAATTGCACCTGGTTAGTGATCCAATGTTGCTCCTACATCAAAGCACCCTTCACGCGGACTGCGCAGGTAGCATATGATGTTCGTGGGCAAGGTCAAAGCGGCCAACCACTTGATGCGGAAGCGTACGAGTCCATTCGCCACGCCGAAGACTTCATGGCGGTATGTGATGCATATCACCTGGACAAACCATTTGTGGCAGGATGGTGAGCGATTCCACGATGTAAAGCTTGGCAAGCGGTCGATGTTGAACACGTTGCAGGAGCTTGGGAGGTCAGGCATTCTGCTGAACGGCGACTTGAGAGCACAAGCTGACATGGTCGTTGACAAGGGATTATCCCAGCTGATATAGCGACGCATTACGGAACAGATATAATCAGCGGCGTCATACTCTTCGGCGGGTTTCCATACCGTTCAATGGATCCCCTCGTCGCGCATCCGGACGTTCAGAGCTGGCTACCAGATTTCCTGAGCGATGAGGTTTCTGTTTGGTACAAGGTAAGCTGTTATTTGCACAAAAATCAGCTCCCGTCTCGGCACTTGAACACCGGAAATCCAGGGATGCGTGAAGTTTGTCGAATCGTGCGTGGCTCCGCCGGCAGACGAGTCTGTCTTGCCGTACGATACCAAGATGATGTGGATCGGCGCGGCCGCGAGCATGCATCCCCTCGCTCGAACCCACGTCACGACGCGCGCACAAGACGAGACTAAGCTTCTCGAAGGGGCGACTGAGTTGCCGTACTTGGTGTTGCAAGGCGAGATGGACACACACATACAGTGGCGGAAGATGCAGGCGTTCATGGGCGAGCATTTCTCCAAGGCCGAGTTTGTATTATTGGAGGGCTGCGGGCACGCCCCATTTTTTGAGCAGCCTGACAGAGTCAAGATCGCGCTGTTGTCCTTTGTCCGTAGGCACCGGGGTGTGTAGAGATCAATGCAAGTTGTCAAGCAAAGTAAACGCAGGTAGTCGATTTCCAATAATTTCCACCGAAGATTGATCAGAATGGGAGTGATATCGCCGATGCAACCCTTTGGAAAACTACCATAGCCCCCAATATTTAGTCACAATTCCAATCGCCAGCAAAAGGCCGGAGACTTTCGCAACAGTGATAGCACCTCCGCGCCAAGCATTGCCCGACGGAGGGCCCTGAGCTCCAGCTTTATCGATAGCATCAATCTCGTCGTCCGTGAGCGCAGCTAAAAAGGTACATGAGGGACGGACGTCAGACGCAAGAGTGAATTCTTACGCAAGTCGGCGGCGGCGAGGTATTCCTGAAGGCGCTCCGACTTGGAGCTTTGACTGGCCGCAAGAGATTATGAATCGGGACTTGAATCATAACCAGAAGGATATGCATAGCGTACGTTACGATAGTTACTCCTTTGCTGCGCACCCAGAGAAAGATAACTTGAGCAGGTGTCGCACCAAGGCGCTCAGCTGCGGCTTGGATGGGCTTGTCGACAGGACCACCAGGGTATTGCGTCAATGGACTGTTACAAGTGATTCTGCGTCAGGATTCCACATGCGGGGGTGGCAGGAAGTTACGCACGTAAGACTGCTGTACGCTTCAACCACAATACCGTGTTTGGCACTGTATTCAAGGAGGCTCTTGTTCTCGGCGTAATTATACGGATGGAAACGAATCTAAGTCATCCCTCCTCAACACGAACCAAAGGTTACATGTCGTCGTGTAACCCACCTGATTGACGGCCGGTTTGACATGAGCTGTCTTGAGCAGCTCCCGAAGGTCTTCTAGCGTAAAGTTGCTTACACCGATGCTCCTAAGGCTGATTTCAGAACCGTGGACATAACAGCTGATAATTCAGAGCAAAGCGTACCTTGTCAAGCCGTCCTCTTTGTATTTCTCAAACTGTTTCCAAGTGCTTTCAAATTGCCCCCTGATTGCATTCGGCGTGTGAATCAAATACAGGTCGACAAATGTCAAACCGAGCTGAGCAGGAACATCAGTTCGTAGCGGGTCTCAATATTCCGTCTGCACGTACTTTCTGCAGGCTGCCCTGGAACGCGTCTTCAATGCTACCGAATCCATACTTTGTGGTAATGTAAAGCTCGTGGCGAGCCAAACCGCTTTCCCTGATAGCTTGTCCAACACTCGCTTCGTTCTGATAGTCTAAAGAGCATCGTGGATAAGCTCAGGTCAGTAGCCTCTAATACACTGCGGTATTTCACATTGAGCGGTGTCGATGTGCCAGAATCCAGCGTCTAGTGCACGCGTAACATAATCCGATGCATCCTCCACAGCAAGTTACCACAAATCTCAAAGAATATATCGAGCTAGGACTAACTTTGCCCTTCAAGAGTGTTCCGCTCCCGAACGCGATGGTGGGGAACTACGAGTTATGATTTCAGTCTAGACGCGTCTTCAATCCATTGGGAGGCTTCAGGACGCCAACCTCGTTCCCGTCATTCAGAGTCACCGTCCCGAAGGGCATAGTTGCAATGAGAAAGCCGCAAGCCCCCGACTATGAGTAAGACGGTTCACCTTGGTGTGCGAGCCATGTTCGCCATCTGCGCCATCCATGAGGTGCAAGGTATCATGCAAAGCTAATTTCGGGCGCCGATGAATAAGCCCTAACCCTACTTTAGGACTGCCGCTGAAGTATTTCCTTCGGAGACCCGAACCTATACATGAATATGTGTGGAAGGCGAGACCTGTTCACCCAAATGCTTGCATATAGGGAATGGAGCCCGTTTCACCCCCTTGATCTATACCCGAAGTCCGTTGAAGAGATTCATCCAGAGAGGGGAGGCCGATCAAGGATCGACATCCCTCCACAGAAGGTAAACAATACCGCGGTCAGTACGGCAGCCAAGATCAACGTCCGTGCTTGGGAATTGGCGACCGAAGTCAGAAAGGACGGGCCCTTAGCGCCGGCTTCGTCGATAGCATTAATCTCGTCTTCGGTCAAAGGCGCTACAGGACACGGGAGAAAAGACGCATAAGTGGCCAACATTCAGAATCAATGTGTCTTGACAACGCTCACGAAGGTCTGAGATGCCCAGGTATTCGTCCAATCGTTCAGGCTTAGAGCTAGTCCTGATGACATCTGATGAGCACTCAATCGCGGGGACGGATTAAGCACTTACGTGACTATTACGACACCCTTTGCTCGGACCCAGAGGAAAATGACTTGTGCAGGGGTGGCCCCAATCCGCGTAGCAGCAGCATTGATAACCTTGTCCAGAGGTCCACCGGGATTCCGGGTGATGGGACTGGTTATAGCGTTGTCAACGAACGTGCTGCGTAAGGGGGACAGAAAATCTGTACGTTATGTGAGGAAGTATGTATAGCGCCAGGAGGAGACCATCTCCTATGTGTCCGACTGACAGCTGCACGTGCGGTGCGTTGATATGCCCGCCGTGCTCGACTTTCCTTCTCGACCGTTTACCACTCTCGCGTGTTCGGTGGAGCCTCACACGCGGCTACAGGTTCCAATAGGTTATGAGCCCTGCTTAACGCAGATTACCTTTTCAATCTCACGGACCTGGCAACAAACGGTGTATGAGCGATAACGACTCTTCTTCATCTTCGTCTCCTCGAGCTACCTCCGATCGATCGGCGCTAACCCCGCGTCCAATCACTCCGGACCCTTCGCAGACTTCGCGCTCGGTCTCTCCCGCTCCCATACCCACGATCGTTTTAACGGATACCTCCGCCGCCATGCCCGCTGCAGCACCCCCGGCATCCCTCTACTCGGATATCACACGCATCACGAATCCGAGCTCGTTTCACGACCTACCGGAAGATCACCGGTTGTCGCTCGCGGCAGGAAACTGGGTCGCTTTCTCGGCGCAGTTTCTGAACGAGCTTGGTTGCATATTCCTCCGGGACTACCTGATCGACGTTGATGCCCCTCAGTGCCCCTCGATTGCCGAAGCACAAGCCGATCCCGCATTAGCCGTTATCCGTCGGGCGTTCCGGCACAATGACGGACTTATCAAATCGTTGTTGTGGAGGAATGTGTCGCCGGAGGATCGCGAGATCATTGACATCCACGACACATCACTAGCGGCCTGGCAGGCACTCCGTCTTCGCCATCAAGCCGTCGGCGACAAACTCAAGGCCGAAATCTGGATGAATCTCTTCGGGACATCCTTCACTCCGGGTCCCGATCAAACCGCATCCAGCACCATTGCTTCCGTTCGCGCGGATGCACGGCGTCTCTTCGAGGCCGGCCTACCAAAGACTATCGAGGATATCGTCAATATTGTCTGTATCAACGCGCTCTCCGCCAACTTCCCCGACATCCTTGCAAACGTTACGCACGACTTGGCTAGTCGCAAGGTGCCGACGTCGGAGATCGAGCGATCCGTACTGGATCGCCAAAAGCCCGCCGCTGTCGCTAACGCGGTCCGCGCTCACACGTTGTCATACCACTCGAAGACCCCTGGCACTAGCTCCGGCAAGAAGGACGTCCGTCGTCACAACCATACCTTCTCGAACTACTGGTGCAAAGTGTGCGACGCCTCCCCCTGTGCCAAGAAAGATCAACCAGGTGCTACCCCAGTTGGTCGAAACGGGGAACCGATGAAGTCGCCGAGAGCACGACGCCCGCTCCGCGGGCGAACGCGGCAGTCGTCAAAGGCCCAGACGGAAAATTTTACTCCTTCACAGAAGTCACATCATCCACGCCCCCGGATGCCCCGTCTGCCTCTCCCTCGTTTGCTGCCGCGGTTGCTGTCTCCGACTGGCCTCCTCACCTCGCGTTCGCAACTACCCCGGACGATCCCTTCCTCATCGATATCGACTCCGGTTCGTGGACAGACGACGATTTCGGCGACTGTGGGTTCACCGCAAATGCCGTACATACGACTTCCGTCGACTGGGATCTTTCGTCCTCTGTCGACACCGTGGAAGGCACGCCAGCTTGCGCCATGTCAGCAGAAGACCGACGTCGAGCAGCTAACGACGTCTCTCTCGCGGCTTCGTGTGAGTACACCCTGGACACCGGCGCGAACATTTCCCTGACGAAACACCGACACCTGTTCGAGTCCCTCCGTCCCCTCCGAGTGGCTATAGGCGGCTTCAATGGGTCCAAGGTCTTCAGTTCAGGAATAGGCACCATGCGCATAGCGCTCCCCGGAGGACGACAGATGTTGGTCGACAACGCGCTGTGGGTCCCCGAGACCACCATCACCCTTCTTTCCGTCGGTCGCCTCTGCGATCAGGGCTACCGCATCGAGTTCAAAGCCGGCCATGCCGACGTCTTCTGGCAACGCGAGTCCATCCCAGTTGCCCGCGCCACACGCAAGAACAATAGCCTCTACCGATTGGACGGCCCCGGCAGATCACCCGTCATTGCGCAAACTTCCCTCCCCATCGCCGCATCTGCGGTTCCCCTGTCCACCTGGCATGGTCGTTTTGGTCATGCCAATTACCGCGCGTTGACGCAGGCTGCACGCACCAATGCCGTCGAAGGTATGCCCATCTCGCCATCACCCGCCGTCCCATCCTCATGCGACCACTGCATCCTTGGCAAACAGAGCAAAGCCGCTATGCCAAAGGTCCGTGAGGGGGTTAGGGCGACGGGGATTTTGGATGTGGTATATATCGATCTGCAAGGACCCTTCCATGTACGTGCCCTCGGCGGGTACTTCTATTTACTCGATATTGTCGACGAATCTTCTGGCTACATCTGGAGCCTGCCCCTCGCCCACAAATCCGATGCCACGCCCGCGCTGAAACGATGGGAGGACGAGATGTTCCGTGCAACATCAACACGCGTCCGGATCTTCCGCTCCGACAACGGTCGCGAGTTTGACAGCGCAGCCATGCGTTCCGCGCTCTCCAGTGGAACCGTCCAGCAGTTCTCCGCCCCATACTCATCCGCTCACATTGGCATGTGTGAACGCGCTCACCGTACGATTATGGGGCAGGGACGTGCCTGCATGTCTGCCGCCGCGCTGCCGCCATGCCTCTGGGCAGTGTCTATGCAGACGGCGGCGTACTTATCGAATCTGACGCCGTCTGTGGCCGCTGGTGGTCAAACCCCACATGAACGGTTCTTCGGGACGAAGCCTGTGGTGTCTCATCTGCGCGAAATCGGATGTCGTGCGTTCGTGCTGATTGAACACGTTGCTAACCCAAAGATACTGCCCCGCTCACGCGAATGCGTATTGGTTGGGTACTCACCAAACAGCAAGGCGTACCTATGCTGGCACCGAGCCTCTGGGAAGCTACTCAAGTCCCGCAACGTCACCTTCATCGAATCCCACCAACAACCTGCCATGTCCCCCTTAGCATCTCCAACTCCCCTATCAACACCTTCCCCGGCCGCTGCGCCTTCACCAGCTGACACAGCTCCCGTGTTCGTTGACGCTGATACAGGGTCTCACCCTAATGCGCCCTCCGGACAACCCCCTCTCCGCTCGGACCCTTCCCTGACACCCGGTCCCATCCTCCGTCGCTCCACTCGCGATCGCCGTGCACCGGGCGAAGTCGATCGGCTCAAAGACGCTGTCGCAAGTATCCGCGCAGGGGCTGAGCGGGTCAAGGCCGCCGGGGCGGCTCCCTCTGTTGAGGAGGAGAACACAGATGCTGATGCCCAATCTTCTGTCGCAATGTACATACGCGACGCATTGGCTCATGCTGCGAGCTGCGACGACCCCACCACGATCAACCTCTCCGCGCCAGATGATCCCAGGACCGCACGCGAAGCGCTGGATCGCGAAGATGGCCCAGATTGGCGCGACTCCATGGACAGCGAGATGACTTCGCTACGCAATCTCGATGTCTACGACCTAGTCCCGCGCTCCCAAGTCCCTCCCGGCGAAAAGATCATGCGAACTATGCCGGTTTTCTCGCTCAAGCGTGACGCGCACGGTGCCCCAGATCGTTATAAGACCCGGGTCGTGTGCGATGGCAGCCGCATGACTCAGGGTGTCGACTACGACAAGAGCACTTCGCCGACCGCACGCTTAGAGTCCATCCGCATCGTGCTTCACATCGCCGCTCTCTTCGGCTGGAGAACCGCACAGCTCGATGTTAAGACGGCTTATCTACACGGCGTGCTCGATAAACCCGCTTACATGTATCAACCCCGGGACATGGAGGAATCGGGCCGCGAATCCTGGATCATGAAAGTCAAGAAGTCTCTGTACGGCATGCGACAGGCTGGGCGAGTGTGGAATCAGCACCTTCATGAACAGATGACCGAATGGGGCTTCATACGCCTCGGCGCGGAGCACTGTATCTACTACCGGGTCTCCGAAGACGGCACCCTCCTCGCGGCGGTCTACGTCGATGATTTTGCGATTACGGGAAGTAACCCTCTGGAGATCGGGAACTTCGTCGAAACCGTCCGTCCTGTCTGGGAGATAAAGTTCAGTGGCGAGATCTCCTGGCTAGTCGGCATTCGCGTTGATCGGGACTTCAACGCTCGCACTATCACGCTCTCACAGGTCGCACTCATCGACAAGGCTCTCACCCTCTTCAGGCAGGAAGACTCGCGGTCGGCGAGCACTCCTCTCCCGCCTGGGACAAAGCATTCCCGTCTCGAGTGCCCTACCTCCGCGGAAGACAAAGCCGTGATGGCTAAGTATCCCTACCGTAAAGTGATCGGAACGCTAATGTACTTGGCCATCGGTACGCGACCCGACATCGCGCACGCCGTCCAGCACCTCAGCCAGTTTCTGGCTAACCCCGGTCTTGTGCACTGGCGCTCAGCGATGCACGTTCTCCGCTACCTCAAGTCGACGCGCGACCTTGGCCTCGTGCTCGGGGGCAAGGAGGAGCTACGGCTCGTCGGTATGACCGATTCCGATCACGCTAACTGTCCCGACACCCGGCGCTCTGTTTCGGGTTATACCTTTTCGCTTGGCTCTGGCTCTGTCTCGTGGTCGTCCAGGAAGCAGCCCACTGTCTCTACCTCTTCGTGCGAGGCCGAATACGTGGCCTCCTGCAGCGCCACCAAGGAAGCTGTATGGATCCGCCAACTGCTTGCCGGCATCGGTTTTCCTCAGATAGGTCCAACCGTGATCTCGGGCGACAACCAAGGTTCCAATACGATCACCGAAGACCCGTCAAATCACGGAAAAACCAAGCACATCGACGTTCAGTATCATTTCACCCGCGAGAAAGTCGCAGCCGGAATCGTCAAGTTCATCTACGTTCGGAGCGCCGACAATACGGCTGACATCTTTACCAAAGCCTTACCCCTACCCGCCTTCTCTCGACTCCGCCTTCAACTCGGTCTACAAAAGGTCAAGCTTTGACGTGTTCGTTGGAGATGAGGAGGAGATGGTATCCATGGCGAGGAGGAGTGTGAGGAAGTATGTATAGCGCCAGGAGGAGACCATCTCCTATGTGTCCGACTGACAGCTGCACGTGCGGTGCGTTGATATGCCCGCCGTGCTCGACTTTCCTTCTCGACCGTTTACCACTCTCGCGTGTTCGGTGGAGCCTCACACGCGGCTACAGGTTCCAATACGTTAGGCTACTATAAGCTTCGGTCACGATGCCGTGCTTGGCGCTGTACTCGAGCAAGCCCTTATGCTCTGCATAATTATACGGGTGGAACCGAATCTGTGTTCAACACCGTATGCCCTCGTCATTCTCATGAAACGTTTGAAAATGCCTGGAAAACAGTATACCTGGTTGACTGCCGGTTTAATCTTCGCTGTCTTGATCACTTTTTGTAAGTCTTCGACGGTGAAGTTGCTGACACCGATACTCCTGGTTTGGATGAGCGATACATGATACCGGGAGGCGAGGTGCTCTATGCTTACTTGCTGAGGCCGTCTTGCTTGATCTGTTCGAAGTCCTTCCATGCGCTTTCAAGGTTGTCACGCACAAGGCCCGGTTGGTGGATGAGGTACAGGTCGACTTGTTTGATACCCAGCTGAAACAGTAATGCCGATGAGGCAACGTCGAAGGTCCATATTGGGAGGAATAATAGCACACCTTCTGCAGACTGTTTCTGATCTCGTCCTGAATCTTGCCGCCGCCGTATTTCGTGGTAATGTACAAGTCGGAACGCGGGAGTCCGCTTTCCTTGATCGCTACCCCAACACTGGCCTCGTTCTGGTAGGCTTTATCAACAGTCTGTGAGATCAAAAATCGTGTAACAATGGCGGGGGAGCGTACCCTGCGCAGTATCGATGTGGGAGAAACCGTGGTCGATGGCTCTCGTGACGTAGTCCGTCGCATCCTGCCGGCTTCTGCTCAGCAATGAACATGGGTGCTAAACTGCCATAAATCACTCTGCCATACAGCGCCGTTCCTGTGCCAAAGGCTAGTGCGGGGATCTGACGATCACGGTACCCTACTCAGTACCAGCATCGCGAAAAGGGTACCAGGAGCGGACCTCGTTCCCGTCGTTCAGTGTCACGGTTTCAAACGGCATGGTGGTGGGTGCTGGCCAAGGGCGTGTGGGACGAGAGCGTCGACAGGGAACGAATTGCAACCCATGATGGTGGTAGGCCGAGGATAGACATGTACACACGAGCACGCGCCATCTTGCGTCCGCTCATCGCCATAGCTGCTTACTCAACGCTTCACTCGTTCTCCTCGCTTACCGTACATTATTGGATACATTGCTTTGCTTCGCCGGTGTTTGATCGTCTGACCTGCACCTATATACGCATCGCCCGTGCTGCCCCAGTGTCTACAGAATGTCCACACCACCCAATCACGTTGACGTTAATTCGTCGGAGCACTTTCAAGAGCTCATGGGCGCGGACCTCAACCGTCTTTCGGTCATAAACTTCTGGGCACCTTGGGCAGCGCCGTGCGAGCAGATGAATGCTGTTTGTCTCGAGCTTGCGAAGAAGTATCAGGATGTTCTTTTCCTGAAGGTATGTTATATATCCTTTCTCCTTCATCGCGAGCGCAAGTGCGATTGCTCGCATACACCCGCTTCCGCATCAATATGTGTTCATCATCCGCCAAAAATCTGCCGACATACGCGCTCTGACACTTCAAGTGCCTAGGTGGAGGCGGAATTACAATCCGAAATTTCGGAATCGTTCGACATCGAAGCCGTCCCATCGTTCCTCGTCTTGCGTGGCCACGTACTGCTCGAGCGTATATCCGGCGCCGATGCACCAAGACTGACAGCTACCGTCGAAAGGCATTCCAAAAAACCCGCCGTCGTCCCTCAGTCAACGACCGACAAAGCGCCACCTGCGCCATCGAGCAACGTTAACGGGTATGCTGATTATGAATCGCCGGAGGAACTTGAGAAGCGTTTACGGTGCGTCTGACGGTTTTACTACATGTCCGACCACCTGCAATCGTTGTTCCGCTCGCTTTTCGCCCATCTGCAGGCTATATTCTTTTTCTATTCTGGCATCTTATCTGATAAGTGATCTACCTCAGCGGGTTGATGAACCAAACCCGCATCATGCTCTTCATGAAAGGCAACCCTGATCAACCTCGATGCGGCTTCTCAAGACGTGCCGTGGAGTTGCTGCGAGACCAAAAGGTCGAATTCGGCAGTTTTGATATTCTCAGCGACGAGAGCGTTCGCTCTGGTAAGCATGCCTTTCCACCAGCTGAGGCTCGTTCACCGATATATCCAACATGCAGGCCTCAAAAAACTTAACGACTGGCCAACCTTCCCCCAGTTTGTCGTCAACGGCGAGTTCATCGGCGGCCTCGATGTCGTGAAGGAGATGGTCGATAATGGAGAGTGGGCCGAAATCGCCGGAACGCATGCGTGAGCGGATGCAGACGTACGTCGCGTTGTTGCAGTATTGTATCATAATTGTAGTGCTCTTCGTCAAGACTTGTGCCCTTTTGTGTGTACAGGATAACAATTGAACATATAACTATCAGAAACATACGATGGTCCATCTAATACAGAGACACGGCAAGCGGAGACATACATACATACATACAAGATTGCTAAGGAAGACAGTGATAGCACGCAAACGAGACAACGTCGACATGAAAGGGGGTTCGGGCACATGATGCTTAACCGGAGCACATCACGCAGGCTTCCTTGTTTTCTAGAGAGCACATGAGCTTCGCCTGCTCCAGCTCACGCTCGCGCTGCCTCTGTAGCGCCGCGGCGAACTCGGGATCCTGCTCCGCTGCTTTGCGCGTGCGTTCGTCGGTTGAGATAGGTTCGGAGGACTCCGTTGTCGTCGGTGCCGCTGTAGTAGCAAGCGCAGGCGGGGCAGGGGCAGGGGCAGGGGCAGGGGCAGCGGTTCGCGGAGGCGACTCCTTGGCTGGGGAGAGTTGAGGAGTGATGATACCGTTGGGAGCAGCCACGGCGATCTTGGCAGGTGTCGCAGGAGCGGGCGTCTTGGCAGACGCGGCCGCGGACTCTGGGGTCTTCTTCGCTTTCGCTTCCGCGGCTTGCTTGAGCACCGTCTGGTCAACCGTAAACTGGATGGCCTGCGCCGCGGGACGCGTACGCAGGTAGTACATCCCAGTCTTCAGACCCTTCTTCCAGCCGTAGAAGTGCATGCTCGTCAGCTGGCCCATAGTGGGTGACTGCAGGTGTACGTTCAAGCTCTGACTCTGACAGATGAATGCTCCGCGGTCTGCCGCCATGTCGAGCACCTTCTTTTGGGAGATCTCCCAAACGGTCTTGTAGATGGCCTTGATGTCATCAGGGATGCCAGCAATACTTTGAATCGAGCCGTTGTTGGCGATGATCATGTTCTTCATCTGGTCGTTCCACAGCTTGAGATCGACGAGCTCGCGGAGAAGCCACGGGCAAACGACCTGGAATTCCCCAGCCAGCACACGACGAGTGTAGATATTGCTGATAGACAAAAGTCAGCTTATAGGTTGACGACGACGAACGGAAAAGAACCAACCTTGTGTAAGGTTCGAAGCATTCATTGAAACCGAGGATCTGGCTGGTGGACGCCGTCGGCATAGGGGCGAGGAGCAAAGAGTTCCTGAGACCAGTCTGCATGATCTTGTCCTTCAGGCTCTGCCAGTCCCAAAGACCGCTTGGAGTAACACCCCAGAGATCAAATTGCAGTTGGCCCTGCGACGCAGGCGAACCCTGGAAAGTTTCGTAAGGCCCATCAACAGCGGCAATCTCGCACGAAGCTTCCAGAGCTGCATGATAGATGGTCTCGAAGATCTGGATATTGAGCTCCTTAGCCTCGGGAGAGTCAAACGGCATGCGCAGGATCATGAAAGTGTCGGCTAAGCCCTGTACGCCGACACCGATCGGGCGGTGACGTATGTTCGACCGGCGAGCCTCGGGAACGGGATAATAGTTGACATCAATGATGCGATTGAGGTTGAAAGTGACGACTTTGGCGACGGCGTGAAGACGCTTGAAGTCGTACACTCCGTTCTTGACGAATGTGGGAAGGGCAATTGATGCGAGGTTGCAGACAGCGGTCTCGTCAGGGGAAGAGTATTCCATGATCTCAGTGCAGAGGTTCGAAGACTTGATTGTTCCGAGATTTTGCTGGTTGGATTTGGCTATATGCGGTCTTGAGTTATAGCTCAAGGAAGAATAGGCGGATACTTACAATTGGCCGCGTCCTTGTAGAGCATGAAGGGTCCACCGGTTTCGATTTGCGCCTCCATGATAGCGTACCAGAGTTTCTGAGCGGGAATGGTCTTTCTGGCACGACCTTCCTTTTCATATTTCTCATAGAGCTTATCGAACTCCTCGCCCCATACTTCATGAAGGCCCGGAGCCTCGTTCGGACAGAAAAGAGACCATTCCCCGTTCGCCTCGACACGTTTCATACTACACGCATCTGTCGTCAGAGATGGATACTTTATGGGTATGCATGGTGTTTGTACTCACAAGAGGTCAGGGACCCAGAGCGCGTAGAAGAGGTCGCGGGCACGCACTTCCTCCTTGCCGTGGTTCTTCCGCAGGTCGATAAATTCGAAAACATCGGCATGCCACGGCTCGAGGTAAATAGCGAAAGCGCCAGGACGTTTGTTTCCACCTTGGTCGACATAGCGAGCAGTAGCATCATATGCGCGCAGCATGGGAACGATACCATTGGAGTACCCATTAGTGCCAGCGATGTACGAGCTGTAGAGAAATCAGTTCGGTGTCTACTGCGAGCATCCTGCGACAAGAACGAACCCAGTCGCGCGAATGTTGTGAATGTGCAGGCCAATGCCCCCAGCGGTCTTACTGATCATAGCACAGTTCTTCAAGGTATCGTAGATACCCTCTATCGAGTCGTCTTTCATCGCAACGAGGAAGCACGATGAGAGCTGAGGGTGAGGAGTTCCGGCATTGAACAATGTTGGTGAGGCGTGAGTGAAGCACCGCTCAGACATGAGGTTGTAGGTCTCGAGTGCGCGGTCGATGTCGTTACCGTGTATGCCGACGGCCACACGCATGATCATGTGCTGAGGACGCTCAGCAACACGACCATTAATACGCAGGAGGTAAGATCGCTCAAGGGTCTTGAATCCAAAGCTGAAACATGGTCAGGAGTGGATTCACTGCGCAGGCGGCTGCAACGTACAAATTGTAGTTGAAATCGCGGTCATAAATAATCGCAGAATCCAGGGTATCCGCATTGGCCATAACGACATCATATGTTTCCTTCGAGATCATGCCCGCAGGTCGACCATTTTTCGGGTTCACTGCGTGATTCTGTCACATAACCCTACCCGAAACCTGACAATAGACGAACCATAGGTATACAGATCTCTGATCACAGATGAAAAGCTCTTCTTGGTCTCTTTATGCAAATTCGAGACTGCGATCCGGGCAGCCAGAGTAGCATAGTCGGGATGCTTCGTAGTCAGGTATGCCGCGGTTTCGGAAGCGAGATTCTGCGCGGAGGCATGAGCATGTTTGGCAGACACAAGACGATCTGACCGACATCGAGCTCAACGGTGGTTACGCCGGGATAGACGCCTGCAATGACCTTCTGAGCAACCCTATTGTAAGGTGTTAAGGCGTCAGATCACTGTATGATATTCTGACTGGGATAGCATACTCGACCGCGTCGACGTGCTCCGTGTCAAGTCCATAGCAGAGCTTCGCGATCCGAGCGGTGATCTTCGATGACAGTGAGCTTCACGCGGACGACGATTGAGAAGACGCGTACCTTGTCAAATTGAACGCGCTCCTTGCGCCTACGACGCGTTGTAAAGATTAGCAAGAGTTACAAGACGCGTCAACTAAGATGTCGCACCCATCTACGACACGGAATACAAAGATCAATCTGCATGCGGTAGACGCATGGAGCTATGACTCACCGCGTTTGAATACATATGCCATCGGTTTCGCAAGTTGTGTCGTAGGTGAGGAGGAGGTAGAGGAGATGGGCGGAGGAAGGACGTGACTGAATGCGAACACGCACGCTGGGTTAATAAATGTCAGCACGCGTTCTGTTACATAAGCTGAACCACAAACGCGACGCGTCGCGACGCGTTGTGCCATGTTTGTGCCAACGGTTTACTCATCATTGTGCATGTACTTAGCTTAACATCTGCGTCGGAGCGGTGCGGCGGCTTCGGCTCACTGGAACCGCCGAGCTCGAGACTGTAGGTGTACCACCTGCACAATATCGTGCGGCGCGGAAACCGGCGTTCCGCTTTTGGGACCGTGCCGGGTAATCCCATCCCATCCCATCCCATACCAATAGCACTAAAATTGCGGGATGACAATTAGGTCGCAGGTTGCTATGCACTACATAAAGCCTGAGATCTGAGAGGCTTCACCTGAGCGAAGCTGCTGCTTTCGTGGAAAAAATTTACCAGCTGGCCCAGTTTCCGAAACATTTTATAGCCAATATAGGTCATCCAGAGAAAGAACTAAGAACGATATATAAGCAAATCAATAATACAGTATTCCGCAGCAAAACGATGGAGTCAATGAGGAATCGAGAGCAAAGACAAACAAAAACGTCCGCGAAAAGAGAGCCGACAAACCGACATCCGGAGGTACGTGCATAGGCGCACAAAACAGAAGAACGAAATTTCAGGAGACAGAACCTGAGGCGAGGAACGGTCTGACTGAGGCGTGGGCGACGCGACCTACAAGAATCCGCTCTCCTGCAACAGCCGCGCCATCTTCTCATCCTCACGTTCGCGAGGTTCGCGCTCGAGGCTGAGATTCCAGAAGAAGTCCCGGAGTTGCTCGTCATCGGCATAATTGCCGAGAGAATCTTCGAGGTACTGAAGGATGGTAGGCACGGGCTGGAAGGAGTAGGGTGTGTGCTGCCATCGCCGTATGTCGCTCATCACGTCGGCGGCTTTCTGCCGCTTGGAGAAGTTGATGAGACCGCCAGGAAGCATGTCTGGATTGCCATCTTGAATGAATGTCAAAGTCGTGATGTAGGTACCTGTGATATCGAGGTGTTGGTGAGTGAGCCTCAATTGCGATCAACATGGCTCGTACCGAAGAACGGGACGCAAGGAGGGGTAACCTTTTCCAATGTCTTGCGGTAATTGTTGAAGTTCTTGTTCGAGTCGATGAGAGCTTCGCAAACGCCCAGTTGGCCCATGGATCGCGTGTTGACTTGCTCCCAGGTCCTCTTCAAACGCCGGATATGGGGAGTGTTCAAACCGGAGACAATTGCCACCATGCTCGAGAAGTTGTGCATCGAGCGGCATCGCTGTTCTTGTTTTCAATATATGACCCTAGTAATGGCGGGGACAGAACTCACGTCAGCGACATTGATAAACTGCTTCACGATTGCTGCGCGTTTCCTGGAGTCCTCCTTCTGGAGGATGCTGTCCGCGACCCAGTTCGCGATCTGATATCAGGGGTAAGTGATCACGGCTTTGATGCGCAGACGAACACAAACCCTATTCGCAGTAGCGATCACCGACGTGATGTTATCAGTCTGACCTTGTTTCTGTTCTCGAGAACGTTGCAAGCATTCCAGTGGGCGGATTTTCTGGTACAGCTGGCTTTCGAGGATGCATAGTTGCCGCGCGAGTTCAATGGGATCTATGTCCATCAACTTGAGCTTCTTGCCACTGGACTTTGGTAGGATGGGAGGAGGTGGTTGCAAAGTGACCGGCGTCTTCTTCAGCCCAATATCTCCGCTCATCTACAGGGTCGGGTGCTCAGGACATATCAATTGCCGTGATATGAAAATACTCACAGCTCTCTCCACGAGGAGCTGAAGTGGTTTTGCCGCTGACACATGTTGTGCTTCTTCGACGAGGAATGGCTTTAGACGGTCCATGATATAATAATCGTCTTTCTCCAATACGTCGTCAACGGTCAGCATTGACCTGAAGAAGTTCAAGACACTGGAAGTGGCTGTTTAGAAACCCAGATCCCAACTATCTATGCTAACACTTACCGAGTTTGCACAATCTGTTGCTTCAGCTTGGTCCATTCCTCGAACTCCTTCGGGTTGAGCCCTTCTGGAGCCTTCAAATGGAAGCGCTCTACGAGCTTATCAAACAACTCGTCCAAGGTTGTGAAGGACTTGTAGGTCATCATGAACGTTACGTTGAACTTAGTATCTATGACCACATCAGCTGCGTAAACCCCAGATGTAAGGTAGAACATACCAGTATTCTCATGGGCAGTCAAACGCTCCACTAAAGCAGCCAGAGTCCCGCCTTTAACATTGCCCTCGGGTTCGATAATGATCTGGGCTGGATCATAGGTTTGCCGGAGATACCAGGGTTTCGTGGCAGATTCAAGCTTCTGAATGACACCTGTCGGTGCCTCCTCTCCGACGAGCCATAACAGTTTCTTGCTTCGCCCAGCCTTCTTAGGTACGCCAGCCACTACGCGCATTGAGTTCAGCCAGACGAATATCGACACGAGATCAGATGAATGAGCGTACGGTCATCATCTAAGTCATCCGCCTCATCCAGAGAAGCACGAGGTGCCATCTCCGGAGACTCACCACCGACTACTGTACTTCCGGACTGTTCCGTGGATTCCCAAGTAGGCGTCGGCGGAAGATCACCATTCGCAGAGGGAGATTGATCGGAGTAATCCAAGGACGATTCGGAGAGTTGAGAATCCTGCCTGTACAAAGTGGAACCGGATGTCGACGATTGCGCCATCTGGGACAGTTTAGAGGCAGCAGGTTGACGGAACGCAAGTTCCATGTCTACGACACTGCCCAAAGAAGCTGGGCGTAATGCGCTGTCGATGACGCTTAACCGGGACATACGCCACTCGATGGATCCATTGTAGTCGCCGCTCGCCAGATCTGCTTGGTCATGGCCGACGGTGAGGAGGGCCTCGAGTGTCTGGTGGACCAGAGTAGCGTGCGCCTTCAGCGCGTCAGACAGCACTTCCAGTTGCGTGTATTCCTTGACGTTGTGCCTTATCTCGAGAAACTCCATAGCCCGTATGCTTTGAGCTGTGAGCAGAAGGGAAGCGCTATCGTCATAAAGCGACTGAACAGCGGCTTCCAGCGTCCGAACCAACGATCGCCCCTGATTGACCGACTTCATGTATAGGTCATATGTAGGCGATCGCTCGGGGTCTTGGTGTATGCCGTCGATGTCGACATGGCGGGCGATGTGGATATCCGCGACGAACACCAAGAAGGAAGCAAATCCACTGACAAGGTCTTGACTTTCAATGACCACTTCGGCTGATTCGAACGAGTCGATGAGCTGAAGGTACGCGGGGTTACAATCACACACGCTTACCTGGAGAGAGTGTACCTAGGCGCAAAGCAGGCACGAAAGCAGAGAGGCGCTCCACGAGTTTCTGAACGTGATTCCCGAGATCTTGGGTGATGGCCGGCGAAAGGATACGACTAGGCATGTCGTCCACGTCATCCAGAGCCACCCATCCGTAACCCTTCCACGTGCCGGCAGCTCCCCCTCCTATCAAGCCGAGTCCTAGGCCGGACGGCGAGAAAGCTCCTAGAACCCTCTTGAACCCAAGGGTAGAATGACGCTGCTGGCAACGCTGCACTTCCAACACGAAGGCGGCCAGCGCCTTGTCAAGCTCGAGAGCATCCGCTTCTATGCGGCTCCCATTGTCCACCGAGGTCGTCAAGGAGTCATGGTAGACAGCGCGTGCTGAGAGTACTAGTTTCGACAGCGTCGCTGTAACCTTCCGCTGTGCCGGCTTCAACTGAGCCTGAATGCTGTGCGAGGCTGCATTGGCCCGTATTTCGCCCAGTTTGCCGGTCGGCCCAACTTCCGGGACGTGGCCGGACGGTAGCGCCGCTACATAAAGAAGGTTTCGTACCGCAAGGACGACGGCGTGAACGCGAGTTTCCATCTCTCGGTCGTGATCAGGTCCCCGTGAACGAGTCTTTGTGGCATTGACAGCAACCGCAATCGCGTCTTGCGCTTTGGCCGATAGCTCGGTGATAGTCTCTGGGAGTGAAGGAGTCAACGCTTCTTGAAGAGCTTTGGCTGATCTCTCGGCACTGGTTAGCTCGATGGTGCCTGCCTTCGACTGCAGATGACTGCTTGGCACGGCACCGTTGGTGATGGGTTCGTGACTCGATGTGGATGTGGTCCGGACGCGTTGCTCAAGGGGAACAATGTCCGAGTCGTCGGAATACACGCTCGCCCGGTCAGTACCGTTGACACGAGGAGCGGGGACGTTTGCGTCGGGAAGAAGGTTGCCAGGAGTGTGGAAGACACCCTCCCTCCCATGAGAGTAACCCGCAGTGGCCAATGCCATATCTTCGGCATTCGTGCCCAGATCTGACCGATAGGTCAACAGATGCGGATCGTAACCCTTGCCGTTCACCGGGAGTATGGGGGCTGTGGGTGTTGAGGCGCTCACTTCCGGCCGTGTCCACGATACTGTACCGTCGGATTTGTTGCGCCAGTAGTAGGTCATGCCATCATCGGCGAGACGTCGTTGCCACGGTTCGGGAGTGCCCGCCCTTCTTGGAACGCCAAACCCCGCTGTCGGAGTGGTTACGGAGCCATCGAGCGAATCATCTGAGGCCGAGTTGATAAGTCCAAAGCTGGCAGTTGTGCCTGCCCGGGGTCGTTGCTGTGCAGCTAGGCCTGCAAGATCACTGTCCGAGATGTCGCTATCCGCTTCCAGGGGTAAATCTCTCGCACTCTCTCCGGTCTTCGTGTTGACATAGAAAACCTTGAAGGAAGACCAATGAAACTTAACACATGGCTGTGTGATCCGCGACGGCAAACGCACCTGCCCGTCTCCAGTGACCTTGGGCACCCAGAAATCGTTCGAAACAGTCGAGCTCTGGCTATCCACCCTCATGAGCTGTTCGATGCCCGAATGCGAGCTCGCAGCTCCGCCGAGCCACTCGTTCTCGCTGTCTGATTGGCCGCTAAGCGCTTGAGCCATATCAACGACGGACTCGTCGGCGAGAGCGGGTTGATTAAGGGCGGCGATTTCGGTTTCCGACAATGTAGCATCCAGTTCGTGCGGCTCTACGTTTCGAACGTAGTTGGAAGGGAACCAACCTCGCTCCTCGCCGAGCAGCCCATCCCACCATCCGGATTCCTAAGGTAGTCATTCTCGTAAACGGGCAGGGTTGCTGTCACAGACGGTCGCTTACAAGTCTGGTAAGGACCTCGATGATGTCTCCTCTACGAAAGGAGAGCGCTGAAGGGTCTTCAGAGTCGTAGTCATAGAGAGCCTTGACGAAGAAGGTAGATATATATTCCTCCTGGTGCACGTCCTGATTGGTATCAGCGACGGAACGAAAGGACTGCTGGCTGCCAGACGCAACCTCCGTCATTGTTGCCATGTACGAGGACAAAGGCGGGAACGAGCGGAGGGATGGGAGGCGGCGGGTAACGAAGACGAGAGAGGTCGGACTGGCGGCTCGCGGTCAACCCGCATTTGGAAGCCGGAAGCGACGGAACAAGTTACATGGCGCTGATCTGGGTCCGCCTAGGTCCCACACAATACATGCCTTATGCGACAATTGTACATACACCAAACTCTGCCTATTCATACCCACTGGCATTGTCAACGAAAGCGAGACACCGAATACTCCTCAGCGTTTCAAAGTCCTCTGCTTCTCCGCAAACTCGACAATCTTGCGGTCCACGAACATACCTTTGCGTTCTCGCACGCTGTCCATGTAAGCCTTTGCCACGTTCGATCGGTCAGCTTTCTCTCCGAGATCTTCCAGCTCTTCTTCGGTAGTGGGCACCCAGAAGGGATCTTCGTCTAATAGCTCGTAGCTGTGATTGAAACATATCGGTAATGACATCGCGGACATTATGTGGAAGACAAACCCGCTGAAAATGAGCTGTGGACTTGCAGCGCCGGATGTCCGTTTGCGGATATCTATAGGGATGGGAATGGGCAATGGTCTCTGTACACAGCCGGTCGCCTCACCATCAGCGAAACCGAAGCTCTCCACCACCGGCAGCATTGCGCGAACAGTGAAAAAGGCCGTGCCTTCTTTCATCTCTTCAGCAATGATCCGACCACGCCGTTTCGCAACCACGCCATACACCTTGCCGAGGACATCAGCTGCGGAACGCAGATCATCAGCAAGCGCGTGCGATACTGCCTCCGCCACTTACTGGATGCCTGAATGTCACAAGTGTACATGGCGAGCATCAGCCTTGGTGACCAATCCAGAAAACCGTTCCTGCAAGCATCCTTGACCGCCGAGATGAAGGAGCCGGTAACTTGCGCGATTCGATTTTGTTCTTCAATTGCTCCATCAGAAGTTTCATCGCAACTGAAGAGGGAAATGCGTACGACGCTCTTCCTCGATCCCAGTCCTGTCGACTTGCAATGCTTGGATGAAGTAGGCCATTCCCATTACTGGCTCGGCACACAGCGGCCCTTGGAACGTCGCCAACTCGAAGCCAGTTTCCAAGTATGAATGGAAATCGAGTGCAAGTTTGTCTTCTTCGATGTGCTCGTTGCCCGTGGAACGCAGCTTGGCCAGACGCCGCATCAGCCTATGGCACTCTATATTAGCGTACAACAGAAGCAGATAGTATTCGCGGACATACGATGTCGACACTGTTGAGCTAGTGGAATCGACGAGAAGACAAGATCCTGTCCTCTGTGGTCCGAAGGCCCAAACTCGACTCGCCACCTCTGCCCATTCACCGCCCACCTCCTTGCATTTCTCTTCGAAAGCTGTCCAAAAGTTTTCAGCACGAACGGTCGCACTCCGAGAAGCATCGGTGTGAGCTTGAAGACCGCCCTCTGCTTCGAGTGTGTTATCGGTCTCTGCCTGTTCAAATTGTCGTCCCTGGTCAGTGCGACCTTCTTGGATAGCTTTCAAGACCGTAGAGTTGTCGAGCAGGAATTCAATGATGGGTTGGGCCAAAGGTACGGCGCGGACAGTGAAGGTCACTAGATTGCGGACACTTGCACCGTGGATCGTCCCTCGAGGTGCATCGGGTGTCTTTGGTGGCGCCATTTCTAGTGTGATAAGCAACCTTATCAGGCGGCATCAGACAAACCAAGGGATTGTAGCGCGTACCAACGCCCTTAACGGCGGTCTCGCGGAAGGGTACGATCGGCTTTGAGGCCTGTATTTCAATTCTTGCAAACCGTTCCCGAAGGTCTTTCAGACAACGCTGAGAACAAATGAATCTATTGTCGAGGTCAAACTGGATGAGATCGCACCTCAAGGTGCAATTCTCCAGCAGTCAGGATAACGTGTTCTCCTGTGTGCTGTTGGAATGTTTCGACGCATGGATCCGCTTGGCTGAGCAACTTTAACCCTCGAACGAGTTTTGGCATATCAGCAGGCCTCTCGGGCTCTAGGGCAACGCGCACAATAGGCGCAACCTGGATATTCATCAGCATCAGTGCGCGGATGTAAAGCTGCAGCCTACCGTTGAGTGCACTCTACCAAGGTTCACGGAGCATCCCTTAAGTTGTTCAAAACCCTTCTCCAAGTCCACGCCCACAGAGCTGGGCGCACAGAGAGTGGCATTCCGCCATACTTTACCTTCGAGGCCCTTGATAGCGAAGATGCTACCAGCACGGACCTCGTCAACCGCGACGAGCTCCCGGCCCATCATGGTGTACAGACCCTCGACTACCGTAAAAACGATGTGCTTGACGTTTACCGGGTCCGTGGGGTCAACTTTATCGTTGTACTTCGGCAGAAGAGCGTATATATGCGTCCCAACGCGGATACGGCCACTGTATAGCCTAGAAAACCCGAGGAGTGCTTCATCTTCTTCGAGAATATCCTCCATTGAATCCGGCGTATTTGATCCGCCGCCGTTCTCCGACGGCTCGACTGTCACTGAATCTGATGCCGTCTCAGGGGCCGCCTGACGGGCCAATCGTGCCTCTCGAGCCTTCTCTCGCATTTCCTCCGCGGTGAGCGCTTTCCTCTTGTTTTCGGGGAAGTGTTTCTTGGGCACGGCGAACATTTTACTAACATAAGCAACCAGAGACGCATCGGGGCTGGAGTCACATGAGAACAGATCCTTTTCAAGCTTGTTCTTCGGCTGGACGGTGGGTTCGCGCAAGTCCGGGTGTAGCATCTTAGGTATCCTAGTGCGCTGCGCGACCGACGGCGCAGGAACGACGTCGATGATTGCTTGAATGATGCAGGTGGATAACGAGAGCCACTGAGAGAATATCATGGATAGGAGATGTCGCGAATCTTTGGACTTCAGGTCACGGGGCGGAATCTTTAGACCAAGCGTAGCGACAATCTTGATCACCTTGTCGGGATTCCTGATACCGGGTAGATCAGTACAAGGTGCTCGGAGAAGCGGAGATACTCACGGATTGAGGGCAACCGAGTCATATACAGCCCAGATGTTCTCCAACACAAGCTGCACGAAAAGTGGTTTCAGAGCTCTACCACGCAGATGTCGGTGACTAATGGCCCTTTTCGTCTTCGGATCCAGGTAGAAGTCCCCCCAGAGAACGCGCCGCAGATTGGCCTCTTTCATCCCCAGCTTGACCGCGAAGAGCTGCGCGAATTTGCTAACCCGGAAGCCCCATCCATCCAAGGCAGATGCAAAGACAACATTGCCCCGTTCCGGTGCGAAATAGATATCTTCGTCGTCTTTCTCTTGGAATTCCACCTCTTCGTTGACGATGGCATCGGCCTCCTCAGCTTGGGCCTCTTTCTTCTGCGCAAGGCGACGCTCGCGCTCTTCTCGCCAACGCAAGTCATCCTCCATGCGTTCACTCGCAAAGAAACCACCCATAACCGCATTGACCTGCTCAATCAACTGTGCCAGATGATGATAGGCCTCGATGGGTGCGAGCTTGAGTTCGGTGATGAGCCGGTCAAATTTATTGATTACGAGAATCGGTCGTAGACGATCTTCCCATGCTTGGCGCAAGACCGCAATAGTCTGGGTGCAGACACCCTCCACGACGTCTACAAGGACTAGTGCACCATCGCACAAACGAGACGCCGTGGAAACTTCGCTAGCGAAGTCGACGTGTCCCGGCGTGTCAATCATGTTCACGATATAACTTCTTGGGGAGCTTCCTAGTAGAGTCAGACGTGTGACGTGTACGCAAGACGACATCGTACCTCCGTCTGGTTTTCTTTCCATAACCTTGAAATTCAGGGCAACCGCACTGCTTTGCATAGTGATACCGCGCTCTTGCTCATCTTCGCGACTATCCATGTATCTTAGCTTGCCTGCCAACCGGGTCGATATGATATTGTTCGCCGCAAGCAAGTAATCCACAAGCGTTGTTTTTCCATGATCGACATGAGCCAGGTTCGTTACGATCCTGGTATTAGCTGCATCGAAGTCGCTCATTGCTGCAGCTGTCCTGGGCAAGTGGGAAGGCAAAGTCCCGACGATCAAGATCTCAGAGGGTGATCGGTGTCAGCAAGGTTCTTTCTTTTGAAGATATTTAGGTTCTACAGAGCAAACGGCTCCGAGAAACGATGATTCGGAAGGGAGAAAGGAGCGTAGCTACAGATCTAGTAACGAGAGTCATCCTCTCAGTCTGGTCCAGAATTTTCGATTGTTGCACGTGATCCAAGCCTGGTCCCTGCGCCGACGGGCTGACCATCGCCTCCCTCAACAATCACCGTATCGTTTGCCATCGCCATCGCCGTAATCGTCGAAACGTCCGCCGCACGTCTGCAGTACCGTGCTCTTGCCTCGCACTTGCTGTTAGGCTGCTTCTTGCTCCTTCTCCACAGCTCAAGCGCCAGTTCTCGTTGAATTTGACAAGATGATTCCGGCCCAGCGCAACAAGATTGACATCAGCGTAAGTCCTTCATGCCTTTGGTCTTCTATCGACGTGCACGCACTGCACGTTCGTGCAAACATAGGGAATTCGACGAGTTTTACCATATGTACTCTTTGACTTGATCGCACGTTGTCGACGACGACGGGACGCTGACCTAGTCCTCAGAAAATGACGGAGGAGGAGCAGAAGCTGTTCCGCCTCTACGGAAAGCTGCCTACTCACAAGAACGTTATCACGAAGATGCAGAAGGTATGCCGTGCATCGAGTCATAAATAGACCGGCGCTAAAGCATTTTATGGAAGGATCGGAAGTTCTTCGACTCTGGCGATTACGCCTTGTCGAAGGCTGGAAAAGCCCCCCAGAACACTGTAGGCACGGCCATCCCCAGCCCGGAGAAGTAAGTGCTGGCTGATACCGTGTATTCAGTTTGATCCCGATTAAGATCCCTTGCAACAGTATTCCTCATGCAGCAACCCCGCCGGCTGGTCAGCAATTATCGTCATCGCCCACGAATGGTGTCACAAGCCCCGTCAAAGAGAGCTCCTTGCACCACTCTGACACTGAGGAGGACACCAAAGAGGAAGTCGTGGAAGCCCCCGCCGAACCCGCCGTGGACCCTTTTGATGAAGCGGCCGCTTCTGTGGTCGAATCGCAGTGACCGCCCCCGCGGCCCTTGTGACCGCTCACCAAACACCGTCCCCGATTGCGATTGTCACTCGTTGCATTGCTGATTCTTGCGCCTTTCCATGGCTTCGCAAACGCCATCTTCAATGTACTTTTAAATAATGGTTCTCGAGTCGTGGCCTACGGATATGTAACATAGGTTGGACTGCGGATAATGCCAATTTCAAGTCGAAGAGCACCGAGGAAAGGTTTCAGCGCTTGGGATACAGTACTGAAACAACGAAAAGGCGATGATGTCATAAGCATGCATCGTTATTAGCAGTGCACATGACTGTAACAGCTTGCTCGACAACGTCTAGGCTATCCTTTTCCGCTATCATTCCGCACAATCACGAGGCCAAAGGCCTGAGTATAACTCCAATCAGTATAGAGCGACAGACAGAAGGCATGGATGATGAGGAAATTCCGTATGTTGAATCATCCCAGGCCCTTGCGGTGTTAGCTAATCGCCTTCTACCAGAACATTGGTAGAAGTAGATCTGAGCAAACAAGTTCCTTTGACCATCATCACAGGCTTTCTGGGATCGTAGGTTGTGACAAAATTTCAATAGGATACGACGCGATGACAATCTCTTCAGGGGCAAGAGCACGTTCTTGAGATACGTCCTCACGGAGCGCCATGGATACCGCATCGCGGTGATAATGAACGAGGTGAACCAGACCGCACAATAATAGAAAATAATCACTGAAATCCTGATAGTTTGGCGACACAGCGGTACGTATAGCGCCTGCGAGAATAATGGGTGGCAGTTGACTTTGCTGTCGCAGGACATAGAATGTGAGCACTCTTTATTCTTCAAATTGGTAGCCCGCATGACAATGATGTGCAGCAAGAGCTATCAACATCTCCTCCGACGGCGCTGCCGAACAGTCAGAGGAAGTCCTAGAACTCGCCAATGGCTGTTTGTGCTGCAGTATCAAGGACAGTGGAGCAGCTGCAATAGAGCGTTTGATGCAGAGAAAAGGCGCCTTCGATTACATTCTGCTTGAGACGACTGGCCTTGCAGATCCAGGTACACCTCTCACATTGCTACCGAATTTATCGTGAGTTCAATGCTATATCTTAGGACCGGTGGCATCCATCTTTTGGCAGAACGAGGAGTATGCCACGGGATTGGGCAAGGATATTCATCTAGACGGAGTCGTCTGCGTGGTAGACGCCGTCTTCGGCGAAAAGGCTCGCAATCTTAGCCCTGTGATCCATAGTCGACTAACGTTCGCCATCTCTTAGCAAATAGAAGAAGATCATTCCGCGGATGGCATAGGCGAAAGCCTGAAGTGAGTCAATGATTTGCGATCATGCAACATATACTGACATTCTTCGCATTCTTGAGACAAATCGCCGCGGCGGATGTGATTCTCCTTAACAAGGTGGACTTGACCCCGGAAAAACAAGTGCAAGAATTGGAGGATACCATACAGAAGATTAATCCGGCAGCCGCGGTCTACAGGACGATACGAGGAAACGTTGACCTGTCTCGTGTCATCGGCATAGACGCATATGGCACTTCATCTAGACACGCTCTCGTCGGAGTTGGATCGGAACAGGAAGTTGACCATGAACATGGGCCGGACTGCCACCACGACGAGAAACCTCATTATGAAGTCAGGGGGATCTCAAGCTTACAAGTGGCTTGTCCGGTGCTTGACGATGCGCGCGTGCCGAAGTTGGACGCTTGGATACGCAGCCTGTTGTGGGATCACCGTCTGCCGGAGGAATCAGACTCTACCAAGTCGATTGACATATTGCGATGCAAAGGGATATTCCACACCGCATCCGGCGACCAGTACATTCTGCAGGGCGTACGCAACATGTATGACCTCTCAAGGATCCCAGATGCAATAGTTACCACAGGTTCGTACGGATTGCCTCCGGCGGGCAAACTCGTCTTCATCGGTCGAGGGCTCGACGAGGCCGTTGAAAAGGACTTCATCAGTTGGATGTCGTGATACATCACAACTGTAACTAACGTCAACACGAACGTCCGCGATACTCTGTCCTATTCCACTGGCGTAGTGTATTCATGATTTTACATTCGCGCTTGTGGCAATTTTTCCAGTCAATCATCTGGCATGCCTATACCTGGATCAGTTCAGCACATGCGAGAGTACTTGTGGGCTTGTTTTTCCACAGTAGCGAGTCTTTGAACAACTGGCGCACGCTAACCGCGTTTCGTGATCGCATACATTGCAGAGTTTCAGCTTGTCGGCGTCACTCTTGTCGTGCAGTTGCTGGTTGATGCGACGCAGCTCCTCTAAGGAGGAGCATGGCAAGATCTGCAGCAGGTAAGGTTAACTTGATTGCACACACAATGAAGCAGTTCAATCGCGGTTCACCTCGAACGAAAATGAATCAAAGAGCTTGAACCTTGGTGGGGACCCAGTCTGTATTCGTAGAGCGTCCACGTCTCGTCATCGAAGGGCATATGTATAGGCATATGTGGTCCGGGAAAGCCTGGTGTTTGAGCGATTGACATATAACCGACTTCCTTCACTCGAATAATCTCACGAAAACGTCCTCCAAGTCTCGTACATGATCCTTTCGTCGAACATGAAAAGCCTCTCTACTATCAACTGCGCTTGCAGCGGTTTCACTAGTGTCCATGGCGAGAGTAGATGTTGGCGACAGACTGTTGGCTTTGATGGTATGAAGCCTACCGGCATATCGGACCGGCTACCACTCGCGATCGGACAGGCAATGTTCTCAGTCTTCAAGCACTTGAAGCCGCAGTCAGAAATTCCCCAATACCTGATAGTAAACTACCGCCGATGTATCGCGTCACGCTGCGAGCAGGACAATTCGAGTGCATTCAATATATATGGTCGTACGAGATACAAGACAAATCTACACAACTCATACGTCAGCCCATGATGCCACCTGAAAGTATATTAGCAGTATTCTACGCCATGACATACAGCAAACATACCCAAGAGAAACCGTTGAATTCCGCTTGGTCTCGGGCGGAGAGTTGCCCATGAACGGGAGTCAATGTCGGTTGCTCCTTCGTGAATTCTTCGTCGAAGTTGCTGGTATCAGCCATACCGTTCTTTCGAGAGAGATTAGCGTCGTCCAGTGATACAACCGTAATGACGTACGATGGTAGGCATATAAGGGGCGGGGATACGCTTATGGAATACATCGTCCCAGTTTACGTCCTTGAAGAAGGGCTGTCGTTTGATCTCTTCGGCATCGCTCTTCCCGGACCCAAGACGGCGTGCGGGATCGCGCGTCAAGAGCTGATGAAGGTGAGCGGAGATCTTGGCAAGAGTAAAGAACCGCCGACCTTTTGCAATATAGAGACCGCGTCCCTGGGCATCGTGATGGGGTACAAAGGCTCATCCTCAAGAATGGCATCGAAGATTTCGTCTTCGTCATCTCCGCGGAATGGAGACTGTCCGAGCAACATCTCATACATAAGCACGCCAAATGCCCACCAGTCGACCGCGCGACCGTATCGTTGTTCAAGAAGGATCTACCAGACTAATTGGTGTCCGTACACTCCACAGGGGATTCTACTCACCTCAGGGGCCATGAACTCCGGAGTACCGCAGAATGTGCTCGTCGTGTTGCCGTACCACATATCCTCCTTGCACAAACCGTAATCGGCAACCTTGACATGACCGTCGAGAGTGAGCAGGATGTTGTCAAGCTTCAAGTCACTGTCGGCTCGGATTAGCGTGAAACATGGCTGAATTAAGTGGCAACGTACCGATATATGATTCCATTGGCGTGGAAGTACTCGAGCGCCAGCAGGACCTCGCACGCGTAATACTTTGCTTGTCGAAGAGAAAATTGCTTGCGTTGTATGTGCAACATGAGATCACCGCCGCTAACATACTCCATGACGAAGTAGACACGTGTTTCGGTCTGGAAACAGGAGTGAAGATTCAATAGGAATGGGTGCCGTTCACGAGCCGCTGTCATGAATACCCGCTTTTCGGAGCGTGTACTGTCCGGGACATCAGCTGCCGTTGTTCTAAGAAGATCACATGGACTAACCTCTCCACCTCGTCGTTATCGATGATGAACTCCTTCTTCAACACCTTAATGGCGTACAAGCCTTGCGTCCGCTTTTCTTCCGCCAACATGACCTTACCGAAGTTACCCTTACCCAGCACAGCCAAAAAGTTGAAGTCGTCTAGGCCGACTTTCCGCTTGCGGCCAGGTGGACGAGCTTGCACGGACGGCTGCACTGGCTGTTGAGGTTGAGGAGGAAGCGACGGTTGGCGTTGCTGCTGTGATGCTAGCTGTTGTTGACCTGGTGGAACAGAGCCAGCCCTGTCAGGAGGGGGAATGCGACCTTGAGGAGCAGGCCCAGGGACAGGTGCACCGGCTCCCACAGCGTACGGTTTCGGCGGAACTTGTGGTTGAGTTCTCTGTACGAGATGCAATCAGTGATACATATTGCTGCATATGAACCTGACCCACCGCGTAGCCAGGTCCAGGTACAGCAGCATCATAGCCCTGCTGTTGCATCTGGTCGAAGCTGGGACGAGCGGTCATGGCGCCGGGAGGTGGGAGGTCGTAGGAGGGCGGCTGAATACGAGCAGGTGGCGGCCGTGCCGACATAGGAGGAGATTGTGTCGGAGGATATCCCATCTGTTGCTGATAACGGGGATCGGGAGGGAAACGGTCTTGGGGAGGCAAACTCGGCGTCGATATCTGTTCATCCTGGACCGGTGGGAGGATAGGAGGTTGGTCCAACCTCAGTTTGTCCATCCCACCTAGAACCGGAGACATATCCGGTGTCGGTTCCGAGGGTAACGGGCGCGTCATCTGTCGGGGCGGCGCGGATGTCCGACCTCCTCGAGCCTTGTTGATGTCGCGCCAGTCACGTAGGAGTTGATTAGCGGTTTCCATAGACATGCCGCAGAAATCGGGGACAAGGTGCGCGCAATTTGCGTGGCAAGTGATGTCACATTCGGAGCACTTCCTAGCATTCTTTCGTCCAAGCGGTAGCATATAGCCGCAGTGGCAGCACCAGTTTGCGCCGATATTGGTCAGCGGCTCGAAGCGATGAGGGATGCGATGGTTGATCTTCTCCTCATCTCCCTGTACGAACATGGGCCTTCAGTACCAATTGCAAACTGCCGACGTCGCCAGTGCGGACATGCAACGGAAATGCCGCACTGCTAGCGCCAATTAAACACTCACCCCTGTAGCAGATTTAGATATACATTTTGTGACCACCTTCTCATAACACTTTTTGTGACAAGTGTAGCGACAGTCTTCGCATTGGTATCCGACAGCATTGAGAAGGAACTCGCTGCAGAAAGCGCAGAGAATGATCTGGTAGAACTGTCGTTGCACGAATTTGTGCCCATTCATCTCGTGCACCTCGTCCTTGCGCTTTCGTACCGCGCCTTGACGGCCCAAACCACCGGGAGCGTCGAGAGGCCGTTTCCGCACGTTCTCCTTCACTAGAATCGACCAATGTCAGACGGGCTCAACCTCAAGGGTAGGCAAAGAATGGCAATTAGACATCGTACCGAAGTTGAGATGGAGAGCCAAAGCTCCGGCGGGTTCCACAGCGAACCACGCATCAATTCCTTCAGACTGACTGCTAGGAGCCATGGTGCCGGCGGGTGGTACACCGGTGTTGTTATTGAAGTTGAGCGGCGCATCCATGCCTGGTGGACCACCTCCTGGACCGCCGTACAGGTTAGCTGTTGGGCTGTCGCCACCCATCGCGCCTGCAGTCATCCATCCTCCTTGTCCAGTTTCCATCATGACCTTTTGACGCCGCAGAGCTTCGGCAAGGTCACTGATCTTAATCCAGAGCAGTCCGATGGGGACAGGGTGAGGCTCGCTGACTTGCTTGTCATAGATGGCGATCTCCACTTCGTTCGCCTTGTCAACAGGTATCTCAAAGTCTTCCATCCAGCGATCCGTCCGCGTTGGATGGGATCGCGCGTGTTGTGTTCCTTCGACCTTGAGCGTGACATACGTCTCCACAGCCTGCTTGGAGGATGATCGAGCCTTGCCGGACGTCACGATGGGCGCGTGTTCGAGCTCGCGAGCCGCTTTGAGGGTAACTTGAAGTTTACCAGAAAGGGGCTTCGCGCGTAAATTGTCCTTGCGCTGTCCATCGACGCCGAGAGCTACGAGAAAGCCGTGTTGGTGTATTCTTAGCCACGGAGCGATTCGCACGCACCACCTTCGTCCTCATCATCAGCATCATCAAGAACATGCAGAGTCTTGTATCGCTTGAGCGCTGTTTGCAACAATTGAATCTTCTTATCGCTCTCGATGCGCTTAGCTTCGGCATCCAGCCTCGATTTTTTATCGCCTTCTGCTTGGTACAACTTGGACATCTTGTCGATGCCGAACTTGTACTTCTTCTCGACCGTCAGCTTGAACTCGAGCTGATGGAGCATTTTAGCGATCTTAGCGGAAGTGTGTGGGGTGTCCGCCTTGATGAGATCGAGGTTTGAATACTGCTTGGACTTCGCGCTCCATGCATCGTTCGACGAGGGATCACCGCCCGTTGCCGCAGGGTCGCCGCCGCCTTGAGAGCGCGTATACCGATGACCGGGCTGCCCGCCGCGCGGTGATGTGGGCAATCCGGAGTGTGGCGAGTTCGGAGAGGCTAATCGCGATGGATCATTACCCTGAGCGAGCTGCATCTTGCGGTTCTGCAGCTCGCGCAGGGTGGCCTCGAAGTAAGAGAGTGACCGCTCGGCCTCTCGGATCTGGGCGTCGGTGCGGCGGAGGACATCCTGGTTCGTCGTGGCCTGGCGTAGCTGCTGGGTTGCCTCGAGCACCTTGCGTTCAGTCTGGATGCGCCTGTAGACATCCTGGATCTTCTGGTCCAGCTCGGTGCTCGCCTTTGAGGGTTCAGATTCAGCGGTGGCAAGCCGATCGAGGCAGCGGGTGGCGCACCATGGCTCACAAACGGTGTGACCGGGCTTGCGGGGAGCGGGGGAGACGGCGAGTCTTGCAAATCGTACCAGTCGCGTACTTGTCAGAGTTGAGGGTGCTGTGCCATCCAGTGCTGATATGCCCGATGCGGTTGCGATCCACGTGCGCGCTAGATAGCTTTCACCGCCACACTACGGGGTTTACTCCCGCCGGCCATGTCGACCAATAGCAAGTCCTATTTCGAGTCCGAGCGGGAGAGGCTTACCCTCGAGATCACCAAGGCATGTCTTCGTCGACATATTCGGGAGGGCTCGGGCTGAGCCATCTCTTCTCAGGGTTTCGAACAATTGCTCTCGTCCTCGAACGATCTGAACCGCAAGTTGGAAGAAGCGCTCGGTATGACGAGAGAATACGACAACATCGCGGAACTCTGGAACTCTTTCCACCAACTCATGCGCCAGAGCGGGAGCGGGCAGGGCGACAGCAATGGCGCGGAACGCGGCGCTGGACTGCCTGGTACCGGAGGTCATATCGTGAAAGAGTCACGCTCACAACCTTAACACGAAGCGCGCCACCATTCAGTAAGCTACATATTGCACCTCATCGATCATCTGCGAACGCGTACTAACATAATTCCATCGGGAGACGCCCCGCTAGTCATATCCCTCCTGCAGGAAATCCATCTCGTCTGCATTGTCGTCGAAGTTTAGGATATCGTGGTCTTGTAGATCAAAGACGTCATCGCTCCGGTCGCACGGCTTCCTTTCCCCGTGCTCGGTCTCAATATCCTTCGGGTCATCCGGCTGAGTCCCCCCAGGATCGGCATCCTCGACGAACACGCCCAAGTTGGTGTCGGCGCCCCCGTACGACTGGAAAGTCTTAAATGCCATCCCGAACACGTTATCCTGGGAATCGCCGCTTTCGTCGCCAAAAACCCAATGCATATCGAAGGCCAAGGGTTGGCGTATGAATGGCGTTTTGACGATACCGGTTTCACTCATGGCGTGGTCTTCGAAAAGCTCGAACAGGTCACCGTCTTGCGTTGCATTGTAGTTCCCGACATCCTGTCGGTTTGTAGCAGGGACAGCGACCGTGTCATGGTTTTGTATCAGCTCCTGATGAAATCGAATTAAGCTCGACAAGATACTCATGGATTACGATCTTACCTGTCTGGGTGGTAGCGGTAACAACGGAGAGGCGAAATGCACCGAACGGTCATAGCTACGTTGCCCGTGGTCCGGTTCAGAGAAGTCCTCGATACCAAGGTCAGAGTGCTCGTCGTCGCTAAAAATCATCATGTCGTCGAAATACGAGCCAATCGCAGAGGGCGCATTGGGACGGATTTCCCCAAGATCCAGAACGTCGCACGAGTTGTCGCCTTCGAGCCAGAATTGTTCTTCGAACCACGCTTGCACGGTGTTTGTGTCGTGCAGGCCATGAGCGCACCCATCGGCTCCTCCATCCTTGCCAAGAAGATCTGTAAGTCGATAGCCAGCCATAGATATGTTGCCCCCAGAGTCTGAAGCACCATCAGATGACGATCGCCAGTCCAGCACGTCATCATGTTGCTGAGATTGACTGTCCTCTAGTAAAGTGTCATGCGCCCCATAGCTATCCGCTGTATGACAAGGCAATTCTCCAAGCACGTCCGTATGGGCTTCGTGCATGCCAATCGGGGTGCCCTGCAAAATAATCGGCACGAGGAGCTTCTGTCATACCAGGGAGACCGACCTTGAAGCTCTTTGGTCGCACCGACTTGCGGAATAGCCTAATCATTGCAGAGCAAAGAATGTCAACTTCCGACCTTGGACTGGAAACTGACACCGATGGAGGCATTTCAACCTCGTCCACGGCACATGAACATTGGTATGCATATTCTGTGATTGCGGTAGAAAGCTGAGTTCCAGCTTTTTTGTTCTGTTTCTCGATTTCCTACGGCGCGGTAAGCGATGAAAGAAGTTCATTCGCCATACGAACGCACCCGTATGAGTTGCAGGGCTTCCTGTCGAAACCCCTCATTGTTCGAGCTACTGATGACCTTCATCACGGACCGACCGACGCGAGGGAACAGAGTCCGATCCTGGTCAAACCTCTAAGAATCCTTCAGCGTTCAAGCTGGTCATGCTACGGGATGTACTGTACGGTGCGCAATGATCCGAAGATCATGGGATATTGCCTACAAAGCGGAATCAGGATACAAGTTGCTTCCTTATTCAGCCCGTATCGTACCGGACAAATTGTTTAGCTATGACCTTCGGTAGCACCTGATTCATGACGCTCTCAAAGGGAAGCAGCAGTTTGGAGGCAAATGGATGTGAACCCTCTGATAAATCCCCTGTGAATATAGAAAACGCTGGACAGATGCGACCCTACCAGGTATTTCACAAGCGACGTTCCACGCATATATTAGCTTCATCGAAACCAGAGACACCACACCATTCTCGGTGAGAGAGCAATGCGCCGGGGTAAGTCGAACTGTGACACTCTAGCCAATCGTCCACGGGATTGCGCGGCGTGTCCACATACTTCTCACAGAAACGTTACCGCCATCCTTGTTGGCATTGGAGATAGCGGCGAGACCGAGCTCAGGAGCATTCTGTCGAGTTATAGAGGGTTATAAAGGTCACGCAGTTGTGGGCAGGACAAATCCCAGAGCATACAGCCTGCAAATAGGAGACCAGTCGACGCGCCAGCGCGGAATCTTCAATAACCGATGCCGATATCTTCTTCCTGTTCAGAGTGCCGGCCAGTTCAAGCTCTATTTCCGGTGACGCCGCAAGAATGTGAGAGCATATATCCGCTGGCAGGCGTCCTTTCGCGACATAAACCTTGTCCGACGGTGTGCCGGTCACAAGAATGTGGCATACAGTGAGCAAGAGAGAAATGCCGTCGGCGCAGCCGCGCACGACCGTTGAGCAAGAAAACGTCGGCATTGCGCCTGACGGATTTGATGGACGGAAGCAAAGGGGGGTGAGCGTGACGAAACGCGACGCGTCTCGCGCTAAAGCGTGACGACGCAGCGCGTCGTGCACGACTTTCTGATCCACCGTCCGTTCTACGCTTCAACATGTCTGAAGATCTGCGAGCGCAGGTGATTGAGGTGTTCGGAGACAGGTCAGCGCTGGACGACAAGCTCATCGAAGAATGTCCGTCGCCCCCGCGTTCCTCTCCTCTCACCGCAACCCTGACGTACCAACCCGTCAGGTATCGCTATGTGCAAGATGTTCAATCTCCCTCCCAAGGAGCTTTACTTCAAATGGGAGGCCATGAACTTCAACGCGCGCGCACGCGACTCGAGCCTGCAGACGTTCACCATGGACGCTGCCGCGCAGCTCAAACAACAGATCCAGCGTGATCTTCAGGCAGAGGCGACAAAGAACCGTATTGCGCAAGGACGCGCGAGCCTGACAGGGCGGATTAACAGAGGGCGCGGTACTGGCTTGCTGAATGTTGGGAGAAGAGCGGCGGGTCCCGGCGGGTCCCCGGTCAAAACCGAACCTGCGTCCGCTGTTGCTGGACCGAGTAAGGTGCGATATGTAGGGCCCGACATGGACGACGCGTCCCGGAAAACACGATCTTGTAAGAAATATTTTGGATCATGATCAAGATTGAATGCTGATGCCAGCCGACAGATCGCTACATGTACGAGAAGGTCCTTGAAAGGGGCAATGGTGCGTTTCGAAGTCCACTAAAGAAACACGTGTGCTCATTTCGGCGTAGTACTCGACAACAAGATTGATGATTTTGCCGAGCTGGTCCAATCACAGTACAATATAGCAGAACTAGGCGATCCTTCTGATACCAGCGGTGTACGTAGCTATCCCAATCTCCCACCTGTTGATGATGTTGAAGTGAGCACAACTAGGAAACAACCGTAGTCGGTAGAATAGTCCTAGACTTCGAATCTGGCTCCACTGGCGGCGTCAAAATTAACGAGGCGTCACTCGTCTTGGAGTCATCGCGCCTAATGGGCTCGGGCGCACGCGTGCCCTTGCGGTTCGAGCCGAACGTCAAGGTATGCCCCTCGCGTACCCCTTGTTCCAACCGTCATAAACATAGGACGTACAGATCAGAGGCTTCGTGAAAGGTGCCGGCGGCGCTGGCCTGTTCCCCGGTGCTCTGGTTGCCCTTCGCGGAACGAACGGCGGCGGCGGGTCGTTCACCGTTTCTGAGATCCTTGCGGTATGGCGCTCCCCATCGCCGAAAGCGATGTTTGCTCAACTTGAGCACAGAATCCTCCTCTTCCTTCGTCACGAAAGGTCAGCGTGAAGACGGAAGCAGGCGCTAACGACGGCTTTTCGATGGCCGTCGCCAGCGGCCCTTTCACCTCCGATGCTGACCTTAAGTACAAGCCGTGGCGAACCCTCCTCGACGCTCTGAAGCTCAGCAAACCTGCTGTCGTCCTTCTCGTGCGTCTCCCTTCCCGTCACATTCGCCGATATGTACTCATACGCCGGACAGAATGGACCGTTCGTCGACCTCTCACATCCACGCATACAGGATGGCGACATCGACGAGTCGCCCGCACAACTGTTTGCGCGTGTCTTCGTAGAGCCGCTCAGGGAGTTCCTCGACTCTTCCCCAGGGAGCATCGCGCTGCTCGTTCCGAGCGTGCGCGATATGGTCTCCGACCATGCGGTGTTCCCGCAAGCGGAGCTCTCATCGCACTTGTCCACCGACTCGGTGCGCGCTCTTTCCTTTCTGTATTCAGATCATCCTGACCAAGACGCGACGTGACACCAGAGGATTCGTCTGCTTCCCAACCCGTGTCGGTTCTCAATCAACGGTGTCTCATTTGGCACGACCAGCGTCGACGTACTCTTCCATCTCCGCAAGGAGGAATTCTTGAAGCGATGTGCAGAGGAGGTCGATCCCATCGGCGAGAGCGGCGCAAACGACGCGATGGCTAACTTATGTCGACACCTGCTCCACCAGCGGAGGTAAGGATTCGCCTTCGACTACGAAGGATACCCGACTGGCTGACCAACGCCGGGCAGTTTCTACCCGATTTTCCCGGTTCCGTTCGACATGGCGCACGAGGTCAACCTTGACGTGTCGCATTCGGCGCTGCTGGAGATCAAGGACAGCGCGCCGGACGTGCTGATCGTGCCCAGCCGACTGAAACACTTTTCGAAGGTATGTCTCTTCGTGGCTCAGCGAAATCAGGTTGAGACAATCTGTTGCGAAGGTGCTCGCCGAGGCTGGCGTGACAGCGGTCAATCCCGCGTTCGTGAGCAAGGGCATGTACGCCACGCTCGCCGTGGACGGTCCCGCCGCCGCCACAGGGCCTGAAGGGATCAAGGTGAACATCGTACGGTTGCCACAGGACGACGCCTCTACTACGAAATAAGACCATTCTGTCGTGTCGTTTGACCCACGGCTGTCAGTGCAGACGTGGAGCGGAGATCGTCCGGATCATAAATGTGGCTTATTCGAGGCAGAGAGCGCACATCTGTCATGCCCGGATCTGCGCCGATGGCTGGTCCGGGTACAAGACAGTGCGTGCAGGGGCAAGTCTGCGACGGTGCCGCATGGCACGCTCCTTCATTGCGATGCTTCAAGGCGATGTGATGGACGGTGAGATTACGTGCGGCACGAGCGTCCGACGTTGCTGTATGTATACTTATCGTATATATTATATGCATGTTCTACAGGCGCACTGCCTTCGTAGATATTGCCGCAGTGAAATGGGGAACAAGGAACAAGCTAACTGTCATCAGCATACATCGTTGCGAGCAGCCAGAACTGTCCAAATGCGAAACCCAAGCCCGTATCCCAATCGAAGATAAAGCACCACCGGAAAGGAAGCAAATTGATGTGTATATATGCTGCGCGGTCTCTAGTCTCGAAAGCGTCCATCTAATGCTCCACGAGAGGGCGAGGAGACTAGGGCGTGCTGTCCCATCTTGATATGGGCTTCTCGCCGTACACCGAAATTTTCGGGACGTACGACGCCGCCGCATCTATCTCGCGCTCGAAATCGATGCTTCGGAGGAATCGGTATGCGGCCATGCACCCCGCTGTCAACAGGAGCTCTTTGAGCATCCGAGCGTCTCATGGATTTGAGCAGGCTACACGTACAGATTTCGATACCCCAGAATACGAGGCGCACGACGAGTGCGATGTAATTTGCGAGCGGCTCGGCTCCGATGGTCGAGCGCCGGAAGAGCTCGACGAGATACCATATACTGAAGCCGAGCGAGAGCACGAAATGGAAGACGAGAATGTTGGAGTAGGCAGACGCGAGAGTGCGATCTCGTCGACATGCGGCGACGAAGCTGCAGAAGTGAACGTTCCCATGAGCATAGGCCGTGCAGCGGATATCGAGGATGGCGACATACCCCACGATGGAGATGACGGCGTAGGCCGTATGCAGGATCGCCATCGAAATCGTCAACGCCTTCCATATCGTGCTCATATCTTTCACCGCCAGACACGCGTTGACGATCGCGACGTTACCTCCGGCGTTACATGAAACTAGTCATTTGGTGATTCAGAACCCGCGTGATGAACTTCGCGTTCCATCTCGACGCACATGAAAGAACTTTCGGGTTGAACAACGATATCCACTGTACGGCCGCCACGAGGCCGGATATGAGCCCGGCTAATGTCGAGTTGATGAAAACGCCGGTTCGGGCAGAAAGGCAGCAGCAGTACAGGTGCTTCGGGTTGTATTGAGCCGTCATGACCCCAGACGCATGCGGCTTCCTTGAGCAATTGTGAACGGTTCCTCAACGTCTAGTCGAGATCTCGCAGTCCGGTACGGATGAAGATGGAAAGTTACTAGGGGGCAGGGAAGGCGAATAGACGAAGAGGAGGCTCAGCCTAGGGAGTTCTCGACGGGTCGCCATGTCTTATGTATGCGGGACTGGTGGTGAGAGACAGAACCAATGGGAAGGGACATGCGACGTGCGACGTTCGAAAGCGAATCACAGCGGTCGTGATGGCCACCGCCGGCGTCCCTCGAGAGCGCCCACGGACGGTGGCGGTGTTCTCTGACGTCGGCGCCTGGCACCCTGCAAGCGTCCGCGTGCGTTTACGATCCGCAACTTTAGCCTGCGATGCCGGACGAGGAGACGCGCGCGCGGAAACACAGACACGGCGACAAGGACAAAGACAGATCCAAGAAGCGCCACAAGCACGACGATGCTCATCGCGACCGCAAGAAGAAGCGCAAGGACGAGCACCAGGGCCTGCGCGTCGTCGACGACGATCCCGACGACGATTCCATGTGGGTGGAGAAGAACATCGACATGGACGGCGAGCGGGTACGCTACACTATTGCACAGCATAGACCAAATCCCCAAACGAATAACCGTGCAGCCTCTAGCGACTGATATACCCACCGCCGAGAGCCTCGCCCTCACCTCCAACGCTACCACTGTCCCCCCTGACGCCAAACTCCCCCCTCCCGTGGTCCAGGAGACGCCGCTGAAGCGCGACGAATGGATGCTGGCCCCACCGGTAACACCTACCGTTCCCGGCGCAACCACCCGCACGCACGCGGAGCCCGGTTTCGAGTCCTTCACCGAAGACTTCGGCGAAGCAGAGGGCAGCAAGCGCACCCTCGGCGGATCCGTCGACTTTTTCTCCAGCATGGGGACCGAGCACCGACCGAAGAAGCCGGCCGAGGACAAGCCAGACCCCGACAAGGCAGGCCAATCCCTATCCGCGATATGTTGCCTCTGTGCTGACTTGTTCACAGCCCAAAATAAGCTCGCGCGAGCTGAATACGCAACTCGTCGAAGGCAAGCCTCTTGACCAGTACACCGCCCCCACGCCCTCCAAATCCACACCCGGCGGGCCCGGCTCGCAATGGCGCATGATGCGTCTCCGGCGCGTATACGAGACCGCCGAGGAGGAGGGCAAGTCCGTCGAGGAGGTTGCGCTCGAGCGGTTTGGGAATCTGGACGCGTTCGAGGAGGCGAAGGAGGAGCGGCGGATCCTCGACGAGCGCGAGGAACGGCGCGGGCGCAGGGGTGCGGGCGGCAGAGGCGGCGAGTCGCGCTCGAACACGCAGACGCCGGTGGGAGGGGCGAAGGAGCGATTCATGTTCACGCATCCCGGCGTGGACGGGTTCGGGAGCGGCGGGTCCTCGCGCTCGGGGTCGTTCCGCCGCCCGGGCGGGTCCGGTGATCCGTCGACGGGACCAAGCGCGCCAGGGACGCCTACACCAGGACCTGCGCCCGGCAACATGCCGCGCATGGGCTCGCATACGGGCACACAGTTAGCGCAGACGCACACACCGGTTCCGTCCGTGCTCACGCCTAAGGCGCTGCTCGTGCAGCACCAGCAGAAGACGCAGCGGCGTGCGCTCAGCCCAACCAGCCTGAACAAGTTGCAGGCGAAGGTGTTGAGGGCGAAGCTCATGAATGCGCCGGATGCGAAGAAGCTCGAGGAAGAGTACGAGGCGGAGATGCGGCGGGCGAATGGAGACGACGGGGATGATGGGGACGACGGCGGGCAGGATGTGAGGACGGAAGTCCAGGTGTTGCCAAGCTTGGATGGAAGAGGGCGGTTGTACGATACGGGCGCACCAGGGTCATCTTCCAAGGATGATAGGCCGCCACCACCCGGTAATCGGCGAAAGAAAGAGAAGGTATCTTCCAACCCTACGGTTTCCTTACAGTCGTTGCTCATCTGGTGGAATCAGGTTGAGACACGCGATCCAAAAACTGGAGAGATTGTACGGTATAACGCCGACGACGATACGCTTACGCTCGGTGATATGCTTCGGCAAGAGAAGTTTGGCGCGGGCGCGTCTGATCAGAAAGACATGGACGTCGAGTTCGCGAAACAGATCATGACCGACGGCGGCTTCACAGTGAGCGGGTTCTCATTTCAAGCATTGGTCGTATCTGATCGCTGTCACGCGGTATGTAGAACGACCTCGACTATATCGACGACAATGCGGAAAAGCTTGGCAGGAAAAAGATGCGGAGCGACGCTATGAAGCGTCAATTCGCCATCAATGGTGCGAGACATGCTGATCATCGTTCTCCTCCCCCTGCGTTGACACCTTGATCAGATTACAAGCGAACACAGAAAGTACTCGCGACGTGTCCATTCTGCTTTGGAGAAGACGATTCGCCGCCACAGGCACCCGTAGTGGCGCTCGGCACTCGGGTATATCTCTCACGAACGTTAAACGAGGAGCTCGTAGACGGGCATTGCCTTATCGTACCGATTCAGCATCATTTGACTATGTTGGAGGGCGACGACGATGTGTGGGATGAAGTCAAGGTGAACCCACACATGCATATCGACGCGTTTACAGACGCTGAGCCCTTTGATAGAATTTCATGAAGTGTTTGATGCGAATGTTTGCTGAGCAAGATAAGGGTGTTGTCTTCTACGAGACAGTGCTCAGCTTGAAGCAGCAGAAACATACATTCATCGAATGCGTGCCTTTGCCTTGGGAGCAGTTCGAAGAAATCCCAGGTTATTTCAGGGTGCGTCAATGTCTCAGCTTGTCCATCTCCCCACTTTACCATGCCACTGTACGCCGCCGGACACGCCGGGCGGTCTCCCATGCACGTTGCGCATTGTGGCGGCGAACGCTGCGGATTCTACATCCTTCCTAAGCACTTCCAGTGGGTCACTTTCGGATGCGACGCTCTGCTAATCTTTGGTGCATCCGCAGGAATCGATTCTCTCATCAGAGCTCGAGTGGTCGCAGCACAAGAAGCTGATCGACTTCTCCGCGCGACCGGGTGGCTTCAGGCGTGCGATGGTGCCCAACCTGCCGTATTTCATGGTTCAATTCGACTACAAGGGCGAGAAGGGATACGGGCATGTGATCGAAGGCGTTAGTGAAGGCGACAAGGCGCCGGAGGAGGAGGGTGGGTTGGACGAAGGCGAGAAAGGCGGTGGCGAGTTCCCGAGGTACACCCTGGTTTTACTGAATGGGAAGCATCCGACTCACAGCGTGTATGATGCAACAGGTATTTTGCCGGGGAGATCATTGGCAACGTACTGGACATCGAGCCGAGAAAGTGGCGCAGACCGCGGAGGATCGAATTTCGCCGGAACAAGGAGCGGGTGGTGAACTTCAGAACGATGTATCAGAAGTTTGACTGGACGGGGATGATTGAGGGTCGGCCGTGATGGGGATGCAACACTACTGTGTTTCACTGTAACTGTACGACTGTACGAATAGCCATCCAAGACGCATTGGATAGGGGTGTGGAGGAACCTCGCGTGGGCGACGTGTGCTGAATTTAGACTGTCGCCATATCGTGGTTCGGAAGATGCCGTCATCGACGTCGACCCCGCATTGGCTAACCGTTCGACATGATCGCCGGCGTATGGGCCGTTCGTCCTGCTGCAGCTAGCTGCGCTCGCCTTAGACCCATTAGGCGCATCTCGTACGGAAGGCTCTTGACGACGCTATCTCGCTCACAAGATGCCCCTGTCGAACATCTCAGACGGTCCTACCTCTACGGTGCGCACCTGCTAATCAACACCGGGAGGCACCGTAGCTGACTTGCGAAACGCTCAGTCCCTACATCGTCCCAGAAGATGCTGATGAAGTCGTTGACGTCTCAAACGGATGTCATCATATATGATCTCGAGGATAGCGTCTCACCATTCGATAAGGACACGGCAAGGGAAAGGTTAGAAGGCTTCTTGACCGTACGTTTCGACCTAAGCCACAGTCCGCAATACCTGCTGCGTGCTTACCCAAGTATGCTATGTCCAGGATGGCAGCATAGTAGCGAAGCTACCACAGTCCCATCGAATCGCCGTTCGACTGAACGCGTTAGATACCCCGCAGTTTCAATCAGATATCCGACAAGCGGTGCGCGGACATTCGTGGTCATCGACGCTTGCGGTCATGCTCATACGCACATCATGTAGCTTGCATTGCCGGCTATTGGAACCCTGGTTATGCCCAAGATTCATTCTGCTCGGGACTTAGACCACGTTTCTCGCGAGATATATGCCGCCTCGAGACATCATCCAGTATCTGCCGGGGTGGCGTCGCCCATCAGGGTCGTTGCCAGTATTGAAAGTGCAAAAGGCCTTTGGAGTGTTGGGGACATAGGCGAGTCATTGAAGACGACACGGTGGTCTCAGTGGTAATGATCATATCGTACGTATCATGCAGCATCGTGGACATCAGAGTACGGACCTTCGCTGGGAGGAAAGCTCAGCGCGCTGCTTGTATGTGTTGTCACCCTCGGGCCTCCGTTGACCCAACACTTACCGATTCTTTCTCAAGTTCGCCGCTGAAGATTGTAAGGTTCCATCACCTAGGATATGACCGTCTCTGATTGTTGAACCCCTTAGTTTGCGCCGACACCTCCATTGTGCGCACGCGGTCCCGCTCCGAGCTGTTATATGCGCGATCAAGGATGGTAATTGCGGCGAAAGCATTTGGCCTGGAGGCTATCGATATGGCGAGCGTTCTACTCCCTTGTTCGCGCGTTCGTCATCCTAACATTGTTGACCCTCACAGGTATGCGTGAATTACAAGGACAAGGACTATCTTCGAGATGAATGTGAGGATGGACGGCGACTTGGGTTTACCGCCAAGGTAAAAATCAACTTCAAAGGTGTTGTACTAGGCTCACGCTTTGGTTTAGCAAGCCATACACCCGGATCAGGTTGAGGTTATCCAGACAACCTTTGTACCTACAGAAAAAGGTGAGCTGAGATGACCGTTGAGACACGCATCCTTGGGTTTCTAACGTGGGCGGCGGAACAGAGATCCTCAGAGCGGCCAAGATCGTGCATGGTATGGCTAAGGCCCATGCCTCCCAAATCGGCGCAATAGGGCTAGATGATGGAAAAGGTGGAAAGGAGATGATTGACGCACCCATGCTCAAGCAGGTCTGTCTGTTTCCATTGTTGTTGATTGAATACGCAATTGCTGACCTTCGTTCTTAGGCAAAGAGGATCGTACAGATCGCCAGGGCCGCGGGTGTTAGAATTCCAGATGTCTCATGACCGGGAGGATCCCAGACCTGCGATACGCTGCCGCATTGTATCTTACGTTGTGACAGGAAACGAGCGGAGTACCGTTCAGGCTCGATTCAGATTCTTGAATGCGCGTTTCGACCGGACATGAACGTTATGGTCAGTGCCGCTTTCCAGAACACGACTTCCTCGCGCAGGCCCTCCATGCAGGTCAAGACGTTTATAGCAATTATACTAATGGTTGATGTACGTTATGCAAGTTAATACAGTGCTTCGGGACAAACGAATGTGGGTGTCGCAGGTGCTATGCCAATCTGGCACTATGAAACTAACAGTCCGGAACGAAGTACATGCATGTCCTTGATGCTCAAGGTGCTGAAGAAGTTGACGAGATCACAAGTACAAAGAAAACGGAGACCACGTTCGCAACAACATACATCTCGATGAGGGTATCCAAGCTGACACAGAGAGCATCCCAGAAGATGCAATGTAGAATCCAGATTCATGGAATAGCCACCAGCCCGGCACCAATAGCTACGCAAAGCAGCGCCGCAACCGCCGCACTCCGGATGGTAATCTCCCACTGCGCCCTTACGATGACGGGCGAGAGCACGCGCGTGAGCGGCGCTTTAAACGCGGGCACAGACAGGAACAGCTCCTTGTGGTTCTTCTCGATCTCCGCCGCATCCTGCGGCTGCGAGTGCGGGCAGGATGGACAGTGCGAGATCGCACGAGACCACTGCGAGTCTGCTGTGCGAGGACGCGAGTCGGCAGTGCGGGGGCGCGAATCCGCGGTGCGGGGGCGTGAGTCGGCGGTGCGAGGGCGCGAGTCGGCGGTGCGAGGGCGCGAGTCTGCAGTGCGGGGACGGGAGTCGGCGGTACCCGGACGACTTCGCGAGTCGAGAAGTCGAGGTCGTCCGGAGAGCTGGACGAGGCTCTCAGACAGCGGCAACGGGTGGTCTGAGGAAGTTGCGTCCTGATAGAGCCCTTTCTTCCACAACAGCCCTCGACGCCACCAGGAGCGCGCAGTGCTAGGCGCGGTAGGCGGCGCTTGAGCCCCAAGCCCCTTTTCAGGATCGGCGGTATTCCTCTGCGCATAGTTGCCGCTGCTGAGCGACGTGCCCTCCGTCCACGGAACAGATGGTTTGATGCTGCGCGGTTTCTCCTCGATAACGTGTTCGCCGGGGGAGCATCCACATCTGTCGCCCACCATCGACGACGATGCGAAAGCCTCACACCGGCAGAGCACGTGTCTCGGGGGCAATGCGTCGAAGTCAAAGGTCTCGTGCGACAATGTCCTGGGGTTTCGCCCAACGAACTCGTATTCGCTATCATCCTCGCTGCTATAGTCCCATGGTCGGATGAAGCCAGCTGTACGCCATTGCTGAGCGATGGCGGCAGCAGGGGATTGAGGGACGGATGACTTCTTTCGGCTGCTTGAGGGATCATCGGACAAGTCGGCGTCAGCCTCGTGAGGGGGCACGAAGGAACTGGTGAAGGGTACGGGGACTGGGCTATATCTTCCCTCCTTGGGAACGGTGGTCCCGTTGCCATCGGTGGTCAGTTGAGGACTACGGTCATAGAACGGACCGGAAATCTCGATGTGCATGGCGGGATTGGTATCGTATTCCGAAGATATCGAAGGCGCGGAGGAGGAAACACTAACAGTCGAGCAAGCCGTGGAGGAGCGTGACATGGAAGACAGACTACGCTTGTGCAGAGGTACGCCGGTGGAGGTCAATGGGGTCAGGGGTGCAAGAGTTTCGGGAGACAACGGTGAATGTGGAGGTGATTGTATGCGGACCCGCCGAGGTTGCTGGAGATCTGTTTTCGCTGCATCGGAAGCCGCGAGACTGGCAGTTTGACCTTCCGACAGGTGCGCCGGTTTCAGCGAGGACGCTCTTGGACGGTCAGTCCGTATGGGCGGCACATGTATTCCACGTCGAGCCTGCAAGGGCTCCGTATGGGCTTCCGGTGGTATAGCCAACTCTAGGGCGGGCGGAACCTGTGAAACAAATGACGAGGGAGCTCTGCTAGGAACCGGTGCCCGTAAAGGTAGAGGCTGCGGAAGGCGAGTTATTGGCTGGATAGCTCGAACCTTAGCTTTCTTGCTCCGAGCAGGCCTGTAGAGCTCAAAAGTTCTGAGCTGTCGCAGATCGCCGAATACCCAGATCATCATGCAGACGCCATGCAAACTGGCGATAAGGATGAACAGGCCTAGCCACAAACCCGGAATTGCCGTCAAACGGATCCAACGGTTCTCGATCTGCGTGAAATTGACCGAGATGGGAGCTACTGTGCCTAAGATAATGAAGAATAGAGCGCCTGCATGCGAGAGGTTAAGGAGAGAGCTGGGCTCCGTGACTACACGTTTACGCACCGGCTAGTCCGCAGAGCGTCCGGCGATTGCCGACATTGTAGTACGCGGCCAGTACGAATCGCTTCAGCGATCCGTCCAACTTGGTCTCGATCTCCCGTAGCAAGGACGAGAAGATAGCAGGGTCTGGATGCGCAGCAGAAGGGCTCGTGGAATCTTGGCCATATAGGGCCATGCATTCTCGGATGGGTGAAAATACATCGCTAGAAAGGTCGAGAAAATACGGAGAGGGAGGCGAGAAGAAGGTCTCCTTCGCTCGTCCAAAGAATTCAGCGAGCTGCAGAGTCGCGGTCAGATGGGCAGGTCTTTCACGGGGAAACAGAGTTTACACACCTCAGGGGAAAGGCGGGCCTGGATCGGCGTGCGATAATGGCTGTACTTTGTTCGGGGAACGTCGCCCGGCGGTGAGTCCAGGTCGGTCGTTGGGCTCGGCGGAGGGTTGTCAGGTCCACGAGAGTCCAATGAGGATGAAGACCGCCGGAAGGTGGGATTGAACGTGATCAAAGCGGGAGCATGACCCCGCGTAGAAGATGCCTTGCAATCCTGTACCCATGCGTTATATCGGGCGGTGTACTCACGCAACCAGAGTACGAAATAGAGGTTTTCGGGACAGTGCTCGACGAACAGTAGCCATTCCTCGACTGTGTGCACGCACTTGACGTCAAACGGACGCGTTTTCTGGTGAAAGAAACGGAGCTCACAGTCCTTAAGGCCAATCGGAGGAAGATGTTTTCCAGATATAAGGTCCTCGAGAGAGATACGGTAATGTGGGGTGATGCCAAAGGAGCGTACTTTGCCTTCAGCTCGCGGAGGATGGGCAATGCGGTGCTGCCGGAAATCGTCAGTCCAAGACGACCGGTCTGAAGAGTCAGTCAGACGTACAGGGAGGGATGAGAGAGACTTGAAGCGCAATATCAGAACACGGTTTGCAGCGGAATGGAGGGTGTCTCACCAAAAGGGACAACCTGGTAGCCTTGGGCTGGTGTTGAAGGTCGAATTGTCGCTGGGAGGCGCGGCCACCGGGAGACCAGCCGGTCATGGACGGACGCCAGGAGAGGCGGGCGGGGGTGTCGTGGCTCTCGCAGAGCAGTTCGAGCTCAAGAGGGAGGGCCATGACACGCCCATGACAGCTGCCCGCTCATTTATCGAAGAAGACATTGCTGCAGCCTCTACGTTCCAACTCCGATCGGGTGTGGCTGAGGGACCATCCCGATGCCGACGCCCCGGGTGCTCGGCACAGCGATCAACAATTGTGCATGCTCTTCTCCGCTTTACCACTTGCAGTCACAGTATTCTGAGACAGTCCATGCGCTATAGCATGGCTATCGTCCGAATATCATCCTCCGACGCGTTCGAATACATATCCTGCGGTTGCGCGGAACGCTCGCCGCATTCTGGGGTGTGTGCACGAGGAAGCGTCGAATCACAGATAAATATCGCTATTGACGTTTTTGAACAGACGTGGGGATGGGAAACCGTCCGGAAATGGACTAGCAACCCCGGCATCCGAGGATGTCGTCCTCGAGTTCCTCGAGATGGAACCGCACGCTCTCTTGATCAAAAACGTCCGACTGGCTCACCATTCAGCCAGCTCGCCGGATCTCTTCAATGTGCTCTGCGTCGGGGGTGTGGTTCACAACGTATCGCTACAGGCTGCTGCGGACCCTGGCCAAGGACACGCGGGGGAGGCCAAGTCGGGTGCGGACGTGGTAGACGCCGCCGGCGGTATCCTGCTGCCATCGTCAGTATAATCCCCACCTTATGTGCGAACGAATTCATTCCGTCCTCCAAGATTGTGTCATTCCCATATCCATCTTGACAAGTGTTTCCTGCTGGAAAAATGCGACCCTTTGCGATGCGGGTACGTGCATCTTCGGCCTGATTGCAGCGTCTGGGGCTGACGGGCGCCTCGCACAGCGACTTCCAAGAAGCCCTCAAGGTTACGGCAAAAGCGAAGGCCCGTTTCCCTTACGACATTGAGGCTATCTATGCTCGTGGGAAGCGACTGATCGTCGAATCTGTTCAATGCGGCGTCACGTCCATGCGAGCTCATGTCGAAGTCGATGAGACCGTCCGCTTCGCCTGCCTCGACGTGGCTGTGAGGCTCAAGCAGGAGTTCAAGCAAGTCTGTGACATTCACATCGCCGGTGAGCGGTCTCCGCATAATAAACGTGGGGCCAATCTGCTCATCAATCTCTCCCATTTACAACAGTGTTCGCGCAAGACCCGCTCTATTCTCCGGCAGATGTTCAGAATACCGAACCGGTGAACTCTACCTTGCTGGCAGAAGCAGCGGCCCGGGACGGCGTCTCCGCCATAGGCTCAGCACCCTATGTCGAGACCTCCACGGACCTCGCACGGCGCAACATCTCGCGGTGCATCGCTCTCGCACTCGCGCACGGACTCCACCTCGATTTCCACTTGGACTACAACCTCTCGCAAGAAGCTGACCCGATGATATACGACGTCATCAGCGAGCTGCGTCTGCGCCCCTGGGACCTGACTAAACGCATCACCATTGGGCACGCCACCCGCCTCGCGCTATTCCGTCACGATGAATGGCGAGAGCTTGTCCACGCTATCGGGAATTTACCCATATCGTTTGTCGGGCTACCGCAGAGCGACCTATACATGATGGGACGCAACGCGGGAGAACGCGGCCCCGGGATGCTCGCCGTGAGAGGAACGCTCAATACACCGAGTTTGTCCGGAGAACACAATCTGCGTATCGCCATGTCGGTGAACAACGTTCAGAACGCGTTTACACCACAAGGTTCTGTCGATCCTCTTGGGCTATGTCCTCTGGCAATCGCCGTGTTCCAGGACGGCACCGCGAAGGCCTGCGAGGCGTTGTTGGTCAGCCTCATTCATATGCCGTATCGAACACGATCTCAGTGTTCATTCATGGCCCTCCACAGCGGTCTGTCACTATTGCCTCGAAGCACGCCGTGGGCGAAGCCGACGTTCCCGCAGGCCTCGCGCCTCAAGTAGCCGACCGGGCAGACTTCGTCATCTTACACGACAATGATAGTGTGCAGAGCGCGGCGTTAAGCCCAAGCTACGCCCGTACTACGATTAAATCTGGGACTTTGGTCGCACAACGGCGCACTAGCAGCTATATCCGAACACAATGAAGCACAAATACACAAGCGCTCATGCGCCCTTTTCCAACATCTTCCGAGGCGTCACTTCTCTGTCAACGGCGTAACGGAGATCGCGCCACGTCACCGCACAACCTTCGCAAGAATAAGCATCGTGTGCGGAACTTGTCGGCTCTTTCTGCATCCTACCCGCCCTCATTCAATGATGCCAACAATACGTGGATAGGATTATTCTCTTTTCGCACATGGGCATGCTTCCAGAAACCCGGAGTGTGCACCCGCGCCGGACGTGTAACCGACAAGTTTTGCACGGAGCCGAACCGTGGGCGATGCTCGCACACTCGCCGTAATCACGGCGGGATCCCGCCCTTCGCGAAGCAGTTGGATAGAACTCTACGTGCCCTCGCATAATCGTCCACGGGAGGCAAAACGATTGAGCAAGCCGTCCTTATCAATCCCGCGCCATACTATTTCGTGAACGGTTGCGCGGTCGACTTGATTGGAGGAGCCAGGCTTGCGTGAGCCCGAGATGCAGCAACATGACTCAGCCTGGGACAGTTCCGCTTCGCGACATCTCGTCAACTGATTCTCGCTACAGCTCTACCCATGACGCTCCCTTCAGCCTCATCGAACCAATGCTTTTTACACGTTTCTGTGCTCGATGCGGGGACGGTGAACCCCCCCCCCCCCTTTTTTGAGATGATCATTCCAGGGGCGACGGAGACGGTTTTCGTACCTGCACTGTCTTTCCTCTTGCGGCACACCTCTTCGGGCTCTACTGTTGTCTTTGACCTCGGCGTACCCGTGACTATGTGAATCTCCCTTCGAGGACAGTCGACGTTATCCACAAGTACTTCACGGCGAGTATCCCCAGTCCGCCGCGGAGTGGCGAGGCGGAGACCACTGGTCTTTCAGAGGACGGCTGATGCACGCTGATCAAGAAGCTGCACGCGCGACCGTGCAGCGCATTGCAGCGCTTATGACTGCAGATTCGAGGGTCAGAGTGGTCCTTGCGTATGACCGGGGATAGTGGGAGGCCAATCGAGGAGGGGAAGGTTACTAGCCCGGGAAGACACCGGTCCTATAGAAAGCGGGTAAGTCATTTTAAAATTACACATGCATCCAGTCGTTGAACTGAAGGTTGAACCAGCTTTGGCTAGTTCTCTAAGCAAGGACACGCGTAATGCTTTACCCGTCCTACTGTATCCGGTTGCGCTCATTTCCGACGTGATGACAGCATTCCCCGCAATTCAACGACATGTTGCTACTCTCACGTATTTACACAGGGGAATGCGATTGGACTGGACTCTTGAAAAGTATTGTACGAACGAATATATAAAGCAGAATCTGAAAATTCGATGCGTTACCATACTTCATGCTACCTAAAGCCATCTCAACTGATCCAACTCTTGTCAGACCATCAAAGACCATCACACGGCAGTGAATGTCCATGTCCCTCCCATCTCACAATCACCAACAGACCTACTGTCGCGTCTCTGCGCTCGAAGCAGGGATTCTGAGCATCCCTCTCGGCCGTATCTTGCAAGGTGGCCAAGGAAATGTTATCGTCCCTTCTTTATCCTTCATTCTCCAGCGCTCCTCCTCCAAGGAGACCGTTATCTTTGATCTTGGAATCTGCGAGGATTTCCAGCGATATCCGGAGTCGGTGACCTCGCGGATTCAACGCGGTTTTCAACCCATGTCGGAGTCTCTGAGTAAAGGTTCTGTTCTTCCGAGTTCCGTTGACTATGTGATCCTAAGCCACCTACATTGGGGTACGTCGTGCGCCAACTCACCAACTTTGTACCCTGAGAGCTGAAGTGAGGTAATCAGATCATATCGGAGATCCCGCACCGTTTTCCAATGCCACATTCATTGTTGGGGCGGAGAGCGCTTCCATGAACGACCTTGGCTTTCCGACTTCGCAGCCGCTAGCAGCATCTGAGATGCTCCCAAAACACAGAACCAGACTCGAGCGGGCGGATACATGGACACCATTGGGCCCTTTTCCTCGCGCATTCGACATTTTTGGGGATGGAAGCATCTACATCGTCGACGCCGCAGGACACTGTCCTGGTCACATAAACTTGCTGGCACGGACGTCCGCAGATGGAGGTTGGATCTTCCTCGCCGGGGACAGCGCGCACGACAGACGCCTCATTACGGGAGACGGTGAGATGGCGACGAAAGTCGGCGTAGAGTGCGCCGCACCGATCGCCCATCTGCATCGTGACAAAAGCCTAGCAGAAGCGCATATCGGTCGTATTGCGCGTCTCATGGGAGAGCCACGTGTCAGGGTCCTTCTAGCTCACGACAGGGAGTGGTTCGAGGCTAACGTAGGCGGTCCATCGTTCTGGCCTGGGATTATCCCTACACTCTAGTTTGCAGCGAAGTCGATTGTCTGGTGGAGGTCAACAGCCAAGGACTGTACCTCCATGACGCTATGCATACCATGGTGCCGGTTAACATAGTGCGTATCCTGTGGTTTTTGGACCGTACTCAAGTTCGTTTCCTGTCCCCAGCCCAAGCGACCGGTGTAGGTCTTTTTGGGGACCAAAGTAATGATGCTATCAGCAACTGACGGCATGTTAGCTCTAACAACTACTTTACAGTAGGTCAGGCTGGCCTACTACCGGTGTGGGACTTGAGGATCACTTTACTAACTTCCACGGAGCCTGAAATTGCGACTGTCCTGTCCTTTAGGCCTCTAGGGGCCGTGCGCGGCATTCTCATCACCCTACCTACGTAGGGGTCCGGTCGAACTTGCGGCGGTGGATCAAGTACGGTAGCCCGGGAGCAGCAAAGCTATAGAGGTATCCAAGACGATTGAGGTTGAGTCGACAGATCCACCGTGGACGACAACATATGTCGCCGAATTCTGCTGGATGTCGTCTAGTGTGTGGCTGTAGGCTGATGCTATGTTCAAAGTCCCGAAGGGCCCGGGAATTACTAGAATGTTCTGAATACACCTCGATGTATCTGGAAGCTCTTAATAGTATACGGTCGCCGTAGCACCTCGCAGCAAGGCGCAGCCAGCTGAGTATAAATCGTGAGTGAAACGAGCCCAGGCTTTCAATACACCAGAACCCCCTAGCCTGTCATACACCTGATGTCCACTGAACAAGATCAGGCCAGTACTGTGGACGAAGTAGGCACATGCGCGTGCGGTAAATCCAGCATCACGATTAAAGGCGGCTTTCCTACGAACAAAACAGGCATAGTCTGCTACTGTACAACATGCCAGAAACTCGGAGGCGGTTGTGAGTCGCTCAACGATGGATGAAAGAGTCGAAAGTTGAAAATCCTCAGTCGGCACATACGTTACAGGATTGCCGAGGGAATCGGTTGCGGTAGCGGGAGATGAGGTCAAGACTTGGCACAACCCTGGAAAGAGTTCCGGTAACCCCGTGGACATGCTATTTTGCGGCGAATGCGGTTCCAATCTGGTTGGTTATCCCGCCCATCATCAGCAAGCCTTTGTCAAGCTTGCTCTGTTCGGAAACAAGCTGAAACCAGGCCTCGAACTGTACAAGGACATGGTACCCGGTGAGTTCGATTCGAATTTGTCCTGCATGTTTACAACTGGGTTGACTCGGAACGCAGAGTTTGTCCCGTCTCTATTGAAGGAGAGTTGAGGATTTACTGCATGTGCACATTGCACAGCAGTAGAGTACTTTCGCAATTCGTGTCAACCCTGGTTGGAACTTGCAATTGGCGATGGTGTATAGTCGGGGCGGGTTCTTGTGCTATGGGCGAACTAGGGTATGTAAGAGCCGTAAGTAGACCTGTACGGGTCCACGTAGTAGCGCCGTTAGAGAGTCTTATTACTTGTGTATATAGTGCCATTTAGTCAAACTCGCAGCGCGAATTGCCACTTGAAAGCTTGAAGTGAAGGCCGGAATCATGTTGGGAGAAACATAGCCACCGATGCTTGAAACGCGGTCCACGAGGGTCCACGGCCCGCACGACGCGTCCACCAATTTGTTGTTTCATCTGGCATATCTTCAACAGAGCAGAGCTTGAGCTCTCCAAGCCCAGCGCCACATCTCTGCTCAGCGGATCTCGTAACATCACACCAGACCAGACAATTACCAGGCATGCCATCACAACAACGATCCATCTTACCGGACCCGCCGTCTTTCATGCCCAGCCCAGATCCAAGCACTATCATAGTGCCAGGAGTCGACCCTAATGGCCCAGTCATGGAGCAAATCGAGAAGATAGATCAACTCATAACTGTGCGGCTACAGGTACGCGCTGAATTTGTGTTGGGCACAAGAAACATCGCTCAGGCAACACAATGCGTCGTTTCAGCAAGTAGACGCGAACATCGCGCGTATCAATCATATACTCGCCGACCGAATGCTTCCTGCCATGAAGCGTTTCTCTATATCGATGCAACCTGCCAGAGAGGCGGCTGATGTACGCGACAGTACTTCGTCCTTGGCGGTTTCTTAACTGGCACATTGTAGTTCTGGGTCTCGTTCTTTGAGAGGTCTGCCAACATACGGGTTCCGACATATGATGACGACACGATTCAAGAACCGGATCACGAAGCGTTCTCAGAGGAGGAAGAGGAGCAAACTTCAGAGGGCTCCTCTGCGGTGCGCCCCGAGGACAGCATCGTCTCATCAGAAGGCAGCTCCTTCATGCCAGCTGACGCTGCTATATCCTCGACCCCTGCTCGAGGTCACGCGACGGAACCATCCTTCAGTGACAATTCCTCCGAGGTTCCATCGTGGGCACCGTCTCTCGAATCTCCCATCGCTCGCTTGAGCAGGGAGATCAATGCACTCAGCTACGACGCAGGTCACGAAATCGCCGAAAGATCCGCTCGTGATGATTTGTCCACAGCCGACATTACTGCTACACCGGATCCTCTGGAACCCAAGCAGATCGAGAGCCCGTCTACGAGAGACAAAGGCAAAGCTCGTGCCAAGGAGGGGCCTGACCTCCTTCGCAACGTGCTCCGCAACAATCTCTATTCCGTTACGCCGAAGTCAGCAAGGAAGGCGAACGCAGGCACTCGAGACCTGAAGAAACATAATCCTTATCTGCAACCAGGCAGCGATCCGTCACACTGGAACGGCGTTGTTGACCTTGCGTCTCCCGAGCGATATCGCCCTGGCCAAACTGCAAACGCCTCACGAATCCCAAGCGCATCCAAGATACCACTCTCAGCGCCACGAACCAGGGCGGACCTGGGTCAAGCACCCAAACTTGGTCGAACGCCCAAGAAAGATGCTGCCAATCGCATGACGCAGGACGTGCTACGTGGCCTGAGTAATAAGAAGGCTCAGCGACCTAAAACTTCTGGATCAACCGCCAGTAGCAGCATCCTCAGTCCGCCCTCGCTCACCCGTTACACGAAGCCTGGCTACACCCGTCACGGCAACAATAAGGGTGCACAGACGAGTGCCAGTGACATCTCAACACCTCCCTCCCTGTCGCGCTGGACTGGCGGGTACAATATGAGCAGCGGTCTCCCAGAGGACACGGATAGCCCTATTCCCGCGCCGCCCGACATTATGCGTTATATCACCGGCGAAGGGCGATTATCTGGCCTGCCGCAACCCGATATAAGCCAGGATACCATATCCGCGCCGCCGTCCGTGACCCGGATTGCGCCACCAGCGGAAGGCGACACGATCCAGAGCATGATATCAGATGCCCCGGACATTTCACGTTACACCGCAGCGCCGTCAGCGCGTCCGAGTCTCGCCCCCGAAAGGCTCGAAGACAGCACGGCCTCTGATGCGAGCCTGAACAGTATGATGCGTCGTGTGGGGCTTGACTTTCGCTTGTCCGAACGCGGGGACGAACTACAGCAGGACCCCAATGCATCGATAGGGTCATCGGACGACTCTTTCGACGATGAACTCAACGACACCGCACATCCATCAGCGGCGTTCCAGTTTGCGTTGCAGCAGGGTGGGAGGCGTGACTCACTTGATGACTCGTTCGGCTCCAATGAATCCGGCAGTTCGTCGCTAGACGACGAGACTGGTCAAGGTGTTGTCCATCCCTTCGCCATCGGAGGTGAACCTATTGAAGACGACTTCTCGGACGAGTCCTTCGACGGAGGGAACGATCAGGAGGAGGAAACGGTATTTGGGAGACCACCAGCTCAGCGTTACGCTGCTGAGTCCCAAGTGGGGGGCGGCAACGGACAGCTGCGATTGCTGGGCGAGGGTCTTTTGGAGGATACGCTGGGGATCAGTGCGCAATTAGCCAGACAAGGACGAGTGGAGGAAAGCCCTACACCATGGGGGGCAAATATTCCAAGGTACATGTAGTATACAAGGTATACGAATCTCATTGGTTCGCATTGCCTACGGACCGTAAGATTTCACGCGATGAACATGAGGATCGATGGAGACGTAGGCTCTCGTAAAAGTGGACATATCAATGAATGTGAACCTGCACGATCACTCAGACTGCATTCCCTTCAGACGCTGGTGCAGTCTCTGGTGCTTTGGTCCCCTCAGCGGCGAGCTTGTCAAGCCATTTCTGCACAAACTTGACATGGGCATTGTAATTCAGTGTAGCGTCATGCACGTCCCTGTAGAAAGTCAGATTCTGCACCTGAAGTCATGACTCAGCCTTCCTACCTGACAACGCCTTGGGTATCGATGATGAAGGTTACTCGGGCAGAATCGGCCATGCCAAGTAGTCCTTTACCAACAGAATATGCCTTTCGCGCTTCGCCGTTGCTGTCGCTGAGAATCGGGAACTAGTTCAAAGGATTCGTCATTATACTTTTTGTACTTGGCTTGGTAAATTACCGTCAGCTTCTGTTTCTCTACGAATTCTTTCTGCTTATCCACCGGGTCAGGGCTTATCCCAATGACTTGTAACTGGGAGCTCTTAAAGACATCCTTCTCTGGTATGCGGTTCAGAACGGGAAATAGATACAGGCATATTGACTCACCGGCAAGCGCGTCTCGGAATTGGCAGACCTCCTTCGTGCAGCCGTACGACCCTGCGATAGCATTTCAGCATGTCTCGTAACCTTTTGAAAGGAAAACGCTGCCGACCAGACTTCGGATAGAAGAGTAAGGCAGCGGGGACGCTGTTTGCTCCCGGTGTGAAAGTATACGTGTCTCCATTCGCATCCGGTAGGGTGATGGAGGGCGCTGGTTCGTTCAAAAGAGGATGAGGTGCCATGCTAGCCAGATATAGCGTAGCCTAGATATCCGCCAACTGCGACAGAAACGGGGTAGCGCCCGGAGAGACGATAAGACAACCGCGTGAGCCTCGAGGCGGGCTGGTGCGGGAACTAGAGAGCATAACACGTGATGGCGCTTGAAGCAATTCGGGCTTTTGTGAGGAGACTTGGCGATATTGTATGAACATGAGCGCGAGGTATTATCATATGCAAGCCGACTGGGACAACATGCAGCAAGAGGTATTAGTGCGGTGCTTAGAGTAGAAACAGCCAGCGAATCCGTCATTTGTTTGCGGCGTTCATCATCTCTACCGATATCTATGAGCACAGAAACCAATAAGAGCATTTGATCTGGCTACGTGCCTGCGTTTTGCTCCGCGAACCGTGCCCCTACTCTTTCCGAATGTTTGAGGAATTTGTCCGCACAGTTCATAACACATTGTTCCTGGGCAGGATCAATGCGCTGCCCGCAAAGGATAACACAGGGAGCCGACCTCCTTTGAGGATAGTGCCTTACTGGTAAAGTCGTTGCAGCACGAGTTGAAGCACCGTTCCACGAGACCAGAGTACATTCGAAGAAAATCTTGCATCTGCCAGCAGGTGCTCTTTCAACAAAACGTCGTAAGAGTAGAGCCCTTATCGCACCTGCTTCTTCTCAATAACCTTCGTCATTTGTGCCTGCTCGGCAGCATTGAATTGAGAGAAATCCATGGTCGAGAGTGCAAGTGCTGTTCCTATGGATGGACCGTTGACGTCGGGCAGAGAGACGCAGACAGCCACGTGACTCGCACTCCATTTCATACTTAAAGTTTGCGAAATTTCGAATGTATCAGAGAATACGTCTTGATCCCTTGCGGTGAACACTTCAGCCGTCTTGACTCGACTCCCTGCACGACAGTGGACCAGTGAGTGCGACTTTTCATCCCACCAGTCCAATAATGTCTGAACGAAAGCCCTTTCCTCGCCGCAATCTGGGTACGTTAGTGTCCGATTTCGATCGCGTTACGCTCAAGGATGCATCCACGACGCTGGTAGATCGCAGGTATGTACAGTATATTGCTTCAGAGTACGGCGTTCTGAACTACATCAGAGTGAAGAGCACTCGCCCCTTGATCCCCCCGCAAATTCTCGCTGAGGACCTCCCTCTGTGCGCACCTTGATTCCGGGGAAGCCGGACCTTGGTTGACCGTAACAGCAGTACCCTCACCGGCGCCCAGACCGTCCTAGAAGGCCGCAAAGCCACTGAAGCCATCCTGCGCGGCTACGATGACAGGATAATGGTGGTCGTTGGGTGCGTCGGACTGACCCGCCTTCGTATCATTCGGCGCCAATAAGGACGAGCCTAGGCCATGCTCAGTTCACGATATCGATGCCGCTACCGAGTACGCCAAGAAGCTAAAGGCATACGCGGACGGCGCGAAAGAGGACCTTCACATCGTTATGCGCGTCTACTTCGAGAAGCCGCGGACAACGGTCGGCTGGAAGGGTCTCATCAACGACCCCGACATGAACGGCAGCTTCCAAATCAACAAGGGACTGCGCCTTGGTCGGACGTTGCTGTTGGATATCGCCAGAATGGGCTTGCCTGCCGGATGTGAGTTCCTGGATACGATCACGCCGCAGTACACGGCAGATTTGGTCACCTGGGGCGCTATCGGCGCCCGCACGACTGAGAGCCAGGTGAGTGTATGGCAAACCGTTCCGGCCGCTAGCGACCTAATTCCGCGGCAGGTCCATCGTGAATTGGTATCTGCATTGTCGATGCCGACCGGCTTCAAGAACTCCACCGATGGCAGTATCGGGATTGCCATCGATGCATGCAGGGCGGCGAAGACCCCTCACGTCTTCTTGTCCGTCGGCAAGGAGGGTTTGAGCAGTATTGTTGAGACCGAGGTATGTCCCCCGCGTGATAGTGCGCACTGGTGCCAATTCTTGTCAGGGCAACCCCGACGTTCACGTTATCTTGCGCGGTGGAAACAAAGGACCAAATTACAATCGCGAGTTCGTTCGCGAGTGCGGAGAGAAGCTTGCTAAAGCCGGATTGCCTCAGAAGATCATGGTATGTGCCTCGATCAGCTGACGGCGGCGGTGACTGATCGTTACGTTGAATTCAGATTGACTGCAGTCACGGCAACAGCTCGAAGCAGCACCGGAAGCAAGCCGAGGTTGCGGAAGACATCGTGAGTCTTCCTGCATTCAGGTTATCGTTTCTTGTTTAACATCCAGCCAGGCCCAGCAACTCGAGTCGTTAGACACGGCGTCGATGATCATGGGTGTCATGATTGAGTCCAATCTTGCCGAGGGACGACAAGACATCCCTCCCGCTGGCCGCGCGGGATTGAAGTACGGCCAATCGGTGACGGATGCTTGCTTGTCCTGGGAGATGACTGTCCCCGTTCTCGATCGTCTCCGCCAAGGTGTCCAGAACCGCCGCAAAGCAGTCTATGAAGCTGCCCGAGGGATCGCCTCCAATGGCGTCAACGGCGCCTGAAAGCCCACTAGAGGAATCGCCGGACCCATTTTGCCGGCATTGTACTTGTTTTGCATATTGTACGTTGATTGTGTAGTTGTGCTGTACCGCCTTGCTCGTGTATGCTGTCGTCATCCTATCGCCAATGTATCGCCGTGATGCGTTCCGTATTGCGCTATCTGTGGCGTGGACGTACTGAATAGAAAGCCCGTGCGTGTTGAATTGGTCATGGCACTCTTTATCCCCTAGGAACTTCAAATGCCAGCTGCGGTTGCCTGTACGGTATTTGGCTGCGCCCGGTGACAGAATCTCGGGACTCGTTTGACCAAGTGTGGTCGTGGAACGCTGTGCATTCCCGTTCAGTTCCAGTGAAGTCATATGCCTCTCATAGATAGCGCTCCGCAATAAAGCCATCGTCGATGCAGTACCAAGGCACCAGTATGTCGATTTCATGTCGTCAAGAGATACTGAGAAGAAATTTGAAATTTGAACTCTGAAGAGCATACAGAAACTTCCTACATAGCTCCTGTCAATAAGCGGATCGAAATGTTGCCTGCTCATCGGGAGAGCGTGCTTGCCTGCCGATTCCACGGAAATGGTTGACTATGCACCAGCTGTAGTCCCGGAGATTCAAGACCGTACACGGCAAGACACAAAAGGCAAGTCGATGATACTTGGCAATGTACAGATGCACGATGGTCTGCCGACTCGCAACGTCGGGAGTGCTAGAGCCTACAGTTCGCTCATGTATCTGGGTGAATGTGGTGGGCTTCTTGTTAGATAATAAGATAGATGCTAAGCGAGAGACCTGTTGCAGGGATCGTTCGCGTGCAGTGGGCATGAGTGAAGGACATTTGCTAGCTGAATGAATCGTCGTGTGCGGACGGGGGAGAATCAGTGAGAAAGAGCCGAGCGTCGCGGCTGGCCGGACCGGCTCGCCTCTCAATCCACGTGAGCATTCCACCAGCACGACTTACCGCGCGCCACCATGGCATCCCTCAAGCCAATCCTGAATTCGCTCCTGCGATCGCTGCCACCAGGCCCTATCGACAAGGCGGCACTCGACTCGCTTGTTCGTGACACGCTTTCACAGGCGGACGCAAAATCGAGCCCGGAGAACCGCAAAACACAATGGGAGTACCTACTCAAAGAGCAAGTCCTAACATTGGCTGTGCGTATCGATTTTCGTTCGTGGTTTTGATATTGGTCATGAATCAGTAATCAGTCAAACGAAGGAGGGGCTTTGGACGACCCTGACACAACGTATTACGACCAACTCCGAGACATGCTTGATGTGGTACTAACATTCACTGAACAAGGCAAGTTCGAACCATGCGCCACTCGAGCATACATAGTGCTAATGAACAGCAGATGCATGCGACCCGACTTTCCCGTTTACTACTCTGCAAGATCTCATTGAGACACACACCATCGCCTCCTGCTCTCACCTCTTCTCCTGGATCGAGTCTCGTGCGAACCGTCTCACTGCCGGAATGGTGCCACAGAAGGGGAAGGCGCTCGTCCTCCTCCGAATGCTTAATGACCTTTTGCGCCGACTCTCGAAGATGGGCGACGCCACGGTGTTCTGTGGTAGAATATTGTCGTTCTTAAGTGCCGTGTTCCCGTTGGGCGAGCGTAGTGGCGTGAACCTCAGAGGAGAATATGGGCCGACATGGGAGGGTGTGATGGAGGCGGTAGTGAAGGAAGACGGCAGTTCAGGGGGGATGGACGTTGACGAGAAGATGAAGCCACCGGAGAACGCACTGGGCGAGCCAGGGGATACCAAAATGCAGGTGGATGAAGAAAACCCTTCTCCGTCCAAATCATCCTCAGGATCCGATGGTGGGTGACCGGTATTCATGATAAACTGGGACGTGCTAACATAAGACGTCGTCCCAGACTTCTACTCGACATTCTGGTTCCTACAATTACCGTTCTCCAAACCCCCAGTGTTCGCGGAACCAGGGATGTTCGCCCGCTTCAAGACCGCCGTGAATAAGGTTCTTCCCGTGATCCACGAGGCGAATGCGAAGGAGCGCCTCTTGATAGGCAGCAGCAGCAAAACGCATGCTGCTGCAGTGAAGTCCCAAGTAACTCCAAAGCGGAAGCGTGATGCGATCGACACGGACGGAGATGAGGAAGATGTTGGGACCAACGACTACTTCTTCGCTAAGTTCCTGACGAGCCCTGAACTTTTAGATCTAGAGGTTGGTTGTCCTGCTTTTGGGGCAAGACAGCGTTCATCGTCGCCTTGTTGTAGATTGCAGACAGTCACTTCCGACGACAATTCCTCTTTCAACTCCTCATTCTCCTTCAACACCTTCAGACTTTCACTAGAAACGCCAAGGCTGCCTGGTATACGCCACGAAATCGTTCATTGCAGATGGATTTCACACTGGAGACCGCAGGCATGTCTTCACGTACTCTATCCCTGGCAGCGATCCCTGATGTCCTATTATAGATCCGAATGTGAAGGGGAAGTCTGCGAGTGATCTCCAATGGGTCTCGGAGACTATGCACAAAGCTATTGACGAGCTGCGCCAGACAGCTCCCAATGGGCGTGGATTTTCAGACACAGTTCGAGTGATACTGGAGCGTGAACGGAACTGGGTAAGGTGGAAGAACGAATTGTGCGCACCATTTGATCGGGAACCATGGGCGCAAGAGATAGAAGAGGAAACGGAGGATGACTCGAAGGAGAGGAAAAGGCGGCGCGTCGGGCTTGAGGAAGCCACGGCAGGGGCGAGGAAGAAGATGCAAGAGGATCCACCTGAATGGCCCCATGCTCTTGGCTCGGAGGCGCTGACAGAGATCTGGGAGATGGGATACAGGGACTTAGACGATCTCCAACGACCTTTCCAGTCAGTTCTTATCATCCTTCGCCTCTGCCATCGATTGACGTTGATCATTACAGTCCTGACGACCCGAAAGTATACGCAAAAAGGATACAAATGGTGGACAAGCGGATCGAGATGCGGAAAAAGCAATTGGAGGCTCGAGCAGAGCAAGAAGCGCGAGAACTGGCAAAGGTCCTCCCCGCGATAGCACCAATACCCGCCGCTTCGCCGACACATGCACCGTCTCCCGCCCCCGCGTCCACGAGCCAGACTTCTTCCGCGCCTGCTTCCCAGCAAACAGACGTACAGATGTCCGAGCCCATTCCGCAGTCCACGGCTCATCTTGCCGCGACAAGCCCACCTCTACACCCGTCTCTCCCGGCCAAACCCGGTACATTGACCGTGCCCACAGCGCCACCCAAACCTGCGGTATCAACACCTACTGTAGAGGTACCACCGCCCGCGCCTGTTCCATCTCCTGTGATTGCTGTACCGGTAACGGCAACGCCCACGGTAGAAACCAAGCAAGAAACCCCCAAACCGGACCCCAAGTTCTCCTCGGATTCGCAGCTGGCAGCGTTGGAACAAGTACGAAATTTCATGCCCTTGCATACGAGAGCGCTGAACGTGTTCTTCCATGACTGTAGTCCAAGCAACGCTGGGCATGGCTCGCGTTGCGTGGTTCTCGAGACACCCACTTGGCACACTTCGCTAAGATCGGGACAGGAGATGTTCTCGCGCTGGTCGCAGAGATCGAAAAGTCTGTTGAGAAAGAAAAGGAGGCAAAAGACATAGCCGAGAGGAGACCAGAAGGCGGGGCGAGCATTGCTGGGGAGGAGAGGGATGTGGGCAGCCCGGCCACTGTTGTGCCCGAGGTAGCAGGATAGGGGACGGACAAAGGGTGTTTTTACTAGCATTATTAATGCATCGTCGATACACCTGTTATAATGGACGATGCACTCCGTGTTGTACCGGCTAGCAATTTACCGGCCACGCTCCCTCTTCCCGGAATTGCGGCAATGGTTACGCGGTGTGGAACTGCTCCGGTATCAGAAAGCAGTGAGCTCCTATCAGCCGGAACCGGAACCGAGACTCAGCAGCATGCACACACTGCGGGCGACGACGAATGCGTTATGCCGCTCCAATATAACATGGAATCGATCGACAGTGTACTGTCTTGGTTCTTCCTCTGTATATTGCCGTCATGGCCTCGCACACGCGACGGTTGACAGACGACTCCAGTAACCCGCACTTAGGCTTCTCTCAAGCGCAACCCCCGCTGTCTCAACTCTTTCAGGATGCCGCTCTCTATAACCGGGTTTTACATTCGGATGGCCGGAAGTCCTATGATCTATCGCCTACAATGTTGGACAGAAATGAGTCTGTCGTTAGCTTCGCGGAGCTCGTGGGGCAAGATCTCGATGAAGGAGAAAAGACTGCTAGCGGACGATTCGCGCAATTCGCGGCAGCCGACTGGCTTTCGGACGACGAAGAGGAAACGGGAGAGCCAGAGTCCTATGAAGACGATGATGGGCTTGAAAACTCCACCACATCGTCACCTCCGTCTACCCCGGTTCCCGATCGAAGTTCCGAGGTAGCCGATTCAGGATACGGTACCGTCAATGAGGAAGATGCAGCGAGCTCTGAGGAGCACAGACTGACACCTGAAGAGATAGTGGATGTACTAGTGCAGGAGTTCGGATCGCTGACAGAGGGGAACGAAGAGGAACACTTGATCAAGGAAGGGGACGGGGCATTCCTCCAGGATGTTAGCATCTTGGTCTGTCTATTCACCCCTTACTCGTAATGCATACACCAACATGAATCCATAGGGTGTTCTCCATCTTACATCCCATCGACTTGCATTCCATGCCAGTCTGCTCGCAACACGACCCGACCTCGGTGCGCAGGACGAGATCATTAAAGCTGGACCGACCCTTGTCCGCCGCAAAGGCCTAGTGCATCGATCGCGAAGGGTGTGGATGGAGCTTTCACATGATACGGTCAGCTTGTATCCTTCAAGTCGCCCGGAGGACCGTATCAAACCGTTGCGTAGCATATTTCGTGAGTAGCACACGCTCCCATCTCGTTCGGAGCAGACTCTGACCCGAGTACAGTAAGTTCCATTAAGGACATCAGTCATATTGAAGAAAAGCACCCTCGTTCTATCCGCGTATCGATTGAAGGGATCGATGGCGCTAGGATCCTTGAATTTGACACTGAAGAATCTGCCAGGGATTGGAGACGGGAGATGCAAGGTACATTCTTCTCACCCCGATCGTCTCGCTCGCACTAATCTACCTTCGGAGGTGCTCTGTTTTTGTTCCGTCATCGAAAGCATGCGGATCTAGATCAATCACAACCGGACACGCAGGGCATACGAATGAGCATTCCTCTAGATGCCATCATCGACTTCAAGGTTCAACCAGCTATCAATGAACACGCGTGGGTTTTGAGTCTAGCCTTTCCTCCAAGTGAGGACAGTACGGGGAGCCTTGCCGAAACTGCCAGACCTGACCGACCTCGCGTGATACAATTCGCTACCCTCAAGTCCGGTTTCAGTTTCGACGATATTGGATATTACATCGGAGCCGCAAAATCACGACATGCAGGCGACGATACCGTCGGCAGGCTTGCACCAATTGTGGTTGATTTTGGCCCATTAACGTTTCTGGACAACCGCAACCAGCTACAGGAAGCCACAGAAGACCCAATGAAGACCAAGGATAGCATCATCAGGAAAGCGCTTGCTTTCGATGCTCACGAGACTATGTGGAGTAAGTGGGATACACGCCACACGCCATTCTGACTCTTGTTCACTCGCGTATCCAGCAACCCGCGCTCGGCTTCGGCGTGGTATATGCACCTCCGGTTATTTAGCGGTGGTGAGGCAGTTTATCGGCTTCTGGAGCAAATCGTGCACCGGCCTGGACGATATATACCGCATCCCTGTTTCAATCGTCAAAAGCGTCAAACCAATCGGCAGCCTCTTCTCAATGCGGGATGCCGGACTTGTCATTGAGATCATAGGCCAGGCAGATCTCAAGTTCGACTTTCCATCGGAAGTTATTCGAGATGCTGCTCGTGGGCGCATCTTAGAGGTCATGGAAGCCGATCTAGAACGCGTCGAGCAATCCCCCTCAAGCCCTTCATCGCCATTACCTCAGGGGCCCGTTCGTCGATCTTCTGTCCAAATGCTGGCACCCTTGTCTCGCGCTGTTGCCAAAATCAAGCAGAGCCCTGTTCCGATAGAGGTCCGGGATCGCCTTCCCAAGGTGCTGAACCTCCCGAAGCGATCGCTTTCGCATATGCCAGCCAAACATTTCGTATGCCTCACTATAGGCAGTCGCGGTGATATACAACCTTATATCGCTCTTTGTCGGGCACTCCGGGATGAAGGACACCGAACTACCATCGTTACTCACGAAGAGTTCAAGGAATGGATCGAAAGCTTTGGTATCGAGCACCGGACGGCGGGAGGCGACCCCGGTGCTCTGATGAAATTGAGTGTGGAGCACAAAGTGACAATCCTTTCTCTGATTGTGAGGCCGTTTTGCTGAATCAACGAACCGCAGATGTTCTCTCCCCAATTCTTCAAAGAGGGATTGACGAACGTGAGCATTGATTGTCGTCTTTGATTACAGCGCTATTTTTTCATCGTCCCATTAGTTCCGTGACTGGTTGGACCAACGTATGTGGTGAAAGGGATCTCAGACTTTCACTTTGTTGACTCCACACAGTACTTTTGGACGCTTGGGCTGCCTGCATAGACGCTGATGTCTTATTGGAGAGCCCGTCGGCCATGGCAGGTGTTCACATCGCAGAGGCTTTGTCGATTCCTTATTTTCGCACGTTTACCATGCCATGGACGAAGTGAGTTACATGTTGCGTATTACCCGAATGCAACACCTAACATACCACATCATCAGGACCAAAGAGTTTCCTCACGCTTTCATTTCTCCCCCGGTTGAAGCACCTACCGCGAACGCTGCATCGTAAGTGATCTCAGTACCGTGAACCGTGCACAACATATTGATCCATCTCGGCCCTGTATAGCTATGTTTTGTTCGACAGTGCGTTTATGAGCACCGTGTGGGTCTCCGCTGACTGACATACGCGCCGCCAGATGTTCTCTGGGCCGCAACGTCGGGACAGATCAACCGTTGGAGACGTGAATCGCTAGGTCTGGCTCCCACGGACATGAGCCACCTTGCACAATCCAAGATCCCTTTCATATACAACTTTTCGCAAGCCGTGGTTCCGAAACCCCTTGACTGGGGCGACGCTACAGTGATCTCCGGCTACTGGTTCCTCGATGACCCGGATCCTGGTTGGTCGCCTTCGGAGACTCTGTTGCGATTTATCGATAGCGCAAGGAAGGAGAATAAGGCCCTCGTATACATAGGGTTCGGAAGCATCACGGTACCTGATCCGGTGGCGATGACTGAGGCCATCGTGCAAGCAGTCGTGAAAAGTACGTGCAATGCATACCTTGTCCAGCTTGAGGCATCTCAACGTGCGCGCAGGTGGCGTTCGGGCAATCATTTCTAAAGGCTGGTCAGCACGGATGTCGAAAGCCCCAGCCACGGAGGTTGCATTGCCGGAGCAATGTATGATGGTGTGTATGCTATTGCGTATAATTTTATTTCATTCTGACGAGGATCGCTCGCTAGATAGACAAAGTACCGCATGAGTAAGTTGGCAAAACTGGTGCTCTCTGACGGACGTTATGAACGACCCTTCATGATCATTTAGTTGGCTCTTCCCACGCATAGACGCAGCACTCCATCACGGTGGTGCAGGGACTACAGGTGCCAGTCTGCGCGCAGGGATTCCCACATTGATTAAGCCCTGGTTCGGGTGCGTGCTATGCATTGCCCATAGCAAGCCAGAAGTTCAGCGCTGATGCCCACTTAGGGATCAATATTTCTGGGCCTCTCGCGTGCATAGCATAGGTGTAAGTCCCTCGCGGCTTCATCCGATCATGTACTCATTGTGCTTGGGCATAGGCTGGAATGAGGGTTAGCCTCCGTGTGAATGAGCTTGCAGACGCGTTCGTCAAGGCGACGACAAGCCGGTAAGGGCGTGTTTAGACCTTACATATCATATACTAAAGCCAAACTACAGTAGGATGAAAGAGAAAGCTGCGCTCATTGGACAGCGTATACGTGCTGTACGTGACGTATCGAGTTGATATTACCATTCCTCTGACGTCGCATGTAGGAGGACGGGGTGCACGTTGCCATCCAAACCATACGTATGTATATGACTCGAGCAGGACAAGATCGAACTCAGCTACATTAGTCTTGTATATATGTAACAAACTATTTTATAACGATATATATACTCGCGGTAGAAGCGCTATATGTAGAATAATGCACTGAATGGTTGGGGTCATAGAGACATTACCCTCGCAATTTTGCTGCTTCCGATACCTATGAGTCGCCGTCAATTCTGTCAAACCAAGTATAGGCCCTTTGCTTGGCAGTCCCCTTTCGCAAAACAAGGCCATCATTGTAATCGAAATATCCGAAACCCAGAATTCTGTCGCTCGCCGCCGCGAACTCAACGAGGATCGGGATGCGCTCCGTCACCGGGAATTCGAATGGTCTGGTGTCGGCTCCATAGCCCTCGGTGAAAAGCTCCGTCATGAATAAGGCGAAGGTCATGTTTCTGTGATGGATCCACTCAGGGCGGAGTATGGGTGATGGGGCCATGTGGGCATGTGTGGTTCGAGCCCGCTTGAGGGCGGCAACGAGCTGATACTCCGAGCGCTTGGAGGAGGTATTCGCGGAATCCACCGCATCGAACGTGTGCCTCACTTCGCTGCAATACGTCGACTCGCTGGCAGGCGCGCAGAGTGCGATCCGACCATATCCTAGGTTTTCGTATGTTCCGGCAAACTTGGACAGAGGATGAGCGGAATTTCCATCGCCATCAGTCGCCGGCCGGGACCAGACCGGATTTGACGCTGACGACGTCAGTAGTCTACGTCCTCGTCAGTGGACGGAACGTCAATCGGCTGTCCCCTCATTATTTCTCACCTAGCGGACGTCTCTGTCTCTGGGCCCAGTAGCTTATCGATCACGCGGAGAACGACCGCATCATTGAGCCAGTCTAGGTCCTCAGCATTGACGAAGTTGACCGCGCCGAGTCCCAGCGATGGTACGACCACGACGTAGGCATTGAATGCCCTTAAATTGCCGGCGTGTTGCAAAACCTATGTTGAGGCATATCAGCTGGGATTCTATCCCCGGGGAGGGAAGAACTTGCATCGTGCCCTCTATATGAGAATCGGGTCCACCCCAATCCATAGCCCTGGATGGACCGGGTGACCGAACCTCTCCCGTTGATAACGACATATGCAGTGGTAAGATCCTCGAAGATATCTTGAGGAATGACTGTGACGTTGGCCGATGGACCGAGTCCCTCGCGTAGCAGCATCTCAAGCCATTTTGTCTGTGAACGAGAATCGGGATGAGGATATCGATGCTGGTCGGCAAACCGAACGGTGGACTCGCCATGTCGGTGACGCTGGAGATGACCCCTCCTGCGCCCGCTATCAACTTTGCACCCTGATCATCGAAAGGGAACGGGACTCTGCGGCCGCCTTCTGTCCAGCAGTGAGACAGGTGCGTAGGATCGGCCCGGGACGGGAAGAATGTAGTGACATCCATATTCAATGGCCCAAAGATGCGGGATGCGACGTAGTCTTCGTAAGACATCCCCGACAACGTTTCCACGATGTGCGAGCCGGTGATATACATCTAGATATCGGGGTCAATTTCCTGCTTGAGGGAGGGATACCAGCTTACCGCATTATTATAATGATATTGCTGACGGAGTTCGCGGGTGGGACGTAGGTGTCTGAGCTTTCGTACGATATCCAACGGCGACTCCGAGGGAGCGTACATGTTGTCATGCCTGCGTAGATGCTGCATGAAGACGCATGCCATTTCGCTTTTCAGAAAAACACGACGGACCTGGGTAAACCCGTAACATGGGTCAGGAGGTCCTTGATAGTCGCCTCCGACGTCGCCAAGGGATCCGCGAGCTGCCAGTCATCCGGAAAGAGACCCTTCATCTTCGTGTCCCATGTTAAGCGCGCGACGCCGTCTGGGAGCGCCGTCACGTTTCGACCGGCCGCGAAGTCGTCGATCAGCAAGCCGATCGAGGCGCCCAGGAAGGCTTTCGAGCACGATCCGATATTGAAAAGCGTCTGGGTGCTCGTCAGCGAGGCGACAACCACGAGGTAGACGGTCCGTTCGCGACATACGTGCGGGTCTGCTTTGTCGCCGTGTTCGGTCTTGTTGCCCCATGCACCGAACTCGAACTCGGACTGATCATACTCTCCGCCGATTCTGACTATCCCGAGAGTAAGCCCGGCCCTGTGCCCTTCGAGCTGACTATCGATCCAGTCGGAGAGCTCGGGGGTGATCAACTTCAAGGTATCCGGGCCGTTGTGATTCAGGACCGTCTGGGTGGCACACGCGGACAAAACGAACGCGAGGGGCAACGTCCAGGGAGCAAACATTGGGTAGGCCGGGTCGAGCTACCTGATGCCAATCGCAAGGTGTTCCGGTGTAAGTATGCCGCTGCAAGGCGGCTGCGGATGGGGCGTATACTGACTCGCTCGCATAACCGAGGCACGCGAATGAGCATCCCGTTTGCGAATCATGCAGCGGCGCAGCTCATCAACGGATCCGTAAGTAGATCATATGGCAAACACGAGACCGACCAGAGCAAAGATTTGAGCGTGGTGCTTCTTCCCACACGACCACAGCTGGGAGAGAGACTCGTTGTATTGCATTGTATGATGTATGCCATTCCTTTGTAAAACCGAACCCCGAACTAGACTAACCCTTGATTATGTAACATGCGGGAATCAGCAAGTGACAGCAACGACGAACGAGGGGTGCCCGGTATCGGGCGGAGAACACAAGCGACAAACTGGTCTAATATAATCAGGCGAAGAGAGCCACGCCGACTCTAAGCGCGTGCGGGTAGCCTCTCGTTCTACTTGTCGTTGATCTCGATGCCAGAGTCGCTGGCGCTGTGCTCGGGGTAGAGGGGGCGGCTCGCAGCAAGGCCGTAGGCGTTCTTGTAGAACACGACGTTGCCCTCGTCCTCAACGAATTTGCACTCGTGCCAGACACGGTAGATCTCCGCCCATCCACCCGCACGACCCTCAAGCTTGATGCCGGAGCTCTCGAGCTTCTTGCGGAGAGCATAGGTCGCCTCCCACGCGTGGTAGTGCGGGATTTTGCTGGAGACGTGGTGAAGAACGTGCGTCTCCGAGATACCGTGGGTGGCGCAGGCGCCGATCCAGGCGCCGATTGCGCCGAGGTCGCCCAAGAGGCTGCGATCGAGAGTGGCGAGCGCACCACGGGGGAAGGTGAACTCGGGTGCGCGGTAGTGCGGGAGAATGGGGTCGGTGTGCTGGAGAAAGGTGATGAGGACGAGCCAGTGGTTGACCCAGAGGTAGGGAACGAAGTAGACACGGAACATCTCAGCGAAGCCGCGGGTGTAGCTCCAGGCGACGATGGTCGCGAGCCAGATGAGAACACCGACGTCGGAGAGGATGATCTGACCCCGCTGCTCGGGCTTGAACATGACCGAGCTCGGCTTGAAGTGGTTCGTGCCCGGGGGGTACCGCCTCTGGCCAGATGCGTTGGTCATGATGTACATGGGCCAGCCGGCGATGAGGTAGACGAACGCGCCCCAGGTAGCGCCGATGGGAGAGTCGCCGAGGGCTTCATAAAGCTCTTGCTTGACTTCGTCGACGATGCTAGCGCCGAGGATGTCCTCTTTCGAGGGGTCGAGAGGAGGCAAAGACCGTTCAGACCGGGTCTTTGGAACCCAAACCTGGTCCTGAGTCATATGGCCGGTGGATGCATGGTGCTTGGCGTGGGTGATGCGCCATGAGTGGTAGGGAACGCCGAGGCTGTAGCGGGATTAGGCAAGGGATAATGAATGAGGTCATGCTTCGGGGACTCACGCAGAGTGCAGAACCCATCCTACGGTATTGTTGATGAACTTGGACTCGGAGAACGCCTGGTGACCGCACTCGTGCGCGATGACCCAGAGACCGGTACCGACCAAACCAGCGGCGAAGCCGTAGACGGCCCAAAGTGCGACGCGCGCAAGCAGGTAGAGGTAGGGAGACGGGAGGCTGATGTGCTCGGGCGCGATGAGGGGGTCGACGTAGGTCACGCCCTTGTAGAAGCACGCCAGGAGGAAGAAGTCCCAGACGCTGAGAGCGGGTCAAACTCTGACGTCGCGTGGCAGAGGCCTGGAAACTTACACGTAGAGGGACGACCTGAGCGCGGACCGCTGGAAACAGTGAGCGCTGGAGAGGCAGACGTGTGAGTAGGGGACGCGGACGCAGAGCGGTGGCGCGGCGTACGGGATGGCGCCGAGGAGGTCCTTGATGGTGAGGTCGGGGATGACGACCTCCTGCTGGCTGATGGTGGTGATGCCCGACATGGCCTGCCCTGTCGTGTCTACGTCGTGGCGGGGAAGGAGGAGGCGGGTCGCGGGTGTCTGAGGCGGTCGAGCAGGCTTTTATGCCAAAATTTGGGGGCCGATCAGAGTTCTTTGTGGGGCAAGTGTCACCGTCACACGAGTTCCTGGCGAGCGCGCAGCTGCCATTATGATTCCGCGTCGGGGCTCGACCATCATCGGTCTCCAGCGGGAGCACGGCACATCCTCGACCCAACATGACCGACGCCAAACCGACGCCGCGGCCAGTTAGTTGCAATCCTGACGCGACGTTGCACGAAGCGTGGTGCAGGAGCACTGCCCGAACCCGTCCTCGCGGCCTGCTCTCGCGAACAACTCCGCACACCGCTCGACGGCACAATTCGCCCCAACGGAACGCGAGTACACTGTGCCGCCAGGGAAAAAGACACGAATACCGTGATTGTGTGGTCCGACACCCCTGCAACACCGCTCCGCAGAGCCCCACAATCGATATCAACATTGCGATATCGTGCAGCTAGCGCATTCCCCTGCTTGGCTTGGCGCACTTGCGAGTGCTCCGCTTCAACGACCACGGAAGAATTCACCAGAAATTTGACTAGATGATATGACTTTTTTTGGCTTCATTACATACACTTCTCAGGAGAGCAGCCCAATAGTCTGCGCATGATCGCAAACTTTGGTCCCCGATCGCCTCGTGGTTGAGAGTCGATGCCGGTTCGACCAGTTGGGCTGCCTTGGATATAAGACCGATGGCCACGGCTAGACTTCCTGATGCTTGGGAACGATAAGATGAAAGCACGCAACTTCCAAGAACGCCTGAAAGCTTTGATGAACGAGGTCCCGATTCTGTGGTGGCTCACGTCTGACGGTCTGGGCCACCCATCCAAAGCAAATGTGCGAATAGACGACCAAGCGCGGGTAAGTCAAGCACTCTCTGATCGCACGAAAGTGAAGGCCGTGAAAGGATATCGAGGTTGGAAAATGCACGTGATCGCGTTCGTCCATGAGGCCGATGTTGAAAGAAACGACCGCCGTCGCTCACCCCCACACTTGTAGCCATCGCCGTGGTCGTCGCGCGGCCCATGTCCTCGTCGTTGCCTTCTCCAACGCCCAGCACGATGCCCTCGCCTCCGAGTACACCTCCCGCGCTCGACGCTGACCACCCGACCCCGCGCTCGTCCATATCGCCCTCCGACGGCGACTCATCCATCCTCGAGCTCTCGTTTGACTGGGAGGTCAAGGACGGCCAGCCGGTGCGCATCACGAAGAACCACCACGCCTCGTCGCAATTTTCACCGCCCACACCTCCGGATTTGCATTACGGTTCGGCGCGTCATTTAGACCAACACGCCAAGTCGCCCTCGCCAGTGCCCAGCATCTCGAGCGCGAGCGGTAAACCGACAGGCTTATCCCGATCCGGAAGCGCAGGATCCATACAGGAACCTCTCACAACCAATCCCGCGCGCTCGTTTCAGCGCGCTCAGTCGACCCCCACCGTATTGGCGGGCCCATCGGCCCGTGCTACAGGCCGCCCTGTGCGGTTCCCCAGCGATGACCCCCGAGAAGGCACCCCAGAGCAAGACGAGAAGGAAAACATTGCTCGATCTGGTGTCGATTCAGCGGAGGACCATGCGTCGGGACTGAAACGCGCGCCCTGGACGCGAGGTACCGGCGCGCACGCGATGGTGCAGCGTCCCATATCCGGCGTCGCCCCGTCCTCTTCACAGCGCCCGTTACGTCAAATCGCTCCTGGGTCGATGAGGCCTGCGCGTATGCTCAAGGGCGTCAAGTACGCGCACGGTATGGGCGCAGTTAGCGAACACGAGGGACGCACGAGTCCGCCACGTACGACAACGGAGGATCGTACGGAACTAGGTGAATACTCGCCTCTTGGTCCCTTTGCGCTGTATTTTTTTTGCCTCGCTATTGTGATTTGTGTATATCGCCGAATCAGTCTGTTGACGACGCATGTCCTTAGTGGAGGATCCCAATGGGCCACTCTCTGCACCCGCCAACGGACCGCGATCACATAGCTACGGATACATGGACATCTCTCCGTCGTTGGGTACATCGGCAGGAGGGCGTCCGAGACGATCAGCCAGTCTTAGCGACGCGATAGCGGGTACGACAGTCTGTGTTCGTGTTAGCAATGCGACCCTAACGAGATGCCAGGGCCGCCACCTGACGAATATGCTCTGCCTTCTTCTCGTGAACATGGACAGTCAAACTCTCGGCCTTCGACAAGTATGAGCATGAACTCTAACGCGTCAGGGCCGAGACGCGTCACTATCGAGGAACGCCGGATGATGGAGCAGCGTATACGTGCCGACCGCGGGCTATCTGACCAGAACGTTGTTGACTCGGATCGTGAGAACCTTCTTGTGCAGGATGAATCGATTCTAACCCATGTGTAGGTGGAACACCGGACAGCGCCCGTGAACGACCGAATGGCTCGCCCACGCATATGCAACAACCATACCTCCGGCCCAGCTACTCGCACCAACGACGAGATTCGGATACGCTACGTTCCGTACCCCAGCCGCCGGGCTCGTCGGCTTCAACGACGCTTGTTGAACGGGATCCATCGCAGTCAGCGTTACCGCAGCGCATCTCTCCCTCTGGCAGAGACTCTAACCGGTACCACAGACGGAACCCGACCGCGCCCGAGGCGCCGACAACAAGCGACCTCATCAACCCGCCAGGCTTGGGTGCCGACCGTGCGGTCGGGAAGACGTGGGCTGCTGGTGATGGTCCCGAGAAGGAAAGGGAGCGGAACGTCGCGCCGTCAGCCAACGGTCGCGGACATCACCAGGCGAATGGGTATGGGCATCAGAAGCAGCAATCGGAGGTCGTACAAACTTCGCATGTCAGAGCTTCACGGCAGGCACCTATGCCTCCGCCGGCCTCTGCACCTCCAGCGCCCCCAAATCAGATGGTCCAAGCTGCGCCCAGTACGAGAACTATCGTCGTACGTCGTAATCCACCCATCCGATATTTACGCTCGCGTACTAATGACATGCAGGTCAACAAACGAGGATATGCGCGCCTGGATTTGATCGGCAAGGGAGGCACTTCTCGGGTTTACCGCGTGATGTCGTCGCAGAACGAGATCTTTGCTGTTAAGCGCGTCTCGTTAGACAAGACGGACACGGAAACGATGAACGGATACATGAACGAGATCGCCCTGCTCAAGCGCCTGGAGGGCAACAGTCGGATCATTCGGTTGATTGATAGTGAAGCCAAGGCAGGGAGTGGGAGTAGCAAGGGGTATTTGCACCTCGTCATGGAATGTGGTGAGATTGGTGAGTTGTGGGACTGTCATACGCGGATCTTTTGCGTATGACTGCTGATGCATGTAAACATAGATTTAGCACGATTACTGCAAGAGCAACAGAATCAACCCATGAACATGGTATGGATTGCTTACTATTGGCAACAGGTGAAACCTAAACTCCGTTAACGGTGTCGTCCCATGTCTGACTTGCTTTCCGTCTTGTAGATGCTGGAAGCCGTGCATGTCATACACGAGGAGAAGATCGTCCACTCGGATCTGAAACCGGCAAACTTCGTTCTGGTCAGGGGTCAACTGAAGCTCATTGATTTCGGTATCGCCAATGCCATCGCCAACGATACGACGAACATCCAAAGGGACCACCAGGTACAGACAATGCCAGTCCAGGTGTGGGCTTTCGCTGAATGAACTGACATAGATTGGTACTGTAAATTATATGAGCCCTGAGGCGATAGAGGTTCCCGAGGGTATGCGACGCCTGAAGGTCGGTCGCCCGAGTGACGTCTGGTCATTAGGGTGCATCTTATACCAGATGGTGTACGGTCACCCGCCCTTCTATCACCTGTCGATGGTGCAGAAAATGCGCGCAATTCCGGATCCTAATCATGGTATCTCATTCCCGGAATATTCGGTGCCCGTGGAACGCCTGACCGCCACCGCGTCGGTGACACCTCCAAAGACGCTGGATCACCTGAAACGTCGCGTGAGAAAGGATGTAGTCCTCAGCATGAAGAGTTGTCTGTGTCGTGGGCCAAAGGATCGCGCGACCATTCCGGAGCTGCTCGAACAAGACTGGTTAGCGATGAAAGAACGTGGGTGTTTACACCCTCTCTGGTCGCTCAGGATGCTCACGCCCTATCATTCCAGCGGAACCACCTCGCGCCGACGATCTTCTCGCATCGAACGAAACCATCATTGACCCTTTCTATATGCAACAGTTGTTGCAGTATGGCATTAAACTGGGCCAGGCCAATGACAGCGCCGTTGATGAACAGGCTTTGCTAGAAGAGGCCACGGTATGTCCCGTCGAGTCGTTGCATCAGGAAAAGTGTTGACGACCGCCGTCTAGCGCCTCGTCAATGAACTGAAAAGTGTACGAGCACAATCATGATCAACTTTTACTTCGTCACCCACGGACCCGATAACGATTCCACGACGTCCTCCGGAGGATCGCGTTGTATTACTATGCGCCGGCTGATTCAGCTCGGTACCGCTGCATGCACGTGTGGACGATAATGTTTCCCGCGCCATCCATGCATCGTTTTGTTTCGTTCTTCATTCTTCTCATCCTTATTCTGCGGTTCTGCCGCTATTTTCCGTCCGAATGTCAACCGTCGCCACTCGCTCTCTTTACTCATCCCACCGTTGTCAATCCGTTGCATGTCGAACGCTGTCCTAATCGTCGCCCCTAGCATTCATTCCATCCATCTCTCCATGTAATACATGATCCCTTCGTTGCTCGCTGTCGCGCACGTCCAACCCTGCTGTCTAGTTTGCCCCGGCTCCTGTCGTAAATATTGCGTACTATGCATTGCATGATAATAGAGCAGTTTCAGCCCTTGCAACGAATGTATAATTACCGCGTGATAGACAGAATGTTCAAGCATGCCCGCCGAGGGCTAATAGGTGCTGATACAGACTTCCTGCCCCGTCTCGACTGCTGTTCGGCGATTGATGAACAAGAAGTCAGCGTGGGTGTTGTGCTTCACCAGAAGCTGATTCATGGCGAAGTGACCCACCGTCCTCAGCTTCCCTATTCTCTCGCCAGCGCCATCTATAGCCCTGAATCCAGCGTTCGCGGTTCTTTGGCATGGTCATGTAGTCTGTTCAACCCAATCTTGCACGCTGCACCTCCCTGGCCTCAGGTTGACACCGAGCGCGTACGCAAGATACGGTCATCAGAAAACATCGGTGGTGATGATGAGCACGCTAGTTAGCTTCGGACGATAGCGCTAGTCGGAAAGAATCGAGTAGATCTCACGCGGTACCATATGCCTATCCCCGATAGGAGATCGCCCTGGCAGGCGGTGTCGGACCGTAAATACCATGGCAGGGAAGCGACTAGTTTAGGCTGCCAAACGTGCAAACATGACATGGAGAGCCGGTGAGGGCGGGAGAACTGCACTCGTTGATGGCATAGTACAGCTATATTGGCTACCCTGCACCTAAAGCAGAGGCATAAGGTATCCATAGGTCACACGTTGCAAGAGATGAGCAGGGCTGCTTGCAGTTTCGACGCCCAAGCTGTTCCACTGGAAGCTCTCGGACACTCCATGGGGACGTGAACGTGATAGATACTTGGAGGGCAGTGGGGAGATTGCATGGCGCATTTGAATTCAGAGTTGGCGTATTCTGAGAACAGGGCGGTGGTGGGTGATGGAGGAACACCGGTGAAGCTGATGCACCTGATGCAGGAACCGAGGAGACCGATATGGCTGCCCAGTGAACACCGCGCTTTGCAGCAGAACGCCTTGTAGCGAGTAGTGTTTGTGCAGGCAATGGCGCGCGAGTGCTTTGGCGTTGTCGGTGGCGAATTCGTTGCGATCCCGGCGGCGAAGGTAGCTCGGTTACTACCCGAGGGCAGATCCCGCTTGAGCTGGAGGCGTTTGGCAGGATCAGTTTGGGCGGCTCCCAAAAAGGAAACGGTTTCCGTACCCCACGGTCGTCCTGTCATATCATCTCCTTCCCAACAGTCGAGCCTATCGGTGCTCCTCTTCCTCTCTCTCCATCCATCGCTGCTTGGGCCAGCTCCTCCTAACCTTTTTGCACCAGCCGGCCCGCCGACACCGCCCGCCATGAGCTTGGCCGACATCCTCCCTCCGTCCCTCAATCTTCCCCCGCATCTATCGGCTCACAAGTACTTCTTCGTCTGCACGCTTACGGTGGCGGCATGGGACACGCTCGTCCTCTCGCCCCGTACATGGCGTCTCTTCAAGACAGCTGAATGGCCGGTCCTGAAGATAATCTACCACTTCCTCAGGATTTTCATGCCCATCGAATTCACAATCGTCGGTGGGTGATTCTGAAACCGTGCTTTGATACGTGGCTTAGTCGCCGTGCTTCACAGGTGTCGCATTCTTTGATACGAAATGGTCGCAGGACGTGAGTTTCCGCAGCATGATGCGCTCCGCGTTACTCAATCACCCCTCAGAGATGCCAGAACTTCTTCCTGTTCGAGCCTATTTGCACCGCCATTCTCCTCGCGGCCTGCTCTGCCGTTCACGTCATTCGCATTCATGCCATCTATGACAAGAGCCGCGCCGTCCTGGGTGGCATGAGCGCTTTGCTCGCCCTCCAGATTGTTGCGACAGCCGTTTGCTGTGCCTTCTACCGCTGTAAGCTCCTGATCGTTCCGGCTTTCGCGGCGGCGATCTGATCAATGCTGTTCATAGCCACTCCACTGCTGGAAGGACAGGGATGTATCGCCGAGCCGAAGCACAAATGGGTTGGCGTTTACTGGGTTGCGCCTACGCTGCTCTATACTGCATCTCTGCTCCTCGCGGTGAACCGCTCCATCAAATCGCTTGAGATCAAGCAGGTCACGCCGTGGCGCTTGATGCTTCGCGATGGCCTGAACCTGTACGGCGTGAGTACAAGGAGCTGCGTGAATTTATCCCTGACTAACGATTTTGGTGAAGGCTATCTGGGCCGTGAACATGGTCAACATGCTCTTCTGGTTCATTATCACCCCCACCGGGCCTGAAGATCCCATTCGCACGATTGTGACGAGCATGGCCGCCGTACTCACGACGTCGATGACCCTCCGCATCATCCTGTCTGTCCGCGGTTCGCTTGCGTCGGGCGGCACCTTCCACGGCGCTCACTCGACTGCTCACACTGGGACCGGCTCTGGTTCCCGCAGCACGCACGTCATCTCGACTCCTCGCACCGGCAGTGTGCCGCCCCATGTGTCGACGAACGGTCGTGCCCAGACCTACACCCTCGACGTTGGCAAGGAAACCTCGCAGTGGGTCGACGCCCCGGAGATCGACGGGAAGAGCAGTGTTCGTGACAAGGATGATATCTATGGCATCCCTCCGGTTCCGCAGGATGACCGCGGCGTCAAGATCACTGTCGACACCGAGGTGGATTACGGCTCGCCCTATGTCAGGAAGTAACCGGGCAAAATGTTCGATCTGTGATCATAGCGTTGGCACCGCAGGTGGAGATTCGTTCTCGGTGTCGTGTATTAGTCGATTCTTGGGTCGATCCTTACTGTTTGGTTTCCATATTGTTTATCTATTATTACCTGCCTGTACGATCAGATCGCCCTATACCTACATATGAACTTCGATATAGCAGCTGGTTTGACCCACTGGCAACGCAGTCAGGCTTCACGGTGCCTCCCGTAAACGTGGGAATGCGGATCAGCCCGGGCCGCATCGGTCCTGTCCGGTAGGTAATAACACCCTGGAATAATGCCACCCACGTTCTTGGAAGCAAACGGAGCCTCTCACTGCCGCCTCCAAGATCTGGGCGTTGAAGCACGGGCGGGATGAACTGTAGCGAGGAATAGCGCCAGTGCCGCGCCATGGCTCGCCAACTACCGGCCTTAGAGATAATCGGCGTGGGAACTGTCTACTGGGTATTTGGATGGATTGCGGCTGCAGTATCGGTCTGACCATCGTCCCCTCTCAACATCCGCCATGTCCATCTCCAAAATTCACGCTCGCCAGGTAAGCCCGAATGTATCTTGTTTTTATCCACTGGCTGATTATCGGCAGATCTTCGACTCCCGTGGTAACCCCACCGTTGAGGTTGACCTCTACACCTCGAAGGGTGAGTCGATCGCGTCGAACTTGGGAGCTACCGTCTCAATCCTTCTCGAAATCCAGGACGCTTCCGCGGTTCGGTCCCATCGGGTGCTTCGACCGGTGTTCACGAGGCTGTTGAGCTCCGTGACGGCGACAAGAGCGCGTACGTCGGCAAGGGTGAGCGCAAGTGCACTATGGAAGAGGACATCGCTGAAATTCGGGCGTATAGGCGTCTCTAAGGCCGTTTCCAACGTGAACGACATCATTGCCCCGGCGCTCATCAAGTCCGGTCTTTCCGTTCTACAGCAGAAGGAGATCGACGACTTTCTGATTAAACTCGACGGCACCCCCAATAAGGGCAAGCTCGGCGCGAACGCCATCCTTGGCGTCTCAATCGTCGTTGCTGAGGCCGCCGCCGCCGAGAAGGGTGTCCCGCTGTACCAGCACCTCGCCGATCTTGCGGGCGTCAAGCCGCCGTTCACCCTCCCGACCCCTGCTTTCAATGTCATCAACGGTGGAAGCCACGCCGGCAACAAGCTCGCCTTCCAGGAGTTCATGCTTCTCCCCACCGGTGCCAGCAGCTTCACTGAGGCAATGAAGATTGGCACTGAGACCTACCACACCCTCAAGAAGGTCATTACTGCAAAGTACGGCATTGATGGTGCGCATATAAGCAAATACATCGCATCTACCTAACATGCCCTGTCTCTAGCTGCCAACGTTGGTGACGAGGGTGGATTCGCTCCCAACGTCAGCGGTGCTGAGGAGTCCCTTGAGCTTCTCTCTGAGGCCATCAAGAAGGCTGGCTACGAGGGCAAAATCAAGATCGCTCTCGACGTCGCCTCGTCCGAGTTCTACAAGGACGGCAAGTACGACCTCGACTTCAAGAACCCCAACTCGGATGCTAGCAAGTGGATCACCGGCAAGGAGCTCGCCAACCTCTACCTCAGCTACATCGAGAAGTACCCGATCGTCTCGATCGAGGACCCCTTCGACCAGGATGATTGGGAGGCGTGGTCGCACTTCACCGCCAACTCGAGCATTCAGATCGTCGGCGACGATTTGACCGTCACCAACGTGCTCCGCATTAAGACCGCCATCGAGAAGAAGGCGTGCAATGGTCTGCTGCTCAAGATCAACCAGATCGGCACGATCTCCGAGTCGATCCAGGCTGCACAGCTCGCGCAGAGCGACGGCTGGGGTGTCATGGTCTCTCACCGCTCTGGTGAGACCGAGAACACCGTCATCGCTGACCTCGTCGTCGCTCTTGGTGTCGGCCAGATCAAGACCGGCGCCCCCGCCCGCAGCGAGCGCGTCGCCAAGTACAACGCGCTCCTACGCATTGAGTGCGTTCTTCCGCTTGTCCTTTTTTTCGGCATGTCTGATCTCGTATTAGGGAGGAGCTTGGCAGCTCTGCCAAGTACGCCGGCGAGTCTGGCTTTTCCGCTGGTCTCACCCCTCCTGCTATCCTCAAGAAATAAGTCCTCGGAATGGACGAACGAAGAAGGAACGGAGAAGTCGATCAAAACCTATAGACTGTGCTTTTACAATGTAGCTCGTGTTCGCTGTATCCATTCAAATGTGCCAACGATGTCTGCGCCGGATGTGGATTTCCGAGGGTGGCAGTGCCTTTTGGCAGGTGCGAGTCTGTGCGACAGCGAGAAATCTCTGCGAACTTGCTCAGTTATCACATGCCGGCCATGGCGTTACCGGTGTTTGTCATTGAGCATGCAACATGCACCTCGTCAGACGCCTCTGCTCAGGACCGGACTTGTTCATTACAACGACCAACGTTCGATATCATAAACCCATCGTTGCGCCCGGGATACGCCTCTTCTCCCGCACCCCCACCGTCAACATGATTAAAACACCCCTCACTGAACTGCTCAACATACAGGTGTACGTTCCAAGCGTCCTTTTGCACCTCGTCAATCACAACTAATGCGTCGTCTCAGTCCTGTAGTGCAGGGAGGAATGCAATGGTATGGACGCATACAATGACCGCAGACCACATGCTTAGCTGGTAACAACGTGTGCAGGGTCGGCGTACCGCGGCTCGCTGCAGCAGTATCCGAAGCAGGAGGCCTCGGTATGTGTCATTCTCATCTCGCAATGCCGTATATCCTCCCTGACCAAGCGAACCAGGCATACTCACGGCATTGACCCAACCCAGCCCCGAAGCTTTGCGCACGGCCATTCGTGAAACGCGCAAGATGACGTCCAAACCCTTTGGGGTGAATATCACACTGCTTCCGACGATCAACCCGCCAGATTATGCTGGGTACGCGAAGGCGGCGGTTGAAGAAGGTGTCAAGATATTTGAGACAGCAGGGAACAACCGTTCGTCCTTCGCGTCCTTGCGCGACTCAGTACCATTCTGACATCGTCTCTGTGATGCATTAGCCAAGCAGCTCATCTCCTACCTCAAAGGTCAAGGTTGCATCATTCTACACAAGTGCACGACGATACGACACGCTAAGGCGAGATCACCATTCTGAAATCAGATGTATCCGCAATTCTGAAAGTCGTATAGTCTGCGCAGCGTATGGGCGTGGACGTGATCAGCATGGATGGATTTGAATGTCGGTTCCCAGGTTATCAGCGCGATATTCATACTCATGCTCTCGTAGGTGCCGGTCATCCGGGAGAAGAGGATATCGGAGGTTTAGTCTTGCTTGCTCGGTCGGCCAACGAGTTGGAAATTCCGTACATCGCGTCCGGTGGCTTCGCGGACGGGCGGGGTCTAGCAGCTGCTCTGGCGCTTGGTGCCGCAGGTGTTAACATGGGTTCGTCGATCCCTCTGGCTTCCCATCGTATCAAGCTTATCTCAGTGTTGCAGGGACGCGCTTTATGTGCACAGTCGAATCACCGATCCACGACAATATCAAGCAGACGATCGTTCGCGCCACCGAACAGGACACGATCCACATCTTCCGGACATTGCACAACACCGCTCGAGTGTTCAAGAACAAAGTCGCGCTGGAGGTCGTCAGGATAGAGAACGAAGGGCGCAAGAAGGAAGGCGGAGCAAAATTCGAGGAAGTCCGGGACCTCGTCAGCGGGGCGAGAGGTCGTATGGTCTACGAGAAGGGCGATCCCGACCTCGGCATCTGGAGCGCGGGTGTCGTCGTTGGGCTGATCAAGGATGTACCCACCTGCAAGGATTTATTGGCCAGGATCGAATCGGACGCGGAGCGTGTAATCGACGGACTGGCTCGGTTGAAGAGCGGTCCCTCACAGGAGAAAGCGAAATTATAGGCTGGGGGCGAAAATGCATTGGGTTATCGACATACGACTAGGGACAATCTATGTACAAGTACTTCTGAACCACGGGTATTACGCATATCTACAATAGTACAAGGTGAACAACAACAACGCAGCGCAATGGAGTCGTCAGCGAGAGTTCCGGCATCGTGATCGTTCGTAATCCATAATACACGCAGATCATGCTTTCGGGCAGGATGAAAAGAAAAGGGGTAAAACTCGGCGGACGCTCATACCGCGGTCTTGAACCTAGGTCCTAGCACCTCCACAAGCGCGTCTTCGTGCGTCGCCGTGAAGCGATGGCAATTGACCACCCTCACTTCCTCGAGCATAGATACTTCACGAGCCCCGGATGAGCAACCTAAGATAAAATCGTCTCTGGCGCGAAGGGCGGCGACGATAGCTTCGCCAGAGAGGCGTTGGCAGCCTGAGAGATCGAGGGTGGATAAGTTGGGTAGTCGAAGGCGGATTGGACCTCTGCTCGCGCTCGAAGGAGTGTCGACGCCCATGCCATCGAGAGGCTCGTCGTCCATATCGTCGTCGTCGACATCGTCATCTATGCCCTCTTGAAGAAGCTCAGGCGCGACATATCGGGGTCGACAAGGCCGGAGCAGATCGATGACCTTGTCTGACATGTCGGACGCGACGATCCGGAACATGCGGAGGGAGTGCAGGCGGTCAAAGCACCACTCGAAGTCTTTGGTACGCATGTCCGCATAGTCCATCTGTAGCACTTCAAGCGGGGGATTGCATCGCTGTATGAGGTTACGAAGGCCCATGCCCGTCGCGTGGTCGCTCCACTATATGTATGTGAGATTAGATTCAGATCCACATATAGCGACACCGTCTTACCGGAGACTGGGAAAAGTCGTGTGCCTCGTCGTCGCTGTCACCGTCTTCACCGAGGTTGTTCACGTGCTGCAGTTCAATTTCGACATTAAGGTGTTCCAGCTCGAGCTCGACGAGGTTGGGACAGTCGATATGAGACAGGAGGGCGCGGGTAGAACAGGTATTCCTAATGAAGAGCAACTGCAGCCGCGGAAGGAAGGCTACTGGCATAGGGTCCGGACTGTCATCTGGTAGCGGTTCGTGCGTCCAACCGATGAAGCTAAATTCCTCCAATTCGGGCAAAGCTTGGAGGAATTGCAAGACATTGCGCGGGGAGATCGGAACTCCGATCTGGGTGTCACTGATGTCGAGCGTCGTGAAGCGCATGGGAGTGAGCAAGTTGACATCGGGAAGGATGGAGACGGCGAGCGACATGGAGAGGTGGTTATCCTGCGAATAGGAGATGAATTGTGGGAATGCGTGTGCGGGCGCAGGTGTGTCGTCCTCCCAAGCGAGTTCCCCTAGTGAGTGTATCGACATCTCGAGGCGTTCTAAACCTGCGATGGGTGCCCTCTTCATGAACGGCACACGCAAGTCGCGCCGCGATATGGTGCAACTCCGCCATCTGTCGACTTGCTGCAGGCAGCACGAAAGGAACGGAAGGATGTTATCCATGTTCTCGAGGGTGATGTCCACGTCGAAGGGCAACGGATGGGATCGCGTGATCCAGGTTTCGGTCTGGGCACGGAGAGCGGGCAGGGGGTGGGCACGCTCGTCGACGGTGATGCGCTGCCATATCCTGGGGAAGGCGTTGATGAGGTCGTGCCAGTATCGACTGACCATGGAGAGGCGGAGCGGGCTGAGAGGGTCGGCCGCGCTGCAGATGGTGAAGATCTCGACGAGGATCTCGGGCGGGATGCGGTAGATGGTGCCGGCGGTGGCCACGCATTTGGCGAGGGCGCTGGAGGACGACTGCTGGGCGCGGGGCGCAATGGCCTCGGAGGAGGGCGAGTGGAGGAGGCCGCCCATCGCTGTGCCTTGCGCTCGGGTGCGAACAGGCGAGTCCGGGACGACCATTGCCAACGCCAGAATAAGTCACCGGCTCGGTGGCGGTGCCATTTCTCTGCTTTCTCTGAGAACGTCCACCATCGTGACCACACCCCGCGCGAAGCTATGCTTGGACTTACGCAAGCTGCCTTCTGCGGGCTATGCGATAGCAGAAGTGCACGCATATCGTGGTTCTGAGCTGAAGTGAGGAACGAACGGAGGCGCAAGAACTTAGTCTATGCGCGCGCGGGCGTTGCGGTGGCGGTGCAATTTCTTCCTCGCCATCCGCACCGTCCGCCACTGAGTCCAGCATACGGCGAGCTCACTAAGGGCCGCCGTAACTCGTATTTTGAACAGCAGAAACTAGTACCGACACTCCTTTTTATAACCAGTCCCAAAGCACTCCCTTGAACCCCCCGGTGAAAGCATCATGCCACGTATCGATGCTAACCCACACGAACAGGTCGCGCCGAACTTTGCAGGGGCCGCCTTCGCCGCATGCAGGCGGTCCATGAGCAACCAAGATGGCTTGACGGACGAACAGGCGGCGCAAGCTCTGCTAGATGCGTGGACCAACGACATCAATCAAGAGAAGGCGGCGTGGGACCGGCAGGTCGAAGAGGACCGAGAAGCTGCACGGCTTGCGGAAAAGGAAAGGTTGGAGCGCGAGGCAGCGGAGAAAGCCGAAGAGGAGAAGGAGGCAGCGAAGAGTCGGCCCAAGGTCCCGATACACATCAAGGACCGAATGGTCGGTCACGAGTCCGCCCCATCAACCGACGACAAGGCCCTCAAGAAACTCCGAGCGTACAAGTACATCGAGATGTGGTTCTTCGGGGCTGAAGGGCGGCGCAGAGCCACGGAGGATGCGCTATCGAGTGGAGACGACGCCTTGTACCTGGCCCGAGACGGCGAAGGGGTAGCGCTGCGACAGGCCGCGCCCAGCCGGATCGCAAAGTATTGCATTCCGGACCGAGAACTCACGTGGAGAGAGTTCTCCATCGCGAAGACCGGGCTCCTCGAGGACATGGCCAGAGTTGGATGGCCGAAAACCATCGTGCAAGATTTCGTCGACTTCTTCTTCGCAATCGACAACCATCCGAGCCGCTTCGAGGGTCCGCACGGGGACCCATGCCTGCTCCTCTATCAGGAGGAGGTTCGGAAACTCTGGCACCTTCAGTACGAACGCAACCCCGCAGAAATCTTCAACCCCGCGATCTTCAACAACGAGCGGCTGCAGCGGTTAACGCGGAAGTACCTGAACATGCAAGCTAGCGAGGCCAACTACGCGTGCGTCCTAAGTCCTTGATCTCGCGAACACCCTTGCTAACATTCCCCTGCTCATCTCTCATTCGCCTGTCGACCGCGCACGGTACATCGATCGCGCACGAACGATAAACGACGTCACTACGTCTCATCGCGACCCTTATCGGAACGCGATCACTATCGCTCCCACGACCTCGAACTCCCTCAACCGGGACCTGCGATCACTATCGCACCCACGCGCACATCACCCCGCACGCCCACTGGCCGGGGCACGCCCTCCTCGCAAACGCACCTGATCGTGCACCGGGACGCATCCCCTCCCCTCGTCACGCACACTCGGCGCCGCGCAGCATGCGGAGAGCCGCACCAGCAGCCCCAGGGGGGCCAGAGCGGCAAGAGAGGAGGCGTTCAGCAAGGCCCGCCGCCCCATACGCGCGCAGCGAAGGAGATCGCAATGGGCGCGAGAGGGAACACCACGGCAGAACGCAGTCTTTTCGCCAGGGCACCAGCGCCAGCGCCCACGCGCCGTGTGCCCTCTGCCTCGGGCGGCACCCTCACGACGTCCGATCGTGCAGGTCACGGACCCTCTGGGACGGGAAGACGAAGGCATACGCCGCAAGGGACGCCAGAGGACAACTGGTCGACCCGAGCGGCAGGGTCCTATGCATCGACTTCCAAGTCCGCGGGTGCAAGCGCGACTCGCACGTCGAGGCCTACCGTCATTCCTGCTCCGGGTGCGGCAAAGGCAGTCACGGCGCTCGGGACTGCCATCTCGCAGAGGGCCAGTAAGGCACTCACGCCGCTGCGAGCCGAAGCCTGGCAGCGCATGCTCGCACGTAGCGACCTCCTGTATAAGTATCCCGGTATCCCTAATTCCATTCAACTCGGTTTCGACGCGGGCATCTGCCCGCCAACTTCTACATTCATTCCGTCTAATAGCGCGTCCGTCGCCGAGCACCGCGAAAAGTTCAACTGCATCATTCGGAAGGAGTTTGAGAAAGGACGGTATCTCGGCCCCTACTCGAGGCTCGAAATCGAAGAGGCGCTGGGGCCGTTTCAAACATCGCCGCTCTCCATTATCCCGAAGCCGCACAATCCGGCCAAATTCCGACTCATCCAAAACCTCTCCTATCCATACCACCCGCGTGAGAGCACATCCTCGATCAACTCCGCCATCGACGCCGCGATGTATCCGTGCACATGGGGCACGTTTGCCGCCGTGGCGCTGTCGTTGGCGCGGCTCCCGCCGGGTTCCCAGATCGCGAATCGAGACGTCGCAGAGGCCTATCGCACCATTCCGATCAAGCCCGAACAGTGGCCGGGCCTGGTGGTGCGAATCGGCGAGGAAGACGCGTTCGCAGTGGACACCTGCGACTGTTTCGGCCTGCGGTCAGGGTGCGGGATATTCGGCGCAGCGGCCGACGCCTTCGCAGATCTGGCAAGAGAGGGCGGCATGGGCCCGGTTTCGAAGTGGGTGGACGACTTCATTTTCGCGAGAGTCAGACGCAGCTGCCTGGAGGAATACAATCGCAGGCGCCAGGATTGGAAACGCAGCATCGCGCAGCACGGCGGCGCGCGTCAAGACCGGAGCCGCCTATGGTATGGCGGGGCAGAGCTTCCGGATGGTCGCGTCGAGGAGTTCGACGACGACATGGCCTTCCCGCTGCGCGACCTATCGCAGACTTCCGAACGCTCGCAGGCAGATGCGGAATTCTGCTACGCCATGTGCGATGTCGATCGTCTATCGGAGGAGCTCGGCTGGCCGTGGGGCGCGGACAAAGACCATCAGTTCGCAGAGGTCGCGCCGTTCACAGGTTTTGACTGGGACATCCGGTCACGCACGGTCGCCCTGGGCAAGGGGAAACAGGCCAAGTATACGCGCGCCATCCAGGAGTGGAACACGCAGCGAACGCACACGCTGGACGACGCTCAGAAGCTCTTCGGTAAGCTTCTGCACGCATCCCTGGTGGTCCCCGAAGGAAGAGCTTACCTCACCGAGCTGGAGACCATGCTCGGTGTCTTCGGTGACCGTCCTTTCCAGCCGCATACCCCTCCCAAGGGCACAATGGCCGCTCTCCAGTGGTGGCTGGATACCTTACAGCGAACCGAACTCAGCCGGCCCATTCCCGGGCCCGTCGAACTTTTCGACTCCGGAGGCTACTCCGACGCGAGCTCCGGAGTGGGCATCGGAGTGGTGGTCAGGGGTCGCTGGAGGGCCTGGAGGCTCCTCCCAGGCTGGGACTCAGGTGGCAGAGAGATCGGCTGGGCTGAAGCCGTCGGCTTCGAGCTACTGGTCCGAATCATCAGCCTTCTCTACAACACGGAGGCCAGGCACATCAAGGTCTTCGGAGACAACCGAGGCGTCGTCGAAGGCTGGTGGAACGGGCGAAGCCGTAATCGACACGTCAACGGAGTCTTCAAGCGCATACACGCTGAGGCCGTCACGACAGGGCACACTTTTCACACAAGATACGTTACCAGCGCCAGCAACCCCGCCGACGCGCCCTCGCGAGGAGTCTACCCTCCACGAAGCATGCTGCTCCCTCCCCTACCCATACCCGAGGCTCTTGCAGGACTCCTCATCGACAGCGTGGAGCCGCTCACACAACGCGAGCGCGAGGTCAGGAGTGAGGGCCGAGCGCGCAAACCCCGGCCAAAAGAGCAGGAGAGCGGCGAAGCCGTACGAAACTCGATTGCGCAGGCCGACCTCGAGCAACGCAACGAGCAGTTCGCACGAGCCAACTTCCGCGAATGGTGAACGCGACGCGGGAGCGGCACCGTCGCAAGCTAGCCTTCGCCCCGCGTGCCCGGCCAGCCAACGGCTGTTACTGTGGACACCCGCAGGTGGTCGCACGACCTTCGGGGCCGACGGGCAGCCGTCCGGATTGGACCAGCGCGACCTCGACCGGGTGCGCGAAGTGATGGCTCAGGCGCTAGCCCCGTCAACCGCAGAGACGTACGGCGCGGGGCTAGTGGCGTTCCACGCATTCTGCGACGAACGCGGAATAGCGGAGGAGCAACGGACACCCGCATCGGCAACGCTCATGCTTGCATTCCTCGCAGCGCTGGCCGGCCTATACGCAGGGTCGACAGTGGCCAATTACTTCTACGGCGTACGAGCATGGCACCTCATCCACGGTGTCGCCTGGAATATGGACGACTCAGCCATGCAATCGATGCTGAAGGCGACGGCTAAGCTTACCCCGGCGGCCTCGAAGCGCAAGAAGCGAGAGCCGTACACCGAGGATCTCATCCGCGCGATACGGCAACAGCTCGTCGTCGACCAGGGTTTCGACGCCGCAGTCTACGCGTGCCTGACGGTGGCGTTCTACGCATGCGCACGGGTAGGCGAGCTCACCGTGCGCAACCGCAGCAGCTTCGAACCCGGCACCCACGCCAAGCGCGCGGACCTCGGGCTAGCCGTGGATAGGAACGGGCTGCGGCAGCAAACCTTGCAGCTGCCGCGAACCAAATGCGCCGTCGGCGGGGAGCAGATCCATTGGGGACAGCAGGACGGGATCACAGACCCCGTCGCCGCCCTCGCGAATCACCTCAGCGTCAACAGCTTGGATGACGACGAACACATCTTCGCATACAAGGCACGAAACGGGCAAGTCTGGCCGCTGACGCGCAAAGCCTTTCTAGACCGCATCCGGGCCGCCACCAAAGCAGCAGGCAGAGCCCCGCTCCAAGGACACGGCATTCGAATCGGCGGGACCCTCGAGTATCTATTGAGAGGCGTCCCGTTCGAGGTCGTCAAGACCAAAGGGCGCTGGGGAAGCGAGGCTTTCCTGGGGTATCTCCGGAAGCACGCGGAGATCCTCGCCCCCTACATGCAAGCGCGGCCGCGGCTACAAGCGGAATTCATACGGTACGCCATGCCGCCGGTCCGTTGACGGTAAGCACCGCTCCTATCTGGCGGGGTTCGCCTGCGCGACGCGTCGCGTTGCTCCTACCATTTTGGGTATCGCGGCTCACACCCCGCACAGATTCCCGGACCGGAACGCCCCCTTCGGGGGCATTCGCCCGTTTCTCACCAACTTACACATAGTCTAATCAGCTTAGTACCACGCGGCTCAAACCTAATTAGAAATGCTAATATAAGAGCCCCGTTCTCTGATCCTGGGAAACAAGCAACAAAGAGACGGCATAGATCGTGGTTCTGAGCTGAAGTGAGGAACGAACGGAGGCGCAAGAACTTAGTCTATGCGCGCGCGGGCGTTGCGGTGGCGGTGCAATTTCTTCCTCGCCATCCGCACCGTCCGCCACTGAGTCCAGCATACGGCGAGCTCACTAAGGGCCGCCGTAACTCGTATTTTGCCACCCGCCCACCCAACTCCGACGCGACACGCTGAGCGCAACAGTTCAGCTAGCGGAGATACCAATTGCGGAAAACGACTCACAGGGTCACGTGTGACGATAGCACGGGCACGCGTGACAGAACAAGGAACAACCGGAGCAGGAAACCGGAAGCCGCAGGTAGCGGCATATCAGGCGCCAATAATAGGTCAGCCCGGGGAGGTCCGGACACGTGCAGATAACCCCGGACAGCTTCGAGCCGAGGGGGGGGTACGCGGCAGAGGAGGTTGCCGCTGACGGGGCGGCATCCGGAAGAGCCGGAAGGGGATAAAGAGCCCGTAGAGGGCGCAGCCCAGTGTAAGGCCTGTCCCTCCCCAGGACTTCCGCGGGCCCTAGGACTAATCCGTTTCAGCCTGGGTAAGCCACCTGAACGATAACGAACTCACACTCGTAATGCATAACGCGGCAGCGCGGATCATCCAGGTGGACATAGTGGGGCACCACACGGGCGCAAAGATGCTCAGCGTAGAACGCTTCACCAGGAGGGATGATGAGGCCCCCAGGAGGGAGGGGCCAGTTCACCGGGGAGGAACGAGCGACTTGGGAGTGGGAGGACATAGAAAAAGAGAGCGAAGGGGAAGGAGCGGGAACGTCACCCCTGAGACACTTATAGGATCGTGAACCGCGGCGAAGACACCGCCGCGGACCAGAGCTCCAGCGTCACATCGGGGAGAAAGAGCGCACTCAAGCGAAAAGAGGATAGCGCCGGAGGAGTGTGTATGTAAAAGGTGCCAGAACCTGACAGACTGCCGTCCATTTGTAGTCCCCTCATTTCTGGGGTCCGGGAACTAAGCGAGGTCACTTTCAGGGTTGCATCCCACCCTCCACTCCTCTTGTTGTAACCCTGCCCGCCCATCGCGGCTCACACCCCGCACAGATTCCCGGACCGGAACGCCCCCTTCGGGGGCATTCGCCCGTTTCTCACCAACTTACACATAGTCTAATCAGCTTAGTACCACGCGGCTCAAACCTAATTAGAAATGCTAATATAAGAGCCCCGTTCTCTGATCCTGGGAAACAAGCAACAAAGAGACGGCATAGATAACCTACAAAGCAGTGGCTTGCTCCGCTATCGTCGCTGCCCATGTCGCAATCACTCGGTGGCTCTTCAGGCAGCGATGATTCTGGGCTTGTAGCAAGGCCCTGGACCGTTGTTGCCTCTGGTACGCACCCATCTTTGCTCGGGGGCAACGTTACCCACTCCGCCGTTTCTCTTACAGATATCTCTGACGACGACGATGCAGGCAGCCAAGACAGCTCCTCATGCGAGGGATTGTCGCTGTCGGATGAAGGCGCTGAAGACCGGCCTATAGATGAAGCTCTGATAGCGCGTTTCGAGAGCCTCAGGGAGCATGCCTTTGGTCTTCTGGCCGAGTACGAACGCCGTGCTGATTTTGACACGTTGGTGAGGTCTATAGCTACCGCGAGGGAGGCCTTTGCTCTGATTCCCGAAGGGAGAACCCAAAGCCGTGGCTTGCTTAACGTTCTCGCGACTGGTCTCCTGGAGCGTTACGAGTTCGATGGCAACGTGAATGCCGTAATTGAAGCGACCACCTTGACTCGTACGGCTCTTCTGCTGCACCCACCAGAGCACCCAGATCATGAAGAGTCGCTCGGCATCCTGGTCAAGGCCCTCATGGCGTTCTATGAGCGTTACGGAAGGCGGGACACCCTAGATTCGTTGATAAACCTCCATCGTCAATGTCTTTCGAAACGCCCAGCTGGGCATCCCGAGCGGGACATCGCGCTCAGCGACCTCGCAAATAGCCTCATGATCCGATATGAATGCGACGACGATCGGGATATGCTGGATTCAGCGATTGGTCTTTACCGTGAGACCCTTGCATTGCATCCAGAAGGGCACCTCGATCGTGGCCTTTCACTCAACAATCTCGCAAGCGCACTCGAGACTGGCTACGAGGCTTGCGGCGATCCAGACGTGTTGGATGAAACCATTGCACTCTACCGCGAGGCCCTGTCTCTATGCCCCGCAGGCCATCCTAAATGCGGGACTCTGTTGAGTAATCTCGCAAACAGCCTTGTTACTCGATACCAGCATGGGGCCGATCCTGAGGCATTGGACGAAGCATTGCATCTTCATCGGAAGGCTCTCTCTTTACGTCACGATGGGCATCCTGAGCACGCAAGTTCGCTCAGTAACCTTGCGAACGGGCTGATGCTCCTCTGCAAGCGGAACGGTGACCCCGACGCGATGGATGAGATGATTGTTCTCTCCCGAAAAGCCCTCACTTTATGCCCGGATGGGCACCCCGATCGTGGAAGGTCGCTGAACGATCTTGCCACAGGGCTCATGGTTCATTATGAGTGCTACGGCAAGCCGGACATCCTAGATGAAGTCCTCACTCTCCATCGCGAAGCACTTTCATTACATCACATAGGGCACGCCGATAGGCACATGTCGCTGAACAATCTCGCAATATGTCTCTTTGCTCACTACGAACGCTACGGAGATGCGCATGTTTTGGACGAAATTATCGCCCTTCACCGCGAGGCCATGACATTGCGCAATGACGACCATCCGCACCATCCTACGTCACTCAACAATCTTGCGAATGCGCTCATGATTCGCTATAGGCACAGTGGTGATCCGAACACCCTTCAGGAAGTGATAAAACTTCACCGTCACGCGCTTATGCTGCTTCCTGAAGGACGTCCCGGCCGTGGAGGCTCCCTCAGTAACCTTGCAATCAGCCTCTCCACCCACTACGAACGTTACGGTACCCCAGATGTTCTGGAAGAAGCCATTGTCCTCCATCGTGAGGCCCTCGCGCTTCGACCCGGAGGACATACTGAACGAGGCATAACGCTCAGCAGCCTCGCTTTAGCTCTCAGGACTCACTACCAGCGCTTCGGAGATCCGGCTACCTTGAAGGAGGCGAACGCCCTCCATCGCGAGGCTCTCTCCTTGCATCCTGTGGGCCATCAAGGTCAACAGATGTCGCTCAGCAACCTTGCGAACAGCCTTATGACTCATTATCAACGCTTCGGTGACCCAGACACGCTAGACGAAGTCATCGTCCTTCAGCGAGAGGCTCTTTCCCTGTGCCCCCGCAACCATCCAGACCGCGACGGCCTGCTCAACAATCTCGCGAACGCCCTCATGACTCACTGCGAGAATTACAGCGATTTGGGCACCCTGGAGGAGGTTATCGTTCTTCATCGCGAAGCTTTGTCATTACGGTCGGGAGGACATCCGGAAAGGAGCATGTCATTGAACAACCTTGCGAGTGCCCTCATGACTCACCATCGATACCGTGGCTCTCCGGACACCCTTCGCGAAGCCATAGACTTCCATCGCGAGGCCCTGTCACTACGTCCTCATGGTCATCCCGACCGCGGACCAACCCTAAGTAATCTGGCAAACAGCGTCATGGCTTATTACAAGCACCAGCGGGACTTGGATACGCTCAACGAGGCGATTACTCTCTGTCGTGAAGCTCTACATATAACAACTGAGGGAGTTCCGGACTACGGAGCCCTTCTGTTGGACCTGTACCAGGCTCTCGACCTGGCTTATACCCACTCTCGCGACCCATCTTTGCTAACAGAGATGCATCAAACCCTCTCAGCCGCAGACGTAGCTCTTCCTTTCGGCGCTTACTCGCGTTTGCAGCTCCTATGGTGCCTATCCTCTCATCACAATCGTTCTGGTTCACCGTATCATAATGTGTCGCTGTCTATCAAGTACGTGGAAAACGCAATCTCTTATCCCTTTGGAGCAGTCAAAGATCGCTTGCGTCGTGCGCAGAACTTCTTGCAACAGTACGAGGATGAAATCCCCGCGGCTAGTGGCACCGAGGATTCGGCTAGTGGCACAGATATGCACCTTGCATTACTCAGTGCATATGAGACGGCCATCGGGCTTTTGCCTCGAATCGCTGTTCTCGGCCTTGACCCAAAGGCGCGTCTTGCCTCTCTTGATGGTGCCCAGAGGATTGCAGTTGACGCCTCATTGCGCGCACTGGAACTGAATCGCCTCCCTCTCGCCGTAGAGCTTCTGGAACAAGGTCGAGCTGTTTTTTGGGCTCAGGCGTTGCGCCTCCGCACTCAATTCGACTCACTACCCCAGGATCTCTCCACGGAACTGGTTAGCCTAACCCGCCTTCTAGCGGCCAACACTGACCATCGCGCAAACACGGACGACATCCATGTTCCGGGGACGTTTGCGGTCGCTGCGTCGATCCGGAGGCAGCAAAGTGATAGGTTCGAAAAGTTGATCCAGGACGTGCGCGCAATTCCGGGTTTCGAGCGCTTCCTGGTGCACGAACCGTTCTCTTCGTTGTCAGATGCAGCGGCTCTTGGGCCGGTGGTCATTCTCATCCCTGGAGCAAGAATGTCTCATGCGATCATCATCGAAGGCAACCATACACCTTTCCACGTTGAGCTCGGAAACATCACAAGGGAGATAGCAATTTCGTACGCGACGCAGTTGCGAAAGGATGGCGTCGAATACAGGTCGTCCAAGCAAAAACGGCAGGGTATGAGGAACAACCCGGCATCTGACAGTGGTGGCCATTCCGACCAGGAATCACGACCAACTGCTCGCGAAGGCCAAACCCCGGACCAGGTCCCTGATGAACCTGAACTGGTCAGTCCACTGAAGCACCATCTATTTCATGCTGTCTCAACATCGATGCAGGAAGCACCACTGCTGATTTTACTGGAAAGGCTATGGAACGACGTGGTTCGCCCTGTGATTGATGTGTTACACCTTACGGTTCGCCGGTTCCTAAGTTACCGAGAGGTGTCCTGAATTGCTTAACGGACCCTTCAGATTCGTACTGGTCACAGTCGCCCACGACTTACGTGGATGCCCACAGGCCCATTCGCGTTCCTTCCTGTCCATGCTGCTGGTATTTACACCGGGGGAGAGGTTCAATACTGTTCTCAGTACGTTGTATCTTCCTATACTCCGACGCTTGGGGCACTCCGTATCGCTCAGCGCAAAACATCACGTTAGCCACGTCACGGTGTAAAGTCACTTTTCGTCGCAGAGCCTAAAGCATCAGAGCCGGGTTGGGACGTTATCAAGGGCGTTTACAAGGAGGTCAAATCTGCCGTAAAGGTGATACCTGGTCACGGCGTTACAGTGATCCGACGTGAGCACGGTACGCCTACTGCCCTCGCCAAGGTCGTCGAACGACTTCCGGATAGCGCTATCGTCCATCTGGCCTGTCACGGGGAACAGAATGCAGAAGAACCGCTTCGAAGCGCATTTAAGCTAGGAGACGGGGACCTCACCATCGACGAATTGACGAAGCTGAACCTGCCAGATGCCATGTTCGCCTACCTCAGCGCCTGCGAGACTGGCAAGGGGGACAGCTCGCATCCTGATGAGGCTATCCACTTGGCTGCTGCTATGCTATTTGCTGGATTTCGCAGCATCATCGCAACGTTGTGGTGAGTCGATACTAGATGGTTAATTTTCGCTCACTGACAGGGATCCGCGTTGGCTACCAGGCCAATGTCAGACATGACTGGGCCATTCGTTGCTGAGCATGTCTACAGGCAATTGTTCAATACCGACAACGACATGGTGGACTTCAACGTTATCCCTTATGCGCTCGACGAAGCTGTGGATATGCTTCGAAGGGGAGGATGCAGCGCCTATGAATGGGCAACGTTCATGCACATCGGTGCATAGTACCAACTTACTTAGTACGCCAGTAGATTCGCATCTCTGCTTCGCATCTCAATCCTTGCGTTGTTCGGAACGGGATTGTCAAACAACGTTCCAGTCAATTTGATGTAGTACTAGTCTCGTCGATGTTCAGTAGTGAATGTATGCAGCCAGACTCAGAGTCTCAGTCGATCGCCCGTGGGACGCAGGCGCGGGGTCAGTCTCCCACGGCGGGCGCGTACCCGTGGGATGAACTGCACAGCGGTGGCTGACTTCCATATCCGATCTTTGCCCCTCCCCGTCGTCGCCGTCAAGAAATCTACCGGTCAAGGCTCCCTCACTCAAAATGCCCGGCGTACGAGACATCAGGTCCGTATCAACTATGCGAGGACCCTGGTGCTCCGCTCATATTCCAAGGTAGCGCGGAAGCCTTCATCTCCGCCTACGCCAGCCACCTCAAGCGCTCTGGCAAGCTCGAGGTTCCTACATGGGTGGATATCGTCAAGACCGGTTCCTACAAAGAGCTCGCTCCCTATGATCCCGATTGGTACTACGTTCGCGCCGGTATGCTCACATTGCATTATCTATGCTTGCATGTGCATCTTACCGTGTCACGTACTTAGCTGCCGTCGCAAGACACATTTACCTCCGGAAAGACGTCGGCATCGGCAAGCTGACCAAGCTTCACGGTGGCCGCAACAGGCGCGGCAACCGTCCCTCGCACCATGGTGATGCCTCCGCTTCCGTTCAGCGCAAGGTCTGCCAATCCCTTGAGAAGATCGGCGTGCTCGAGCAGACCGACAACGGCGGCAGGCGGATAAGTCAGGACGGCATGCGTGACCTCGACCGTATCGCGACTGCTGTCGTCGAGGCGCAGCGCGAGGAAGCCGAGGAAGAAGAAGAAGAGGAGGAGGCTGAGGAGGAGGACGAGGAGTAAACTCGACGCTCCGGCCCACATTCACATTGTGTTTTATGCATTGCATGTCTCCTATGGGTTCCGGTATGCCCGCATGCTGTTGATGCAAAATGGCATGACACTTTGCCAGCCAAACCTGCAGATGCCGCAAGTGCTTACGGACAGTCCAAGCTTTCATGCATCATGCCTTGGGCTTACCTCTCCGATCGTGCGAAGCTTGCACAATTTCAATCGACACCCTACCTGAGAAAGGATTAGACACGTTTCGTTTTCCAATAATTATTGAGATCCGGTATTGAGATCCGGGCCAGAGCTTAGGGAGTTTGCGGGTGGGAAAGTATTGGGTTTCCCAATAATTATTGGAACGAAACGTCTCTATTGCAATGTATACACATTATCAATATTTCAGACGCCTCTCCCGGCTGCGCAGTTTGCCCTGTCTCAACTTCCCCGCACGCTCTTCGGTCCCATAGGACCGTAACTGCTTACAAATCTATTTTCCGCACGAGAGAGCCAAGCATCGTGCGTCGATGGCGAGCCCGACTTGGTCACTTGATTGTGTCGGCAGGCGAGACGCGGTTCTGCGGCTTGATTTCGCCACCGAGCCGCACACGCTCGACCGCTCGCCGTGTTGGCACGCATACTTGTGGAACCGTCTCCACCCGTCTTTATGTGAGCATGCAGCGTCTCCTGCATATGGACTCTGAGTAGGACGTTGAGCGACCGCTCGAGGGATATGCACACGTTCGATCGCAACTACCGGCTGCCGTCGAGGAGCTCAAGCTTGGAATCCGATCCAACTGCATGGCCTTGCGTCGCATCAACCTATCTGCCTTCCTTGCTTCAGGTAGCTGGGTCACGATGTCCTTCGGCCTTGTCTATTCGGTCAGGTACTTAAGCTCGACAGTCCCATGTCCCAAGCCCCGCAAATCTGTCGCGAAGCCTTGCTATTCCTCCCCTCCCGAGCCCTATCGAGTTCAAGACAAACTTCTTCCATTGTATCGAAGGCAAACGGCACGATCATGAAATTCGTCGATGTCGTCGTAGCTGGAGGAACGCTATTCGGGCTTGCAGCTGCCCAAGGCTCTCTATCAGTGCGTGAAGCATCGGTTTCAACTGCTGCGCCGATACCGGGCAACTACACGGGGGTCTTGCGGCCTCAGATCCACTTTTCACCGCCTCAGGTAGGCCCGACCGTTTCGCTCGCTCACCAGGGGCTTGATACACGTGTCCCAGCAATTCATGAATGATCCCAATGGATGCTTCCTCGATTCGAATGGAACGTGGCATCTCTACTATCAATGTGAGCGTCACTAGTCGAAGGAGGGTACAGCGACTGACGACGTTACCACAGACAATCCTACAGATCTGGTCGCGGGGAACCAGCATTGGGGTCATGCCACTAGCACGGACCTGTATCACTGGATCAACCAACCTATCGCCATTTCTCCGCCCGACGGTGACTCTCAGGTGTTCAGTGGTTCCGCGGTTGTGGACGTCAACAATACGTCCGGCTTCTTTCCGGATCAGGATAACGGTGTTGTGGCTATATACACCTTGAACACGCCTACGGCACAAATCCAAGAGATCTCGTACTCACGCGATGGTGGCTACACCTTCGAGGCCTTCGAGGGCAATCCTGTTATCAATAGCACCTCCCTCCAATTCCGGGATCCCAAGGTCATCTGGTTCAAGGATCACTGGGTTATGGTCGTCGCGTACTCGCAAGACTTCGCGATCGGGATCTTCACTTCGCCTGATCTGAAGGAATGGACACATGCTTCCAACTTCACGCATCGTGGTCTACTCGGCCTCCAATACGAGTGCCCGAACCTGGTGGAGGTACCCGTGAATGGCACCGACGACACGATGTACCTCCTGGCTATTAGCATCAACCCGGGTGCACCTCTCGGTGGGAGCATCACGGAATACTTTCCCGGCACCTTCAATGGAACGCATTTCACCCCTGTTGATGATGCGGCTCGCATGGCCGATTTCTCGAAGGACAACTACGCCGGCCAGTTCTTCTACGGCACGCCGAAAGGGCAGGATGCCGTTTCCATCGCTTGGGCTAGCAACTGGCAGTACGCACAGATGGTGCCGACGGCTACCGAGGGCTGGCGGAGCGCGATGTCGCTGCCGCGCCGCAACTTCCTGACGAACATCACCCGTCTGGGTTGGGATCTGGTGTCCGTCCCCTACGACCTCAGCCCCATTCTTGGGGACGTGCTCGCGAGCAACGATTCCCTCGGCAATGGAACCATCGAGGTCAACTACACTTCCGTGGAGTCTAACGCCCTCTACTTTGAGGCGAACGTCACCGGGCTGGCATCAAGCGCAATCTCCGCCTCTGCGACCCTTAACTTCACATTCTCTTCCCTTGACACAGGAGAGCGCCTGTCCGGAGGTTATTACTTCGGAAACGATAACGCTTTCTTCCTCGACAGAGGCCAGACGCGAGGCTTCGATAACCCCTTCTTCACGGACAAGTTTTCGACTTCAGATCTCCTCGATCCGAGTGGCACATGGAGCGTGTCGGGAGTAATCGATAGGAGTATCTTCGAGGTGTTCTTGGACCGCGGCACGTATAGTGCTACGACGACCTTCTTCCCCACCCAGCCGTTGACGCTGTTCACGCTGAAGACCGCTGATTTACCGGAGGGAGCAGTGGTCAGCGTTGTGGTTCGCGCGGTGCAGAGCGCTTGGGCTAGAGAAGCGGACGCTCAGGGAACGGTGCTTGGGAATGTTAGCGCGACCGCATAACAGGGACGCGAAGATAATTCTACGGAAATGCGAGATGTAAAACAGCTTCGTCAGACTCCCTCAGAGAGGCTGCGCTGAAACCGCGTCTAATAATAGACGAGATCACCTGACTGTGATATTCCGAGACCTGACATTGAACTGATGGGCTAACTCTGAGCGTCCACCTACGAGCGTCCACCTACATACATTCACCGGTTCAGCCGCCTGCATCGCCTAGCATTTCATCATAGAAACGTGTCTGAGATACTGTTGCGACTTTGTATCGTCATCACTGAGAATGGCCAATATCGGGCGATCGACTGGACAAGTCAACTTCACTCGATCTACACCCGTCGCGATGCGTCACCGTGTCTTGTCAAGTCTTAAGCCGCCGCGGGCTCGACATGTTGATTTCTCATCTCTGTGTCGACAATGACCTCCGGTATAGAAAAGAAACGAGTTTTGGTGGTAGGAGCGGGCGCAGCTGGTACCGTATACAAGCCTCATTCGCCAAGCATTGGTTAACTTGAAGGCTATAGGTATGAGCTGCGCCGATATGCTCTCTCAGCATCCGGACAAGTTCGATGTGACGCTCGTCGAGGCTCAGGACTACTGCGGTGGGCAAGCGTTCTCTATTCCTATCGACGAGGAGAAGCATGGAGCTGCGTGGTTGAACCAAGGAGTTCAGGGGTACGCGTCGCTCTCGACGATCCATCTGCTTGGCTCGTGACGTGAGTTGACGTGTCTCGTTAGAGGCTCATGGATATATCACCACACAATCAGGATGTTCAACAGACAAGGATACGACGTATCGCCGTGCGTAGAACTTCATGCATTATACGATTTGTACATGACTGAACGCCTCATGATAGTGTTGAATTACAGGTTTCATTTGGCAAGGGAGAAGAGGTACGTTATTGCCAGACGGTCCAAGAATCTCCCGAGATTCATCCCGAGACTCGTCGCTACAATAGTTCTGGACAAACGTGTTCCCCACCAAGCTTGTGGAACGGCATGCGAAGGAGATCAAGCGGTTCAAGTGGGCCGTGAAAGTGATGCGCTGGTTCGAACTATTCTTTGCCATCCTGCCCATCAAGGTCACTCTGAAGTTATTCATGTTTTCCGACGAGTGAGCAATTCATCCTTCGCGCTTGGGCGTGATGTTGAACTTTGACCAGATTCATTAACTACATGATACTCCCGAGCATGGCTCTTTTCCTTGGTTCGTACCTCGAATTCTTCATGAAGATGGTATCTCTGACCTGACATCCATAGGTACCGGGAACGTTCGTATAGGGACACGGCATGCACAATAGCATACTAACCCCGTTTATCAGGCAACACCCGACATTCCGACTGTCATGATGGAACGCTTGTATACGTCTCCTACCTACGGCATGTGTACGTCTGTATTCGGTTCATAACATGACCACGCGCTCAAGCCACCGCTGCAGGGTACCCGGTAGACGACAAGAGTCTGTCAAGTAATCTTCCTCCTATGAACGTGTTCCCCGAATTCACCAAGTTCTACGATAAATGGCAAGCATCGCTCGAGGAACGAGGCGTCAAGGTACTCAATCTATCGGCGAAGTGACGAGCCCCCTGACACCGTAAACAGGTTCGACTGTCGACGGAGGTCACTGGCGTCCGGGAGCGGAGCAAACGGGGGGTCAAAGTGGCAATTCGCCCTCGTCGTCCCCAACCCGACCGTCACAATCCAAACGCTGCCGATCAAGATTTGCCTGAATCAGTCGAGCAATACGACGAGCTCGTCCTATGTGTTCTAGCTGACGCCGCCAAGGTCCTGTTGGGCAAGACTGCGCGCTGGGTGGACAGATTCGTGCTGGGTAACACCAAATGGAGTGACGATGTCACGGTAACCCATAATGTGGGTACACCACGATGTCTGTCGTGAACGGATGCCGATTAATACACCTGTAGGACGTGTCGTATATGGAGAAATGGTACACGCCCCACTTCGATCCCGAGTTTGCCGTCGCGCATTTGCATGGACGAGACGATACTCAGCGCATCGAGAAAGCCAAGAAGGACTTCCGCCCGTGAGTCAGTGTCCGGTGTTCTCGAGGTCAGATCTAAGCAGTATATGGCTAGCATGTATTTTATCAAGGAGATCCCGGACGACCCACGCAAGCTTGAGATGTGTTTCGGTTGGTGCCGCGCCGATCCCAATAATGCAGAACTGATCGCAATTGGCGTCTTCAGATTGCAGTGCATTTCAATATCAAATACCGGAGGTGCGTTGCTGAATTGAACAATGTGTGCTCCTCTATTCATCGACGTGCAGGACATTCCGTTTGAGAATCACGTCTTCCAGGTATGTGGAGTAACACCTATATGCCACATAATGCTCTTACGCTTTCATGGACAGACCATTTTTCTCAATAAAGCGCACGATCAGACGTGGTCCAAGCATGAAATTTCCCAGGACAAAATCAGTACGCAAACTCACTTCTCCGACTTCCATGGCTCTGGCTCTTGTTTACGCTCCTTATAGTTCGCGAAGATTGGTGGCACCAACTATGTCACGCATGGACCCACTACCTGTTTGTGGTTCCGTGGCTTTGGCTCCTCAACGGAAATCGTTCGACGCGCTACGCTGCGGCGTGGACGCTTGTCAATGCGCACGAACTGGCAGTGATCTCTGGTATGGCGGCTGCCTATCAGCTCGGCGCAGACTATCCGGCGGACCTTGACCAAGATTCGTTCGCGCGAATGTGTTTCCGTTTGTACCTCTTGCTGACGCACGGATCGTGGTATAAGAGGGGAAAGAGGACCAAGGCTTAGTATGCCACCGATGGCGGCCGCAGTATGGCTCTGTTATCGAAGTGAGTGAGCTCAAACCGCATCACCCTCAACCTCCGTAATGACGCGCGATTTCTTCTATCCGTTACAGCAACGAATATGTATATTTATCGGAATTCGTCATCGTTTCCCACTGTAACCGCAATATCATTCTTGAGAACTTCGGATTCGACGTGTCGAAGAATGAAATCTCGCCACTCAGTCCCGCTGAGCGCACTCTGAAGCCGATTCTCGGAATGCTGTGCATAGGGAACGGACTCTCGGCATCTCATCTGAGCGTAGACCGTTGGTCCGAGCCGCCCAATGGCAGTTGACTGCAACGCAACGGATTGACGCTTGTGTGCTGTGCGTCTTGATGACGCCCCAAAGTGTCATGGCTTGATGCGGAGATACAAAGGGCATTAACGCTTGATAGCGAGTGCATGGCTACCACAGAAGTCAGTTTCACTCTGGAACGTGTCGTCAATCTGATGTTTGCCCAAGCAGGGCCGACGATTATACGAGCTAACGGATGCCGTAAACGGTCAATATTAGATCGTCTTCTCATCTGAAATACCCGATGCATCGAGTGACTAGAGTGCCACATACGGAAGCTATCAGGACTCTAGTGCGGTAATATCACTTGCGTGCTTCATCTGGGAACGGTGTATCGCATTGACTGAGGTAGAGCCGAGGATCTCAGGCTTACCAACGACTGAGATGCGAAAGGACGTCGCCGTGTACGCTGCTTGTACGTTCCGGGCGAGTATCAGGGCACTAAAGGCCGGCATACCTGGATCCATACATCTGATTTATAGCCAGGATTGGTCGGTGCAGTACCATATCCATCTTGCAGGCCATAAGACTGCTGCTGGCTGGACAGGTTAATGCTGATTGCGCGGACGTTGTGCACAGGCAGCTTCATGTCCAACGTCAATCCTTCGGCATACTTCATTGTTGACGATAATGACCCCGGCGTGGTGTACAACGGCACATGGAATCTTCAAGGCACCGTGGGCGAATTCATGGAAACCACACATTCTTCGAAAACACCTGGTTCGACGGTTCAATTGTCCTTCTACGGTATAGCCAATATGTCACAGTAGATTTCAATTCATGGATCGCTCAGTTCTTCACGTTCCAGGCACATCTATTGCAGTATATGGAACGGCGGTTGCGTCGAACTCACCTTCCGCGTTCACGTATTTCATCGACGATACCCTCAGAAGCGCGGCCAATATGCACACGGTTTCTTCAACTCTTTACGGTCAACTATACTATCAATCATCGACATTACTCAACGGGGAGCATAATTTGACGATCCAGGTGGCGGCAGATTCATCCATCGATTTCCTCGATTATTATATCATCTCAACGCCATTGAACGACCCGCGGAGCGCGGAGAGGAACGCCAGGTGGCCACGCATCGTTGATGATTTGGAGCCTTCTGTTGTTTACAGCGCGAAAAACTGGCTTAAGAATGGGATCGCGGAAGAATACAATAACACCACCAGTTGTTGCGACACGGCGGGATCGACGATGCAGTATACTTTTAACGGTGAGGGTGTATTCTGGCTTCGCCTCAGAGGTTTGCATGCTACGTCGTCTTGTGATGTTAGGAACGTCCATATCTGTCTTTGGGACTGTGGGTCATTTCAGCTATGGGGCACCGGTGACCTCCTATGTCGTCGATGACGACGATAGCACCAGATTCACCTACACAGCGCAACCCAATGGAAAATCGCAATACCGCCGCCCGTTTTACCAATCCCCTCCGTTGAGCCCCAGAACACAACATACCTTGACGATGGAGTTGACCACCAACAACGCATTCTGGGTGGATTTTCTGACATTCATGCCATCTACAACTACTGGGCTGCCGTTCGATGTCAACGGTTCGCTCCCCGATGCCAGTACGACGCTGTCCAGTGCCAGCTCTACCGGAGGCGGAATTGCTACCGCTTCTGCGACGCTTGCGAGTTTATCGCCTACAGCAACCTCCACACCGGAGCATGCACATCGCCTTAAACTGGTAGCTGTGGTGGTCCCTGCGATCGGAGCATTGGTCATTATTGTCCTCTTTACTGTACTCGGATGGCATTGCTTGCGCAAACGTCGCCTCCGGAGAAGGAGTACAGCTTCCAACTCTGCAGTTCCTCTCGTAATCGGAGCCGGTATGACAGGAGATGGTCTGACCTATGTCCGCCAGATGTACTAATCCAAGGACTGGCAGAAGCTCCGATGGAGACGGAGCCGCCACCATACACGCCCTCGCCACAACTAACCCGGGTAGAAGCAGTGCAAGACCGCAATATTAGCGACCGCGCCGCCCATCCCACTGGGAGACAGCGTAGGCGAAGGCACGAGTGGGCGCCAAGAGTGAAGGCAGTATAGCAACAGAGCTTGCAGTACACGGAGCAATTGTGCATTGTTTGATACTGTAACCAAAGTTACAATCCGACCAATCCTAGGACAATGTGCCAGATCAAATGTAAGAAAAGACGAGCATTGACAAAGATAGTTCTAGGCATGATAACATGAAGCCTGGCCCGCGTGACGTTGGTATGCACCCAGATGTAGGCGGAAGCGATGTGAACGTCGACGTGGAGCTTCCAGTAGTAGTTGCGAAACTTGATGAGGATGCTAAGCTCGTTTTCGTGCTCGCGCTCGAAGAACTGGTCGACGAATGGGTTTTCATGCGCGTGCTGGTCACGCCAGGGCGATGGCTCGAGGTTCGCTTGACGCTCGTTGCAGTAGCTTTAGCGGTCGACCCTGCTCCAAGGGGCCAGACATCGGGGAACATCCGAAAGCTGTGGTGAATGAACTCACCTGCGTCGTTGACAGTCGGTGATGTAGGGGTGTCTGAAGGCGCAACGTGGGTGGAAAAGGAGACTGTGGAGACATGCGTTGTTGCCGGTTCATCGCCGTTGCGGATGGCAAATGGTGGGCCAAAATTCCCCGAGTCACCGAACACTGAGGTGAGATAACCTCTAATGTGAGGCTATAACCTGAGAAGATGACGACCTTACAGTATACCGCGTAATTATCGCCGCTCGGGACAGTTGGCATGACAAAAGTCACGTTGAGATCGGTAAGGAGGGGGAGATCATCGGGCGGTACGAGATAAAACATGTCTTCTGCTCATCTGATCAGTGCTGCTTTTAGACACAATAGAAGAGTGGTACCCAAATCGCTTGCTCCGAAAAGCGGATGCGCGGTGAGCCCACCGTCGTTGTAGATGCCGAGAACGGGCCCGGTTGTTACACCTGTGAGGTTACTTCCGGATACTCGGAGCTCCCTATAACCCTCAGGTTAGATGGCTTGATTGGTGTAAATGCAATAACACATACCAAGTGATGGAAACATTGGTGCCCACTGCCCACACATCCCCAGCCTTCGGGCTGGTCTGTTTGGGCGCATATACGAGGCGCTGGTCGAAGCTGCCAGCTGATCTTGGGGTTGCTGATATCAAGCCAAAATATATCAGAATATATGTAGGCCGTGCCAGAGATCCGAATAACATTGTCAATGGAGATGAGTTGCACAAGCTCGACTGATTTCAGAACGGGGTGAGGCTGTTGAGCGGCGCCCTCGGTGTCACTCGAAACCTTAGAGGTACCACCGGGATGAGAGTTGCGGGAGAACGCAAAGCTAATGCGCACCCGATATGGGAATTGCGGGAGGACAGAAAGTCAATGCGCATCCGTATATCAGAGTTCGATACATTCATCTGAGGGCGATGCCAGGCAATGATCCATGTCCCGTGTTGCTGTGCAGTTTTCGTCGATGTGAGCAGTACGAGAGGCGAGATACAGCACGGTCAAGCAGGCCGGAAGCTTGAAATCTTGAGCCCAGGAGTAACATACTATAGCATCAGAACGCGACAAGCAGGAGTGTTGAGATGACGTCATATGTATGGGACGGACAATGTCGGTGGAACGGCGTCGCCCGCAACCTACGGCTTGGCTATATGATTATCCATTGCAGCTATTTCCGGCCTTGTTAGTCGTGGCATCAATGCCTTTCTGATCAACGCGCAATGCATACTCAAGCGGGTACGAGACGGGGTGACTGGTACTCGGATGAACATCATTGCAGGCGCTGCAGTCGATGAGAAAATCACAGAACCTTCACCCCTTCAGTGCCTTGAAGCATAGGTGGATCATCATCAAGAGAGGGCGGACTATAAATCGGCGGCGTCAGGTATGCGATTCCCCCTTGCTAGGGTAGCGACACTGACTCTCATGACCAGCCCGTCTCTTGCTTATTTCATTGTGGACGACAATGATACAGATACTCTGATGTATAGTAACGACTCATGGAGACTCAACGGGGGCACGGACGAGTTCATGGAGACCACGCATACGCCCTTGACGTCTCACTCGATCGCCTGGTTATCGTTCAACGGTCAGCGAGGTGTCGCAGTGATCGCTTTATTGCATGCTCATTATTGTAACCAGGTACATCCATCGCGGTTTATGGCACACTCCCTGACACGAAGTTGCCGGCTTCCTCCAAGTACTCTATCGACAGCACGCTGGGGGGCACCTTTGTCGCACCTGCATCTATGCCCGTTTCTCATGGTCAACTGCTTTATCAATCGCCAGAATTACAATATGGAGAACATGATATGACAATTCAAGCAGACACCAATCCAGGTTCCTACTTCATCGACTACCTCATCATCTCTACGCCATTAGATGGCGCTCGGTCGGTTAACGATAGTGCTTCGGATCTCTCACAAATCGTCGACGATTCGGATCCATCCATTCGCTACAGTGGAGGGCTATGGATTCGACAGGGCTCGACCCAGGAGTACGATGGTACCACACATCAATGCGGCACGGCGAGCTGCACGATGCAGTACGATTTCAATGGTGAGTGCTGACGCAATCCCGCTTCTGACTACTCCGCTAATCGAGCCGTAATCACAGGTACTTCAGTTGCAGTCTTTGGCACTGTAGGCGATAAAGTCTGGGGGGCGCCCATGACATCGTATGTCGTCGATAGCGACGAGAGCACCCGATCCAACCATACCGCCTATCCTGTCCGGGGGGCGCAATACCGCGTGAAGTTTTATCAGTCACCTCTTTTGAGCGCCGATAAGCAGCATACCCTGACCGTGGAACTCGTCAGCAACAATGCCAGTTTCTGGGTCGATTTCTTACTTTACAAGTCGTCCGAGTCCATAGCTCCTCGTGAGCCGCCGGCGGTCCCTAGCACCTCAGTCCTGCCCAGCGGGATCTCCTATCTCACGTCGTGTGCAGCCACCGTGACAGAAACAGTCGCGTTTTCGTCAGCCTCGGCATCGTCGACCCATGGCCGTAACTCAACGGCCGTGATAGTGGCACCGACGATCGGCGGCGTAGTGGTCCTTTTGCTTCTACTCATAACTGGATGGTGGTGGTGGCGCAGACGCCAAGGGCGGCAAGTGATGTCAAATCCCGCTCGTCCGGCTTCAGTGTCGTCGGTCATGGCCGAAATCGGTAATATATCATTGTCAGCCTTTTTTTTGGGAAACGTTTTAACGCAGAAATCTTGTGTCTTCAGACTCTCCGATAGAGGATCGTCATCTTCCGCGTATTCTTCCATCGACCGCGGGCTATGACCTTGCATCGAAGACACCCAATGTTTATGATTGTAAAGTCTCCCCGCGCACATCGCTATGGCCATGGAGACTTTCCCATAGAACGGACGCCTATGACAAAGATTCCAGTGGATGTTCGTCGTTCATACACTCGTAAGACTGTACAAACGATGACCGGCGATGGGCGCTGTTGTAAAGAGCTTTGTCAGTTGTTGGCAACTGTGAATGATCGTAATGAAGCTGCGTATAATCACATGGTGCATATGCAGCGGCCATCAGATGCTTCCTGTAAGGTATACCATGCGAATACGATTTTTTCAGTATATTTGCCGGGATCCTGTACTGACGTCCTTGCTGTATCCAAAAGCGACCTTTTCTGCCCATCGCCAAAGGGAATAAACTCAATGGTGGATGCAGACAGTACTTGAAAGGGATGGGCGTTAACCTTAACTGTTGGACCGCCATGCACCGCACTTCTTGGGCGTGCTGCAAGAATTGAACTTAGCCATCTTTAGAGCTTCTGAATGGCGGCCATCCTGATCATCAGATATAACGTTTGTAGGCGGTCGATAACTCAACGGAGTGCGGTAGGCCACTGCTTGCGCCCCTGCACCTCAACGCGCCTCCACCGTCTCCATGGCTAGGTCGAGTTCTTCTGCCTACTTTATTGGGGACGATGATGACCCCAACGCCATTGCGTACGACGGCTTTTGGAGACGTGAAGGATCTACAAACGAGTTCATGGTCACAACGCACTCTCCGTCTACAGACGATTCAATCGCCCGCGTCTCATTCAACGGTGAAGGACGGACCATCGTGATAGCTGTTGTATGCGCTCACCTGCGTAAATAGGCACTTCCATCGCGGTATACGGCACACTCGGCGATACGACTTCGCCCGCTTCGTCCACGTACATCATCGACGACTTGGTGACAACCACCTTCACGGCACCGGATTCAATGCCCATTACTTATGGCCAATTGCTCTACCAATCGCCATCGTTAGAATATGGAGAACACAGCTTGACTATTCAAGCAGAAACGAACCCGACTACTTTCTTCATCGACTATTACGTTGTGTCTACGCCGCTGGACGACGTTCATTCGGACGGAGAGAATCGCGCGGGTCTCTCACGGATCGTCGACGATGTTGACCCGACTATCAGATATACTGGAGGAGGATGGACTGTAGAAGGCTCCAACCAGGAATACAACAGCACTACTCACAGGTGCGACACGGCCGGCTGCACGATGCAGTACGACTTCAACGGTAAGAGTACAGTGTGAATCACAGCGATTTGTTCCGCTGATTCAGCTGTGAATGGCAGGTACCTCGGTTTCAGTCGTTGGAACCATAGGCGACACCACCAGGGGAGTACCGGTGACGTCGTATGTCGTCGACGGCGACGAGAGCACTAGATCCGATTACACGCCCAGTCCAGGCGCATCGGCGCAATACCGAGTGAACTTCTACGACTCGCCATTGTTGAGCTCGGACAAGCAACACACCTTGACGATGGAGCTCATCGTCACCAACGGTAGTTTTTGGGTCGATTTCTTGCTCTTCAAGTCCCCCGAATCTGCGCTCCCTCCAGAGCAGCCGGCGCCGTCCAATGGCACCGCACTTCAGCCCGACTCGACCGGTACTGCGACTGTGACCAAAACCGCAGTGCCTGGGCCAACGTCGACGTCACAGAACCGCGCACGAGTTCCCGTAGCCGCGATCGCCGGATCCACGGCCGGGGGTGTGTTGGTGATCCTTCTGCTCTTGCTGGGATTTGGATGGTGTTGGTGCCGGAAACGCCGGAGGCGCCCGACGCTGATCCAGAGTTCCACGGGTTCAGGAGGACTGCTGATGGCAAATATAGGTGAGCGAGTTGGCTAGCCCGTTTGTTGCGGAACGTTCTGATGAGGTTCATTTGTCAGATCCTCCAGTAGAAATATGGCCGCCTCCGTACACGACTCCACCGGCCAGCCCTCAGCTTCCTCAGTCACTCGCACCGGATTCGCCAAGTCACGACGACGTTCTCGCCGCACGACGGCTATTTTGGGGCGAAGGCTCTCCAAATCGTAGGACATCGCTGACCGTTCAGCGTACATAGATCATCCGGACAATCGCAGGGACTCCCGTGAACTGGCTCTGAGCCAGAGTCGGGCGTGTAGTCCCCTTGGCTTCGCGGCAAAGAGAACGGGGTATCCACTGCGGCACGGCCTTGTGGTCTTCGGAACGTCATCTATGTAGTCAAATCGCGCCCTCGGTCGTTTGGCCCATGAAAGTGGTGTACTCGGTGGTGTTGCAGTCTGGAATGAACATAAGATCGGATAAACCCCGTCTCGGTTCCGGATAGGTTGACGTCATGAGTAGCATAGCCACCCGGTATGCTGTCGGGAGTCAGACAGGACGAGCTGGGCGCGAGTTCCAGCGACCATTCTTGTAATCCGCGTGAGCAGCTGCGAACTTTGCAGCATGAGTGCATGTGAAGCTATCTTCGACCGAACCAGAGGTATGTACCCCTGCAGGGTCCCAGCGATTCCCAGCCGCCGTGATCGAGGACGTAAGAGAGGCGACCAACTGACAGACCGGCGAAGGTCGAGGCTGGTCAAGGTCCGGCCGCAAAGTCGCACAGGACGAGCGCTAAGGTTGAGATTGGCATGTGTGGATGGCGCTGGGTGGGATGGACTACGACGAGTTGGGCCATCGGGGGCGTGGTGGCTGATCTTGGCTTTTCCCCGCCAATCACGACGGCGAGCTTGGAGCGAGGACGCGATGGACGACGGTGATGGTGGTCGACCGGGGCGTCGGGCGCGATCAGCAGGGCGCGCGGGGGCGAGAGCGAATCGCGATTGGCGGACACGGACAGGGGCGGGACGTAATGGAGGTGGGGGCGGGGCACGTGCCCGGGCGAGTAATAAGAGATATCGTCGGCCTCGCCGCCCTTTTAGCGTGGACGACACCCCGGCCTCGATGGGCAACACGACCTCCAACGCCGGTGCCGGCGTCCCTCAGGGCCGACGCGTGCATTCTCCAGGCCGCCAGTCCGCCTCCCCCGCTCGCCGCACCGACAGCCCCGCCGGCCGCGCCAAGTCGCCCCTGGGCCCCCATCGCAGCCTCCGCCAGAAGAAGAAGAGCCTCGAGCTCCCCGACCTCGCCTCCCTCGCCCTCACCCCGTCTCACTCCGGCGCCTCCACCCCCCACCGCCGCGGCGTCCGCACCTCGTCCCCCATCCCGATCCCCGTCTCCGCCACCCAGAACCCATCCTCGGTCGCGCCCCGCCCCCAGCTCCCCTCAACGACAGAGATGGCCGAAGTCCTCTACCAGCCCCCGTCCACCCACATCCCGATCGCCCATCCGGGGTACCGACCCCGATCCCAGCACATCCGTGGAGCACCTCTGCCCTACAACTCGACGCGCTCGTTCAGCGGCCGGAGCAGCCAAGTCCCGCCCGCCGCGGCGCGCCGGGCCGATTCGAATGAATTCGTGCCCGAGGTCATCAGGAGCAGCATCCCCGTCGTTCTGCGGGACAAGGACGACGATCATGACGCCGATGGCCAAGGACATGTGCGTCGGCGGACGAAAGATGACGAGCCGGTCCCGGTCAAGATCGTGTGGCGAGGAGGTGCGGAGCGCTCCGTCGTGCTTGCGCGGGCTGGGGACGACAATTGGAAAGGCAGGCAACCGCTCGAGCGGGAGTGAGTTGTCCCGATCTCGGCTGCTTATGGCACAGCTGACACCCGTTATAGCCCGGCAACGGACGAGTGGTCCGCGACGATCAACCTCCTCCCCGGTACGCACCACATCAAGTTCATCGTCGACGACCAGTGGCGTACTGCGGATGACATGCCGACGGCGACGACCGACGACGACGGTTCGCTAGCCAACTACCTCGCCGTCGCCGCCCCGTCCTCGCCTCCGTCACCCGCCCACCACGGCCTCGCGTTGCGCACGGACCCCGCGCACGCCAAACATCTCAATGGTGGCATCTCCTTCTGGTCAGGGGACGACACCGAGAGCGTGTCGTCCTATGACGGCAATGACGGCGGTGTTCGCATCCGCGACGGCATGTGGACGGACGAATTCCCGCCCGCGCTCATAGCCGCCGCCCGCGAGGAGGAAGCTTACCTCGCCGCGCAGGACGCGACAGACGACGCCTCGTACGATTATTCCCCCAACACCGCGCGCATGCCTGCGCCGAATGTGCCCCCGGCCCCGGCCCTGCCGCGTTTCCTCGAGAAGCTGATCCTAAACGTACGCCAGGACCCGCCGGCAGGGAGATCAAGCAGGGAAAGGGAGCAGCGCCGCGAGTCACGACGCAAGGGGCGCGCGTCTAACATGTCCTCGTCGAACGTGTCCGAGAACGCGGAGCCAATGCCGTCGCCGACGCCTATTCCCGTCACCACCGCCTCGGGCACGGACGTGACCAAGGTGCACGGGCTGACGATCACGCCGACGCTGCCGTCCACAGCGGAGGAGACTGGGCACAAGCCACACTCGCGATCCCGGGGACAGAGCATACGCGAGGCGCCCGCGCAGGTGCAGCAGGTGCAGACCCTCAGCGACGACGCGAGCGTGTTACCCGTACCGAGCCACGTCGTGTTGCACCACTTGAGCACCAGCGCGATCAAAAACGGTGTGCTTGCCGTTGCCAATACCACCCGGTACCGAAGAAAGGTGTGTTGCATCCTCGTTGTCGGGAATCATCATCAGACATTGACCGATCTGATCTATCTCAGTATCTTACCACCATTTACTACAAGCCGACGTAGGCCCGGCCAAGCACGGCCTACCCATTCCCGGCCGTGCATTCGATATCCATGCTCGCATAGAAGACACCCGATATGATCGCGCCCTCGCTTAGATGATCCGATCCCAACACTACTGAGCCAACGGTTATTTAAGGATATTCATCGCGCATATATGCGGAGGACGGGTGCCACTGGACCGCATTTCTCGTGCAGGCGTGCTCACACCCTTGCATGCCTCCCCTGTGCTGTACAATAGTACTCGCCAGCCCGTGGTGGACGACGGTTCCGAGGCTGAACACCCGACAAGTATACGCCAACACGAAACGACGCAACCTGCACCCTGCTCAGTTTGAAGGTCTACATAGAGGTGCTTCGAACCTTCGAGTCTGCCCTGGTCTACTTGTATCGATTGGTTGTTCCGAACCAGAGTGTGCGTTCATGTATCCAGATGAAGATGATAAAGTATGAAAATGTATAGCTGTTGTGTTGCTCGGTAAGAGTTGTGCGACCCCCATCATCGGGCTTTCCGCAAATAGCAGATACAGTGGGTCACCGGTCTTTTAGACGCCAAATCTTGGGCGCCCTCCCGACTCCCTCACACAATATCTTCCCTCCCAAGAACTTGTCACATCAAAGATGTATGCCTTGAAATACCCTCTGAATTTTTTCGAACCAGTGTCCTTCTTCAAAAAAACTCCAGGAGCCATGGGAAGCGTGGGAATGGTTTTGACCGTTATTACTCGTTTAGACAGGGTCCCACGGTTACTTTCCCTTGATAACGGATGTTACTGCGGTAATGTGGGAAACAGATGGCACTGCCACTTAATGCAGCTTGCCAGGCCATGAGAAGAATGCAACACCTTCCCTGCAACGAAGATAAATCCATTGGACACAGGAACAAGCACAATGTTACTTGGCATCCCAGACAGTCACCCAGTCCGAGTTTTATATTGATAGAGCTAGTTTTCATGGCACAAGAGATGGAGATAAATTAGTGTCACACAGCCACAGCCTTGTTTGCGATTTTTCATGTTTGGGATAGGAACCCTACTGCTCTAAAAACTAAATAGAAATGTCAAGATATACTACTTCCACCTCCATAAAAAGTTTGAGGAGCAACGGAATAGTGAATGTTGAGAAAAAGGCCACTGTCTAAAGGAGAGGTGGTGTCTAGAAGACCGGTGACCCACTGTACTGTTACATCGAGGCTTTATCGATACCATTCAGGCACGCTGATAAGCAACGCGCTCTTTCGCTGTGCCCTGAGGATAAATTTGTACACGTGGTTTCATTCGGTTGTATGTGATATAGGATCTTGGAATTATGACTTGCATGGCCTAAAACGTAGCAACTTGAAAGGCAGGCCGCTACCCAAGTCAACGGGCGTTGCATCCATCGATCTACCGGCATAATCTCGCTTCGCCAACGAGTCCTTGTGATGTACGCGAACGATATTTGAACTTGCCATGTTTTACATGAGCCTCTATTGTACCGTCAGAGTCTGCGGGTACAAAGATGCGGGGATGAGAAGACGAAGGGGGTTTCTTTTTTAACTGTACAACCGCATCGTTAGGTATAGCCTGGTCTGCGAGCAAGAAAGGGGGGGGTATGCATGAGGTTGAAATTCGTATAGAATGCAGAATCCGTGTGGAGGAACGATACGCCCGAAGGATCACGGCATCGGAGATCATAAACCGGAGATGAAATGGAATGCATGCCAAAAACAAACGTAGATAACCAGTGAAATCGAAGATGGTACAAAAGGATCGGATCAAGCCCTCATGGCTTGCATGTTCACCGTCGCCGATGACCTCTGGCGTGATGTCAATGTCACGATCACAACATGCCAAACTACGCGCTCACCCTCGCATGTCCGCTGACGCGATCTTTGCCAGGAGCAGGGGGCGTAGACTTGGGACGTAGGGGCGCCGCTACAACCGCAAGGCGCGAACGTGCCCTATCGTCTGGATGGGCGGATCGCTCGTCCTGGTTATGCGGCTGCACATTCGGGTGCGAGGGGGCCGAGGGGATCGATATCTGCAGGTTGGTCGCCCTGCCTTGACGCTTGGAGGAATAGCTTGAAGGATGCGGACTCAAAGAGCGGTCGAATGAGCAGAAAGCACAGATGAGAAGCTCGCTAAAGCTTACTTTGCGGCTGGAGACGGAAGGCCGGTCGACGGAGCCAAATCATTCACTGAGGAGGGGTCGAGTGCTGAACGCGAACTTGTGTCACCGGATACTTGCGTAACCGCGGATTGCTCGCCATGATGATCACTACGACCGTGGCTAGAAGCGCCGATCCTCACACCACCGCTAATGACCCGCCATGTGACCGGATATATTCCCTTCTTGTGCTGTTCCTCGAGGTCAGAAACATACGGCGACGTCGCGGTAGGCGTGGTGGCGTCGTTCGCGGGATCCGTTTGATCGGGCGGTGGCGTAGCCTGCTTGTTGGCTTTGACTGGGAGTAAATCTGAACGGGTGCACCTATCTCCATGCGTATCGTATACGTACCTTGATGCTTTCTGCCTCGGGAGCGCGAACGCTTCTTCGAGCGGTGCTGAACGGGAGGCGCGGGCTGGTAAAGGTTGAGGGCCGAATGGCCCTGAGGGATGGGGATAAGCGGGCCCATGTACCACGCCCATGTGGGAGAAACCAGCTGCGCGGGCTCCTCCTTCGGGGGCGATATATCGTTGATGTGGAGGTTGGCGAGTCGATCATGCGGCTCCGGGGTCAACGGCTCGTCGTGACCGTCGGTTGAGCTCGACCTCTCCGAGGCCGAGGACAGCGGGGTGGCGAACGAGGTCGGCGACGTGATCGCTTTCTGCGGTAGCTCGGGGTGGAGGTAGGAGCACGAGTCACCGAAGCGGCAATTGCCTAGCAGGAACTCGCGGCAGGGACGAGCTACGGATTGTACCCATGATCAACAAATAGGCAAACGGCGATAGGGCTTGCGACGTACTGCGGTACTTTGGATGCTCGTTCCTTCGACGGCTCCATTCATCGGGATTAACGTCGCGGATATCGGGGACATCGTCGTCACCGTCGTCCTCGGACTCGTTGTCTTGTCTGTGCCGGCTCACAGAGGCGCTCGGCCGGGCGCTGGGGTCAGGGTGCTTGAAGCTGCACCATGTCCCTTGATTGCACGACCCGGCGAGGAAGTACCTGCAATTCTTCGTGCGGAAGTTGGCACGGGGCTTGGATTTGTTCAAGGTATAGTTCGGGTCGTACACGTGCGCGAAGTCGCACTCTTCTGCGGTAAATGGACACTGGTGGGTTTGGAAGAACACACAGGGCACGGCTACACAGGCCGGTCAGCGTTGACGGACAGGAGGGCGGATAAACCAACGTCTCGCTCACTGTGGCGCTTCGCGGTCACCTTGGACTTAGATGATCGAGGCATAGAAGGTGGAGAGGGCGTTGTGGGCGCCATGGAAGTCCACGATAAAGCGCTTCAGGTGACGAGGTAAGAGGGGGTATAGCTATTTGTATCTCGGCGGGGCGAGACACTCACCTGGCAAACCGGGACACGATCGCCCTTGTCTCAGAAGGATCTCACCGAAAGCCCAAGGCCCTGGGGCTGTTAAGTACGACTCGGCTCGGACAGATATGAATGCGATAATCTGCGGCTCTCCAGGTGCGACGACGCCGGACAAGACAACAAAGACAACCCCCAAGGACTGTCAGTCGGAGGGTGCGCGCCGAATATATTATTCGAGGAGATGACGGCGGAAGGCTAATCGGGCGCGCGGGAGCTGACAGAGGAAGCTCGCCAGGCTTCCTTTCGCCCTTTTGTCTTGCAGCGACGACTTTCATTTCGCGAAGGAACGAGGCAGGTGCGTAACAATAAGGGATGGACACACGCGGCCACGCGCGAGAAACGACCGCCGGCGTCATCATGTTCGCGGGCTGGCTCGTGGCCCGGGCAATGATACTTACTCGCCTCGAGGCTCGCGCTCGTGCGTTTGCGGAGATTTATTTCGTACATGGACGGGGGAAATGAATCCGAGGCGGGCTGCGTCGTTAGATAGAGCTCCGTGGACGCGCTACGTAACAAAGGTGGTGATGAGCTGGCGAGGAGAGGCGTTGTCGTGCGCGTTGCCGGATTGCACGACCGGCGCTGGCCGATGTGGTTTCTGGCGAGCCGGACGACGAGATCGGATCTGGGGACCGCTTGGCCGGTTTAGGCAGGTGCGGTCCAAGAGACAATAAGATCAACTGCGATCGACCTTCGATGGACGAGAAGCCGGCCACAGACTTTGCACTGGCTGCCACCGACGAATCAAATCGGCCCAGATTCGGTCGTTTTCTCTGCGCTGCAACCTGCGCTGGCATTACCGGATCCGAACCTTTACCCGTGTACAAGGCGCTCTCTCAGGCGAGCAGTACGAGGCAATCGCTCAGGAGGGCGTGGTGGTGGGTAGGAAACGGTGGTTGTCAACCGTCGCACAGCTGTCGCTAAGGGACTGTTACATCGTCCACGTAAACTGACAACTTCCAGTGCTTGTCATTAGAGCCGTTTGGCAAACGATAAATATCGAAATCCTTGAAACTTTCCCAGCCCCACCTCGATAATTATCCGAAACTTTCTTCCACGAGTTTCGAAACTTCTGTCCAGCGCAACAACCGTTTTTGGGTCAGGTTGCACTGCCACAATTCTGCCATCCATGTTGTACATCGGGTCGCACGTCGTACAACGCGGCGCCAGACCCGTGCGATAGCCTTCATGACTAGCTGTATCATAGACTCTGAGTTAGGGTTGGTAGTTGATGAGTGAAAGTGAGGTCGAAGCTGCAAGGATGAATGCGCAAGCTCGATGACGGTGACATATGTGCTGCGCTCGCGTGGCAGGTTTCGATACAATCCCAAAACGTTTCGGGAAAGTTCCGAAACCAAACTTCCGATATTTATCGTTTGCCAAACGGCTCTATTATAACCATACAACCTACGGTCCGTGCTAGACTATATTACAATAATGATCATGAACGGGGACCGGTCGCAGTCGCAGGTTCCGTTATGTCCCCGCCGGACGGCGACCGGTGACTCGCCAGGAGCGGCGTACGCTCCGTAGGAGCCGGCGGCGTCTGGCTTTCTCGCTGTGCAGAGCTATCCTCGTGATCATCGTGGGCGACTGCTTGTTGTGACCCGGCGGGCTGGGTGACGTCGGCTTTGCATACCGGACACTACAGAGAGAACCGCGTCAGCTCTCGGGCATCCGGCAATCCACAGAAAAGGCGTAGTTAGAGAAATCAACGGCAGGCACAGCGCCATATTCGCAGATGCCCCTGAAAAGCAGGGAACGAGCCGCAGAGGCACATCGCGATAATGCAAACGCAAATACGGCGCAAGGGTTCCAGACGTGGCGTAGACTGCGGGTCTCGGCCACAAGCAAAAAAGAGGGGACGAACTTACAAGCTTTTTCCGGTTAATCAACCAGTCGTCCACCTCGTCCAGGTGAAAGATGTGATGACAAGGGAGCACCCGCACCCGGTCGCCCTTCACGAACTCGCAGAGGCATATCGCACACTCGTGCTGCTGCTCGAACCATGGTAGTTGCGCCTGCTCCTGGGGAAGCATGCCGGCACCATGCGACGCGGACGCCGGTTGCTCGTTGTAAGCCTCCACAGCCCGCTCAAGTTCGTCGTTCGCGTCCGTCACGTCCGCGACGCCACTTTCGTCGAGCTTAGGGACGGGGCCAGCGTGCTTTTCCCAGCCTGAGCCGGTCCAGACCTGCCACGGGAGGTTGCGCACGATGTCCTCGGGCGCACGGTCCAGCTGGGCCTGACGTGCCGCACGTATACGGTGAATGATGAGTGTGATCACGGTCATGAGGGAGGGAAGCATAAGAATGGTGACGAAGGTCAAGGCCGGGCTAGACACGAATTGGGAAGGTGAGTCGATGGTAACGCTTCCCGATGGACGATCAGAAACTCACGAATACCAAGCTGATTCGAGAGACTCTGCGCTGATAGACAGAGAGACCGTCCGCAAGCCATTGTGCGTCGTGTTGGAATGTCGAATGAACGAGAAGAGTTGGGAGTAATCCGAGAACCGAATGAAGGTAGCGGCGATCGTTACGTCAGAAGCATCTTCTATACATCGGCATGAGCTAACAAGTTTCCCGTCGAAGAGACGCGGGGGCTCCTACCTTTGGCGAGCATGGTGATGGGGACATCGCGGTTGCCGCTCTGGCGTGGATCGTCGCCTCCGACCACGACCGCCTTGGCCCCTAACCGTTGCGCCTCGCGAGCCTTGCTCACAAAATCGCACTCTCCCCGTTGCACGAGTGCGATCCATGTGTCCGCCGGATCCGGCACGTTGGGACCACTGGCGCATCGGCGCGGACAGCCATCGTTCAGGGGTAGAGGATCTTCATCGTCGTAATCTCGTGGTAGCGAGATAGTAGAGTTGTCGTCCGGGCAGATGCCAGTGAAAGAGGAAAGTGGGATCACGTATCCCTGCAGCGGCTGCTCGAGCTCTGCACCGAACAGGGCGGGTTTGGCGAAAAAGACGATCGGGGGTGACCGCTCCAGGACCGATACTGAGCAGCAAACAAGACTCGTTACACCTCAATCATCATGCAGAGTGGAATCGACATCGGTACCTGTGTGATCGGCGTCCCATATCCACCTCCACAGCCCGCTTCGTTCGGTCTGGGATGAGAGCTTGTGCAGCCAATTGATGGGGTGGCATTGGATCAGCGGTAGCAGTCCGAGGAAGACTGCGATGCGGCAAAGGAGCATAGTCGAGAGCACGGAGAGCATGGTCGCCGTCGAGGGGGCAGCGACGAAGGCGTCCTGGCTGGTCGCGATGGGTCGAAACGTCTCGACCGATGAGCGCATGCCCTTGACCAGGCCCGAAACGGAAGGGCGGGTGGCGGTGCTCCTCCTACTCGACTTTCTTTTCGCGCCGTTCGCCGCGCTCGGGCGTTTGCAGAGATGCCGCCTGCCAAAGCCAGCGCGCCCGCAGCGAGGAAACGGAACAGGAAACGCAAGAGGCGCGTGGCCAGCTCGTCCGAGTCCTCGTCGTCCTCATCGTCCGACTCGGAGTCGTCCGCATCCGAGGCCGAAGCGGTCAAGCCTCCGCGCAAAACTGCTGCATCGGTTGCCCCACCATCGGCATCATCGGAGTCGTCGTCTTCCTCGAGCGAAGACAACAGCAACTCAGAGATCTCTGTGGATGAGGACGAGGAGATGCCGGCTGCGCGGCCAGCTGCGAGCTCGTTCGTGCCTCCAGAACGAGGCAAGGGCAAGCAGCGGTACAGGTCTCCGTCGGGGACGCCAGAGCCTCCGGAGCCAGAACAACCGCCGACCGTCCCTGAACCCGGATCTGAAAAGGAAAAGGAATGGAAAGAGCGTTTCCGCAAGTTCTGGATGGCCTCCATCGCCGATGGGTTCAAGGATGATTTGGAAGTCCTCCGGCAGGTCCGTTTCTCTTCCCTTTGCAGTCGTTTTTCCTGCATGCTCAACGTTCCGGACGTCACAGGAACCTAACCTGACTAAGCCACGACTCGCACTTTTAGTCGACTCGCTCGCATCCGGAGCGGACGTGTTCACGTCCAGTACGGAGGATGCCAAAAAATTCGGCCACGACATCAACGAGATGGAGGTTGTCCTGGGTCCTGCTTAAGAGACTTAGGCGGCCTCGGAAATGCCAGTGGCTTCGAGACAGGTTCGCAAGGAGGCTGATCAGGTTTAGGGCGCCGCTCCTTGCGGGTGCTCGAGCCCTCGCTGGGCTTCTTCGGAGACTGGTTCTCAGTCTCGCTGATACATCCAGGAATGACGGAAACACTATCACCCACTCCGGTTGCATCATAACATGGCTGAATCTCATATTACACATCCGGACCCTCGTTCGACAAAATAAACCACCAACGATGGCCCAACCACCGCAATCCTCGCTATCGTATATCGCCATTCACCTTTTACGGTACGCTCCGCGGTGGCACCGACGGCACCGTCGCCACCGTCGCCCCGTCCGAACAACCTAAACCCCGTCCCCATATATCGGGATTTTTGGAAACCTCGAAGGAGAACGCCTGCGTTTCCTCAGAAAAGGTCCACCACTCTTGCAAGGGTTGGTCATACCTTCACCGACCCTGGGCTTGTCGCCACTTCACTCTCCTCCTCGACGGTCTTCATCACCTGCCGCTCCTTCTCCGCTTTCGAGAAACGGTCGTTGAGGGTCGCGGGTGTCGAATTTGAAAGCGCGGTTCTCGTCAGCGGGGTGAGAGGCATCGAGCCAGCTTCGGCATCGCAATTTCGTCCGCGGTGCGCACGACGGCTAAAAAGCACCGCAAGCAGGCTGTTGGCGTAGATTGCAAACACCCGGGGCTCAACTATGTTCCCGATAGAGCGCGCAGAACGCTAGAATGTACCCACGTTGACCGCAAACGAAGTCCAGCGCCACAGGCCAGAAGCCGGTCGGTTCGATGATAAACTAGTTATTCACGTCGTCAGTCATCTACGGGAAGCCCGTACAGATAGGTGGGTTACCGTGATGAGCTGAGCGATCACAATGGTGCTAGCACCCCCATTAGCGACTCGTCATGGCGTGCATATAGCCTGCCTTACCAGTTTGTCAGGCAACGGTTGATCGCCCACACCATCAGATGGTCGATTCGTGTGTTTGAACTGCATGATGAATCATATGAGCGCGACCATTGGTACACGTCGCCCAGAAAGGGGGTTGCTCACCCGCTGAAATCGGTCGTTTATTGTGAAGGAGAGCGCACAGCGAAACGGAGATGAGGATGTCGGATCTAGAACAACACGATTGTCTTATAGGGTTGTATACCAAATGGAGGTGACCCTATCTTACGCTGCTGAGAACACATGCCAAACGGCAAGGCTCCGATGAACCAGGTAGAAGGTCGACACAAGGGTCACCGACGAACGAACGACAAGTAGGCTTGCCTCGACACCGACAGTTGGAAGAAATGCTTCTTGACACCGCTACAACGTCATCAGCATCAGACCACCAAAGGATATATGGAGGGAGATGCCTACATCTCAATCACAGTCACTAAGACCCGATGAGCTCCGAACAGATATCGTCACAGCAGTTGACTCACCGAGGCCAAAAGTTATGCGGAACTACGATGAGATCGTGCCCGTAGCAATATCGCAAGACGTCGGCCTCACCAAGACGTGCCAAGAGAAGCGCAGTCTGTATGAACGAGGGAAAGTCGGAATTAGCCTCTTTGCTTCTAGGGATGAGGTGCAAGAATGCCCACGCTTGCTGCAACGAGCAACCACCGTATCCTAGTTCCCGATACTGAAATATCTGTCACCGCCATACCCTTTTCTTATATGGTTGTGAACGCAGAACTCACGGAGGAAGAGACGGTGGGTGAACCTGCTGTAGAAAAAAGTCGTCACGTATGTCATATCCATGAGCTACATATTCAGCCCACCATTTCACAGTGATAGCGATTGCGAACTAGAACGAGTTATCAGAGGCGGGTTCGAGGTTGTACGAGATATCGTACACTCAGCGAAATCGACGTAACTAGAGACCTGAGATATTTGAGGTCAGCACGGCGTACCCGAGCGTGAGACACCAGACGTGAAGGGCGGATTGAATCCTGCACGCCGAACAATGAATTTCAGCTCACATGCACTCCGGAAAACATACCAGACTGCGCTGATCTAGCTAGAATAAGCAAGAGGTTGACCGTGGACCACGAGGTTTCAACTCACGATTGATTTCAAAGAGTCGCTGTCTTCAGGATATCGACGGAAATATTGATATGTCTATAGAGTCGCCATCAACGGGCACTTTTGATCGTACGACATGGGAGTACCTGAAGAGTGGTGATCCCAAACAGGACGGAAGCTACCACTGCGGCGATAAATGCCGTCCCTAACCAGTGTCAAACCGTGACATCCAACAATCAGTACCTCGCTAACCGAAGGTATCAAGTAGACTTGTGCCTGATCCATGGCAGCGACCAGAGGGGATCAAAAGCGCCAAGTAACATATGACGGTCTAGCCAATATATACGGCTGATTGACAGAATCCTCGGGCACCGGACCTAAATCCACCAACAGAGGAGAGGAGAGCAGATATCGGCATCGTTCTGCTTGCCTTGGGAGCCGTGCAAGTTGGCACTGTTTGTCCGGTGACTGTGCGCGTTGCCTCGCCGTACACGGTGTACGTGCACCCACACCGGAATTGACTGGGTCGAAGTCGAAGCGGGGGAGCCACATGCGTAGGACAGCTACCAAACGCGACCAAAACACGACCGTTTGCTCCCAAGACGAAAGGTTGGTAGGTTTCGGAAGCCCTAAGCGGATATATGAGGGAGTATAGGGTTGCGTTCCGCTGATCTTGCTCTAAGGGCTCATGGGTGCATCCAAGGTCAAGACGGCCGTCAAGTCGTCATGAATTACCGTGGCCTTCATATGTTGAACGTACTCTGCCCAAGTACAAGATCGAAACGGGACTGCCGTCGTTCCATTTGAACATAGCCGGCTGGGAAAAACGGAGTGCTGCGAGGATCCCAATGCTCTCCCCGCGGTCCAAACGTGTCGCAAGTGACAGAAGTATTGTTCAGAGGGTTGAGATCACGGTGCTCACAGCGATTGGAGAAGAACGGATCCATGCGAGGAAAGCGAGTCTCAACAACTGTGCAGGAAGCTGCAGTCGAGAAGGTTCGAATTCGCAGCGCGCCCTCAACCGTATCGCCATACTGACGCGTACGCACATCCCTGCGGGATCCAGGGTAAAAAACGAGGGTGTGTTCGTTTAAACGTTGGACACGGGTACCCGAACGTTAGGATATTCGTGTATTGCCTTCCAGTCTTGCAACGGAGCACCAGCGCGACCAGGCTGACCGACCGATGGTGAGAAGACAAGATGCGTGAAGCGAGTGGCCAAATCTTCGAGACGCGTCGCCGCAGGCTTTGCGACTTGCTCCCTCTGCTTTCTCAAAAACTAGGATACACCCCTTCAAGAATCCTAGGCAAAGATGGCTGGGCAAACACCGGTGTTTGTTATGAGTGCGATCGTGCTGAATATATTTTTCTCGGGCAATCGTCTAATGTGTTATTGGACAGATACCGCGCCCGAGCGGCAGTCGGGGCGGAAAGCACAAATATCTAACATCACTGCTGCTAAGGTAGTCTTCCAGCGCGTGTATCCTGGGGCACAGCTCATCCTCCCAAGACCGTCGCAGATGTGATCAGGACATGTTTAGGACCCAAGGCCATGCTCAAAATGATCCTCGACCCCATGGGTGGCATAACGTACGCTTGACCAGGATCTCCTGAACATCTCTCACTATTTGTAGACTTACCAACGACGGGAATGCTATCCTACGCGAAATTGAGGTTGCACATCCCGCCGCGAAGAACATGATCGAACTAAGTCGGACGCAGGACGAGGAGTGCGGAGATGGTACCACAAGCGTGATCATTCTCGGTGAGCTGACCTGCCGATGCATTTTCCCTTATACTCATTTCATCCACTTCAAAGCTGGTGAAATATTGGCACAATCTCTATCACAGCTCGAGCGCGATATCCACCCGGTTGTCATCATCTCCGCATACAATAAAGCCCTCAAAGAGGCTCTCGAGATCATCAAGCGCATATCCGTCCCCATTGACACCTCAAACGATACAGAGATGCTGGCGCTCATCAAGACATCCATCGGTACCAAATTCGTTATGCGCTGGTCGGATCTCATGTGCAAGCTTGCTTTGGACGCTGTGCGCACCGTGGCATCGGATGAGAATGGGATGAAGACGGTCGATATCAAGCGCTATGCGCGGGTCGAAAAGGTTCCTGGCGGCGAGATCGAGTCGAGCAAGGTTCTAGATGGGGTCATGTTGAACAAAGATATCGTGCACCCGAAGATGCGAAGGCGGATTCAAAAACCTCGAATCGTACTCTTGGATTGCCCCCTAGAGTACAAGAAAGGAGAGAGTCAAACGAACATCGAGATGAGTCGCGAAGCCGACTACGCAAGGATCAGCGAAATCGAGGAGGAACAGATCAAGACCATGGTGGACAAGATCCTCGAATTCAAGCCGGATCTGGTAATTACGGAGAAGGGCATATCGGGTTTGTCCCATCATGTAATCAAAATCTGACGTATGTTCGCTAAACCCATCCCAGATTACGCGCAGCATTGGCTGTACAAAGCCAACGTCTCGGCGATACGCCGCGTGCGCAAGTCCGATAACAACCGGATAGCTCGTGCGGTCGGTGCAACCATTGTGAACCGCGTCGAGGACCTTCGGGAAACCGACGTTGGCACCAAGTGCGGGTTGTTCAACATCGAAAAACTTGGTGACGAGTCAGTAGTATTCACACTCTACGCTCCGCACGGTTATGAACGGATTTTATGTCAGGTACTTCACCTTCCTCACCCAGTGTGAAAACCCTCAAGCCTGCACCATTCTTCTTCGTGGACCGTCCAAGGATATTCTCAACGAGATCGACCGTAACCTCGCCGATGCTATGTCTGTAGCCCGGAATGTCGTTTTCAACCCACTCCTTGCCCCAGGCGGTGGTGCGACCGAGATGGCCGTCAGCGTGGGCTTGCATCAGAAGGCACGCAGTATACAGGGCACAGAGGGTTGGCCATTCAGAGCCGTCGCGGACGCTATGGAGGTGATCCCCAGGACGTTGGTCCAGAATGCAGGTGGAAATGCTATAAGGGTCTTGACCGAGCTTAGGGTGACGTGCCTAGTGGTCCGGTTACCTCTCTGGTTCCTGACACTTCGCGGTTTAGGCCAAGCATGCCAATGGCGAACATTCTTGGGGTATCAACGGCGATACCGGGAAGATCGTGGACATGAAGACCTACGGTCTGTACGAGTCTGCGAGCGTCAAGGTGAGACGGTCTGCCTCCACCACTGGTGGGACAATCTGAATGACTTCTTTGCGTAGATCCAGACCATCAAAACAGCTATTGAGGTACGTGTTCAGTCTTGCGCTGCGGCTATCTTGCTAATATGGGTGCTACTTCTAGGCTGCGCGCGTATTACTGCGTGTGGACGACATCGTGCAAGCCAAGCGACAAGATCGGGAGTCAGGCGGAGGCGCACCTCCGGAGGAAATGATGGGCGAATAAGTCATCGGTGTAAATTAGTCCTTACGAACCCTGCATAACAATCCTGGTGGAACGCTCGCATGTCTGTTACTACTGCTATCCGCGGGCGCGGGGCAAACCCTGCCGCCATGAGTGTGTAACGCAACTGCGCCGCTGCCCTATTTGGACTTGGCGGCAATCTCCCATCGCCATCATTGATCGCGATAGTACTTAAGCACCTCGCATCGCGTCTCGTTCAGCTACACTCACGCACTAGTTCCACCCGCAACAACATGGTGAGCGCGTCTACTCTACAATCGTATGGTGCGGGCGATGACAACAGGCGATCCTAGGCCTCCGGCGTCGGCGTTAACCCTGACTGCCTCAGCGCATTCCAGCAGCTGAAGCTGGGCAAGAAGATCAAGTATCTCATCTTCTCTCTCAGCCCAGACAACACCGAGATTATAGTCAGCAAGACGTCCGATTCGAAGGATTACGACGACTTCCTTGCGGACCTCCCGGAGACCGAGTGCCGATACGCTGTTTACGACTTCGAGTACGAGAAGGAGGGTGCCGGCAAACGCAACAAGATCTGCTTCTTCACATGGTGAGTTCTTCGCCCGTATGCTCTGCGAACGTGCCTCCTGCGGCGGGATGTTAGGCTGCGGGACGATAATCTGCGTTGTTTCAGGTCGCCCGACGATTCGAAAATCAAGCAGAAGATGCTGTACGCGTCGTCCAAGGATGCATTGCGACGTTCCCTCGTCGGCATCGCGGCTGAGATCCAGGGGACCGCGTTCGATGAGGTCGCCTACGATACTGGTGCGTTTCTGCTCGTGTGATCCCTGCCTCCGACCAACGTGTCGATCGATCCGGACGGACCGCTGACTTACATCATAGTGCTGGACAAAGTCTCCCGAGGCAACTAGTCGAAACCCTATTTTGTATCATATATTCCGCGGGAGCGCACAAACAGGACTTCACTTCTCTCATCCAGTTTCCTACTTCGTCGGCGCCCCAAATTGTAGACAGGCGGTGGATCTGAGCTGTATTATGCGCTATCGAACATGATCCATGGAACAACATCAACTTGGGAATGCTGTAAACGTGAAAATAGCATTACTACAGTACATGGTGTGAATGACGATATTCACAAGAAGATATACACGAGAGTAGAACGGTCAATCGTTCGATTTTTTGATTTTCTTCTTTGCTGGGCCTTCTTCATCTGCTGCCTTCGACTTGGGTTTCGGCTCGTCGTCATCGACATACATCGCGTTCTGGTCGTCCGTGTCTTTCTTCTTCGGCTTGGGTTTGGGCTTCGGCGCCGCTTTCTTCGGCCTTTCGTCGTCTTCCGCATCGCTCTCTTTAGTGGCTGCATCAGACTTCACCTTTTTCTTGACGAGTTTCTTCTTCTTCGGCTTTTGAGCCTTAGCCATGTCCAGATCTCCACTTGCGTCGGATGCAGTCTTGGCACCATCCGAATCATCGGATGTGTCTGTCGGAGATCCCGCGTCGGTATCCGATGCCTGGAAATCTTCGTCTGAAGCACCGTGTCAGAGTAGGCCGTGCCAGTGGTATGCAACCTCTCACCTTCCTCGCTATCGTCGTCATCCCCACCCAAGCGCGGCTTTGGCGCCTCCTCATCGCTACTCGCCACGCTTTGCATTTCCTCATCCTCATCATCTACCCCCGGAGGCCCAAGCAGCATATCTACATCTTGCATCATCTCGTTCTTAACCCGGACCTTCTTGTCCTTCAGGAATGCCTCCGTCGGCTCATGTTCGTCTTTGTTGATCGCCGTGAAGGTGTATTCCGGCCCAGATTTGGTTACGATCTTGAGGTCGAAGGTACGAGCGGCGGTAGCGCCCATGCCAGAGCCCACACGGGAGAACACGACTTGATGGATATCGGATATCTCAATGAGCATGGGTGACTTGGACACGAAGAAAACATATTTTTCGAGCATGAAAAGATCCCCCTGTATGGCCTTCAAGTTGCATTTAATTCCAGGGTGGCCATGTCGGCTATGGGTTGTGTCAGCTACGGCCAGTGATGGGAGGGATACGTGGACGTGCCTTTGGAAAGTGCCAACACCAATGATCTTCTTGCCAGAAAGCGCCCGGAAGACACCAGAGACAACTTCGAATGTAGGATCTTCGTAGTTCTTCTTCAGCCGGTCGTACTTAGCGATTTCCTCTCTGCTTAGTTATTAAGACGACGGCAGTTAACCACGGGAATGAAACAATTTACTCTGACAGGTTGAGCTCAGCGGTGATCTCTTCCTCGCGGTTGAACTGCATGACAAGGTATTGATAACGAGTTTGGCCTTGTCGGATCGGATTCGTGAGTTGAATCTGACCAAGGCGTCAAGGTAAATATCATTGTGAACCGGAGATCACTGACGATGAATAGGACATGCTGATCGTCCTTTGGTAGGAGGAACATCCTTTGGATCGTAGTGTATATGATCTTGTAATCGTACGTCTTCCCGCGCAGCCTCAGGAATTCCGGGAACATGTCCACGTCATACCGACCTCTGGGAGTCAGGACAAGCACCTCCTCGAAGCCGAGGATGATGTCGCCCGCTACCTGCCCGATCTCGGCCTTCTCCTTGATTGCATCGTGGAACGCTTGTGCAGCACTGATCTCTTCGCCGTCCTCTTCTTCATTCTCAGATTGCTGCGAGCCAGCGTCAGAGCCTCTGGTTTTGGTGTGAGTGCCGGGTACATAAAATCGAATCTCCACGAGTTCGTCGGCTTTTTTGGACGGGGTAGGGAGGTTGGCGAATTCGAGAGACACTTCCGTGCGGCCGGCGATGTTAGAGTTCGCTACATGATTGAGGGGCAGCTCGAAAGACGTTTTATTCGAGACGAGAAAAGCGAGATCTTCGCCTAAGGATATGCATCATCAGTTCCATGCAAACTCGATTGAAGGCTCACTCCGCCTTCATGAGTACACCTTCAAGAGTCACTGAACACGAACCTTGGAAGTCGGTAACTCCCCAGTTCCATCCTTTGAAGGATACATCCTTGGTTTCGAGAACCACGCCGAAATGTTGCTTGAGAAGAGCAGCTAACCGGTCATGATCCTGTGCTTCTTTTAGGTTTTTCCGCCGCAGGAGATATCACTGGCGCGGTCTTACCTCGCGTACGAAACCATCGAACGTTTCCCTTCTCCTGTCCTTCAGTCCTATCCTGAGCTGGAAATTCCGCGCGACTCGTAGCCACTGGGCCCACTTGATGTCCTCCGCCTTCATCATTGTCGTAGTGCTCTCCTTTCCGTCCGCCTTCCATGCCATACCAGCAGCAGCTACACGGAACTCTAAGCGCCGGGAACGTGTGAGGACTGAAAACCGGGGATATCGTCTGTCGAACGTACTGCCATCCTGCGCTGTGAGCCCATGGAATATCCCTTCAAATTGAGTCGTCATGATCGTGGGGGCAAGGTTCGGGTGCCGTTGAGTGAAGTTTGAGGCCAAGAGTCAAGACGCGTTCTGCGCCTCTGGCGCGTTTGTGTTCGACGCGCTTCATTTACCCACCACCACCAGTGCATCACCCGAAGCCGGGCCACACGATCCAGTATCTTCCAGCGCAACCCACTCAAGCACGACGCGCACCACAGCTGTAGTAACCACGTCTTGTCGATGGACCTTGCATCTCACCAAAGAGGCGTCCAGGAGCGCACGTTTTGCAACTGGTACTTGAGATTACTTCTCCATCTATGCACTGAAGGACGAAACCAGTGTTACATAGGTTGAACAGTCGGCTTGAGTCTCATGGCTACCCTCCAATGAGCTCGCTCGCTACGGATCTTTCGGACGGAGTGCGCCTGATTCAGCTTGTCGTGAGCGACCGTCGTGTTAAGTCAGTCGCATGCTAGTGCACATCTAATGTACAAAGCGATTAGGAGATCATGGGCGAGTCTTACAATCCTGATCCTCTCGGCGATCCTTGTGCTCATACACGCGCTCAGGGGATGCTTCGCTCGGGAGATACAACAAGGCCCCCAGGATGCGCGTGCAGAAGGCAGAGAACGTGAACAAGGCCTTGGAATTCATCAACTCCCGAGGCGTAAAACTCACAAACATTGGTCCCGAGGGTGCGTGTATGGTGTTCACAACTAGTTAGATACAGCTGAGGTCTCATACTTCATGTATAGACATCATCGACGGAAATCTGAAGCTAATTCTTGGGATGATCTGGACTCTAATCTTACGATTCAGCATAGCGGATATCAGGTCAGCCGCGAGGTTGGATCTTATAGAGCGCCGAAGTATTAAATGTCGTGAAGCGAAGAGGGCCTTTCAGCAAAAGAGGGGCTTCTTCTATGGTGTCAGCGCAAGACCGAACCATACGTGGAGGTCAATGTGCAAGATTTCTCTTCTAGCTGGTCTGATGGCCTCGCCTTGTAAGCATAATTCTCTCGGCTCGATGACCAACGTTTGACTGGGCAAATTAAGCTGCGCCTTGATACACGCCCACCGCCCCGACTTACTCGATTACAACAAGCTAAACAAGGTGTGTGCACCACACGTATCCTGGTATTCACGATTCATGAACTGTCCTTCCGCCAGTCGGACCGCCATGGAAACACCAGACTTGCGTTTCAAATAGCTGCAGAGGAGCTTGGCATTCCAGTAAGTGTGGTCCCCCAAAGAGCGCCATCCTGATGTGACAATCATCTTCAGAGGCTTTTGGAAGTTGAGGATGTCTGCGATGTTCCTCGTCCAGATGAGCGCAGCATCATGACGTATGTAGCAAGCTATTTCCACAGATTTTCTTCGATGGGTAGGTCCTTGTCATCTACTACAGGGGGCTTAGAATCATGACGTGAATCATATTTCCCTAGATCAAGCCGAGACTGTCTCCCGTCGCGTTGAAAAATTCGCCGAGTTGATGCAATCAATATGGGTCAGCAGGAACGATTATGAACGTCGCGCACGTTCCGTGAGCTCTGTCCTTCGTTTGATCATCGACATAAAACTCTGAACGAAGACAACAGCTTTTGTCCGCGTTATCCCAAGTTCAAGACGAATGGGCCGCGGTTATCTTCACTGGCAGCTATGCTGATGCTAAGGACCACTCAGCGAGCTTTGCCGCGTACAAGCAGACGACAAAACGACAGTGGGTTACCGAGAAACAGGATATCACGACGTTGCTTGGCAATGTGCAAACTAAGCTTCGAACTTACGGGCTGAAGGACTATGTACCACCGAAGGGTTTGGCTTTAACGGTGAGTGCGGTCTCGATGCAGAGCGACACGTCCTAAAAGACATAAACTAAGGACCTCGACCGCGCGTGGGAGGCGCTCTTGTCATCGGAAGCGAAGAGATCGCGGGCAATCAATGCACAAATACGAGAGTCGGTCTCCCTTCTGTTCTTCTCAACACCATTCTCAACGGAACCATATAAGGATCAAGGAGTCGCTGCGGAAGAAGTTTGCATCCCTCGCAAACGATTTCGCACAGCAGCTGCATGGGATCTCGTCCGAACTCGGCGCCATTGGTGGTCCACCAGAGGTTCGTGTTTTCGAATCCTGGCGACCTTGGCTCACTTCTCAGCGTAGGAACAACAAGAACAAGTTGAACGACTTCTAACCCGATTACCCGGGGCCAGCGAAGCGCTTCATCTGGTCGCGTTGGCAGATGCGGAATGTACTGCCGCCAATGTGGAAGAGAACGACCACACAGTTTTCAGTTACCAGGATCTTGAATTTGAACTCGAACTGGTCGAGCAGAGTATCACCAAACGGCTTGCCTTCCTCACGAACCAGGTGTGCGGCGCTGTTGTGCCTCGTCTCGATGTCCGCAGCGGCCTTACGAGTTCGCTCAGATCATCGCCCGGAATGCTACCAGCTTAACACCAGAACAATTAGAGCAGTTTGAGAGCACGTTCCGGTACTTCGACCACGATAGCACGAACACGTTGAATGAGTCGGAGATGGCGGCGGCACTGGCAAGTTTAGGTATCGTGTACTCGGTAAGCGTATTCACGGCGGTGATATGTACGTGCTGAAACTGGCACCACAGGATGAAGACCTGTACTCGATTTACGACGAGCTCACACGGGAATATGGTGCTGTTACGTTCGAGGCGTTCATCAACTTCTTGGTATGTCAAAACCCTTGTGTTCTGTTAGCGTTTCGTTTACGTCGTCCGCCAGGTCGACATACTTGAAGATCAAACCACTGCAGAACAGTTACAGGAAGCATTCCGCGGCATTGCCTCCGACAAGGTTCGTGTCAGCGGCATTTGACTCGGTTGCTTCAGGACTCATAATGTATCCAGCCCTTCGTCACCGAGTTGGACCTCAGAGTCGCGAAACTGCCGCCTAGTGCCATTGAGTATTTGACCAAGGCCATGCCTTCTCAATCAAACGAAGTGGGAGAACCTGAATTCGATTACGAGGGGTGGTTACGAGAAGTTTTTGATCGGTGATTACGCTCAAAGGACACAAGCACATCATGCATTAGAAGATTGTAACACTACTTGCTATCTAGTTTTGCTATCCACAACGTGTTCGCTGCTACAATCACCGCTGTCCTATATAATACTGATACAAGTCTCTGCCGGAAGCGACCCAGAGCGTTAAGCCGTTCAAGTCCTCCGTCACCTCGAGAGCGGCAGGAGGTGTCTCAAATTTCGTAGTGCAAGGGTTGAGTTTATGGGCAACTGATGGAGTGGATGCGACAGGCACGATAGGTTCGGCGCTGATACTGCTTCGCAAGGACCATAGCCGGATGTAACCGTCTTGCCCTGCAGCGAACACAAATTCACCGTAGGGATCTATCGTCACGGGCTACACTGGTTGGTGAGCAAGTTCGGAAGGGACGCGGAATCGCATGTTGACTTACGAGGTGCATATTGTACGAGTTTACATGACCCAAGAGCGATCTCAGAGGAAATCTTGCCCGCGGAAACCGCAGATCGTATGTCGCAAGCTGCATCGTTGCCGTTATAAGCTGCAATAATTGCCGTTCCGAACGCGCATCCGCTGACCTCACCGCTCACAGTGCTCAAGAGCAATTCCCATTCTCGCACCTATGCCACGAATCAGACATCGTTGTTGACAATACTTGCGAAACTCACGATTTCAAGATAGGTTACCGAGGATTGCCTTTGACGAAGGGTGCCTGAAAACATGTCGTCGTATGCATCGCTTTTGGCTCTCATGTCGAATCTACCGATTGTACCGTTTCTAGCACCGGCGTATACGATACCCTGACGAATTGATTTCATCGTGAATGAATGTTATCATTGGAAAAACAAGTGAACTTACCCCCTTTTGATGAACAGAGAATACGTCACTTTGCATATGCAAGCTACGGAAGCCTCGTCCTGTATCAATATCTGGTAGCCAAAGTGCCTTTTTGCGCGCGCCTGGCATTGCATGAACACATTATTGTGTCCATGAGAATGCTGACATTACCTAGGGCGAGACTGCGGTCCTCTAGATGTGCGGTCCAGATATCTTGCATAAGTTTATTGTCTCCGTTGAATATGAATGATGACATAGCGAGATCTCCACTGTATCCATAGGTCATTGATGGTAATAGTGTCGGGCAGGCGGGTGCTTACTCTGTGGAGGTCAGATCTTGTACAAATATTTTGCATGGAGGTCCGAGGGATGTTGCCCTGTAGGTATGATGAGAATGATGGTTGAGTAAACCAAAGCGACACCCACACAGAACGTGAACCCCAACCGCATATCGAGGTTATCTGCGTAACCATTGTTTAGAACGCGCCGTTCGTGCCCCTTTTTTGACCATCTGTCATACCTGCGATGCTAGATTGATTGTAGGGTGCCAAAGACCTCCAGAAAGGACCTGATCTGAGGTATTCATCGTGTATATCCATCCATCCGAATCGCCAATGACTTGATGAGGGCGGTCCAGGCTCGATCTCATCTAGAACTTTATATCAGCGCTTACTCAATTTCGCGACGTTTTTTGAAGCGCACGCAAATAGCCGACAACGTAGGATTGCCAATCAGAGGCAGGGATGAACGGGTCATGCGAGACGTATAAGCAGCATGCAGGCCGTATAAGCGACTCGATGGAAGGTCTCAGTAATGTTTAGTGTACCAGAGGCTGACACTTACTGCGTCGCGAGGCTAGCCTGGGATGCATGAAGAACGTATGGTCTGGAGTGTATACAACTTGTTACGCTTTCTCGCAGGTTTCGCTTCCGCTTTCTCTCATGATCAGGCTGAGAGAAGGAGCTCTCGACTTTGTTGTCCGGTTTCTTGGGGTCGGAATTTGGGAGGCCGTTACGAGAGAACGAGGTATGGCGTCTGTGTCCCGCCGCTGGTGCACTCAGCGGAAAGTACCGCTTCTTCTCATCGTCCCAGAAGAACCCTATATGAGGACGTGAGGAATCCAGATCCTTATAGTCAAGATGATTATGATAGGTGACCTGGCAGATTCATCGGTGGCATATCGAGTCGAGAGAGTAGAGAAGTGAGTCCATGTAACTCACAGGTTGAGCTTGCTCGGACGGTGAACTTCAGGAAACATATATTTAGAGAGAAGTGTATTTTTAGATCCAATTACTTCGGCCTACGTCACTGCGGTAGCAAGCTGAAAGCGCACGCGATATATCTAAGTTACAGAAAAGACGCCAGCAGTTCCTATATACATAGCCGGGAACGAATCCCGGACCCATACCAGCCAATGTGACATACATATTTGAGATACAATGGTTAATGCAAGAGAGAAAGATGCTGGGTAGATACATAATCAACGTGAAAGTCGTATACAGATCGTAAAAGTGTGTTGTAGAATGTCTAGCTCAGCTTGATCCAAGATTGAAATACAGTAGGCCCGTGCAGTGAAGAGGCTCTTTGCAAAGTATAGTATCGCAAGACAGTGCGCACTCGTATGCAGGAAGACGCAGCTCGCCTTAGACGAGACCGTGTCTGAAAGAGTTCGCAGTCTATTGCAGAAGGACCCATCGATGCCTATAAGCGGACAACGGTGAGGACCGCCACGAGGCCGTCTTGTTCGATGCCATGATTAACACCTGTAACATCGTTGTAGCGAAGTGAAGGTGTGCGAAGAGACTTAGAGACCGTTCACCTTCACTCCCTGCTTCCAGCAGGCGTTCCCATTGAAGGTCGGCTTTCCACCACATGCCACGCCATCGGCTGCCAGAGATTGCAGCCTCGACAAGGAGGTCTCTACCAACGTTGTACCCATCAGGAGCGATTGTATGGCGCTTTCCTGAGTCCTAACGGGGATGTCAGTCAGGTTGCGGAAAAGACACGTTGAACCAGATCTACCAATTCTTTCGAAACTCTGCAAAATGGGCATCAGATGGCGGGAATCGTGGACATGAAGAAACATGTACGCACCCCAAGAACCAGGCCCCACTGTTGGCTTCAGTGCCATTCTGCTTCCATGCGCGAAAATGGTTTCCGCCAATGGCACTTTCCCAGCAAGTGCCCCATTGCGGGAAGTAGTTCTGACGGGCCAAATACTGCTCGTCCTTCCGGCCTGCACCGTCGCCAAGATCGGCTTGATGTATCGTCCCATAATGTAAGCCCAGACATTCCTAGCGTGTCATGTCAGATCAGTGGTAAGCAGTGGGACCCTGTGATGAACGAACCTCCGCGAAACCAATGGATCTACACGTTATGGTGTCAATCGAAGTAATGGAGGATATAGAGAAGAGATCCATACTTGGCATAATCATGGAGACCGTCCTCCGTCAATATGTATGGATCCGAAAGGCCGGAGATGATCACGTTCAAAGGTTCGCCGTACTTGCGCGTCGCGAACTAACATGCATGAGTTCATGACCGTAGTAAGGCACATCCACTGATGTATCCACGTACGTCAAGCAGACGACCGCCATTCTGGCGGGGGTCAAACCACCCGATGAACTCTTCCCCAGGCGATGAAACGCTGCTGCCCTCCATAGATCGCAGTGGAGCCTGTTCCGAAGGCGACGGATAGGCTGCAATACAGGAAAACCACAGAAAAAATCCCAAGGTTCGCAGCATGGTTGAAGAAGTAGATGAAGAAAAGACAGATGAGATGGCCGCTAACAGAGACAGGCCGTGGGCGGAGCTGGCTATGGGGCGCTCTGAATGGTCCCCCGAGGTACAGAGATAGCCCGTTGCGGAAGATTCAATGATGGCTATGTCGGGCGCTGTGCAGGCGTTCCGAGGCCATCGGCACTGGTGTCATCTGGACGCTTGCATGAGTTTACGTTGAACAATACTTCAGATGTAGACACACACAGACGCCTACAGTTTGGTCATCCAGCGTACGATTCACTACCATCGAATTCATCGTTATGTAGGGACTGTGCGCGTAGCCTACAACGATCCCGTTTACTGTATTATCTGTCATCGTCCGGCTGTGTCCTCGTTCAGAAGTGCCATTAGGCCACAACTTCCGACATCGTGATGCCGCTCCCCTATATGCCTGGGAGGGCTTCATATCGGTACGAGCGCATGTCAGAAGAGCCTCGTAAGACCCTGCGGAAAGGTGCCTTCCCTTGCAAGACGAATTATCCCGATCGGTCGATGATGACCGGCCAATACAGAAGACTGAACGAATACTGGAGATATCGAGAGAATGACAGCCTAAGATCGGGAAATGTTCTGGTATGCAACACTTGCAGTCTCATATTCTGCGAGAAATAACCTGTCACGTTCGACTGCCATCCACCTATAGGAGAACCAATGAGCTCTAGAGTCAGAGGGTTGGCGTGGCAGAGCGTACTGCATGAGCTCATTCACGTAGTCCCGCAAGATGCCGACTGACTCTGCGTCCATTGTAGAGCTTGCTACCATTTGTGGTAGGCTCACTGTCTCATAGTAAACGACTGCCACTATGGTCTAAGGAACCGCTGCGCACCTAACATCCTGAGAAGGTGTTCCCCACCATAAATGGAGCTCATCTCCTTCTCCTGACCGACTACCACATTCGGACCGGTTACATATCTGTTGGCCTTTAGAGCATAATCGCGCCAAGAAACGAAAAATGCATTACAGCCTTCTTTGTTCAAGATATTGTGGTCGTTCGAAGCGATATAGGAGGTTTTGACCAAGTGCTCGATCAAAGTAGGTAGTCAAGCCCGACACGATGGTCGTTAGAAGCATTGATGGATCGCGTAAGCTGCATACGAAATGTCAGTGGCACCGTTCTTGGGGGTAACTGGGCGTTGGTGCGGCAAAGTACGGTACAAATGAATCATAACCCTGCGGAAGCCACCTCGAGAGATGTAGCTCACAACAGAGTTCAGACGCAGCGTAGGTGAAGCGGTCATGGAAGGCAGCAGGTGCCATTAATTACGCACTGTTGCTCAGATTTAGGTTTGGCCAGCACATGCTCTCGGAATTGCTGCAATAATTCGACAACGTTGGGTGACCGAGGAAGCGGGACGAGCTGGTGCAAGCTGTGTTGGCTACATTGTGCAAGGCGACATGGATCACATACTTGATTGTTCTTTGTCACAGCTTCCCAGTCGTCAACAAGGATAACTTTGAGGAGCTCTGGCACCTGCAGCTTCATCTCCGGCTTTCGAGAAACCTCATCCTTGGCAGCAAGAGAATATGTGAGCTCATGGTTGATATCTGAGTTGAGGGACATGCACGAAGAAAACCATGATGACGATAGTTTGAGTAGGGCAGACGAGGTCAGCATACCTCTTCTCGAGCGCGTTTGGTTCCTCTTGTCCCCTCCTTACGCACACCTCTACCCCCCTCTGTCTTCAGGCTCGCCTTCGCCTTCGCAGTTGAGCCTGAGGATATAGGTCTTTAGTTCACCGACAGACATCCGAAGTGTAGGGCGTCCACGTACTTGCAGCGCTGGCGTTCGCTGCTTTGCTCTGTTGCTGTAAACTCTTCTGCAGCTGAATGTTCTTCTCTTCCCATTTCAGGAGACGTGCGGGTGGTACCCATTCGTCCCAGCTACGTGCAGCATACATGTCCGCGCGGGAGCAATGAAACCAGGCGAAGTTCTTGAATCACCCTCTGGAGGAAGGAGGGAAAGCCACTCACGACTGCTTCCAGCCCTTATAGTGAACAAAGTAACGAGGACCTTCGGACCCATCTCTGCTGTTGGCCGCGTCCCAGTCTTCCACTTGAAGTACTTTTGCCTCGTAAATGAGCGGTCCATGATAGCAGAGGACGCGTTCATTGGCCGCGTATGTTATCGTGCCGGACATGGTGAATTATCCCCAAGCAAGTAGAGCGAGTATCGAAGCCGGTCGCGCTTTGGTCGCGCCTCCCGAGTCTGGCTGAACGGGTATAAATAGAGCGGAGTGACAGAGTCTGAGAGTAGTGCAACGTAGTGGCGCCAGCAGTACTGCTCACGGCCTCAGCAAGCTTTGATCTGTTTCGTCCCCAACAATCTCTCCGTAAGACATCTCGAAGGCGTACCCGGTGTATCTGTCTCGCCAAGAGTGCGATTCGTTCTCCCACTTTTGCCCCAATGACCATGGAGTCCTCGGACATTCACCTACACTCTCCAATTCATGACTTGCAGCACGACTCTCAATTCGTCGTCGACTTGGACGATGACGCCGACACCGCATCTCAAAGATCAATCTCCTTGGACTCGCCAGCACCTTCACCCCGTCATTCCCTTGCGCGCGCTGCACCACTCTCCCCTCCGTTGAAGCGGACGTTCGAGCCTCACGCATTTGAACTACCGACTGATGGAGAGCCAAACCACCTCGGAGCGCCTTCCATGTCGCGCGAGGACTCCGCGTCGTCAACGTACACCGAGCCTGACTTGATCGGCGCCAGCGAACAGACGAGCGTCATCTCAAGTTACCCGCCGAGGTCGGACTTCACCACTCGGGAGTCGTCGGCGAGGGAGTCGGTCGTGTCTTTCGCGTCAGGCTCGTCAGGGAAGAAGGCTCGGCCGGAGTCCATGCTTGCAGAACTGAAGGGACCCCTCATGCTCGGCATTGCGCTCATCGACTTCAATCATCTGGTCGGTGATCCCCAACACGTAGCTTGACTTCACTGACCTCAGTACCAGGTGGGCCCCCGGATAGAGTGGTCTAAAGGTCCGCTTTTTGAAGAAGACGACGTGAAAATAACCGAGATTCTGCCGTTCCTGGCTTTACCGGACGGTGCTCATCTGGTTTGTTTATATGAATGTCTTCTCAGGTCATAGAACTCACATTCCCAGACCGAAGAAGATTACGCATACTTCCACTTGGTTCCCACTACATCACCCAATCCAACCACCGTCTTCGGGATATCGTAAGGTGGTTGTTTTGTGTGTGTTTCTAGCGCTTATATGATTTCAGATGCAACCGTCAGATCGCTGCCAAATCGCTCCTCGTCAAGGGCGAGGATGTCACACGCACGACGGTTCAAAAAGCCGTGGCCGTCTTTGCGTCCAAGCCGATCTTTGGTCTACTAAGGTCATACAAATGTGACTGTGTGCCATGGCCATCGCGCTGATTGACTGTAGAGACCGATTAGGTGTCATCACGCGAGCTTTGTTTGACCAACGGTATGAACCGGTTATGTATTCTATCGCGAGCGCTGCCCTGACGATTGTGCGACGTGTTTGCAGGGATTTCACGGACCTCGGGATCTTGGCAGACTTCTACGAATCGTTGGAAATGAGTATGCGCAGCCAACTAACAGAGTCCGGGCTGTATATGGGTAAGCATCGAAGACCATTCTTATGGTGCATCTGTTGATGTTCTCGTAGGAACCAGCCTGTTTGTGTGATTCTTGCACGCACACGGGTGATAGATACTCAATCAGACGATCTCAGACGGGAGCTGGTTCATGCGTTTCGGCAACGAACACTGGTCATTCTTAAAACGCTCATTCTGCAGAAGAAGGTGAGCAAGTGTCGAGCATGCCGTCCGAGCCATGAGTTGATCGTGCTTCGACTATTCATAGATCATGTTCAGTGGACATCCTGTGGAGCGCTTGTGCACACATCAATATTCTCTGATATCCTTGATACCAGGTATGGATAGTAACATTGTGAAAAGCTCAGCTAGATTTCGACGATCTCAAATAGGTTTGCTCCAAAGTTTGGAGGACTGCGGATCGCCACCACTCAATACTCGCGCACCAACACTGATGCAGGCATCATCGCTCAAAACCTCTGACCGGAAGAGCATGATGGCTTATTTGGGCTTACCTCTTGACCTTTTCGGCAAGGTTTGTGAGCATTCTCCTTCGCTGACGATGCGCAAATCACTAAGCAGGAAAAAACAGGACGCATTCTTCCAACCGTACATACCGCTACAACAGATGGACATGATGAAGGATACCCCAAGTTGGCTATGTGGCAGCACTAATACCATCGTCACGAACTCCAAGGAGGTGGATCTTCTCGTTAACGTACGCGCTGTTTCGGCATTGGGCCATCACACTTGACATCTCCATGACCTGATCTAGCTAGAAACTGGCGCACTTGAATTTCGCAACCCTGGGCTCGAACGGTTGGTTGCATTGACAGCCGCCGACCGCAAGTGGATGGATGAGATCGTCCGCGATGTGAACGAAGGATGGGATAATGCAGATCCCGCGCGCCCTACACGTATGCTGTATGTCTTCGACTACTCATCGCGGTGAAAATGTCTCATGTATTCCTTCGGCAGGTTCAAGGGTAGCGATGATTATCTGCGAACGAAGGTACTGTACGCAGGACGCCTTGCAACTCCAAGCCGTCTAATGGTCGTTCCCGTAGTTCGAGGAATACGTGTTCGCGGCACTTTCATCCATCAAGTACGCCGACTTTCTAGCGAAGGGCGACGGATCTGGCGTAGTTATAGCGGGAGGATCAGGTGTGTAGATTCACCGTCCGCTACTATCTACTTTGCTGTTAACATATCTGAATATGCAGGCGGTGACACGCGCTCTGCTGAGGATTTCAACCTTGCGTGGATTGCGGAATTCCGTCGGACGCACGCCTACGAAATCTGGAATCGCATCACTGACCCTGTGCTCTTTGACATTGTGGAACCACGGTATTGACGACTTTCTGTCGTACGGCGTGGCTTCATAACTGATCCCCACTTGCATATGCACGCACAGACATCCATGTGGCGAGAAACCATCGCTGGCGGCCGACATTGGTTTGCGACTGAGTGAAGGCATTCAAGAACTGAAGCTCGACCAGCAGCTCGCTCCAGCTCGTGAGGTTGTGTCGCGCACGATCTCGGCCGGATCAACCGGATTCTTCCGTGCCGTAGAAGGCGTAAGAGGACGTTGGGCGGCACGGGCAGCATCTGGCGCTTCTCCATCGCCAACGCCCGCATCGTCTAGTCCGAATGTCTCTCCTACTCCCGACAAACACCTTTCGACTTCTACATTCGACAAGTTGGATGCGGATACTATCTCAGTCAAAAGCTCTGCTTCTAGTGCGAAAGAGAACCCTGCGGAAGCCCAGCGACGGTTGGGCGTCGCCGCCACCGAGACTAAGGCAGCTGTCAGCTCATGGGGTGTAGGCATTGGCAGCTTCCTCTCTACTCGGTTCTCCCGGGTGGCCCCCACTCTGGCTGTTCCTTCCGCCTCACCGTCATCGAATACTCCAGCCGCAGCTCCTGAGGTAGCACCCATAGGGTCTACGGCTCTAGCACCGGATGAAGAAGCTCTATTCCAACCGCGGGACTTGGACGCGGAACGCGCCGATAGCAACAGCATGAGGTCTGATCAAGGACGGGTTGCATCCAATAGGGATAGTATAACCTCCAATCGGACCAGCAGGTCGTCGATGCGGGAGAGTCTGAGCAGTCGTTTGGAAGCCGCTCTCACAAGCTCCGCCACGAAACGGGATAGTGCGGCCTCTGAGTCGGAGAGGTCGTTGGGAGAGGAACCGGAAAGAGAAGACGTGGGCGAGACGCACGGCCAAAGCATGGAGAAGGCGGTCCCCCAAGCCTCCATCCTCACCGAATTGAAAGATGACACAACTTCGCGGAGCACTCCGATGGCTGACCCACTGCACGAGCGGGAAGTCCAGGACGGCACCGCAGTTCATGTGGGTTTCGCAGTATGAAGTTGTAAGGCTCAGGGCTGGAAATACATAAGAGGTATCACAGTTCGCATTCTGCGGGATCGGTACGGAGGTCTATCCAATGTCTATTGATGGCCTGATTATCTCTCAGTGCTTGGAACAGTCAATGCATGCATGTAGCTTATAGCACCACAATGACTTTGATCTGTTGGATAGGCATCCGCATGGCCAGTATGTAGTAGATTGGAGACGTAAGACGTGCACGCAACGCTACTGTGCCTTGAGGCTTGAAAGCTTGAAGCTCGAGATCCGTAGACCGGAACACTGAAAGGCATTGAATGCAGATGATAATGAGACATTGTGATTACGCGCCTATCATCATTAAGATAAATAGTTTTCAGCCAATCATAACTGAGGAAATGCACACCCGATTGTAAGTATGTCGGAGCGCGCTTTTGACCGGCAGTCTTGCCGGTCAAATACTCCCTTGAAATCACTCAGACGACCGCTTCATCCTGGGCCTAGCTATGCTTGCAGCTATGATCTGGACCAGGAACTGGAACTTCAAGCGTTTTGTCCTACCCAGATCACGGGATGGTGGAAGCGGCAAACTTGCCGGTCGGATAAGCCGAAGCTACTCACACTTGTACGTACACACCCGGGAAGAGCATCGTTCAATCCGCGAGACACTGTCACGAACCACGTCGGCTTGGTGCAGCCAGAATAACTCGTACTGAGGGCACATGCCATGATCGTACGCAATGATCACCTCCCGTCGTCTTGGTATAAATGGGAGGGACATGAATGGCGTGCTGATGCATCTCGAACCCGTCTATCCTACTCGAAGTCATTGCAGACAGTTATCATCGCCTTGCAATCATAATGGTAATCAAGGTCGCAATAGCAGGGGTGTGTCCATCACCACTCGCAGTAACCATGTATTCTAACAACATTCCACAGGGCACAGGAGTGCTCGGACCGTTTCTAGTACAGGGCTTGGCTGCATCTGGCATGGATATCACTGTACTCACTCGCAAGGAGAGCGTGTCTGGTTTACCTGCCGCCGTGTCCATCCGTACGGTGGACTACGATTCTGTCGAATCGCTCACGGCAGCTCTCCAAGGCCAGGATGCCGTTGTTTCCACCTTAGGCCGGGTTGCCACGCTCAAGCAAAAGGCGCTCGCCGATGCTGCCGTGGCCGCCGGCGTCAAGCGGTTCATACCTGCCGAGTTCGGTAGCGATACGCTGAATCCCAAAGTGCGCACTGTGCCGATTCAAACCGACAAAGTGGAAGTCCAGAACTACCTCCGGGACCTCAGCGCCAAGAGCGAGCTGACATACACCCTCCTCATCACCGGGCCATTCCTCGACGGGTACATCCAGCACGATTACATCCTCGGCATCGGTGCCTTGAAGAATCGCAGGGCCATGCTTCTCGATGGTGGCGATATTCCCTTCAGCGCGACAACCGTCCCACACATCGCACAGAGCGTTGCCGCCATCCTCCATCATCTCGAAGAGACGAAGAACCGGCCGGTATATGTGGAGGATATCGTCCTCACTCAGAACCAGGTCTTGCGCCTTGCGCAGGAGTTGACTCTCGGGGGAACCTGGACCATCATCCCGGCCAGCACTGCAACGCTCACCGCCAAAGCCTACGAATTGCTGGAGCGCGATGGTTTGACCGAGGAGGTTGTGAATAATTTCATCATAGTCTCGCACTGGGCCGAGGGGATGTCCAGGAAGTTCTCTAAAACGGACAACGCGCTCCTCGGCATACCGTCGCTTTCGGAGGAGGATGTGAAGGCTATGATCAAGAAGAAGCTGGAATCATTGTAGCTCATCATCCAGTACAGCACCAGGAATGTATATAGCCCAACGATGGTGACTCACTCGCTCTGAAGGCCATCATTCCTCCATGATCGTCGGCGTTGTTGCTCTGCGTTCTCGGAAGCTGATATCGTTGCATCTTCCGCCGTGGCGCGCCATATGCGAGAAAGCCTCTTAAGACGATTAAGCCGTAGGACCATTCAGATTGAGGCGTCTGCGCGTCGCGTGTTCATTTATCTATGTTCACTGCATGTATAAACGGATGGTATGATCGACCCGCGCCCTGTCCAACCATGCTAACTCTGATCGCGGTTGATTGGCGCGAGGTCAAGCAGCGGAAGAGGAAAAACTAGCCACTGCGAGATGCATCATAATTATCTGCATCCGCCTGCTCTCGCCATCTAAGCGTTGTGCTTGCCTTCGTGTCGCGTCTTCATCTTCTGTTCTTTCAGTTGCCTGTACCGTTGGATCGCTTTCTCCCTCTCCGCCTCCATCAGAGCCCTTTGCGCCATCGAGAGCACACCTTTTGCCTTTCCTTCCCTCGGGTCCCAACCCCGACTTCCTTCTCGCGTTATTCTCTGCGGCAGTTCACGCAGCTCCGGTGGCGCTTGTGCAACGTCGTTGAGTCTCTTGGGCGCAGAGGATGACGTGCGCTCGAAGTCCTTCGGGGGATCCTTTGGTCGCTTCCGACCGCGATCCATACGTTCATCGTCATCGACGTCCTGTGACTTATTCGCGGCTATCACCTCTGTGATTGCGATGGATGCCTCTGACATTTGTTCGTTTCCCTTCGGTCGACGTGATTGCGCATTGTTTGTATCAGACCCATTCTTTGCTTTACGCGCTACGACGGAGGAAGTGGCCATGGCAGAGCGAACGAGGGGTCGCATGTCGTCTTCGACACGTCTAGGTGACGATAGCAGCTTCAGGTGACGAAAGATTGGCGCGGACCAACGCAGAACACGTACCGGTTGAAGTGCGCTAGCGACTCCCCAGGCTTGATCGTCAAAGTCGTCTCCTTCTTGCCTTTCTTCTCGCTCTCTTGGTCCATGCGCCGCTTCTTTCGATTCTTGCCTTCCTCCTCCTCGCTCTTTCTCTTTTTGGCGTGCCATTCCGCGCGCACGGACGCAGCGTTCAGTATACGAGCGACAGACTTGGGTATCCCTTCAGAAGCTAGGTTCTTCATCGGGGGAGGAAGGTCCGACCCTCTGATGTCGTTTCATAAGGTGAAAGGCAGGTCATCGTTTTAGTGAACGGAAACTGTTATGAAAGAAATGCGGACTAACGTTTGTTTGCGTGCTTGTTCGCGTGTTGATCGCTTCGCTTTTTTATGAGGCATGGTGTATGTCTATGAGTGTGTCGTATTGGCGATGCGGAGAAGAGGCTCATTCAGAAGCAGCACAGCCTCAAGACGAGTCCTTTCCCGACTGCCTCGAAGGAGCCAAGTAAGTAAATGTATTCTTTGTTCGATTAACACTTATTGAAGCATCAGGATCAGAAGCCATGGATGGTACAGTGTCTGGAGCATCTCGAATGGTCCTTGCGTCCCTCTCTCTGCACTATATCGTGGACCACCTGCAGCCCTTCCGCCAATGTCTCCTCCGTCCGGGTCATGTGCTTCCTCCCGATATTCGCATCGCCCGACCCCATCTGATACACATGAACCTCGCAATGCGTCGGCCCATTTTCTCTTGCCGACCGGCGACATCGACTCACCTTATCCCAGAATTTCCGATGCCAACGCTCGAAAACCTCATCTACCTCTGCAAAGTCCCCTGTCGTCCCTCCGTCCTCCAGGCTGTCAATCACACATCCACATCTTGTAACACCTTCTTCGGCGGACCCTGACGCAGACCGCGATGGCTCCGCTTGAGGGGGGCGAGCGGTCTGGCTCTTGTAGCTGTCTTCCCCGTGAGCACCATCCGCGTGGGCCCGAGGATGTACCGTAGTGAGACCCCAGAAGCGGTCTTCGCTCACGACTGCCGCGAGGTAAAGTCCGCCTAGGGCCCACGGGTTGCTGCCTAGCACAAGGCCCTGCGCTGCATACACCTCTTCGACAAAGGACCAGGGCAAGCGGATTGCTCGAAGTGATCCTGGACTGCGCACGCGCTGAATGCAATCCCGCATTTCACAGTACGGGGCCGCTATCAGGTCTGCCGGGGCAACGGCAGAGAGTTTGTCGAGAGCTGAGAGTCTCAGCCGTGTTGTGGAGGCTCCGACGTTGAAGATCTTACTCCTAGCGGACGCGGTAGCGAAGTGCACGACATCCCTCGAGAGCAAGCGTGGCGAAGGTGAAGGGAACGACAGTGACTGTACCGAGCTTGGAGAGGGCATGGGGCTCGGCTCATATTGGTTGATTCCTGCGAGTGGGAGTGGGTCTACCAGTGATCCCGCTACCAGGAAGAGAACGGAGGGCAAGTGGCGGCTCACGATTCGTCCCCGGTACGACCACAAGACGTAACGCGCCGCAAGGAGGAAGACCTGTATGCCAAGCCACGTGTACGACTGTTGTGTCGTGGATGAACCGAGGACAAGGTAGTTGAGGATGTAAAAGGCAACGATGGCAGCGGTCGTCAGCAAAGCCGTCGCTCTTATGGTCCATGTGTCACCGCTGCGCAGCCATGGTCTACAGCTCGCTGATTGCCAACGAATATTACTAGTCCCAGTGGTGCTCACTGTGTCTAAATCATGGATCGCGGCTTGTTCTGCGCCGTGTGAGAACCGATTGGTTGCATGAAGGATGTGCAGTGGTGCTACACCGACACTGTTATGGCGCTGGAGCAAGACCGGCAATAATGAAGCTAATGTCGCCGCGAGTGCAGCTAATGCTACGGTCACCGTCCATGTTGTCGGAGTCTGGCCAGGCGGTCTCAAGGCAGCTAAGGGCCCCACTGTGCACACGACCGACAGTGCTAGACAGGATATGATCCCTGCAACTTCCCGAGCTGCGCGAGAACCGACAAAAGGACACTTGCTATACCCAACGACAATGACATGCGGCCGTATCCACGTAGACTTGGGAACACTTTCATGGACGAGACCCAGCAATCGCCTCTGATCGTCTTGCCACCAATTTTCGGGCCGAACCAGGTGGTCAGACACCGATTCACCGACTATGACTGTGCTGCTGGCACCCTCGGTTTTCTGGGCTGTATAGGCCCCAGTGCCGTAGATATGCACCCCCGCTGACTCCGCCCTGGCGACCCCTACGAGGAGCATGAGGCATGGACGGAGGACACCGAGGATGCCGAAGAGCGACCAAACGCCGGACATGCGTTCCCAGTACATGGCCCTGGAACTCGTGTACTTTTGCTCCACTGTGTCGGATGCGAGGATGGAGAGGACGGCAGAGAGGTCTTGGAAGTTGGAGACGATATTGGCCGGGCCGCCCGAGGTAGCGTCCCGCGACGGGGTGGGATTTATGGGCTCGTGTGGAGCCATAGCCTGGCAGGGTGGCAGCGCCTGAGCTCAGTCTTGTATCCTCTCCTCCCCCGAACGAGACGGGGCTGTGACCTGGAGACGTTGCTGGTTTTGCATCCTCTAAGCGCTAGAAGCTGTCCCTCCAGCGATAAATCGATGCAAAAGACGGATCTCAAGCGCCACCCATCGCGGGCACGTCTGACGAACGTAGATAAACCCCAACATGTTTCAACGAGAAACACATCAATGTGCACCGGTCTGGGTTTAGCAGTATCGTAGCTGCTGATGGAGGATCGCGGGGACCTGGTCAAGTGATATTGCCAGTGCTAGGTCGTGGTAGGATGCAGCATTGGTCGTTTAACCTCGGCTGAGTGGTAGAAGGCCGAGGGGCGCATCTGGTACCCCTTGGAGAATCGAAGCCCGTGCCAGCAGTTTGAGGGGTGGTAGCGGTATAGTCTGTCGGTAGGCGATGAGTTGAGTTTGATGTATGCAGCCACCGCATATGCATGGTAGGAACTCGGGCATATGGGGTCACCGCGGTCTGCTGCGCCTGTAACAACCATGGAACTTGCGTCGACTATGCTTGCCACTCTTCAACGCCGCGCCGTCGGCCCAGCCCAGCCCAGCCTTATCGAAGGACCTCCTCTGGATCTACTTCTAATTCACAGCAGAAGGCAGTGGTTCAGTCACCTCTAGCATTGTTCAACTATCTTTGTTCCGCCCTAATCAAGGAATTGGCAGTGTATGTTGCAATATATCAGTGTGAAAATACCTGAGCTTGCTCTGGTAATATATCTCTCCGGACTGAAATCTGTACAACCGTGGCGGTGCTACAATAAGGCTGTGCAAATGTGCATCACGTACTTATTCCTCTTTAGTTTTGATTTGACTTATTGATCACTAACTCTACAGTGAGCTTTGCAACTAGACAAAATTTATGTTTGAAGCCTATGTTACAGGAATATAACATGTTGTTCTCACGCTAACATTACACATCACTCTAACAGCGTTGCACCAGTGGAGGCTGGAAATGCTGGATTATCAATGTCACCGTGGGTGCAAGCGAAGGTGGGCGCGCGGGGCACCCGCCGCTTTTCCAGTTCGGAAACCTTGCATAACGAAAAGATAGGCATCTAATGCATATACGAGTATCCAACCCCCCTGTACAGTAAGTGTATGGATGAATATATATCGTATGATAGCGCTCAATGTTCAGACTTTCAGGCCTTCACGTCGCCCTGCTGGCCAAAGCCGAAAATGTCCGCGACCTTGGTCTTGAGACCCGCGAAGACGCCACCGAACTGCCCCTCGGAGATGGTTGGCGACAGCGGCACGCCGAGCGACCCGTCAAGCTCCTTCTCGGGCGCGTCGAGGGTCGATGCGTTAGCCGGAGGCTGCAAGGCGTCGAACAGGCCGGTGTTGAGCGCGAAGGCGGTGTTTGCCTCCTGCGCGAGCGTGCGCTTGAGCTCCGCGTCGTCCTTGACGCCCTCGTCCATGCCGGCGCGGAAGGCCTCCTTGATGCGCTTCATGTCGCCGAGGCCGGCGGCGCGCCCGGCGTCGCCCTGGGCGCCAAATGCGTAGAAGGACGAGCCAGAGTCCGAGTCGGCGGGAAGGTCGTAGGCTTTGACTATGCGCCGGCGGATAACCTGTCCACCCGAGAGGTCGCCAAGGTAGCGTACATAGGCATGGGCGAGAAGAAGGGGAGCGGTGGAGGATGATGAAGCGAGCGTACTCAGGCGGGTGGCGTAGGAGACGAGAGCGGCGGGTGGCGTGGCGAGAAACGCTGTGTAGAGCGGGTGGGTGGACCAGGCGTCTGGGGCTGGCCGGGGGAGAAGCAAAGCGGAGGAGGCCGGAGTAATGGGGGTGGTAGAAGGAGGGAGAGGAAGGGTTTCAAGGAGGTAAGCGATGTCAGCTTCCAGGCGCTCCGTCCGGGCGAGCTGCGCCGGGTTATAGATGGGCGCGAGGACCGAGTTGGTGGAATATTTTGCGAGAGCGTCTTCCAGCGTGCTGCAGTCAACCTAGTTGATCTTTGTATGCTGTAAGACCGGATGAGGTGGCTCACCTGTAAACAGCCCAGAGCATGAAGTTGAACCGGATGTACTCTTCGCGGTCAAGCTCGCCGCGGGCGAGCCAGCCTGCCCCCGGAGAGTGTTCGGCCGTCGAGTGGGCTGCGGCGGTAGCCTGGCGAAGAAGGGTGGAGACGGGGAGACTGGTGTCGAGCTCCGTCGCCATTGTGGTCGTCTGGAGAGATGCTACTGGGCGAGGAAGGCGACGGCGAAAGCTATATAGACGGGTGGCTCTCGCGGATGAGTCAGGGTCGCTGGAAAGAAGGCAGTCCGAGGCGCGAACACGGGCGTGTCGCGTAGCAGCGGGCTTTTATGGGATATGTCGGGGGCGAGAGGCTGTCCAGGCGCGACGATGTGGAAGTCACAGGGGAGTAAAAGGCAGCGGCGTCGCAAATGAGGCAGGGTGGACGCCGATGGCGTGATCTTATCTGATAACCGCGGTGGTGTGATCCTGGCCAATGTCGGGCCGACCAATGCCGAGGCAGATAACGGGTCTCCGATGATATTCAGCCCGAGATGGGGCCGAGTTGCAGGTTGTAAGTAGAGACCTTGGGCCTTCGAGCCCCCCCTTTGAAGCCATATATACTGCTGGGCGCCATCCGTTCGCTCGACGTCTGGAATGGAACAAGGGTGTCATGTCGCACTCTGCAGACTTCCGTGATCGACAACTTGTGGAGACTGGCACCAGACGCGATCGAAGAGATGCATAGGGTACGAGTGTGCGCCGGTTATCCTTTGACCGTATTCGAGTGCTGCATGCAAAATTCGAACAACTGGGATGCCACAGGGAGAGAGAGATCCATCGCATTCATCTCCGTGGATCCCTCTAATGATGGACGAGATCCCAATTCAATGCGGAGCGCACGTGCGGGGGGCCGTTCAAGAATATCGCGCCTCGCGCCACTGTTCAATGACGCCGCGACGTCTCACCCTGGCTTCTGCACCTTCGCCGTCCACGATGGTCTTGCTGCTGTAGCTCACGCATCCGAGACGGCTTTCACGACGACTACGATACCCTGCTCGACGCTTGCTGCAACGACTTAACAACAGGCCATGGCCGACTACTCACATCGGCCTTTCTCGCGCAACTACAGGTAACTGCTCTTTGATCTCATGTCCCCCCTCGTGCTAATTACGGCGACGGCAGCGGGCTCGTCAACCAGGCAGTCGTCGGGGGCGCCATTGTTCTCCTTTGCGTATCCTGGCACGAGTATGCCAAACGCAAGCGCCGTGGAGACCCGAACCGACGTGCAAACCAGGGTCCGCACGCAAAGGCCCAACTTCTAGGCAGCATCGATACCTGGGAGTTCGGATAGTGAGTGCCTGAGTCGTGAATGTTTGCGTTAACTCATGGGAACTGTGATAGCCTGTATAACGGTCGGTCATGGGCACGGTACGTCAAGAACATGAACGCATGTTAAACTATATTTTAACGCACGATGGCTTAGGCGACCTTCATCACCGTCTCCGAACCGCTGGTACCCATTAGCATGGTTATCTCAAGTGATCTCGTTCTCGGAAGCAGAAATGAACAAACTGCGAGGCATTGATGCCACATTCTATACCCGCTTCCTTCGTGGATGCAGTAGGTGTCGTCCCTCTCTCCCTCTTCACCCACTGCCTTACATTTACCCTGACAGTGTACTATACCCTCCTCCACACATTTACCACGATGCCCGTTCTTCTTCCGATCCATATTTCCTTCGCCGGAGCCGGGTACGAAACAAAGTCCATGACCCGTGCCTCCATCTCTGCCCTCGTCGCCACTTCTAAAGGTCGCTCGCTCCTCTGGGTACACATTGTCCTCCTCTACTGGCTCACCCTCACATGGATGGCCGCCGTCTTTTGGATTTGTCGCGGTGCTTTCCGCTTCCGTGCTGCACAACTAGAGGCCACTGCGGCGCGCATCCATGCGGCCGTCCCTTCCCTTGGCGGCCCCAACGGTTCCGGCACGGGTACGAGCCTTGTTCGCGAGCCCTCTGTGCATCCACATCCTCATCCGCAACACGCCTTCCACTCGCTAACGTCCGCGGGCGACCTGAACCAGGAGATGGAAGACCGCAACCGTGGCCTGCGCCTGCGCACAGTCATGGTGACCAACGTCCCGCCCCAGCTGCGCTCCGAGAAGGCGCTCGCGGAATATTTTTCTTACTGGCTTTCGCGTCATGTTGAAATGCCTGCGATCGGGCTGACATCCGCGACCCAACCCGGGTTCATCAACAAGTTCGCGGCCTTCCTATTCAATCGTGCAAAGCGCAGCACTAGCCGTGTTCGTACGATGATCTTCTCGTACGAGGATAGTCGACCTTCGGAGCGAGCGGGCGCGCACGTAGCCGCGGTAGAGGAAGCAGAAGACGAGGCGAAGCGGGGGAAGAACGACGCGCCGGCGATCGACCGCGTTGTGATCGCGCGGAAGATGACCGAACTTGCAAGTTTGCTGGCCAGACGCGAAGAAGTGTTGAAGAGGCTTGAGGTGGCGCACATCAAGCTCGCTCGCAAGACGCTCGTCGCGGTCAAGGATGCGATCGATGCGCGGGAGCGGCATGCTTTCGCCGGTAGACCGGGGAGCCGACGCGCGAGCTCGCAGATCAATCTTAGCCAGCTTGCAGCCCAGGTACCGGCGGCGGATGAACCAACGGACAGCGAAGAGCGGATGGACCTGCTCATACGCACACTGGGACCGTACGTCGAAGAGTTCGGCGTGCAGAGCTCGCGGAGTTGGCTATACAAGCTTGCCGATTCTTTCCGCCAGCAGCGATCGCCAGCACCGGATTCAAAGCACTTGGACGAACACGACGCGAGGCCAACGGTGTGGGAAGCACTCCTCTCCCTGCCACGAAGCACTTTGGACCCATACCAGCCGCTCATTCACCTCTCCGCGCTCTTCCGCGGCAAGACGGTGCCGTCGATCGACTACTACACTGCGAAGCTGAACTTATTGACCGCGCTCGTGACTGAGAATCGCGCACGGGCTGCGGTGGACTACGACCCGGTCTCGACCGCTTTCGTCACATTCGCGGACCCTGCGGATGCCCGGCGCGCGTGCAAATACCTCGTTGTGCACCCGGACAACCCGCTAAGTTGCATCGTGACGATGGCGCCTGGATACGAGGACCTGGACTGGACGAGGGTGATGAAGAGTACATACCGTGCCGAGTTTCTCAAAGATTGGGTCGTCAACCTCGGTGTATGGACGTTCACGATATTCTGGACTATCCCACTCTCGGCTATCCTGTCGCTCGTGTCGGTGTCGAACATCGAAGCGTATTGGCCCGCCCTTGTAAGCCGCTGCGTCTTTCGGCGAGCCATCCTTTTACTCACTGTTTTCTCCTGCGCAGAGCCGATATCTGAGCGTGCACCCGTGGGAAGAGGAGGTCATCGAGTCCTTCCTGCCCACGCTTCTCATTTCGCTCTTAGCCATCACCGTGCCGCTCCTGCTATTGCTCATCGCCAAGAAAGCGCACACGATCACGACGCTCTCCGCACTTCACGACCGCATCCTGATCCGCTATTACAAGTGGCTTATCCTCAACGTCCTTGTCTTCTTCTGCGTTGGCACTGCCGCGCTGCAAAGTTTTCTCGTCAAGTTCAAGAACACGGTTACGTTTGAGAGCCTAACGAACGTCGTGACGCAGTACTGGCCCAGCGCAGGACCGTTTTATGTGGGATGGCGTAGGTGTTACCCACTGCTCCATTGAATAGCGCAACCTAACTCGCGTGCCACAGTTCTCTTCACGACCGGCATGCATATGGGCTTCGAGCTTTCCCTGCTAGGTACAATCATGTCTGACCTCAGAGAAAGCCTGCTAACGGACATGGCGTAGGTCTTCCGTTGATTATGTATCCTACAACCCGACGTCAAATCACTCCCCGCAAACGAGCGGTCGGCATTCGTCCACGCACGTTCAACTACTACTGTATGCAGTGTCCTTTGTTAACTAAACCCTAGACGCTGATCTGAATTGCAGACTGGCTTCCTAATCACCTCTTAATCGTTCACATTGTACTTGTATTCGCCGTGCTCAATCCTCTTGTCATCCCATTCGCCCTGATATATTTTACCGTGGACCGAGGTACGCCTCAGTTGTGAAATCGCGTTTTATCGTGCTGATTTTTACTATGCGCAGTGGTAATAAAGAATCAGCTCCTTCATGTTTACGCCAAGAACTACGAACAGAATGGGCGAAACCTCATGATTCGCATGGTCCGCTACTCCTTCGATGGTGTGTATTGATGAAATTAAATACGATAAGCTCTGCTGACATCCTCTATAGGTCTTATACTCTCTCACGTTGTCTTCTTGACGTACATGGTAGTCCTGAAGAAGTACACGAATGTCGGATTGTCCGCCGTTCTTATCGGGTTTACGGCTGTTATGAAAATTGTGTAAGTTGTATGACTTAAGCGATGGGAATTGGGCTAAAGGTGCACCGTTCGCAGCATGACCCGGGTGTACAGGGCCAAGTACGAGGAAGACGACATCGCGGAAGCTGCCGTACTTTGCAAGGGCGAAGCCCCGCCGAAGACCCAACCTATTCCCAGTGATGAGGAGGCTCGTCCAGAGACTCCGGACGGTCTCTCCTCCGAGGAAAGTTCACCGCAACCTGCGGGACTTTGGACGTGGAAGATGCCTCATCGAACGAACTTCGGGTATTCGACTGTTCCGAACAGACAGATGAATCTTGCACGTATTGCGAATCCTTTCAATCCCACCAATACGTCTTTCTCGCGCCTCAACTCCATCGACACACTGCGTAGTGCGGCTTCCGGGAAACATTACACATCGTCACCACCTCCGGCGCTCAGTGAGAACCACCCTATCAGCGAGGACGTTGGCAGCGATGCCGCTTCTGTCCGCAGCGATCACCAATCACAGGCGCTTGTCACCCGTCACCCGCCGCACCCTGCATGGGAGGATGAGCCGAACGTGAACCATCCATACGACAACCCGAACTACACCAAACCAATTGGTAACTTCCTCTGGCTTCCGCGCGATCCGTTTGGCAAGCTTGATCTTGACGACACCGTCAATATGCACGCCTCGCTGACGAGCGCGCCCGGCCTTGGTCATATTGGGGCGCTTCGGCAACCGGCGGAAACAGCTACACACCTTGGTCTGTCCATTTACAGCGACACGACCTCAGCGGACTTCAGCATTCCTTTCGTTGAATCGCCCGAGCACGAAGGCGGACCGTCCGGCACCGATGATTCTCCCATTACATCCCCGCTGCCGACGGGAGACGAACAGATTGAACTTCCACCGGCCATCGCGGTCAGAGTCGTGTCTGGTAAAGAGCACGACGTGGAGGAGACCCATACTGTCAGGCGTCGAGCGTCGACCATCAGGACAAGTAACAGGCGCAGTAGCGGAGAGCTCTTTCCATCAGCGAGCAGTCGGCGGTCCCTTGGCATAGGTCGACCCCCGCCGACGTCGCAGTCTTCGCCGCACATGAATCCGATCGACATGCGGTCATTCTCGTCAGGATCGGCGACCTCTCGATATCTCGAGGCGTACCGTCGTAGCTCCTTGTCCACCAGGGAGCGCCGCCCTCCGCACAGTTTGTCGGGGTGGGCTGAGGAACCTGATACGGGGCTGCGACCGGATGCACACGCTCAGGCGACCCTCGCGCGGTCCGTGCAGGAAAGCGGCTCCCGCTCGCGGTTCGCCTTCGCCGCGGCGCACGGCTCGACGATCACGGCGCACGACGCGGTCGTAAACGAAGTCATTGTCGAGGAGGCGGAGGCTGCGGATGAGCGGCTGCGGCAGGAGGAAGATGCGGCGTCGAAGGCCACGCGGCGCAGGCCTTGGTGGCAGGCGTGGATGTTCCATAGTCCATACACATGATGATTACGACGCTATCGCACGGGATTTGTACCACGTTCATATGGAGCGCATTCTAACTTATGTCCACCGTATCTTGGTCACTTGAGATTGTTTGTCGATACCCACAATGGATTACGTTTCCTGGAAAGAATGGGATATACCCTCATTAGGGTACATGCTATGGTGCATCTCTATCAATGCCGACATCTATTTCCTCCAGGCGCGATGGGATCAGTCGCGCTTACTTGACAACTTCTCTATGGGACCTGTCGCTCACTATCTGACGGAATGCACGAGTTTGTAAACGCCACCGTGCCAATCCTGTGTTCTCCTCCCGGCGAGGAGAGACATAGTGGACTATGTCATAGCGTCAGAAGACTGGGCTTCCGAGGACCAAGCGGCATCACGCACCCCGGCCGTTCCCACAAGACCCATGGCACTTGACTGTACGATAGCATCTACGATGATATCGTGCCTGAACAGAAGGGTCGGTTTGATGTTCTAGTTCGGACATAGTGACATACGCACCATGCACTGAAACGTTCGACGGGCTCATCTATAGTTCGGTCCATCTTAACCCAGCCCAAGGAAGTAACGTCTGCCCACCAGGCGGGGTCCTTCTCGTCGCTGGTCATCACGACACGAGTGGCAGAAATACCATGCTTTTCGGCAAGCTCGCGTTGTACGAGTTCCACTGTGTGTGCCCATGTTGAGAGGGGCGTCATGCACTCGTCCTTGGTTTTATCGCCACACATGCGGAGAAAGTCGCCGTGCCGTACGTGGAGGGCGATGTACTATGAATCCATTGAGGTCCCGGTGATCTGTACAATGTCTCTCGAAATACATACTGGCGGTATCGGCTCATTGCTCTTAAGGCCGAACGTCTTCCGAATGTACTTGCGCGCTATCTCTTCAACTTGTGGCGTGAACCGCAGCTTGGATACTACATGATTCCACGCTGGGCTGTAGTCGTGCTCGTACTCGAATAACTGCAGGGAAAGTGAGTCCAACTGTCTAACGAACACGAGCGAGCAATTTTCACCTCGGGGCCAGCTGTCACGTAGTACAAAAAATCGAAGCAGAGTAAGTGGTCATCGGGGTCTAGAGAAACACCATGCTCTCGTGACGGAAGAGGCGTTCCCAGGCTGCTTTTTCGAGTTTCTGGAAATGCCAAAGCAGCCAAGGGCCAGAACCGCGCATGGTCGTTACGGCCAACGACCGTCCAATCCGGGACCCCGGTATAAGATATATCTGCGTTGTTTATGAGAAGCTTGAGGGAATGCCATAGCCAAGCTGATCTACGAACCGAGCTTCAAGGTACTCGGTGTAAAACTGTCTCGAGGTTTGTTCTCCCCATGGGCAGTTTGCCATACCGACCAGCAACCGATGTCTTCAAGTTCCTCACTATCCGGCTGTTTCACCTCGTGCCAGTCCAGGAGATCTATTCCTGCATCTTTCTTGAAGCGAGGAATGTCAAAGACTTTGCCGAAAGGTAGTGGTGTTGAACCCCATTCAACGTGTTCAGTGGCGACGAAAGGAGGCATGATGGGGACTCGGTCGGTGATCTTGCCCATGTATATCATATTACCGAGGGTCATAACATCATTGGCTACGAAGCGGATTAAGTGTCGCGGTGATTATACATCGTACTGTACTCACTCCATCCTGCATTGGTCCATGAGGTGATGTATTTCGTGGTATTCTTCAGGTTGTCTTAGGAGGTGCATATCAGCAACTTTCGCGGATGATTGCCGAAATGTATACAAATACCTCGAAATCGCGCCGTGGGGAGGCCCTCGACCAGTCCACGAACCAACGCATCAGGCTCGTGTGAAGCAGCCGTTCCACATGCCTGACTTTGAGGACCGCTGTTCCCAAGGACGTTCAGAGCCAGGTAGACGAGATACCCCAGACACAGCAGTGACGCGACGCGTTTGGTGCTGGCAGGTGGTCGGGGTAGTCTCAGCCGCGTCTTGGCAAAGAACGGGGGCCCGCCGGCGCCCCTATAATCGTCGTCGCGGGTTGCAAGGCCAAACTCCATGGGGCGCGCGAGTAGGCCAGTATACCGGCACGAATGGATAGCCGCCTGGGGAGCAGGATAAACAGAAACCGAAACAACGCGCCAGGCGCAACATTATTGACACCCTGACAACAGACACCTGCAGACGTCACTGGCATGCGCCCGCCGGGGCAGGCGCTCTAGGAGCAGTAATACTAATACGAAAAGACTCTTTCAATGAGAGAGAAGTATGCGAGAAACGATGGCGGACAGAGCGATCTATACGCCAAGTATGTGTTCTTTGCCAAACACGGCGTGTCGAATATTGCGTGTCACGCTCGAAGGGTCGAACGCGCGCGTTCGCTCATACTTACGTACGTACATACCGGCAATTGCCGAGCACATGTACAATGCGCAGCCCGTGCAGGGCATACGAGCAAAGTACTACGAAGCAATAGTACTCTACATAACTACTGTATGGATGAACGTCCAGCCTGGTGATCGGTAGAATCCTGAATGGGCCTTCGTTTGAATCAACCTTCAAGCCAGTTCGGTCAACCCTAGGAGGAACGGTCAGCTATAATTATTGATGGCGAGTGCAAGCCTGGCTACCGATGACACCGCACGCTGCCCTTCCCCCGGCATTTCCGGTCTTCAAAGACTCGTCGCTATCACCGCGTCCTAGGTCGTCAGTGCCCTGGCAAGAGCTTAGCACTTCGTATCACCGGACGATGATTCTCCTCTCACCTCATGCACAACCACCGCGCGGCTTATGTTCGAGGTGCATGAGCAGGGCTCCACGTGGTTAGGTTGCTTCGAGAGAAGACTCACCCAACAATGCTGTTCGGACCGGTCAGGGAGATCAAGGCGTCGCCAAAGTCGAGGGTGGCGACGCCGTCATTATCGGAGAGGATGTTTCCCAGATCTCCAACATGGCGTGAATCCTTAGCATCGGAGGGTGCGCCGTGTGTGACACCAGCCGGGTTGAAATGAGAGCCCGTGCTGGCGCATCCGCCAGAGACATCCCCGAAGGCGTGTACATGGAATCCACGCTTTGCGTTTTGATCGAGACCGGTTACTTTGCCAGTGATCTTTACTGGGCCGGTGGGTGAGGACTGCGAGAATGTAACAGTTCCTTTGACAGTGTTGCCGTTGAGCACGGCAACCGCCTGCGTGGCATGCACGAGTGAGCACTGAGGTCATACACACATTCGCACGTCGGAGCGCACCTTAGTCACCACAGGGCCGGTAGGTGTTACAACCACTGGCCTGAAGTATGCGTTCCACAATAGGAAAACGAGCACGAAGCCCGCAACTGAGGCATACACCACAGACCTTGCTGACTTTTGTTGGTGTTGGGAGCGGTAGTCCATGGCGGCAGGGCAAGAACCTTTGGTGGGAGGAAGGTGAGGCCAGCTCTGAGGCAATTACGCGCCTGAGAGTCAGCACGACTGTCCAATGAGGAGTTTGCATACGTCACGCGCGGCCGCACGTCAGTCAGGTGACGAAACGCGTCTTGAGAGCCGTCACGGGCGCACACTCGAGAACACATCACTCGACTCGACCATCATGGTCAGATCACAGAAAGGCAAAAAGCGTCAACAATCCTCTCCGGAAGACGACGACGAGGCTCCATTGAGAACTGCTGCTGATCAACCTAAGAAAAAAGTACGATGGAGCAGCGACCATGACGACGATAATGAGGAGGCAGCAGAAATTCTAGCAGATGAGATCTCGGAGGAAACAGGCTCCGACAAAGTATGCTCGAATCTTCGCTCTTCGATGGCCCCTATAAATGTAACAAATAGATTTGCCTTGCGGCGACGTGTCATCGGTGAGACTATTGCAGCGATCGCTTCCAGCACCTTAACAGCGTCCCGGACCTACGCTATGCAGCGGGCGACTAGGCTGTGCATACTATGAACCTGTTCAAGCAACAGTATACGTCTTAGAAGACACGAACGACAGCGTACACTTTGATTTGACGAAAATGCGTGCGTATATGCGCATGTCCTGAAGTCCGCGGTGTTGCGCATTACAATTTCCACAGTATTCGAACAAGCAAATCCGGACATTGTTCTCACCGGCTCTAGGGCCGATGACGAATTCATAGATCTGCTTCGTGACCTCGGTCTGTTAAGGCACAGACAAAGGCGCGAAAAACGCTGATGCGCTTTCAGTCGACGCTTCCTCTGGCCGATTTACCATTCGACCATGGAAGGACTTCGCTGCGCCCAAGGGCCGGGAGAGGCTTCTCTGCCTGCCAATGTTACTGAACCTTTCAGAAGATCCACAAGGAGGAGATGTAGTCTCCACTGTATCCGGGTCGAGCGAACCGCGAAACGCATACGATTTTATGCAACGAAGGCGAGAGGTTCATGGCGATCCAGTGATGCAGCGATGGAACGCAGGAATACGGCTGGCTAACTTTACTGATCCATCGGACTCACCTCTTTGCGTGAGTCGTGCTTTTCCAAGCTGGATCTACCTTTCACCGCTTTTCGCTTAGATGGGCTCCATTGCGGCGCTGCTTGATCACCTGGCACGAGAACGCGCGATAGGGGATTTGGAGCCGGAAGGTCTGGGCGCATTGGACGTTCGCGCAATTAAAAGCGTTTCTCTGTGAACATTCACCTACTCCGGACGTGTCTTGACTCTGACTCGGGTCTAGGGAACAAGTTATGCAGATCAACTCTGACGCTTTATCGTTCGAAATTCGCGTATTCTCCCGGTGGTTCGGTCTGACATCGCGAACAGCTCCCTGCAAATTTTCGAGAACGAAAGTCATGCCTCCATACACTCCGACAAGACCAAAGAAGGTCTATCCTTATTCGGTGCGTTCACGCTCTATCTCACGTCCGCCTCGTTTGATTTTCCTCGATAGGGATTTTGAACAACACTCGGATGTCACTCGGACGTGCCCTGCTACGACAATGGCTTCTGAGGCCGTCGCTCTCATTTGAGGTTATCCAAGCCAGACACGATGCTGTGGAGTGCTTTTCACGTCCGGAAAACTTGACAACTGCGGGAAGTATGCACGCCCATCTTAAGGGGATCAAAAATTTACCTAGATTCATGGCGAATCTGCGAGCTGGCCGCGCTGGAGTGATAGAGTGGCAGGGTCTCGTCAAAGTATGGCTCTTAGGACACTCGATTGGAAATATAACCGACGTTCTCTCAGTTCGCATTCCATGCGGTTATGCTTCACGATGTTATTCAGGAGTTAAACCAGGCACGCCAGGTCCTGATCATTCAGAAGGTCAATCAGAGCCTCGTCGTCAACGGATCGTACTGATATAATGGCAATCAGCTGCACGAAGTGCTGGACGTGGCGGCATTTCGAGTGATCGGAGAGACTATCAACAACACTGTTAGTCATGGGGATTTCTGCCTACGGTGCTTATACCGGCTCTGATGTCCTCATAGATCGACTGGGAAGAATCCGATGAAGCGAAGCGTGTCTGTATCAGACCGCAAGTCGATGAAGAACTCGACAATCTGAAGCACATATACCACGGCATTGACTCCGTCCTTGTATGCATGCGCTTTCCTTCCTGCGCCAAAGATGCTTATGGGCTGCTCGAACGTAGTCAAACGTCGCAGAACAGATATGCGCATCAATTCCGCCTGACTACGTGCCATCGCTTAATGTTGTGTACTTCCCGCAACTCGGTAAGAGCCAGTGCTACTCGCCTCTGAACTCCGTTGAACAGCATCAGGTTTCCTGATCTGCTTGCCAATGTTGGAAGAGTGGAAATCAGGGCAGGATATACAAGTTCTTGATGGGTGGAGCTTCCAGTTCTCTTCAGAGTGAGTCGTTGGAGTGAGCGTGCCAGTTGGAACATCACTTGCTCATGAAGATAACCAGGTCGCATGTCTACTTCAAGTCCCCTGAAATGCGAGGTTTGTGCTGCTCTAATTGGTATTAGCGTCGGCTACACGCACCCTATAGATATGGACACGCACATCGGTGATCTTCAACCGTCAATCGTTGGTGAGTCAGTCTTTGCGCGGAGTGTGCATCTCCTCAAATTGCTGGAAGATCGCGAAATCGAGATTGCGCAGAGCTTGCTGGAACAGCTTCTAGCTTACGACAACGCAATATGTGACGCCTGTCACGTCTGCGCGGAACTTGACTGTTTACTATCCTTTGCCGAAGTGTCTCGAGCGCTCGACTATCGGAGACCAACCATGGTAGAGAGGAACGTAATCCATATCAAACAAGGACGGCAAGTACTTCCTACAATTTGCCATACCCTCGCAGCCCACCCTTCGGACAGGCATCCATTACAAGAACAAGTCGTGGATACATTTGTGCCAAACGACGTGACGATCACAGGTGGCGCGGGGCTTGGTGTACTCCAAGGACTACCGGTAGAAGACGACGATGTGCCGCTAGGAAACAGTGTCGTTATCTGCACGGGCGCAAATGCCTGCGGAAAGGTGGACGTCCTACGTATTGGCATTGCACACGAGCCTGAACTTTGTAGAGTGTTTACCTCAAGCAGGTGTGCAACTGAAGCTAAACTCTGCCCTCAAGCTTACGATTCGCAATCGACCAGACTGCAGTCATACAGTTCATGGCTCAGGTGAGCAGCTCGATCTATTATCAACGCCTATTGAAACTCTTCCCAGATAGGATGGTACGCAACTGTCTTTCACGCACTCATATTTTGAGATGATGTGTAGCTTTGTACCGGCGGAGTCAGCAACATTGGGCATCGTCGATAAAAGTGCTAAACACTGGTCGATCGAATTAAGTGGATTTTGCTGATCAATCCCCCGTAGTTTTCACCCGCATCCAGACTACAGAATCAGTCTCCAAAGTGAAAGCAACGGAACACATGCAGACAGAGATCTGATCCGCTCTTTCATATCTTCCGCAGGTTCAATCCGCTTTTATGATTGACCTCAATCAAGTATCCCTTGCTCTGCGGAATGCCACTGCCAGATCGCTGATACTTCTGGACGAATTCGGCAAAGGCACCATTTCCACAGGCTCGTATATTCACATTATTCGTGAAGGACATCTGCGCAAGGGATTAACACCAGCTAATTTGCTTCTGGATTTTGGACACGACGTTTTCTGTGCCTGCTCTTCTACTTGCCTGAAGATGGAGCTGGATTGTTCTGCGGCGTCATCAAACATCTGCTATCTCGAGGCGCCGCTTGTCCCAAGGTCATGGCGACAACGCACTTCCCCGAGATTTTTGATCGAGAACTGCTCGACGTTGGTGCACTGCCTATCACGCTTTCCCACATGGAGGTACTGGTCACGTCCAGTGATGGAAATATAGCAAATGAACCTGGGCAATTCGCGATCAAACCTGGTGAAAAAATAACATACCTGTACAGGTATGTAATCCGGCCTCGATGTGCTAGACTCCTGAAAAGATGCCCTCAGGGTTGCCAACGGACTATCGGTCGAGTCGCATGCCACAATGTGTGCCGAGCTCTTCGGCATACCGCGACGGATTGTTGAGAGAGCCCAATACGTCAGGTAACGCCCGGTTTGCATCACTGGTGATATGATTAAAGCCTTTCAGTCATCTGCTATCTATTCATGAGGTTGGTGAGCTTCTCGACGAGGATATGAACGAAGACGAAAGAGTGGAGCTGGAGGTTGCCGAGGCCATTTGTCGTCGTTTCTTAACGTGGGACTTGAGCCCAGACAGAGATGATAGCGAACCTGTCAAGACGACTTTGGCGACAGTCCTGGGACGCACAGCGGAGGGATGACATGACTCGAAGCCCGCTTGTGCATGTATCTGTATACATTAAGGTCCATGATCCATGGAATCAGTAAAACTCTACATCTATATAAAGGTGCCCGAAAGCAATTGTTGCGATTGTTAAATGTTGGTAAAATGCGATGGTGACCAATGTCACTGCTTATGAATCTCAAGCCCAGGTGGTGCTCCGAGCGCGTCTTTAATCGCGCCGTATAGAAGGAACTGGCCAGATACAAGACCGGCTGTCATGACCATCCTGGGTCCGAGGCCAGCGAACAGTCCCCTAAAACCGGCCTCCTTTGCCAGCATCGCTAGTCGATGAGGCATCGATCCTTCCGGTCCATGGCCCTTGTTGATTTGCGATAGCAGCGTATCGGCGGGCTGGCTGAGGATGGCAGCGGCAAAGCCGGCGATGATACCGCACCCTAGGTCGGTGGTAAACTTGGATACCCCAGAGAGGTTCTTCTTCTTCTCTTCTCCTATGGAGCGATTCACTATCTCGTGACACCACTCGTTCACGGTGAACTGCCCTATGGCGTAAGGTATTTGCCTGTGGCGCATGTAAGTCTTGGTCATGGCTCAGTGATTTGACTAGAACAATTACGTACTTGCACAGAATCGGAAGAAAGCCGGCGTATAACTCGCGAACGCCGCCTTCTCTTGCAAGTCGAGTGAAGCCAGTAGTGAGACCCGTGGCATATCCCCGCTCAGAGACGAGACGTATACGAGTTGCCTCAAGGGGGGTCAGAAGAATGTCGGCGAAGAATCTTCAGACAGATCTGAGCATGAGATGCACGTGGAAAGTGATGCCGTCACTCACTCTGCTGTACTCGAAGCGCCGAGATATATCGCGGTGCGATATTTCGTCGCAGTTTCCTCGTCACCGGCTATCTGAACAAACTTCTTCTTCCAGTACTCATACCCGGCAAATTTGGCTCCGCCTTGGACAAGATATCCGACGGCGGTAGGTCCGAAGCCAGTCAGGAGTGCTGATGCACCTTCGTTCGCGACAATGTATCTGTTACGTTCATCGCGGCCAATGAGCATGTACCTGGCCACAGAATGCTGGGCCGCCATACCTGCCGCCTGTTACCAGACTGTACCCCTTTAGCTTCGGGTCAATCTGTCTGTTCAAGAGTGAGGTCCAACTTCTCGCTGACACATTGCAGGCGGTAAGCATACATGCGGGTCTTGACAACATCGACAGCTGCAGTAACGCACGAGTTAACAAAGCTCCCAAAGCTGGCCAACAATAAAAACGCACGGGTCATCCCTCCATGGGTAACTCTGCATATGCAACGTTCGCGTCAGCGTCGGATTCTGAGGTTCAATGGTATGCAGCGTACGTGCAACATAGCGCTCCTGCAGGCGCGATAAGAGTACTGACCGGGGTCAACGTAGTTACAGATAGCACTCATACGCACCGGCAAGGAAGAAAGACGAGTAGTCCTTAGGCGTGAATTGTGGTGTACTGAATGGTTTAACGGGCAGTTTCTCGGACGCTTGAGACATATTGTAGTCGGCGCAGGTTGCTGGGTCGGTCGTTTGACCATCTCAAGGACGCGGGGCGGCGGTGTTATATGGGCGCGTCGACGACGTCATCGTCGGGTCGTCTTGCGTTTATCCCCGTATATACACGACCACGTGGCTTTGCTGATATCGACTCCCGAACGCGTCCTCACCGCAGTCTTCACTCGATCGGTATTACCACACGGACGGCATGGCTTGGGAGGCGGAATTCAGAAAAGGCATCAACGAGTACAAGGCTACGCGCTATCAGCAATCGCTCACCCACCTCACCAAGGCGCGTCGAGAAGTGGCGAATATGCAGCTGTCGTCTGACTTCAGTACTAGGCCATAGACCTGGGCGGCACGCGATATAACATCTTCGATTCCCGTGCAGCTGTCCACGAAAAGCTGAAGAACACGAAAAACGCGTTACTTGACGCGAAAAGGGTCATCGAACTTGCGCCCCAAAGATGGCAAGGTTATTACCGCTCGGCGCGTCTCTTCTTTGCAGTCGGCAAATACGAACACGCGCTGAAGATGATCGACTGCGCACTTGCTCGCATCGATGTGACGGACACAAAACGGCGCCAGGAACTCGAGCTCCTTGGGCAGAATGCTGCGAACGCACTGGAGAACGCCCGCAGGCATACCTCGCGAATCACCTGTCATCTCGCCAAACTGCCCTTTGAACTTCTCGTCGAGATATTCTCCGTTCTGCTGGAAGAAAATCCACAACGCATTTTAGTCTTTGCTTCAGTTTGCATGCACTGGAGGGACGTCGCATTAAACGCACCTGTTCTCTGGGGTGCGCTCGTCTTAACGGCGCGCAATCCATCAAAGAAAATCCAGCTGTGGAAGGAGCGATCAAGAGGTAGAATCTTCTCGGTCGTCGTCCGAGACGATGCTTTCCCCGAAACGCGTTTTACCGAAGCAGCCTATGATCTGCGGGATGTCGTGATGTCGCGCAATATCAAAACATTGGAAGTACCTAGCGCACTCCTCGTTGCAATCCTGGACACTGAGCCAGATTCCTCGCAAATCGCCTCCCTCGCTCCGCCCAGATTGCTCTTGAGTGGTGCTTATATCTCCTTCCGAGCCAAACCCTGTTATGATCGCCTCGACGGGCAGAATCTCCGATCCTTGGAATTCTGTGATGTGTCCATATGTCCACCACCATGGACCACTCGTGCAATCACGATCACGGCTCTGCGCACCTTGACCATACGTGGGCTCACCTTGTTGCGGACGCCGGATTTAATCCAGGTGCTCCATCGAAATCCATACATGGAGACGCTCGTGGTGGATTTGTCCTCAGGCTCCACCGTAGATGCTTATTTTCACGAGGAAGATGGTCTACTCGTTGAGCTTCCCAACCTCGCTCATCTTGAATTGGCCAACGTTCACCTCGGGGCCATAGATATCATTCGGTGGTTGCGTTTATCGAAGCTGCAAGTTCTACGGCTCGACGCGATCCGCGACATCGTCGACAACTTCTTATCTTTCCTAACGACCGTTCACGGCACAAACTCGCTCACCACGTTGCGACTTGCGCGGTGCATATGGACTGCTGAAGCACTCAAGGCTTTGGTTGCTGCGTGTCCAGACATGGAGACGCTCGAAGTCACTGCGTTTGCTGGCGAAGACATCAACAACGTTGTTGAATCACTAGCCCCTGCAGGCACTTCAGAAGTCAGGTTGTCCCGATGGCCATTACTCAAAAACCTCGACTTCTCCGGCAATCCGAGATTGAGGACAGGACCACTCATCAAGCTCGTCAAGGCTCGCCTTCCTCTAACCTCCCAAAATGGTAGCAGTACAGAGAATTCGACATCGAGAACCTGCGACATTACCCCCATTCAATCGTTGAACGTGAATGGATGCGATAGGATAGAGGCGGAATCACTCCCCTGGTTCAGAAGCGTCGTGAAAGCATTCAGCTGTGTATATATGACAAGGAAGCAAGCCAAACGTGTTCGCTGAGGATAACAGCTCGGCATATGAACTCCTAACCCGGCGCTTAATTAGGATTTGCCACAACGGTCCGCCTTCGCGAAGTGATTTCTGGATTGATTGTTGTTTGACTAGATACTCGATCATGACCTCGCCGTACCTCCGATGAATATACCACGAGCCATTACTGATCACCTCGGATCTGAGGCATTGATCGAGGTAATATATGTGACAACAGAAAGACATTTCGTTCGATACCGGAGCAATGATAGTGGTACAATTCATACGCCAAGACCATTGGTACAGGATACTCTGACAGTGCGCTCCGTCAATCACGTTTGCGGGAACAGTCGATTACACTTCCAACGTTCAACGCTTCACTCGTGATCTGGGATCCTGTTCATGTCAGTAAAGTGAAGAGTAAAGCGAGAAACTGCGCCTACTTAGCCACTTAAATCTTGCGTGGAGCAAGCGCAACAGCGGATCCGTAGTTGTAGTGCTGGCCCACTGTCTGATGGATTGCGACCTTCGCATCCTTCTGGAACACCATGATGATGTCCGATCCGCCAAAATGGAAGAATGAGATCTCGTCACCCTTTTCGACCGTCTGACCCGCCTGAACGCTGAGCTTGACGGACGAGACCTGCGCCATGCCGATAGGGAGCACAGCGACGAGACCGAGGTCGGGGTTGTCGATGAGGATCAAAGCGCGGGCCTGTAAGAACTGGTAGCCAGCCGTGTCCGGGGCGTCGAGGCTATCCTGCGGCGAGACGTCAATGACACCCTCCGTCTCGCGCTTGGAGCGGAGAGGGCGGTGCATGTGAAGCTGGGGGCGACCACTGCGCGAATTCGGATCAGTCTTCAGAACGACCTCGAGGTAGCATATGCCGGGAATGACCTTGGCCTCAATGATCCTGCCCGAGACGGGAGCGTGTTGGCGATGATAATCCTGCGGACCAAGGAAGGAGTGTGTAAAGATGCCACCGGCGAAGGCGGGGCCGTGCTCGGTGTCGGCGAGCAGCTGCGAGATGCTCCATGGCACACCCTTGACGGAGAAAGTGGTGATGTTGGCTTTGTCGTCGATTGGCCACTGCCCATCGTATGAGCAGTCCGCAGGGCTAGTGATCACGATCGACTCGAGAGTGTCGGGCGCGACCGGACGCAACTCCTTCTTGATGTGCCGGGCGAAGAACTCGTTGAAAGTATTCCACTTAACACGGGGGTAATCCTGCATATGGTACTTGTCCGCAGCGTAGAAGGAGTCGATGGACTCTTCGGTGATAGACCCGGGCTGGTCCATCCACTGACCCATCTCCTGGGCATATCGGATCAGCCAGTCGCTGAGCCATCTATACGGCGGCTTGGTGGAAGGATCAATGAGATCTTGGAACTGAGATACGGGAGGCAGGTCGATGATGAAGTAGAATAAACAAATGTGGAGGAAGACGTTGGTGCTGCTGTGGTCCTCGTAAGGAACCCAATGCACGTATTCATCCATGTAACGGAAGTAGTCTTCGACCGTGTGTACATCGTAGTCGTCAAAGACGGCGAGACCAGTATCATGCGCGCGAGAGAACGACAACCGGAACTGGGACTTGAATTCGGCATTCTCGGGATTGTTGTAGTAATCCACAAGCTCCTGAACGATGGTTGTGTGAGACATGACTAATGCGCGTTAGCTTCGGTAATCACACAGAGAGAATTGCGCATACTGTAAGATGCCGAAAGCTCGGAGTGCACGGACTGAAAAGAATATATAATGTAAGTGGTTGTCTAGCTTGTTGAACTAGGCGGGCTCACAATGGTTCGCTTGATGAGGATCTGGGGACAAGTGAGTGCGTCGTTCCACCTTAAATACATCTTGAAGACAACCTCGAGATATTGAACGTCAGCTGTGTCCAGCCATCGGCAGCTACAGGTTTGGTACCCCATCGTGATTTACGGCCGCACGGATATGATCGATAGCAATGAGGACAGGGAGCACACCACACGTACGTGATGACAGCGAAGGGGATCGGAGGTTGGTCAACGCCGAGTGGCGCTAGGAATTGACCAAGAGGATCGGAGGTGCCCGACAAATTGTGTTGATTCGGGAGAAGCTATCTGCGATGTGTATGAAACCTGTCGCACTCCGTGAGAGCATGTCCAGCGCGTACAAGTGACATACACTGACCAAAATACGTATCGATTTGGCGAGCTTGCGTTGAGGGTGATGATTATGGAGCGTATGACAAGACCAGCTTTCACCTGAACCAAGAGCGGCGGGAGCACGCCCGATCTTGAGGCCGCAAGACCTCCTATGGTGCCCATATATTAACGGTTTGGCAAGCCCGTACCTTTTCCAAAGACCTCGGAAGAAGCGCCCGCCATGATTAATATTGGAGTTAGTATGCATAGGTCGAAGAGCTCGAATCCCGGCGGTGTTGCCAAATCATGGTATCAAAGAGAGCGTTCGACGACTGCTACCACGAGGTGTTAGCGACGTACTTCAAGCCAGACTTCGGTGCATATGCTGAGCAACCACCTGGGCAGTAGTAAGCTGTTAACCATTGACTCTTAACTAGAACGAGATGCGAATCGATTTGCTTCACAATTGATATTCCTTCCTGTCACATGAATGTTACAGATGGTTGCCTTGCCAGCTTCCTATAAATGTGTTCGTGACACATTATGTTCTCCTCCAGGAGACGAGGGCGATTGCCGGCACTAGCGATATGAGCACCGCAGAACGGGAGAAGCGTGTCCAGATTGCCCATCCACGAGTAATGGGCTTGCGATAGATGACAGCAGAGTTCAACGGCCGATCATCAATTGTCAAGCAGGTGCTAGAAGGAACGTAAGGGGATCATGCGGGCCGACTCCCTCCATAGTTTTTTCTCACTTTCAATGTTTCTCGAGAAAATTACAAGCAGATACGATAGGCGGAACATGGCAAACATTAATCAACGATCTTAGGGGCAGAGCAAAATGGTGCTAGAGAGCAGGCTCAGGGAAACAGAGTCCAAGGGCAACTTCTCCTGCAGATGTACATCCAGAGAGTTGGAGAATTTGCATAGCTAACGTAGTCCGAGCCATGTGGCATACAATTGCAGTCGAGAGAGGTATGCGGTCGACAGTCTACACCGCCATTCGGGATTCATATGTGGCCGCGTGTAACCCGCATCGAGCTCTCCTGTCGCACTCACCTGGCTGACATGTTTGCCCCCCAATCCCTACAGTCAAATGACATTCAAACTGGAGGAAGACTGAGCTTGCATATGGCGACAGTGTGCACGGCAAACGGACAGGGCACAGATATACGTGAGCCACATATCATTATAATGGGGTTGCACTGTGATTACACCATCACGCCACGTTCAGTCATGTCGTACTCCCCATATTGCCTTGTATCATGCATTACTACCATATATTACTCGTGACAGGCTGCACCATACATTGTATAGATACTCTACACAGCATCACCCAGAAGCTACTCGTCAACACCCTGCCGAAACACAAGAGCCCACTGCGCGCGGGCAGGGCCCGGGCTCAGCGCGCGGAGCTGAGTCATTGGGATTGCCTCCATGCCGTCTCGCGCGACGAGCACATGGAGGACGGGGCCTGAGTAAGGGTCGTAGAGCGAGGCGGGCACGTTCAGATCATTGCAGTAGGACGACGGCGGCTGCGCGGGGTTCATGTACGGCAAAGGCGGGTCGGCGTACGGGTTGGCAGAAGCGGGGTATAACTCGGCAGTATAAGAGGCCGCAACGGATTGGGCATAGCCGCCACCACCCACGCGTGAGTAGAACGGAAGAGCGCGTCGGGGAGAGCCAAAGCCACCGGAGGGCGATGACTTGGCGAACACGCCCGCTGAGCTTGGGCCACTTGATGGCTTCGTCTAAAAGTGGAAGAGCATCTTCAATCGTGAGCGCCAGAGGAGCGTAGGGCAGAGCACAGCAAGATATGGGTGACGGCGAGCGCAGGGCGTGGCTGACGATGAGCGCGGGCACAGTTGACGGCGATGGCGCGGGACACGACCAAGGACACGGCTGACTGTCAACCGTGTTCCCAGGGATATTGTAAGTATGGGAACTCCAAAGACAATTTCTGAATGCGAACACGTTGGTTGACGAGGAAAGAGCGATTGCGAAGATGTGACAGCGCGAGTAAAGGCAGTCACCAGCAGTCACCATCGTACTTGCACGTGAAGCCTGATCTCGCGTCTCCCATTTTTCACTGCTCATTCCAGGCGCGAGTTCAATCGCGAGTCCACCACTATCAACTATGGCAGAGCGTCGGATAGTCGTCCTCATCTCCGGCGGAGGTCCGTGCGTGCCCGATCGGATTGTTATAGAGCGGCTTAGTTGTTTCTGATACAGGTTCTAATCTCCAGGCCTTGATTGACGCGTGCAACACTCCGGCCCTGCCGAATGCGCGCATCGTTCTCGTACTATCCAACAGAAAGGCCGCGTACGGCCTTCAGCGGGCGCAGAACGCCCAGCCTCCAATACCGACCGCATACCTCGCCCTCCAGCCGTATCTGAAGACCAACCCCGGGAAGACGCGCGAGGATTACGATGCGGCGGTGGCGGACATCGTGCTCGAGGGGGAACCGGACGTGGTTGTCCTCGCAGGGTGGATGCATGTGCTGAGCGAGCGGTTCTTGGACGTTCTCGCGGGGAGGACGACCGACCGCGCAAGCTCGAGTGACGCGCCGGCGATCCCTGTGATCAACCTCCATCCGGCCTTGCCGGGCGCTTTCGACGGCACACATGCGATCCAACGCGCGCATGAGGCCTTCCTACGCGGGGAAATTACGAAAAGCGGGGCGATGGTTCATCGCGTCGTGAAGGAGGTAGATCGCGGGGCACCAGTGGTTGTTAGAGAGGTGGAGATGAGAGAGGGTATGTCACTTTTGGATTTCCGCTGTTCCAGGCTGATCACGAAGATCTGTATCTTAGGCGAAGACCTGGATACATTCGAGAGTCGAATCCATGCCGCTGAGTGGGAGATCATCGTCGAAGCTACCAGGACAGTGTTAGACGAGACCAAACCTACAATATGAATCGTGGTGCACGCTCGAACCCACCCCGAGCTTGACCTTGATGATGACACGCCATCAATGCCCGCAGAACTGCTGATTGCGGCTCAGTCGCACGTTTTCGAGCTTGCATTAATAAGCCTAGCCGTGACCACCGCATGGGTTCCTCTCGTTCGAGTGGGCGAGGGTAGATAAGTAGCGTCATTTGGATAATCTCTGTCGCCCTCAACTTGCCCACTCACGACCCCCACTTGCGGACTCGACCCGACTGTGGCACAGTGATATGCCTGACCCTATCATATTTTATGATATCCACAACACGGCGGCTACCGCGGAGGCACGCGCCTGGTCCCCGAACACGTGGAAGACGAGGTAAGACCTGTATCCCAATGATATGAAGCGGGTTCATCCTTAACGTTGAGGATCCGTAGGTACTCCCTAGGCTTCAAGGGTCTACCCTTCAAGACCGTATGGGTAGAGTATCCTGACATCGCCGCGCTCTACAAGCGCCTCGGAGCGACGGCAACGTCTACGAATCCCGACGGCTCACCATACTACACCCTCCCAATCATCCAAGACCCCTCCACGGGCGCGGTGGTCTCCGATTCGTGGAAGATCGCCGAGTACCTCGACGCCACCTACCCGGGCACGCCGCGACTGCTCCCCGCGGGCACGGCGACACTGCAGTCCGCGTTTCAGGCCGCGATCTGGTCCGCGGCGACTCAGCATCTGGCAGATCTGATGCAGGGCCCGACGAGCCGGCTGCTGACGCCGCGCAGCGAGGATTTCTTCCGGAACACGCGCGACGTCGAGGGCAGGTCTACGCGGCGCGACGAGCGCTGGGAGGCGGCGGAGGCGGGGTTCAAGCGCATCGCGGCGTGGTTCGACAAGAACGGCGAGGGAAGCCGGTGGGTGATGGGCGACACCGTCACGTTTGCGGACTTTGCGCTCGCGAGCTGGATCATTTGGGTGAGGCAGGTGGACGGACACGGGGATTGGCAGAAGGTCAAGGCGTGGGATGGTGGACGTTGGGTCCGCTATGTGGATGGGCTCAGCAAATATGCCGTCTTTGACCAAGGGCAACTGTACTGAAACATCGCGGTGTATAAACCCGAGTAGCATTGCATTAATGAATCACATGGATGATGGAAATTGGGATGACGGAGATATCGAGACAGCTCAACTATCGCAGGGAAAGGCTCCAACCCACTTATCGAACAGTTGTAGCATTGAACCGTCAAGGGCAAGAGAGAAAGAAGAAACGGTGCGCCTGGAAAGCCGCGAAACACGGGTCGTGGTAAGAGCCCAAGCTGCAGCCGGCGCTTGGCGTCATCATCACAGCTCGGACGAGCGCGCCTACACCATGCCTCTAGTGGCTCTTCCTCATACGCCATGTCCATGCTCGCCAAGTTCCGTCAAGGCGCCCACAAGGCGCACCTACAAGCCAGCGCCTTCGTGAAGGATGCCGGCACCAAAGTCTCCTCCGAAACTCGGGATTTCGTCCAGGGATTCAGCTTGCCCGGCGAGGCGGAGAAGGCAGCCAAGATCCTCGCCAGTTTTTTGGGTACGTCCGTACGGTGTTAGCATGACATCCTGTTCGTGATGGACGTTGCCGTAAACACACTCGTACAGCCGACCCTGATCACCCCGAATCCGCCCTGAACGCGATACCGAAAGCCGTACTCCAACGAGCGCGCGGTGAGCACAACCACCCCGCATACCCCTCGTACTCCAAGTGGTCCTGACGACAACCCTCAAACCCCCAGGCCTCGCCGTCTTCCAAGTGATCAAAGCCGGCTTCGTCTTCTCCGGCAAGGCCGGCTCCGGGCTCGTCATCGCCCGCCTGCCCGACGGCTCCTGGTCCGCGCCCTCCTGCATCGCGACCGGGGGCGTCGGCTGGGGCCTCCAGATCGGCGCGGACATCACCGACTTCGTGATCGTCCTCAACTCGGAGGACGCCGTCCGCGCGTTTTCGATGGGCGGCAACGTCACCATCGGCGGGAACATCAGCGCCGCCGCGGGGCCCATCGGTACCGGCGGCAGCGTCCAGGCGTCCCTCGCGCATCCCGCGCCCATGTTCTCCTATTCCAAGTCCAAAGGTGTGCTTGCTAGTTTTTCGACATCATTTCTTCGCCGTGCTCATTGACGACGCTGCAGGTCTCTTCGCCGGCGTCTCCCTCGAAGGCACCGCCCTCATCGAGCGCAAAGACGCCAACCGCGACTTCTACGGCTCACCCGTTCCCGCGCGTGACATCCTCGGCGGACGCGTCCCTCCTCCCGAAGTCGCCTCGCGGCTGTACGAGGTCATCGAGGCCGCCGAGGGCCTCGACGAGACCGGCCTCCCCGAGGAGGCCTACGTCCCCACCGCGACCGGCGAACACGTTCCCGTCGAGAACACGGTATTCGATGCGGACCACATCCACATCTAGACACCCAGACGTGTGTCATGCGGAAACGACGAGCGGCTATCTTACGATATATACCATTACGCATGTACGATCCTCCCCCTCTGGCAAACGTTACTCTGTACAACAGGTGGTTGCGCGAAGACGATGCAAGTCCATGGAATTCTAGATTTCTATAATGCAACGGATTATGTGCGAATGGAGTAAGTACATGCAATTGAGTGAGTGATCGTGTCCATGAACAAGGTGAGTGCCGACAAAATGGAATGGACGGCGAGGTATATAATAAGAGCGATGCGTGAATAGATGAACGGTAATGACAGACAAGATGCATCCAAAAGTATGTAAATGCCGATGACAGCGTCCAAGAGTCCGATCGGCGTGTTGCGATGAGATCAGGAACAGCCGTCCACGAGGCTGTTCTTGGGTATGGTCTGTCCGAAATCGTCCACCCATGTCGTCAAATTTGGGTTCGAATACGCTTCGATATATCTGTGGATGCTCCGTCAGCGATCGTCCCCATTCTTACGGTCGACCGCGATCTTACTGGTTGATATATGCGGCCGTCGGGAAATCGCTCGGGTCGCAACCGATGTTGATGCTGTCCTCCCGCTGGTACACCCTGATGTAGTCGATCTTCAACGTCGTCGGGAAGGTGAGGTCGTCGAGGTCGATAGAACCGAAGTTGTACGACATGCCGAGGTTGGCGATGAGGTACATGGGCTCTTGCGGGATCGGTCGCGCGGAGATCTCGACAGCGGAGTCGGCAGCCATGCCGCTGGCAAGGAGCGTCCACGCGACCTTGTCGTCCGCGACCCAGGTAATGTATGCGTCGTCAAAGCCTACGATCGGAGGGTCAGCACGGTGTATATAGGGGTTTGACAATAAAAAGCGCGACGTACCAGGTTGGTAGTCGAACGCGTATACGGAGAAGCAGTCGTTGACAAGCTCGTAACAAAGCTGGTTCGTCTGCGTCACACCACTCGTCGCCTGCTGGTACACACCACCCTTGTAGCTGTTGAGTGCGGTAATGGTTTCGTTCGCGATCGAGAAGTTATCCGTGGTGTTGAACCAATTGTATCCTTGGTTATACGGCTGACAGAACATTCAATCGACTCGTCACTGTAGCTCATCTTGAAGACTACTCACCGCCCACTGACAAGACTGCGACACCTGACCGGTCTCGTCCGATACCTGAGCCTCGAACACGTCGATCTCGGGTGCGCTCCTTCCTACATAGGTCCCGTCGCTATGCTTCGGGCCGGGGTGGCTCTCGCCAGAGCAAGTGCACCGCGACAGGCGTTGTCCAGGCTGGTACGAGAGCACGCCATCGTAGCCGGAATCGCCGCCCGTCAGCGCCGCAGCGGGCTGGCCGTTGATCGTCTGATTCGGCGCGGTGCCGACGTCGCAGGCGTCGTACGTATATGGCCACATGCCGTCGAGCGTCGCGCCGTAGCCTGCGCGACCGAGGTTGCCCATCGCCCACACGGCGGGCCAAAGACCGACGATGTTGTTCGCGCCGGGTAAGCTGACGGCGGCCTCGAATATGCCGCCCGTGAAGCAAAACTTGTTCCAGGTCGCCAACATGCCGCCCTGGTAGTTAAGGCCATGCGTCTCCTTCTCCGACAACCTGCGGCGCGATGAATCCAACTGGATAGAGAAGTTGTGTGTGATGTGTAGTACGCACGTAATCTGCAGACTACCGTCCTTGGTCATAATCGCGGCGGGATCATACCACTCCAGGTTGTTGGTCGACCAGTAGTGGAGATCGACCGCTTCCCAGTATGGATCGTCTCCGGGGTAGAACGTCCGACCGTTCATGTTGAACTCGTCGCTGAACACGAGCTGGTAGGTTACGGACGAATCGTGGTATCCGGTGCGGGTATATGCGCTCGTGGGCGTGTCTTGATCGATGAGACCCCAGTTGCCGGGCATGCTGGGTACCTGAATGACGTATTGTATGAGCGATGGTGTTCGAAAGATGCCAGATTGCTCAACGGACCTGACCGCTGGCATTGGTTCCGCCAAGGTTGAAGCCTCCGTTGGTACTCTGAGTAGAACTCGTAAAATAACTGATAACGGGATATCCAGCACTGCGTGCGAGAGCTTTAGCTTACGCGCTGCGGGTGAATGCGCGGGGAAGCGGGGTACTCACAACAAAGTGACGATGGAGAGGATCAATAACAATAAACATCCCAAATTTGAGAGGCCTCGAGCAGTGAAGACCGAACCGCCCTGGTCGTTCATCTTGTCGCGGTTGGGATCGGGGTTGTGCAAGTAATCGTCGGGCTCTGGCGAGGAGAGGTATAAGGCGGCTCCCCATCGTGCGGGGTCGGCGGAGAGGGAAAACTGAGCGGAAACGAGTGAGATGAAAGGCAGAGAGTAACGATCGAAGATCGCCGACCTTTTCGGAGATGGAGTTGGTGAGAGAGGCGGTCTTTGCGGACGAATACGGCGAGTCGTCGCTCTAAGATGCGGCTGTGAGTTCCGAGCTGGCGGTGTGGGTGGGTGCAACATACTAGAAAGCTCGAACGGGCGCTCAGGCTAGCTGCAGGTCCTCTAAAAGGCAGGCTGCTGAGCGATATCGGTACACCCGCCTGGTGCAAAGACGGAGACTGGTCTCCGCTAGAGGATCCGCTCGGTGTCTCGGCTTCGCGCGACCCGAGCAAGGATGTATAGGACGTCGTCTGCGGAGAGCTGCCTGACGCGTAGGGCGGTCGCGGACCATCCATACTGTGATCACGATGGACGCCGAACGACTAGAAGGCGCACTCTAGCCCGGCGAGGAGATTGGGGAACGGCGGCTGCAGCGGGCGGACAGGACAGGACGGAAAGGACAGGCGGGCGACAGACGACGAGCACAGGCAAAGCGAGGAGAGGAGGAAACGGCGGGCAGGGCGGATTTGGGGTCGGGCGGAGGACGGCGATGGGAGGGTATACGGTTCAGACGGGGCCAGTCCAGACGCCGCCGCCCGGACGCCCTCCAGAGCCAGCCAAAGCCAACTGTGCCGTCGATATATTTGGGACGTCTGTTGCCAAATGCAGGCAAGTTGCGGTGCCCGTCTCCATTCATTTCGGTGGCCGCAGCACGCCCAAGGCGTCCGCGGCGCTCTCAGCCGCCATCTCGGTGGCCGATCGCCCTGCGCAACGGGCGCGCCTTCGGTGGATATGCAAAAAAGAAGTGCCCGGCGTCATTCGAGGGCGCGTACAGTCGTCGGGACCCGCCGAGCACATGGCCGGCCGGCTCGGCCACCCCTTTGTGGCAGTCCGTGCACCAGTCTGACAGCGCTCGTCAGAATACGCTCCATGCGCGCTCCGACAAGCACGAGATGAAAGCATCTAGCAGTCGCCGCACCGCGCTCGTCGTTATCGCTGCCCAGCCGATCCAAGACCCGCAGCGCTGTCGTAAACTTGGCACAATACAGCGTGCTACCGACCTAGAATGCAGTAGGATTCCTGTTGTCGACGCTCCGTTTGTAGGACGACGATTGAACTACATACTCTCATCAACTTGTCGGGCTTTAAGTTGACGCAAACAGGCTGCACAGAGAATGTCAAAGTCAACAATTGACCTGCCTTGAAACGGGCTTCCTCTGACGTAAACGACGTCTATACCCGCACCCTCAAGTCAATGCGTCTACAAACGCTGCAGTACGAGTCAGGCTTTACACGTATGACCAGCGAATGTCCAGAGGAGGGAGCGCGATTTACACTAGTGATGTAGCCTCCCTCCGACACCATCTCTGTTGCACATATTGTCATTCCGACGACACACGTGAAGCTAATAGCACCATCAGCGGCTTTAAAACGAGGTACGCACACAAATCGGGGGCTCGTTCGCAGTTGATGGCATCGGCAGTACACATGACAGCATATGTGTAATACTGAGCAGTAGTACTCGGATTGAGTCCGCGTTTAGCGAGACATCATTTGCGGAAGCTAGCAACCTCCATCAACCGAAGTGCACTCCCGCGGGATGAGACGTAGTATTGGATTCTTCGTAGGATCGTCCCCAAACAGATGAAATAAGCAACTCTCGTTGACCGTCGATGATCATCGGCTTACCAGATTAACATGCCATGAGACGTATGTAGTACCATCCCGGTGGTCGAACTTTGAAGCCACCGGGTAACATTTGACGACACCGTTCACTGCAGTCGGGCAGGTTCGAGCCAGGAGTATACATATAGCCAGTCTTGTCGCGATGTCGATATCCGAACACAAGGAGGACAACAGGCAAGCGCCTAGGCGACTCTACTTTAGGTATATGGATACCGCTGTGTGTCTGAGGGGAAGGTGTTTCAGCAGATAGCGCCAAGTTGTCTGTCAGGCATCCCGGATTCCAGGTGTCACTAAAGGCAATGGGCAGTCAGGTTGGAGGTTGGATCCCAGGTCTCAGCCATAACAGAAGATCTCCTGCCGAGCGGATGCTGTCGGCCGAGATATAAGCCACAATGAGTATGAGCCTTGCAATAGGTGTCTTGAGGCCACAAGGTCTGAAGCTTGAAAGATCCGAAGACATCCAGACGGCGGTGTTGGACGGATTGCATGTTTAGCCTTCGGAGGAGCAGTCAATATCGGCAAATACCGGATGACCACCAGGCCTGAGGCAAGAGGACAGCCTCGCCTATCCTTCTCTCCGATGAACGTGGTCTGGTGCGGCTCTATGAAGCTCGAAATACGCCTTCATGCCTGAAGGCGGTGTGTACACGGGCGAACAAGCCCTTGCATCGACCTCCAGAGCCCTACCATGTGGATGTGGATTGCCTGACTTCCGTTCTTTCTGGGTTGTTCCAACTTTGCCTCCGGTGCATAACGCATCGGACGCTGGTGGATAAACGGACGGCTGACATCCGGATGACATACGGTACAGTAAACAGACCCTCGGATCTGCCCTTGAGAGATGCGGTGGCTCCTCGACTAGTCCGCGCGCATGATCCCCCGCTGAGCATCACTGGCTCCGGAAGTGCGTAACGTTATGTTTTGATCTCCCAGCCAACTCCCAGCACGGCCATTCTCCCCATGGTCTGCGAGGGTGGGATCTCGCGTGCTCCCGTGCCGACTTCGGTTGGGCACTCCCGTCTGCTTCGGAAGCACACCAGTTATGCCGAACTCAATCATCTGGCCGCGTCGCGGCGTGTCTTCGCCTTCGCCTCCCCCTATAAAGATGGCCATCCGCTGGCCTCGCTCCACCATCGCAACTTCTCAAATTTGCGTTTCTTCCCCCGAGTCCACACTACTCAAGCAAACCCGACGACCATCATGATCGCCTTCATGACCACCCTTCTCCTCCCCCTCCTCTCCCTCGTGAACTTCGCAGCGAGCACACCCGTCCTCACTGAGAGGTACTACCCTCAGGGCACCATCACCTCCCCCGCGAACGGCACCGCGATCGCACCTGGAGCCCCGTTCGACTTCAAGTACAACGCTCGTGGTGACTACTGCTTGTCGAGTTACAACTTTACTGTCTGGCTCGCCACCGAGCCCCCGACTGGCGGCATCGGGCCAGACACGAGCTTCATGACCGGCCACTACTTCGGTCGCTTCTCGCAGGAGAGTTACCCAAGTGAGTGTCGTGATTCGAAGAACATCACAGAGGCGCTGAACTACGTCTTCACCAGCTAACCCGTGGCCCGTTAACCCGCCTCCGGCACAACTCGTCATGCCCAACTTCTCCATCAGCCCAGGAGGATTCGGCACTGGCAAGACCGCCAGCGACGTCCCCATGTACCTTGCCGTCGTCGAGGAATATCTCGAATGTGGAGTAAGTGTCCCCCTATCTGTCAACGAGGCAGGTGCCTGACGCAGTCCTAGGCCACACTCGGGGTCAGCATGGGCGTCACATGGAACAACGTCGTTTACAACGCGACCATTTCGTCCTGAAAAACTCGCCATCGCAGCACGCGATGGAGTGTCATAGATGGATGCTGTCCGATCATCGTTACTTCTTACGGACAAAGTCCTCCGGCTACGGACCAGTTCATAGACAATCGGATTATGGACATCACACGCACATCTAACAATACGAACGATGCATTGATCGAGTGGACTAGCTTGCACGTTGTTGTTGTGCTTGTTGGGCTTCCTTAGTATAGTCTGTTTAATGTAGCTGTGTTTGGTGTGAACGATACGCAGCAGCCCTTCGTTTTCCTGTCTCAGATCTCGTCTATCTTTGACTTGCGGATTGTTACGTTATATACGAGTTCTTTGCCGAACACATCCGGTACACTGTATCTTGTAATGATGTCGAACTGGTATATATACTCGCCAAGTGAAGGACGTACAAGCTCCCTGGAACTACGCTGGCGATTCCCAGCTTAGCTTTGACAGATTCAAGGATCAGATCTCGGCCGTCTCTGTTCAAGCCTCAGGCACGGGGGACCCTGAACCTCGAATGTAGCGCTCAACGGCCACTGCGACGCGGCGAGGGTTTCACCCCAAGATATTCATCACCTAACAGTACAGTGTGTTACATTGCGACAGTTACAGAGCTCATTCATGATGCTCAAATCTCGGGGTGCTTGTACTTGAGGTCCACGAACTCGCGGCTCGTCAACGTCTCGACAACTTTGTCATGCAAGGTTGCTTGCAACGCCGCCGCCTTTTGCGCGATGCCACCCGTTTGTGGCGCCATCGGGTGCGGGCGCGGAGGTGCTTTCGCGCGCGCCTTAAGGAACTCGCGTGCATACGCCTAACGTCCAGAAAACCCGTCAACTCCTCGCCTCAAACGCCCCTCAACAAGCAACTCACGTCGATCTCTTCGGAACTGAGCTTGGCGAGGAGCGCAGGCCACTCGTCACGCTCCTCCTCTTCAGCGTGCGTGTTGAACGCGACGAATGCGCGTTCGAGCACCTGGTCATAGTTATCCGACGTGATGGGCGTCGTGTCCGCGCTATAGACGAGCTTCTTCACCGAAGCGTGCTCCTCGCGATTGTGCTTCGCGACGTCGGCCATGCCGTGCTTGCCCATCTCGTTATAGATGGAGATCTCCTCGGCATCACTGTGGATCGCCATCTCCCTGATCATGGTGTTGGCGATGGCCGCCTTCTCGTCTTGTGCGGTGGCAGCTTTGAATCTAAGGACCAGATCAGAATGTCACTAAGTCCAAGAGGAGATGGCAAAGCTTACCGTTGCATCAAGTCCCGCACATTATCGTGGTCGAGCTTGATCTCGTCGGCGAAGTTGAGTAGGGAGGGCATGCTGGAACTAGTAAAGCTGTTGCGCTTGTTCTCTACAACGTCTGTGGGGACGCCCTTGATCTCGAACGTGCTGCGTGTCGGTGCGGAGTGACTAAAGCGTGCGCGCTGATTCGCGTAGACGAGCGTAGCTCGGTGGGGGTTATATACCGCTCGCCCCTCGGCTGCGAAGCGCGATCCAGCAGCTTTCGTGACGTAGCGTAAAGACGAGATCATGCTGCTTTGGGTTCAGTTCGCGAAATGGATGTGCCGCTGCGCCCTATGTGGTTCTGCTAGTGCGAAAAGGATTCGGGAATGGACGAGCATGAGGTGCGAGACTATATAGATTCTTGGCCGGCTCATCTGAACGCGATCCGGTGAAGGACGGTGACGCAGAGGGAGACGTAGCAGCGCACGCTGTGCGCTATCCTTCCGCAGGAGCGGGGTATGGGTGGCTCCGGGTCGCCAGGTTCGCGATACACGAAGCGAAACGGCACCCTCGTCATTGGCTGAAACCAGGGACCGTCGTAATGAGGTGCAGATGATTGGATGCGCTACATAGATCCTGTTCGCCTTCGGCCTCGAAAGTCGATGTCACGATGCTAGGAAGGAGGCAAAGTACTGGTCCGACTGGTGTCGAGCTGTGGCACGTGCAGCACAGTGTTCAAACTTGGAAGTTACCGAGCTTGATCTCTCGTGTGCATTTCTCTCGATTTGATTGGCTGAAAGCTACTTCATTACTCTTCAGTACCGGTCCCCAATGCAGCATCGTCAAGCGAGGTCAGCTTTCAGTAAGTATGTATAAGTAGATCTACATAGACTAGAGCAATGCTTGGCCTCTTGACAGGGATCTCCCGTATTCGGTGCTCTGGCACCGATGACGCATTTACTGTCTATATCAGGTATCCTACGTGCCAAATCGGTCAGGAGGCGCGAGCTTGAGGAGAAGTCAGCCGGCGAGTCGAGCTCGAAGCCGCGCGCAGTTGTTCTGTGTAATTACAAACAGACCATACCTCCATCCATTGATAGGCTTATCGAAGTACTATGTAATGACTATCTGCATTGTGTATTGTCCGATCGTGACACGAAGTCTGTTCTAGTTCGCTCCCGCAGCACGCAATGAGTCCAGGCATTGGATATCGCGGCTAAAATGCGCGCGCTCTGTTCATCCGCATCAAAAGTATACAAGCCCAAATGATGCGAAGAAACATCCCAGCCGGTGTTGTTCATCTCACTTCTGCACAAGTTCCACGATTAGACCTTCTGTACGTACAAATATACCATCATCTAACCCGCATCAACACCATCAGCTCGGCGGTGTGCTCGCGAGTATACCATCCTCTCCTGGTTGTTCGCCGTACCCGTGTCGGATCCTCGACCCACCGCCGCCGCCAGCTTCAAGAGCGGCGACGAGCCGCTCAAGCATCTCTCCCTGCGCCTCCACTGTCGCGCGCAACTCCGTGATCTGGTGGCTCAGCTCTGTTTGATTCTGTGCGAGCTTCCTGTTGGACAGATCGGAAACCCGAGAGGGACCGCCGTTCCGCCCTAAACCATCCTGTTCCAGGGAAGCGGGTGCGAGTTCGGCTGATTGGTCATCCAACTGATTCGATCGCCCATGACTGAGTTCCAAGCACTGACTGCGAGTACGACGGGGGACTTACGCTAGCAGATGACATTCGGGCCCACACAATGCTGAACTCGCGCCCGAGTACGAAACTCGGGAGAGCGATGAGTAATAGACCGAACACGAGCAGTGGGATCGTGATCAACCGCCCAAGAAATGAGCGCGGAATGATCTCCCCATAGCCGACAGTCGTAATCGCTGGGGTGGGGGCGCGGGGCTTAATCGTTGAACGTAGATGGGCGCACTCGTTAAAGATCACTCACTGACTAGTACGAACCTGTCAAACAGGATCAGTTGCGTAAATTTCGCAACATTGAGCAGATGCTCACCATGCTGCTGCAGGAATAGACTGGGGTTATCAAAGCAATTGGTCAAAACCATGGTCGGAGCGACCCAGAAGGCTCGTCTCACCGAAAACTGGCTCGGATCGCCATCAGCGTTTACAAACGTTTCGAGAACGTTGTCCCAGGTACCTCGTTCGGCGAAGTACCTAGTAGGGTGGTCAGATGAAACACTACAGTGACAGAAAAGGTAACAATGCCTACAAAAGGGTGCTAAACACCGTCAACATCATGACGACGAAGAAGCTGAGAGCTAACAATGCATGTTGCGACCTGCGAAACGACAGATACATGACCTCGATGGTACTAACCAACAGATGTGATTAACATCAGCAGGATTATAGCAAGAAGTGGGACAAACAGGAGGATGGTGTTGTTGTATCTGAACGGCCGAAAAACACGAAGAAGCCTGAACGTCCGGAGGATGGAAAATCGAAAGAACACGGACTGGTGACAGGTGAATCTGTGGAGCGACGGAAGAATAGTGAGGGGCTTACAGTATCCTGCTGCAATGCAATCTCGATGTAGTAGGGTAATATAGCAAGGAGATCTATGATCCCGAAGAACGCTTCCTTGTACGGACGATCATAAGCACGCCAATGCCTCAAGTCCTCGGACACTCACATATGACCCAGCCAAGGAACGAGGTCACAGAGCTACTCCGAGCGATACATCTCGCAATGTATTCCACCGTGAACAACGCGACCATGCTCGTCTCGAAACCGAACCATATGCGCCCGGATATGGTGTGGAACGCGGGAACCGTCTCGAATACCGTCACCAAGGAGGACAGTACGATCAGGAAGGTTATGAAGACATGGACGAAGAATGCCGCGTTCGAGCTCGTCGGACGCTCGAGGAGCATGTACAGGTCCTGTTTCCAGCCCGGCCGTAACTCCGTGTCCGGCTCATCGTCATGGAAGGAGTGCGGAAACCAGTCGTCATCGGGGTTTGCCGGAGCGGGACTTGTTGTCTCGGTGAGAAACTGTGCAGACACGGATGTCCTCAAGGAGTTGAGGGGAATGGGACGAGGCATCCAGAGGTGGGATATCTAGGCGGGCGGCAGTAACGAAACCAGAAACGGTGAACACCGCCTTCAGTTGTCGTGCCACGTCCGGACCGCAGCGGCGCCGCGCGCCACCGCGCGCGGCCTATGTAGGTACATAGCTTTTAGATCTCAACTCTCTCAACGCTCTTCGGATGACAGGTAAGGTTGCCGTGCAGTGACTTCGAAAGAGACACGCGAGTCACGCAAGATGGCTCGACGTAGGCTGAGCGTTCGGTGCTCGCTTCCCTTCCTTTGCTGCCCCACAACGCCGGACCTGGGAACTGATTTTAACTTGTCCTCTGGAGATGCAAACGTCCCGGTTTGGTGACAGAATCAGCCTTCATGACACGTATGCTCAGCACCTCCTACGAGCATCGCAATGCCGTTCTCACCGGCTTCAATCATCAACTGATGGTGCTTTGGATGCAAGACTGAGTTCTATGATATGGATCGGATATATCTCTTCCTTTATCCCACAATCCTCTGCGGAACTGTGTCGCAACACCCGCCCATGGACAATGCATAATTGGGTCCAACGCAGCCGCGCTACATATGTGAATCTGTAACCAATTCGGAAGAATATCATCACCCGCTTGTGATCTAGGAAGGGATCCATGGAGAGCGCATAAAACAGGGACGCTGGATACCCAGCGTGTATGCTCGGATATCCCACCCTTAGACATGACGCCAATAAGCGTTGACGACGCCGAGCTCGCAGGATTTTTTGGCGAGACGGCCCTGTATGGTGAGCGCCACGTCATCCTCCGTTCTGCCTGGCTGATCACAAAACCAGGTATTTCAACAACATTCCTTGTTGCAAGCTTGATGCTGCTCCTGCGCGAGCGCAGGCCTGGGAGCCATAGTATAAGCCAGGTCACACTGAGGTCGTTGCTGGCGGCAAATTGCTTTCTGTTGCTATCGACGACCGCGGTACGTGCCGTCCCTGTTGCACCGGTCGCGCACTCTGTTCAATCTAGGTGATTTTCCCAGGTCTGGTGTAGCGATATATCGCGAATGTGGGACGGTTGGGTGCTCACGAAGGGCATCCCGGAAGGATCTCTCCGATTCTTTGCGAAAGTATCCGAACCACGGAATGTTGCAAGAACAGCTATACTTGTTATCGAAGCTGTCGTTCTGGATGCAACACTTGTTTGTTTTCCCTCGCCACTTCTTCGTAGGCAAAGGCTAACCATGCAAAAGGTGTATCGAGTCTATGTTATTTGGTCACAAAAATGGCTTCCTACCTTGATCCCCGCCCTAACAACCTTCGCAACGCTTGGTATGATTGATTGCCCGTTGTAAAGGATGTCATATAAACCCAGGCTCACGTTTACCCCTAGTTTCAGGCATGGCGACGGCTCGAGCACTATCTCAGGTCAAATTTGGGGAGGATATCTTCAACTCTTCAACGGGAAGGTATGCAGCCGTACGGAATTGTCTAGACAACGATCTAAGATGATGTTCTAGCTGGATTGCCAGCACGTACTCTCTCACTCTGAGGTGTGTGTCCCACTGTATAATTGGCTACCTGTACACTGATCAGTTGTCTAGTACGAACATCATCGCCATCGGTACGGACTTGGGGAAATTCGCTATTCCAATGCTCGATTCTGGCTTTGTTTCAGCCTTGGTTTCGTACAAAATAATCATGCGGGATCGGGCTATGCAGCAATTCTCGGCAGGACGATTATCGGTCAGTTTTTGTCCAGTTGGTACGCTCATCAATCTGACTCACCTCCGTTGCCCGTTTCAGCCTCTCCTGCTCGTAATTGTCGAAAGTGCTGCGCTTACGAGGTACGCTTGCCTGCCGACTATCCGTCGCCAGTGATACTGATCTATTCTACAGTATATTGAACCTCATCACATTGGTCACTTATGAGATCAAATCTAACGTGCAACTCATTTCAGCTGCGATGGTTAGTTCTTCCGTTCCCGCCGCGGTGGCATTTTTCCTGATAGTTTGGGGATATAGACAGGTCCGATGATTGTGAGTTTCTTCTCGCACATTCCGCTATCCGTACAGACTCTCACGAATGTATAGGGTATATCTTTCGGATTGATCATAGTCAGAGTCCGTCTGGGCGTTGTAAAACGCAAGCCATCGGTATCCACTCACTCTGGCACACAAAACTCGCTCAACAGCGTATCCAAGAGCAGCCGTGCAATGGAGGTCCAAATCATCAAAGAAACGCAGTTCGATTCTACTGGAAACGAAACCCGTTACTGGCGAACACCGCATTCTGCTGCCTTCAAAGACGTGTGAACGTCATAGAGTAGGAATGTACGAGTAATTGTCGCTTCGCTCCTGAATCTTTGGGACCAGCGCTATGACATGGATCGAGGGCCTTAGCCCGTGGTAGGATGATGATGATGATATATATATATATATATATATATATATATGGTGAGTGGGGGAGTATGAAGTGCATTTTCCTGGCGGTATCAGGGAGCGACCCTCCGCGATAACGTGCGCGTTTGATCCTGGCGTGCTTTCCACTCGCGTTCCAAGAGACCCATCGAGATCAGATCATGCCATTCACCATCCAACCACCGCGCCTCTCGAATCCTACCTTCCTCAACGAATCCGCTGGTTTATACCATCAACGTCGTCTATTTTTGTGACCAAGTTGACCGCCTACAGTTTCTTGTAGAGCGCTATCGCTCCGACATTGATGTCTAGTACCTGGAGACCGATTCGATGCAACCCCAGCTGACGGAAGCCCCAGTCAACGATCCAGCCCGTCACTTCTGTCCCATATCCCTTTCCCCAGTATTCCGGCATGAGCGCGACCGCGAAGCTAGCGCTGCGACTGCTCGCAGTAGTGGTATGCAAGGTTGTATACCCCACGAAGTCGTCTGACCCGCGCGGAGTGATGATGACGTAGCAAAGTGCATCCTCGGCTTGTTTCTTGAACTGTTCTTTCGCCTTCGGAGCCTGCGGCGCGAAGTAGTCCGTGGGCCATCCCGTACGCGCAACGGCTTGTATGTTCCAAAGGTGAAGGATAAGATCTGTGTCACCGTCCTGAAAAGCTCTGAGTGTGAGATGCTCGGTTTGTGCGAACGTTGTCATGTTGTGTGGCGAGAGTGTTCGCAGACGAGGCTATCCACAGTGTACTGAAGTAGCTGCGATCGCGACCAGCGACCAGTCGCTGCGCCGCGGTCGCCTGCCGTCTTTGCGCAGCCTGCGCCGTCATTGCGGCTTCGGCTTGATGTGGTCAGCTCAACCCAGCGCATCAGAGCCTAATAATATTGGCCTTGATGAGAACTGTAAGCAACGATTGGTACTGCACGGACTAGGTGGGTGCTGGTGGCATACATGGTGCCGATGCTGTTTGCGTCGTTGCATGTTGTAGGTAGGAAACGATGAACTCAGTCAGAACGCCGCGCCGAGTGTGATCTCTATCAATGGTTACGTCAGTATAGCGACTCCGGTCATGCACTAGCGGTTGGGCTTTCTTCGTAAGTATATACAGGTTATGATGGAAGTATCGGGGTAACGCTCGATGTTTGTAACATGCTTGCAGATGCGCGTGTGTGATGCATCTTTAGATCGCCTTGCGCTCAATCGAACTTTGGCCTGTCACACCTTCCGCCCCCTACATACGTTTTCGACTAATCATGACCACCGAGATCATATTTTACGATATCGTCGCCCAGAAAACGAAAGCAGAGGAACGAGCCTGGTGTCCGAATGCATGGGTGACGAGGTTCGAGGAGCTGCGAGCCTTATCCAGCGCTGAACTGATGGCGGTGTCGGTGCAGATTGACCCTTGGGTTCAAAGGTCTCCCGTTCAAGACCGTATGGGTCGAGTACCCTGACATCGCGGACCTCTGCAAGAAGATTGGCGCTGCCCCAACGGGAACCAGGGATGGTTTGCCCTTGTATACCCTGCCCGTGATACAAGATCCATCCACAGGGAAAGTCATATCGGACACGTTCGCCATCGCTGAGTACCTGGACGAAACGTACCCCGACCGTCCGACGCTCATGCCCAAGGGAACGCGAGGCCTGCAGTGGGCGTTCACCTATACGGCCACGCAGATGGCCATCGGCCCCTATCGGGACAATATGATGCTCGCCGTTTACAAGCAGCTGCGTCCACGCAGTCAGGAGTATTTCCGGGCGACGCGCGAGAAAGCACTTGGGAGTAAGCTGGAGGAGCTATCGGTGGGCGTGAAACGTGTTGAGAGATGGGCTACCGCCGAGGCCGGATTCGCAAAGCTGTTGAACATCATCAAGAAGAACGGCGAGGGCAGCCAATATTTCATGGGTGACACTGTCAGCTTCGCGGATTTATTCATCGTGGCGTGGCTGGAATGGGTAAAACAAGCGCTCGGAGGAGAAGAGTGGGAGTTGGTTAGGAAGTGGAACGGAGGTTTTTGGGGTCAGTTCGTTGACTCTATACACTCGAAGTACGCCTTCTTTGACGAAGGAGTAGAGTACCAACCATGAATACGCCTGTGCCATGAAATGTAGGATCTAAACGCGTTAATCGAGCTCCCTCACAAGGTCTGGTAGCCCTGTTCCGGGCCTGATCTACTGACTGGAACTCCCTTGTTCTTCCTCAACTTACTCCAGATGCTATTGCCGACGTCATCAAAACAGCCATCCATGGGGATCCGCAAGAAACTCGCTTATAATTATCAGGGTCGACTGCCACGCGTGGCCTGTGCGCTGATGACGATGACTACCAGTGGCTCGGGGCGCGCCGACACAACCTTGGAGCTCCATTCGCTCCATTGTTCAAGCAGGGCATTAACCGAGGCCCTTCCATAACCCCGGCCGTATACTCACGGTCTGCGACGCCATGGATTAGCGACTCTCTCGGGGCGAGGTCGTGGACTACACCATATACTTTAACTTACACGGCCTCTCGCCTGCACGTCACCCAGGCCCCAAACCGGTCCCATCCATGTCGCCAAGTACCAGGTCTTAAGATCGCCCGCCTCACGGATGCGCCGACGTCCCCCCGTAAAAGGATGAATCCCAAAGCGAAGGCTCGTCCTGCACTGAGACAGTGGACCACCCCCAATGTATACCCCAGCGCCAGTCAATTCTCATTTTCCCGATCTCCGTGTAGAGCTCCGGGAGATTCAGTCAGCCAATCGGGGCCGGAAGTGAGCACTACAATTCACTTCAGGATGCAGACACCAACGCGGCGTGTCACAGATTTGGAGTCAAGGACAGGCGGGCCGTAGATCCGGTAAGGAGTTGCATTCCAGAATAGTGTTCTCTATAAATCCGCTCATGCTCGTACTTACAGCCTCCGGTCGTGCAACTACAGGCATTCAGGACTGTTCATGACGGAATCAATTTCTTCGAGGTTGAAGTAGAGGATTACAGGCACGTTGTCTCTCCTCCAGCGCAGAATTCTCTGTTTTACACCGTACATTCCAGCGCAGTCGAAGTGTCTGGCCTCATATGTCATCTCGATGTGTTCCCACTTTCATCCAGTCCTCATCCGACGCCCGCTATATCCGACGGTGGAAGCCTGGCTGCGGCCTCTTACGGACAGGCCCTTTCAACTGTCACTCCGTATCAATTGTCCCAACCTGGTTGGCAGACGTATCCTCCGCAGATGGCATCCGAACCGGCACCCGTACCTTTGATCATCTACCGTGCCCAACATCAACCCTACGAAGCGGATCCTGTCGTTGTGTGGGTGAACGGCACCCCCTTCCGAGAGTCCGAGGCTATCACGTCAGAAGCATTCGTATGTCTCTCTTCATATCCATCGACACTCGACTGATCCCAATCCGAAGGGCTCCCGAGAAGTCGAGGCAACGAGACTTTGCTACGAAGGCAACCATATCGTGGTTTTTACCTTCTGCGTGCGTGAAGTTTACCCCGATGTTGTATATGGGCTAATGCACTGCCCGCAGGACCTTGCATTGAAGCGGGCGGGGTCCTGCTTCTTCAGGTATCGAGCCTTCGACTTGCGGTCGCGCATATCGCAGTTGGTTGCCGGGTCAAGTGATGGTCCCATCCCAATGCTAGGAGAATGTTACGCGCAAGCTTCGACAATGATATGGGATACGAAGTCGTTTCCTGGGCTAGATGTTTCGACGCCCTTGAGCCAGGTGTGTGGTCCGCTAATACAGGATGATCCCCACGTGTTCTGAAATGGTCAGGCCATCTCAAATCAGACTGCGAGTCAGCGTCCTCGGGTCCGAGTACGAGCGCCCAAAACAAAAGGGGCCTAAGGGTGTCGATAATCCTCCTTCAAGTCCGTTAGGCCTGGTTGTGTGGTGTGCATTAGCCTTTATTTATATGTATATGCCATCCTCGCGCTTGCGATGATTTTCACGGACATATTGCTTCGCAGATGTCAGAGGGCGATGTCGGCAAACGCCTTCCAGTATACGCCAGCGCGAATAAGTGCACGGTTACTTACCGACACCAATCCTCAGTGGCTCCTGGCCAGTGGCTGTGCTATCAGTATGAGCTCGCAACCGTTCATGTGACCGCCGAGCCCGGCGCTAAATTATAACATGTACTCTACACCGTCTACTTAGTAATTGCGCGTTTCACCCCAACCACCGGCAGCAGATCAAACGTTCGGAAGTGCCAATTGAACATAGGAAAATTCAGTCTCTTTCAAGATACCCCTCATGGACACAGACGGCGACCGCAGTGGCTTGGAATCCAGGCCGGGAGAAGTCACGCAGGATATTACCGTTGAGCATACAGAACCGCCCGAAATCCCGACCATACGCGACCCGACGCGTAAAAAACGCGAGAAGGACACTACACAATTGCAGAGGGACCCCGGGAAGAGCTTGTTTCCGGTCGCGCGTGTACAACGCATCTTGAAGGCAGACAAGGTTCGTGCGCATTTGTCGTAAGACTATCTACGAGCTGAACCGACTTTATGCAGGAACTTCCAATGATTGCAAGGGACGCCGTGTTTCTCATTTCGCTGGCCACGGAGGAGTTCGTCAAGCGACTGAGCGAAGAGGGGCAGAAGGCTGCCGAACGCAGCCAGCGAACGACAGTGCAGCAGCGCGACATCGGTGCGCCAATATGCGTTTAACGCGTCAATATGTGTGACTAACCGTGTTTCTGTCAGCCACTGTGGTCCGTAGAGCAGACGAGTTCGTGTTCCTAGAAGGTACGCTGATCATATGCATCAACCAGTGCCTGGCTCGTATTCATCATCCGTTCAGAAATTATCTCATGGGCGGAGCCAACAGCAGCTCCAGCCCGTCGTAAACCGAAGGCTCTCGAGGAGGGCCCCGCCGGGGAGGGAACCATGCTTGACCACTTCGTAAAGCATCCACAAACCACGGCCAATGAAGACGTTCAGAATCAAGATGACGACGTAGTCCTTAACGAAGATGGGACGATGGGCATGGCCACCGAAGACTAGTCATTATGGAGCACCTTGCAACGTGCTACGTATTATCGCTTGAATGCGGGTTGTCTACACTACCTCATTAGTGCCGCCCATCTTCCGCCTGGTCGCCCTTGCACGCCGTCCCAGGGATCAACTGCTGCTACCTCGGTCCTACATGCACATTCATAACTTGCTGCGGATCCTCTCCACGAGGCCTTCAGCCTCTTCCTCGTCGAGCTCTTCACGCGCTTCAAACTCCCTCTGATGCATCTCTTGATGTGATAGACGTTGCTCCAGCCGCCCCGTTCTCCTCGCTTCCCTTGATATCGGCGAGATTTTCGACGAGGACTGGAACGTCGGTGCTGGCACAATGTGGTAATGGACCTAGCCAATAGTCAAAAAAGGGATAATTGGAACAGACCGAAGTGCCCACATGTGGTACAGCTTGCGCGTATTCCTGATTGCAAACGACGTTAAGAGCGGTGTTCTCCATGGCTAAAGCATCGCGCGTCCGCTATCAGTCACCGCATATCAAACACGTGTTGGCCTGGTGCGCAAAACATCAACAAGCTGCCAAGTCACAATAAATGCTCCACCCCGCGACTCACTTACCCTCCGTCAAGGCCTTGGCCACCCGTGTAACGGCTTCGCCTACGGCGCCCGCATACTCGACCGGCAGTTCGCTCAGACGCGACACGTGTGTCTTGGGTATCACCAACGTGTGCCCCGGGCGCAGAGGGAGGATATCGAGGACAGCTATGACCAGATCTGTCTCGTACACTCGGTACGCGGGCAGATCGCCCGCAATGATGCGGCAGAACGGGCAGTTGTCGGAGTGCGGTTCGGCGGTGAGGGAGGGCTGCCAGCTATCGGGGACATCGCGGTCTTGGTGTGCCGCGATGATGAAGGAGGTCATTGTCGAGTACAAATAACAATAGGGAGCGGACCTCCGGGTATGTGCTACCGGGGCGGGGGATTTAAGTACATGGACACACGTGATCGGCGAGTGGAAATGAAGCCCGAGGCGATCGCACCGCGCCCCTTCTTACGTTCACTAAAATTAATGGGTTATTTCCTTCGGCTTGGCTGCAAACAAGCATTACAGCGGTGCAAACGTGTCATTTGGCTTTGGACTTGATCGCAGTGCCATCGTTCGCACTCCGGAATCGTACTGAAGTCCCGATAGCAAAGCCGTGGTCGCAATACATCGTCGACTCCTTCACGTCTGCTTATCAACCACAATTTGCCTGCGATGCACACCCTACCAAGGTTTATACCAGGCCGCTCTACTATCTATTCGGTCTAGAGGGCCCGTTCGAGATTTCCAACCAGTTCGACGCCCCAGAAAATCCTCAAGGTACGATGGATGTCGTTGCCTCGTTCACCGTCGAACTCGGCAAGCACCCCGTGTCTTTATAGAGGTCAAGCCTCCCGTCAGCTTCCCAGTCGATTTGAAACGAAAGCAAATGGGTGAGCAGTGAGATCGCTTCCGGGACATTCGCTGCCCATCTCCCTGCTATCAACGCATTCGGCACCCGCTTGGCCTAGACTATACATACCGTCGCCAACAATAGCGTGGATCCTCGCACTACACTCGCCGACCTCTACGCTCTCAATGATTTAGCTCCGGCCGATTGATGGGGCTGCGACTTGCGACTTGCCTGAGGTGGTCAGCACTGTCCAACCAGATTGCTCGGGGCGTTAAGGCAATGCGCAAAGCGTTGGTCAATCGAATCACAAGGGAGATGTTTTTATGCTGTACATGAACGGTTTGAGGTTTCCCCCCTTCGGGTATGCAACAGCATTTCGCACTAGCGTACTCTCATGTTTGCAGCCGAATTTCTGGAGCGCCAACATGCGCTTTATTGCCTGCGAACTCAGGTAGCCTACTTGTAAGTACGGTGACTACCTCTTCAACGTGTAACGTCGGAAATTGGGACGACGTGCTATGGCGAACTTGGGGGGATTGGGGGCGAGATGATGGGGGGGTGGGGGTGCATGACTGGATAACATGACTTTGTATCAACCAAAACAAGAACACGGATAGGGGAATGACAAAGATACTCCAGGGGAAGGGGAAATAGACTAGTGCGAACACAACATAGATAAGGGAGTATCTGAGTATTCAAAACTCATGGTGTCATAAGAAACGGATATATGAAATCGAATGAACGGCCGCCTATGTGCTCAAAGTGGCGGCGGCGAAGCAGGCGGGATGGGGACGCCGCGCTGTTCGAGCATGCTCTCGTAAAGCAACGCTCGCCCCTTCCAGTGTTCGACAGAACGCTCGAGCGCCTGTTGGTACTCAGCCTTGCGCCTTCGGCTTCGCCGCGCCGCAAGCGTGTTCTGCCGACGCTTCGCCTCGATGGCGCTCAAATCTTGCGCATCGAGCTCAAGGTCTCCCTCCTCCTCCACCTCTACGCTGTCGAAGCGCGCGCGCTTCTTCGCGAACGTCAATGGGACGTCCTTGCGCGAGGTGACAGACGGTGTGAGGTAGGTGCGCGGTTGGATGGGCGCGTCGAGGGGAATGAGCGACGCGGGTGTCGTGTTCTTGCGGGTGCCGTTCGGGAGAGGCTTGCGCGGACGAGATGAGGAAGCGTCGAAGACGGGAGTGGGCGGGAAGGCGGGTGTTGAGTAGGGGTTTATGTCGTGCATGGCAGGCGAGGTCTGGTAAGAGTCAAGGACGGACATGGTAGGCGACGGCATAGTATATAAACCATGCAGCTCGGGCAACGGTGTAGACGACGGCTTAGAGGCGGGCGTCGAGTCATCGATCCGGTAAAGCGCGTCTCCAAAGAGCGGCGCGTCGGCATATGCAGAGGCGTCGCCAAAATCCATGATCGGGCTGGTAAAGATGTCGGGGCTGACTGCCATATCGGATCCAAGGGCAGGGGTGGTAAGGAGGTCATCCAGATAGGGTGACTCCTCGTGCGGGCTAGTCAGGAACTCGGCCCCGAACTCGCTGGCCATGCGGAATTCGGGCGAGGCTGTGTGCGCAGCGGGCGGGAAGGCGTCTCTCGTTAGCACTGGTGACAGAGCTGTGCGCATAGCTTCGGGCGGTTCACCTTGAAGTATATCCATGACCGCCATAGTAGCCGCCTCGGCAGTGGGTTCGGCGTTTTGGGAGTCGGGGTTGTTGGACAGCATGGTGAGGTAGCCGGCCATCATGTCTGAGAAATCCATCGAGGGCGACGAAGGTGACGACGCGGCGGTGGGGTCTTCGGCACGGGTTGGCTTTGGATATGTTCGTGGCGCCGGAGGAAGGAACTGCGGTATGCCATGGTGCGCGGCGAGATCGTTGATGTTGGTGAAGACCGTTTGCGGTGTCCGAGGACGGTGCGGATGACCTATCGATGCATCTCGATGGTGATCAAACGAAAGCACAGGGCTCTCGGTCGCGGATTGGGTAGGAGAAGCATTGAGCGCTGAAGCCGTATGGACGGGCGACGTTGGAGACCGCGGGGTATTTAGTGAAGTAGTCCGCGGAACATCTTGACCGATGTGGTTGGTGGTAGCGGGCCTATGCGTGGACGGAATTACGGCGACGTTGGGTTGGGGTGCGCTAAGGCGTCGGGGCAGCAACGTTGGCTGCTGGGGAGCTCTGTCAAGGGACGGCAGAGTCAGCTGCGGGTTCGCATCGAGGTCGACGACATCGAGGGTCTCGGCATCAGCCCGTGTTTGGTGTGAGCGGTGGTGGCTCCGCGAGGACCGCTGTCGCATGCGCGACTGGCCCGTCTGCGAACGCCGGGTAGAGCTCCGCGCCTCCGTTGGAGGCGGTACGTGGCATGCACTCGACTCGGACGGCGAACCGGTCCTCGACGCGGGCGATGGCGAATACATTGCAAATGCCGTAGTGAACAAATACCGGGTCGAACCTCGAATCGCTCGGACGGAGATACGGGTACTATGTGCGGCAATGCCGGAGACCTCGACACAAGCAGAGAGAGATGGGCGACGGTGACTCACGGATACCTCTGTAGGTGCTCAGGGGACAACGTCAGCCAATGTGACTGGCGTTGCGGGGGAGGTGGTGGTGGGGAAAGGTTGAGGTGAACACTGACTCATTCCCCGCCGTCCGAGTCTTTATTGGGCGAGTGATTGCAAATTACGCGCGTCGACGGGCCACGTCGCCGTATTAGGGGGCGCATGCACCGCCCCTTGCTGATGGGCGCCCGAGCTATACGCGCGCTTTGGTCCGCGCGGAGACCATATCAGGCGTGCGCGGCCGCATCGGGGGGCGGGAGGCGGACCGTTTCCAGCAGTTCCCGCGGCGAGTCACCGCTCGGCGAGGGCTGACTCAGGTCCGGCACCGCATGCTCGTTCCTTCGTCAACGTTGCTGCGCCGACGCATGCGGAGGCGATGAGCAATCCTCCGTTGGCGTCTGCGCTGGCAAGACGTGGCCGTTCGCCCCCAATACTCTCCCTCGGCGCGCACTACGTTGCCAGCGCCGCGGTCGCTTGCGTCCACAGCTATCTACGGCACGTTCGCAGCAAACCTACAGCTTGAGCCGCAGGCAGGGGTGCTGCGATCGAGCCGCGCTCCGGAGCCATACAACCAGGCGATAGACCGCGCGGTGGGCGCTTGTTCGCTCCGAGTGAGTCGGAGCTTGGCTCGGATCTTGGAGATAAGGAGGCCAGGCGGGATCCTTCCTTTTATGGAATAGCGCGTCGCAGGCGCACGTTACCTTATTTGTCCAGTGGGGCGGGGGGATGATCCTGATTTAGCCTCGCGTCGTCACTTGACCTGCCTCGCGTCCACTTTTCCCGTCTATTCCCCATTCAGCCGCAGTCGCACGGACGTTACGCCGCGCAGCGAGCGTCAACTCGAGCAGTACAGATCCAGTTACGCCGCGGGAGCCAAGCGCCATCGACGACGAGCACATACCCGGAGGATGACGTTCAAGTGAAGCGCAGTCCGGGGATCATGGGCAAATGATTGCGGGGAAGAGGGCTGAAGAAGGTCGATTCGCATGCGTTTGTCGTTCTCATCTCTCGACCCGGCTCATTGTTTACCGGTTCCCCGGGTACGTTCAGCCGCTGCGTAGTGCAATGTGATCGCCATCCTCGTTTCTACCCTCACACCGACCTCGTCGTCGCCGGCGCTGGAGATCAACGATATCAGATATGGTGTTCAAGTCGTTATACCCGCCCCTCGGGCCGACGCCGATAATGAACGTACACAACTTTTTCTTCCAACGCGTTCATAACGGCCCTGAGAGCATCCCCGACAACTGGCGTTTCCTCGTCGATGCCGGCACCGAGCGTGCACTGTCCGGCAAACAGTTCTATGAACGCATTCGCGATGGCGCAACTGTCATCCAAAGCGAGCTCTCCCTCCGAAAGGGCCGGAACCTTGTCGGTATCGTGAGCGAGAACTGTACGGTGTGTACCATGACTCGATCGAGCACACTTGTGGTATTCACGCTGATCGTATTCCAAAGGAATACGTGACCCTCATACACGCCCTGCTTGCCTCCACAGTTCCCGTCGTTCCGCTCTCTTCGTACTCCACTCCTTTCGAGCTCGCCTACCTCCTCCGCCAGTCAGGTGTTACCCACCTCTTCGTTTCTCCCCACTTTCTGGATCTCGTCCGAAAGGTAGCGAAGGAGGCCGGTCTGCGAGACGAAGACATCTACATACTCGACAGGACGGACCATCTTAGCGGACGCGAGTCCAAGTCGAAAAGGAAGAGTTTCGGCGAACTGATCGAGTCAGTGAGGAGGAAAGGTGTTCCCCGCGCTAGCGTACAAGATGCGCCGAAGGTCAGTTCGCGCCCTATCTTGAATGATAAGGATGTACCGAGCAAGGGAAACAGGATACTCTCGCATATCTATTGTTCTCCTCAGGCACTACGGGTCACCCGAAAGCTGTCATGGTTTCCCATTATAACATCTGCCATCAGATGCGGCAGTTTCTCCTCATCGCGCAGGAATCAGGCAAAGTCGTTCCGGTAGGTTCAGCGGTCTTTCCTTCAGACTCGAAACAAAATCTCACCTCGAGAACAGCCCCCACCGCCGTTGAGCCAGACAGAGCTTATGGTGCTGCCCTTTCACCATACCTACGGCCTCACCTCCGTAGCCTTCCGCTCCTTGCTCGTTCCGCTTACGATCGTCATCATGCCTAAATGGGATACCCGCCGCGCTCTACACTTGGTTCAGAAGTGCGTTTCTGCGACACTCAACGATTTACCGTTGACATTGATTACTCCGACAGATACCAAGTGACGCGCGTACCGCTGGTCCCGTCGCTCGTGCATCAGATCGTGACTTACCTGCAGTCACCTGCGGGAAGGAAGGACCGGCCCACGGCGCTTGCATCGCTTGTCAGCATTGGCAGCGGCGCTGCGTACCTGCCGCCTGCGCTCGCCGACGAGCTTGCAAAAATGGCGCCCAAGACTGAGCGCGTCACGCAAGGTGCGTGTGATAATACAATAGCCTGGTCCGGTCCCTGATCGAATTACCAGGGTTCGGTATGTCGGAGAGTGTACGTTTTTTCACTCCATCCACCTTCAGGCCCTCATGAACCAGAGGGCCGGCCTCTGTTCCTATCCTGTTTCGTGCGTCGGGCATCGAGCACTGGAACTGAAACGCCGCCTCTAGCAACTCGCGCTGACAGAACTTCCCCGCGTAATAAAAGCATTCCTACCCCTCTCCATCTCCTCCCCTCGTCCGAGAATGACTTGTAGACTGACATGCTTTCTCCACGCGTGCAGACCATGACCGCCACCAGCTACGTACCTGACGGAACATTCGGCCGCACGAAGCACGTCCCAGGATCGAATGGAATCTTGCTCGCCGACATGGAGGCGAAGCTGCTGCGCGAAGACGGCAACGAGGCTGGCGTGAACGAGCCGGGTGAGCTGTACCTTCGCGGCGGGAACGTTGCGATGGGTTACTGGGGCAAGGAGTTCGAGAAGGCAACGCGAGACACGTTCCTCCCGGACGGCTGGCTGCGTACGGGTGACATCTTCCGCATCGACGAGCACGGCAACTTTTTGTGCGTATACGCTGCGGTTTCGTGGATATCAGGGTTGAACGCTGACATGCGATGGCCATCGCAGCTTTGAGGACCGCGCGAAGGACACGCTGAAGGTGTCCGGTATGCAGGTTGCACCCTCTGAGATCGAGGACGTACTCCTTGCCCACCCTGACCGACTCGTGATTGACGCCACCGTTGCGGGCGTGTCGGGTGGACGCACCTCCGACGAGAAGGTGCCTCGCGCGTGGGTCGTGCTCGGGCCCGCCGGAAAGCGGAAGGGCGCGAAGGCAAGCACGGATGCGCTGGACGAGTGGGTGCGCTCGCGGCTGAGCAAGTACAAGTGGTTGAGGGGAGGGATCGAGGTTGTGGACCAGGCACGTCTCTGTCCGCTTTTTTAGGGTTGCGTATTGACTGAAGCCCGGTAGATACCCAAATCGCCGACAGGCAAGGTGCTTAGGCGACAGCTCGTCGAGAAGTATGAGAGGAGGCGTGGAGCAAGCGCGGCCAAGGCGAAGCTTTGACACCAGCCCTGTATATTCATTGGCGAAGGTTCTGTGTGATCACGAAAGGCTAGCCTCATGCAGAATGCATGTATGTACACCACCGCAACATTTTCTTCCGGTCGTCACTTGAGCGCTGAGCGCGTTGACGTCTGTGCCTGAGCGCGAATCACAACGTAACAAGTTCCGCCGCGGGATTGGCGTACATACGCAGAGCATCCTAAAGCCTATCCTAAGAGGATGCAATAATCGTCGTCAACAGCTGCCCTCATGCCTAACTAGTCACCCGTGAGCGCCGTGCATGCGCTAGTAAGGACCGGACCGTCGTTGCCTACAGCTTGTCGATCAACTCGTCCAGGAAAGGCATTCAGTGGCGGTCCTGCCGCCTCCGCGCCGTCTTGGCACGGCAGGGCACGGCGCGGCTTGGCTCTCGCGACATCATCGTGTTCAGTCGTGTTCACTCTGATATTCACCTGGCAGATTGGCGCGCGTTGCATACTTATGGCCTGGTATTATGCCCAGGGTACGATCGACCCACAGTTGGGACGCATAGCTTACTCACGCTAACACGCGGACAACACCAGCACAACAACCGTTGTTGGTTCTGTGCAGGCAAACCATCAGGAACCTCAGGCACGGACGGGGTCATGCTTCCATCTGACTTGATAGAGTAATGTCCCCCGGATCGCGGAAATTGGTCTCGCGCATCGCCCGACTGTCGAAAGCTATCGCGATCACAATGGGCGGCATTCTCAGCTCTCCCTTTTAACGAGGCCTTGGGAGCACTCGGGAGTCAAGCCTGCGACGTCCGACCTCTGTCACGACTCTCGACATGGCTCCCATCGTCTCCTTCGGTTGTGCGCTCACTGTCCTCGCGGCTGGCGCAGCCACGGTCGTCGCGTCCCCGACGCTGACGCTTCCCCTTTCCCGGGGGGCGCCTGTCTCCGGAACCGTCAAGGCGCAAAACGCGAAACGCGAGGTCGCGCATGTGCAGAACAAGTTACGCGCTGCCGAAGCGAACTGGAGGAGGAACCAGAAGCGGTCCCTGCCTGAACGCGATATCCATCTCGAAAAGCGGGTCACGCCTTCCTCTGGCTCGGCAGACTTGACAGAGTGTCTGTGCCTCTCGTTCTCGTCGTATTTTGACGTTGTGCTGATTCTCTGAACGCGATTTAGTCTGGGTGGACTTTTTGGATTCGTCCTACTATGCCACGGTGTCTGTTGGAACGCCGGCGCAGTCTTTCATGGTCGTAGCCGACTCCGGCAGTTCTGACTTTTGGTTGGCTTCTCCTGGAAGTATCGGAGTGCCGAACGTATTCGATCCGTCCACTTCGACGACGTTCGAGGACTCGCTGATTCCTATCGAGATTCCGTAAGCTGTGTTCGCACTCTCGATGGAAACAACCATTCACGGACGCGATCCTCCTCTAGATATGGGAAGGGCACCTTCGACGGCACAATCGGTACCGACACGGTCTCCTTGGCAGGTTTCACCACTGCGACCTCTATCGTCGAATATGGTGTGGTTGATGACGAGGCCTTCGAGTTCCGCCAGATGAGCGGTATTATGGGCTTCGCGTGGTCCACCATCGCGGCCTCCGGCTCAATGACGTTTATGGAGCAACTCGTCAAGGCAGGCGCGCTCAGCTCCAACGTTGTCAGCTTCCACCTTGGACGCGGAACCGATGACCTCCAGCCGGAACAAGGCTTCCAGAACGGCACTATCAAAGCTGGTTCCATCACGATCGGCGGTACGGACAGCTCCACTGTAAGTATCTCATCTTCCTCGCGGATTCGGATGCTGAGCTTGATTTTCTTGCAGTACACCGGCGACATTGAGTTCTTCGACATCGTGCAGGCTGCCCACTGGGTCATCCAGGCCGACGGCATGTCCGTTGACGGCAAGTTGGTTTCAGCGACCTCCGGTGTGCAGGCGATGGTAAGTGTCGATCGATGTATAGCATATTACTCGGGCCCTAACGCAACCCCATGCAGATGGACACCGGCACCTCGCTCGTCGTCATGCCGAACGCGTCCTGGTCTGCGCTCGCCGACGCATTGGATGCTAAAGAGGACAACACCAGCGGCTTGCTCGTTGCCGACTGCTCGTCGGAGTTGCCCACCGTCGCCTTGCGCATCGGCGGAAAGGACTACAACTTCGCCCCCGAAGATCTCGCGCTAGGCGTCATCCCCATCAACTCCAGCGCTCTCGCTAAGGCTTACGACATGAAGCAAGGCAGCATCGCCTGCTTGCTTCCCTTCGCCGGCGGGCAGGAAAGCTCCGAGCTTGATGAGACGGCACCGATGATCATTGTAAGCCATCCAACCTTCAACGGCCATACGCACGTAGGCTCACGATCACATAATAGTTCGGTGACTCGTTCCTGAAGTCCTGGACTTCCGTTTTCGACGTTGAGAACGCCAAGGTCGGGCTCGCGGCCGCCTCCCCAGCGTCGCCGTACACGAAGGTTTCGGACGCGGTCGACTTCAAGCTCAAGCAAGAAGGCCTGACTCGCGCATCCGCGACCTCCACTGGCAAGGGCACTTCCTCCACCGGTAGCTCTAGCTCTTCGGCAGCCCGCAACCTGGACAGCAACGCAGTCGGAGCGCTCGCGTTGCTTGCGGCGCTCGGCAGCGTATTCCTTACTCTTTAGTGATTAGCTACCGATGTAGCTTCGTGGGTTATACTCGTTCAGGGGTTCTCATGGGATGACTTTTTACGCAATGCTTGAACAAACTCATTTGCACTGAACGCAATGTAGTGTACAATAACAATCAACTCATGACCCAATCCTGCCCAGATGGAGAGACCGCAAATGTAGCAATGGTGTGCTAGTTCGCGTGCGGCTCAATCGGTGCAATACCGTCTCGATTCAACGACACTTTGAATCAATCCAGAGTGAATCGCATCCTCCTCGGGAAACATAGATCATGTTGCTAGTCGAAGGTCAAGCTTCAAATTCCCGAAAGGGAAGCTCGAGCTCGAGCTCGAGGAAGGCGTCCCCGGATCGAGCACGTGTCATTACCCTCTTGCATCCGTCTATTACTACTGGTGAGGTTGGGCGCGCTCGCCGGCGATACCACTGTCAAGATGCCTCCGATGTCCTTCGTAGGACAAGTCACCAAGGTCGGCTGTATGAATAAGACGGCCACCGTGACGGTGTCGCGCTGGGTAGTTCATCCCCGGACGCGCAAACGCATAGAGCGGAGCAAAAAGTACCACGCACACGACGAACACAACCAATGTCGGCTAGAGGACACCGTGCTCATTCGCAACTGCCGACCTATCTCAAAGCTAAAAGCGTTCGCTGTCGAGAAGATACTCCGGTCTCCGGAGAGGGAGCACGAGGCGATGATCGCAGAGCGTTTGAGAAAAGACGAGAAGGCCAAAGAAGCGGAGGAGAGGATGAGGCAGGCTGCGTTGAACATTGGCAGTGGGCAGGCTCAAGAAGCTGGTATCCTCCGCGAGCTATCATAAAAGCTAACAGTAAGTCATTATGGACTCGTTACAGTTGCATTCGTTCATTGGCCTTCGCAATAAGGCGGCTTCCATCATAGACCATTGTCACCTGCAGTGTACCTCACCGAGTCAGGTATATGCCTGTCGTAGGACAAAACCTGCATCAGTGGATATAATCACCACCACCATTCTGACGAATCTCACACCGATGAGGTGCTCAATCCGCCGCAGCCGCTGCTTTCGTTGCATAAATGGGTACACGTGTCTACAATACATTAATTCTAAATCGTCCTATGCTTCAGATATTCGCTCAAAGAACTGTCGTAAGGTACCAGAGAGTATGTCAGGGAGGGCCTCTACGCTCCTGAGCACAAGGTAATACTCGAACGGGAATGTGTCGAGGTACCGCTCCATCTGCATCTCTACTCGCCCATCTATGGTCTTCATCGCCACTTGGGTCATGGAAACGATGGAATTGGACTCTGTCCCGCCTTCGTGTTGCAACGCCGCATTCGACTTCAACGAGTCCAGGATGATGAACACGATCATCACGCGTTGTTCCTCGGCTTTGCGAAGCAGCGTCCGTAGTCTATCATGGTCCTGGCATATGCCATCCGATATGATGATTTCGAGTTGCCAGAGATCTGCTGCTGATGACGAGCTTGCGGCTCTTCTTTCGCGTGCCTGTTCCAATACCCGTAGGCTGGCCTCCAGGAGCTGCAGAACATTGGTACTTCGCTGGTTGAATCGGAATGCCTGCATGACCTTGATGCCTTCTTGGTCGCTGAAAGTGCCCGCGCCCAAGTCGTGCAGGATCTCCACAGCCTCCCCAAAACGAGCCACGCCAACGTCACCCACTTCCAGCCGGTCCAGCGCCTTGCTCACCAGCGCGAGAGTCTGGAAGGCAAGATGCACGGAATGCGACTCCGCCATGCTCCGGGAGTCATCCAAGGCGATCATGACCTGATACTCGCGTTGGCTGGGCCGCGTGCGTCGCAACCAGATTTTGTCCTTGGTGTAGTCGCTGGCGATGTAAGGGATGATCTTCTTCATATTCAAGCGTTTGCCGGTGCGATAGTCGCCTTTGAGGCGCGTCGCCATGGTGGGTTCCAGAATGAGGCGGAGTTGTTCGCAGAGGGAATAAGAGAGGTCGTGCGTGAGTGATTCATAGGTCCGCCACAGTCGCTCGGCATCCCCGACAGGTTGTCCATCCGCCTGCCATTGACGTAGTTGCGCTTCGGCGTTCTCTAGTAGATTCTCATCGTCAAGAAGCTCTGGTCGAGCATCCTTATCAGAGCGTCCCCCTGGAGCACCAGGTTCATCGACCACGTTTGGATCGGGTTGATTGCCCGTGTAAACATCAACTCTTGTCAAGGCGCGAGCAATGTCCTCGCTGAGAACATTGGAAGGTAACTCCGACAGCTCATGCCGCTCCTTTTCCTGATTATTTTGGGGCTCCGAGGGTTGTTCGTCCACATCCATTGGAGCGGCTTCTCCCGAGAATGCCATCTAGGTACGGGTGAGCGTGATCCTAGCGAGAGTAGGAGAAAGTTCCTACATGCTCGTCAACCATCCGCAGATCTCGTATCTTCGCCGCCTCATCATCTTGGGCCGGACCAAGCGCTTGTCGATGCTCTTGATCATCCTCCACCACATATTCCATTTCGACATCCGGTCTATCTGGTTCGTTCTCCATAGACGGCGCGTCTGTGCCTTGTTGAACATCTTCGGCGCGATTGAGCACTTCCTTACTGACGTCCCCGGCTAGCCGACGGCCGACGGGAGGTGAAGTTTCGTTAGCGTTACTATGTTGCTCTTGTGCTCCGACCTGCTGGGCGTCGAGAGATAATGCATCTTGATGATCAAGGCCGGCATCCGGGCTTCGTTGCCGTGTAGCATTAGCGCTAGACCCCTTGGTTGACCTACCGTAAGATTAGCGCCGGTGTTCGTGATGGAGAATGCACACTCACGGCTCCTCAAGCTGTTTCTCTTCGCATCCGACGTCATCGCTCGAGCTTTGCATAGGTATTTGACCATCCTCTGGCTCAGCAGTAGCTGGGGTTTCATCGTTGGCTTTGGATGTAAGGCCCTCGCCTGCTGACCCATCACCTGATTTGAGGTCAGCTTTCGCGGCGGTAGGACCCTCCTCAGAGTCCTGGTCTCGATCCTGGTCTTCGTGGTTATCCATGCCTTCAGAATCCTCCTCCAAGCCATCTCCGTTCTCGACGTCTTGCCTCGTCTCTGGCATGGTCTCCGGAGAGTTAGCCCGTATATCCGAGTCCGCTTGGTTCTCCTGTGCTTCCTGGCCGTCATCGTCTACGGAAATGCCGTCATCACTCGGATCCCAGTCATTTTCGCCTTCTTTCTCTGTTTCTTTCTCCATGTCGATATCGTCGGGAAGATCAAGTACCTCCGCATCTTGCACGTAGTCGTCCATAGCGGCGCCTTCTGGACGGCTGTCACCTTCTTCTGGCAATTCGGCTTCGTCTGGTTGTGCCTCTTTGTCGTTTTCGTCAGCCGTTTCCCTATCCCGACGTTCTCGCTCCTGTTCCTTCGCGGATATCTCGGTCTCCCATTCTGGCCCCTTTGGTTGACCTTCATTCATTCTGTCATCGGTTTCATTCGCGCCAGCCACTTGCTCATCACCCCATAGCCGTTCGTCGACTACATCGGGGTCCGAGGCATCTAAGTCCTCCATTTTCTCTTCCAGATCGTGATCATCGTCGTGATCATCGTCAGAACCTTCACGATCGTCTTCGTTCTCCTCGACGTCCTGTAGATCACCCTCGAAGTCCTGACCCATCTCCACGGCATCATCTTCTTTCTTCTCGCCATCTCGATTCTTCTCCATAGGATCATCGCCTTGCAAACCTTCGACCTGGCTTTCGTCTTCAATCTCCTTGCTCACGTCGTCCGCACCCTCGCCAGCGCCCAGTCCAACGCCTCCAGAAGCATCCAGGACTTCGCCCTGGCCATCTCCGCCACTGTCCGTTTCAGGGGGCTTGCAAAACCCTTGGGTGGCCAGCGTGCGAAGGATAGAGCCCGTAAAATATGTCAGCTTGAGCAGTCCCGCCGACCACTCGCTGTGTGTTCGGAGTTGGGTATCCGCAATGCAAGCGTAACGATCGAGGAAAACCAGAATGGCTTCGGTATGCGCCTCGATCTCGTGCTCAGAGGTGCCAGTCAGCGATATCAAATATGCTTCGATCTTGCCCACGATCATGTCGATAGAAAGTGCAGTCGTAAGAGCGCATAGCTGGCGGGATCCTAGCTTGATCCAATTGTCATCGGCGTCTTCCGCAGTTGCAGATGGCGTTTCGGGACAAAGAGCGAGCACCTTCTGCATGCTGATGAGAACGCTGTCCGTCACATCCGATACATCAGGGGGGCTTGTATTCAGGGCAGCGAACTCGAGATTGATTTCTGCGTGACCGACAAGCCAGGACTGGACCGGCGATAGCCATGGTATTAACTGGGGCATCTCTCGTTGCCATTGGGCGAAGTGATCATTCCATTGACCGACGGCATGCCTACAGTCACGGAGAGCATTCATGTCATCTGGGGGACGCGTCAGGAAGGCGAGCATTTCGGTCGAAGAGAGAGAATACCTTCGAGGAGGACGTGGAATGACGTTTCGCTAACGTTCCCTATAGCGGTCTCGGCACGCTGCCGAAGAGTCGCCAGGGTGGAAAGACGCGTGTTGGCCTCCGCCAAGAATACAGGCGGCACTTCAAAGGCGATCTTATGCTGTTCCAGACTAAGCAGTCCCCTGAGCACTTCCGAAACAGCGTTTTCGAGTTCGCACACCACGTTCTTGGCTTGCAGAAGCTTGTCCATTGCTGCGGCCCCATACGCCAGGACCCTCGGCGATGACTTTAGGCGGCGCAGTCGATTGATTGCTTTGCTGAGCGCTGCGAAGGAAGAGAGAGACCGGGTAACACTGTGGACAGTAAATCAGTCAACGTCAATATACGACATGAACTACGTACATAGCGCGTGATTGCAGACTCATACCTAGTGCGGATTCCACGAACATCAGCCCGCGTTGGATCTCTCGTGTGTTCAGGTCGTCGTGATGATGGGAGGGGGCACCTCTGACTTCAGGGAGGATGGCAAGCAAACGTTGAAGTAGTCGATCCATGCTCCTAAAAGAGGCGGGAACCTGTGTCATTGGCCCAACCATCGGCTGCTCAGTGATCCAGCGAGCGTTCCTCTGAAGGAGTAATGTGTCTGGCTTGAGATTGCTAGTGAATCCGACGCGACGAAGCTCCTTGAGCAGATCACTCCAAGCTTTTCTCTTGCGAACCAGCAGAGCTTTCTGCAGCTGCTCTTTCCTGGCTTTCGGGAGCTCGGGAATGGCCTCCCTGGCCAAACTTTCAGACGTCTCCGCGATATCTGAGCACAGCTGGAAGAGGACTTTTGGATTACACAGAGTTATGGCGGGGAGGATACGGTCTTTAGCATAAAGATCCAGGCGCGAAACAGCCTGCACGGGATCGGCTCGGTGTCGTCCTTCGAGTAAGGGGGCAAGAGCCAGAGTTGGTGGGTTCGTGAATGCGGTAGCATAATCGAGCATGATCGTTGGGGCAACGAAGGAGACATCCGGCATCTTCGTACTTGTGTCATAAACAAGAAGGGCCGTAATGGGTTGTCGTAGAACATCTCGGAATTTGCGGGTGATCTTGTATAATTGCCGATGGGTCCGCTGCGCGCTCTGCTTCAGCGCTTGAACATTGACGTCCCTCCAGCTCGCGAGTTTAATAAAGCCACGGATTTCCGTCTCCAAAACGCCCCTCTGCGTGGCCAACGCAGTAGATATTCCTGACGAGAATTGGGAGAAGAAAGCCAGTTTAGACCGGACAACCCCAGCGGTCCGACCTAGAATATGCTGTAGTTGCCCGGTACGAGTTTCACCCAACCAGGTAGCATACGTCCCGAAGCTCTTCAGGAGACGTAACCTTTCTTGGTATTGACCCACTGGGCTTGAGGTGATGTACTCGTCGAGAAGCGGGATAATATCGTCCAGGTAAGTATTTGCTTCCTCCTCGCTAGCGGAAGCTAGGCTTGACGGCCCTCTGATCAACGCATCGTACAGTCGGAACCACCAGGGAGCCACTTCGGCAGCGAAAAGGCTGGCCTGGCTCTCAAGAAGCCGCTTCCAGCATGACAGCTCTAGGCGCCGCCATTCCACAATGAGTTCTGTGATCGCTCTCTGATTCGTCTTGATCGAATTTTCCTTGTTAGAAAACATTTCCCAATCTTCCGTGTGACTGAGGAGATGTTCAAGGAACGAGAGCGCTTTCGCGACAGGAGTCTGCAAGTTGAGTGCGAGGAATGCTCTGCATCGCATTCTAATATGCTGCAGTACCATTTGATCCGGCCATTCAATGATCAGGAGGTCTAGACGGGCCAGCAAAGTCTTGATCACGTCCGCGGCCTTCCTGATTTCTGGTACGTTTGCGTCGAGATAGAAATTGAATGAACCTGATGTCTCTGACTCGCGCAGGCTGCGCAGTCTGTCCTGAAGCCAGGTCATTTGGCGAGGTATCGTCTCGTCGTCGAGCCCGTCTGGCACACTGTTGGCTTCGGCGTCAAACAGCGTACGGGTCATCTTCGCCTGGACTTCGCGGAGATTGTCAAGAGAGGCGGCCTTCGCCTCCTCGGTACAAGGTGAACCCTCGAACATCTGATAATGACAATGGAGTAAATGCCGCAGTTGCCCTTCATCTATGTTCCGAGCTGACGTCGATGGGGCAGAAACTTGTAGGGGTTCAGCATCGATGTCATCATATGTGGGGAATAGAGCGTTGAATTCTGCTTCTTCCACCTCTGTTTCTGTGGGAGGGTCATGATCAAGCCTCCTCCGTCGATATAGACTCTGTTTTTCTGCTTCCTGTTCCTGTTCCTTGACTTTGTCGATGGACCACAATAGCGTTGACTGCTCGTAGATGCTCTCGACAAGTGGGAGATAATACTTCGAGTCGTTGATGTTCCTTGAGCAAAACGCGAGCGCAGAAAGGCGAAGAACCAGATCCGAGAACATCGACGTTGAAGGTGCTATGTCTGCTGAACGAATATTTGCAACAGCACAGACGGTTGGGAAGCCAAGGCATGCATGTGCGATTTTGAACTTGGCGGCTCCTTTCCGCGCTCTTTCATGAGCGATTAGGCGCAGGCCCAACTGCATCTGTGACAAAGCGAGTCTCAGTGGGAAACAGACGTCGCCATATTCTGCGTAGGTGTTGTCCAATCGCCGTAGGAAACCACGTATAGATTCCTGAACGACTTGCTCTTGCGACGCCGCCGAGAGTGGTTCGGATCCGAGGAAATCCAACAGGGAATCTATGCGCGGAACGGATGCGACTTGGGCGAGAAACTGGGACGCCTCCATCCACAAACCACGCATCCTGCTAGGATCGCGTCGCGCCATCTGAATCGGGGCTGGCGAGTCCATCAGTTTACCGCTCGCCGCATCCAGTTTCGACCGTATGAGGTCCATGCAGCTGTTGCCCTTGTTTCCTGTTCGCTTCAGTTCATACCTGGCCTGCATGTCCAACAAAGCAGCGAGTCGTTCGACTTCTTGCTGCCAGTAAGAATTGATGAAATGCTGCTTCTCGGCTGGGTCGATAGGACGGTCTGGGAAGTATAATTCCAAAAAGAATCTGCTGACGGACAGGAAACCATGCCCAATTGCTAGGGCATCGATTTCTCGACTTGCGCACGCCTCCGCGAGGTTATCCAAAGTCGGGGTCAACCAGCGCTCCGCAGCTACCGTAACGACTGTGTTGCGACTGTGGCACAACAGAGTGTGCAGCCGTTTGATAGATTCGGTCAAAGTCTTCCAGTGTGCGTCGCAAATAGACCTCAACTCCGAAATGACGTCGTCGCCGAGTGTAAAGCAGGAAACAATCTGGTGGAGAATGAGTAAGCCTGCGTCCACGGATCAGGCCAATCAATGCCTTACCGAAACCAGGGAACGCAGCAACACTCGCACGAGCTGTACTCGCCTGGGCTCGAACAACGTGCATTGCCAAGACGTAAATCGGGCCCGCTTCTCGAGTTTGGTTTCATAGTCGGCCAGAGATGACAGAGACGTACGGGTCCAGTCACTATAGCGAGAGTCAGTAAGTCGTCCTCGTCATAGGGGTGTTCCTGACCAAAGATCTACCACGGCCTTGAGTTGCGTGGCTTCGAGCAACGTCGCACCGCCCTGAGCACCCTCATCCCTCAGCGCATATCAACCAATGTGACAGACTTGCGACTCACCGTGTCGCTCTGCCACAGCACGTCGAACCATCGGCTGTGTGATAGCATCGTGCCTTGTATATCGACCAAGACTTCACCTGTGTGCAAAATATGTAAGCGAATCAGGTTTTCAACGGAAATTCGACACTTGTTCGTGACAGACTCTTTCTGATCGGCCCTTCAAGTGATGGTGACGCGGCGTGTCCCGTTGTATCCATATTGCCACTGAACGCTGCAAGTTCGTGGACCAATCCCGTATTCTAAGCGAGCCAGCATTAACACGTGAGATGACAGGTTGCTTGAACACCCACAAATCTAGTTGGATTATCCGTTCGACTGAGGAGCAAAAGCCCAGCGAATATCAGCAGATCGCCGGAGTCACTCGTGGCTTTTCCTTGTTCGATAGACTGAGGAGGTCGTGTCCGATATGATTAGCACAGTTCATAGCGCGAACTGCGGATGCACACCTTTGAGTTCATGTTTTGCTGTAGCTGGCCTATACCTTGAGAGGACATGGCGGACCAGATCTCCGTCAGGCCAAGTCCTCTCTTCGGAAAGACGAGGTCCTTCAGGGTAGAAGCTGAGACCACGACGTTCTCGAAGCTTGTCCCCGAGTTCTGGGAATTTTCCAGGATCCAATGCGTCATGACCTGAACTGCAGAATAGCTCAACGTTTGCTGAGTCAATGTTGCGCAAAGGCTGCGGCTAATCTGGAGCAACTCTCCGATGCATTCGCTCTTGGACATGCGCGCGATTAGCAGGTAACCGAGTAACAGTGGTCGGGGGAAACTCACCAATTCCACGTCCACCACCCCGTGTGTCCCTGCTAGTATTGCTTCTGCCTGCTGGAGGATGAGATAAACGACATGTTTGATTTCCTCACGGGCCCGATCTTCGTCGCCCTGGGTACCGGATATGCGGGCGGAAGCGATCACGGATTCTTTACGGAGGAAGTCTTCAGCGGCAAAATGAAGGTTCGTCAAGATTCGGGACAGCGACAGCAGATGTCGATGGGCGAGATCGTCACGCGATTCAATCCCGCAAACATATCGAGGTAAGTTGTGCATAAAGAAGTCCATTGGCTAAATATATTGAGATGTATTCAGTACATGATAACGAGTGCACCCGGAGATCCTGCTGGTGCGTCAGACCCCCGTCACTGACCTGAGCGGCAAATACGTCTACTGGTAATCCCCATTGACGCGCATACCGTTCACGAAGCTCAGACATGACCTCGGAGAACTGCTTGCTCTCAGTCATCTTCAGCACGGATTCGAGCGAGGGCATGAAGGTGGCGCTGAAATGGTGACTGTGCAGGAAGCGTCGAACGACTGCTCTGTAACCCGGAGGCGCATTGATCAGCAGAGCTTGCAGGAGAGCATCTTCCCTATATATGCCAGCGGAGTCCGATGTCGGTAAGAGCGCCAATAAACCATCTAGGACCAGCATGCTCGAGTTGTAAGGAATAAGCACTTTCGGCCGTTCTTTCGCCATGAGGCAGTCATCGACTAGACATCTACGCGCAGCCTCGAATGCCACCACAGCTTGTGTATGGTGCAACCCGCTGTCGTCCGTAGGTAACCTAGAATGATGCCGGATTTTTGTGTCGTCCTCGATCGTCCCGGTAGATATGAGCGATATCTCGATGCCACGATTGCGCATTGCGCGTGACAGTTCTCCATAGCCCCAGTCGACGGCCATCACCAACCTGAAGTCGGGATGGGGAGTAATGGCTTGAGTGGCACCGTCCGGCTGTCCGCGTTCGCTCAGAGTCAAGACTCCCCCCGGCTCACAGAGCGCATTGAGTCGATCCAGAACGGAGGGATTGCATAGATTGGCCCCGCTCAGAAGTAGCCAGTGCCCTTGTTTGAGAGCAGTCACCAGTGGTCCGTCAACCCACTCAAACCGACCTGCGTCCTGAAGCGTTGTGGAGTTCCGTATCCTCACCATCAAGTCTTCCTGGGCCTTAAGGTCCTCCGGGCGTCGAAGATGGAGGCCGTCAAGCACTTCGGAGGGCCAAGACATGGTCGTAAGCATAGACGGCGTCGCTTGCTGGAGGCTCCTCCTCGACGCGGCGTATCGGTCAAGGAGTTCCTCTTCCGTACCAAGGAATGTTCGCAGTTGTTCGGCGACAAATGACAAGACTTCTGAGGACAGCTTAATCGAATGACTGACCTTGTCGACCTGCTCGAAACTGCCTAGAATATCGGTGGTGTCCGTGGAACTACTGACAGACAGCTCGTGAAGTTCGCCGCCTATGAGTCTAGCCATAGCTCTCGTCAAACTCGTTTTCCCGCTATCGAGCGCACCCTGGAGGATGACCGGCCATCGCTGTGACAACGTTAGTCCCATTGTCTCGGCCGCGGTGAGCTGAGCCTGTAGCGGAGTGGCGCAGCCCATTGAACCATGTCCGACTGTGGTGGAGCGCTTCCCATAGAAATGGCCTATCTGGACGTCCGAAGGCGTAATCACAACGCCAGGCGCGCGACACAGAAACTCAGTAGATATTGGGAAAACGGTCTCGAACAGCTTTCTTGCCTGGAGGCGATCGTCCTCTGACCTAAATCGGCTGAGATAAACAGTCCGCAGATGATGAACAGGATGTTGGATGGTCGGGCCGCCAAGTAGTGAAGCCCATCGAACAACATCACGTAGATTGAACTCCCAAGGATGGCCATCGCGAGCAAAGCTACGTTTCTTCACCACCTCCTCCACGAGCAGGGTGTTGAATTTGATCATGCCGTGCAACATGGGCGCAGGATAATTTGGAAATAGGTGCTGACAGACGAGGAGCATGTCATCCGCGGCCAGTTCTTCCACGTAAACCTTGGTGAAACGGTTGACGAACGACTTCGGTAACCCTTTGCGCCCTCCTCCTTGACGAAGAGGGTTCTGGGCGGCGAAAATGCGAAAGGCAGGATGTCTCAAGAAGGAACGGCCTAGTTCCGGGATGTAGACGGTTCCGCGGTGGTCCAATACTGAATTAAGACCTTCAAGGACCGTCTGTGAGGCAAGATTCATTTCGTCCAGTAGTACCCAATGGCCTTCCTTGAGAGCCGTCAGGAACTCTCCATCCCTCCACGCGAAATCCCCGGGACCTGCACCTTCAACCGGAAGGTCGGATCCGAAGAGATCAACTAGATCGGTCTGGTCAGAGAGATTGATGCGGTGAAGATGGTGCCCGGAAATGTTAGCAAGGGCTGCGATGAGACTGGTTTTGCCAACTCCAGGACTCCCTTCTAACAGGATCGGCTTCTGGACTTGGAAGGCACGGGTTATGCGAACAGCGTTGTCTCGGGTGGTGGGAACTCGTAGATTGAAATCGCGAAGGATAGGGCTCGATGGCCCTCGAGGAAGAGCAAACGGGCCAAGCTGCACAAATCGAGTCATGTCGTATTCGGTTTCGTACGAGTCCGCGGTTGAGAGCGGAACAAGTTGTTGTAGATGCGATTCTGCTCTGTCCCTCAGCTGTTGTAGTGCCTCGGTGGTATGCGTCGACAATTGCGGCCACGAGACTAGGCCATCCAGCACAGTCATATGGGCTCCGTGATGCTATTATGAAGACGGTCAACCTACTGGTAGCTCGCGAAACGTCAGCACTTACGAAGATCTGCTCTGGCGACATCGCCGTAGCACCATGGGACTCTTGCATCGTATTTGAAAATTGCACCCATGCCTATGAGAAGACAATATTAGAGTTATGACACGTAGGTGGTTTTCAGTGAGGTCTTACTAATATGTCCCGTAGGCCTAATACGCTACGATCCCCAATTCGGTCGCCAAGCCACTCGACGAAATCAAGTAAGGGGCCAGTAAACCGTGTCAAGCATGGCGCTTTCCAAGAGTGGTTTATAATGAGGGCAAGATCCGGACGCTCGTTGACGGGTGGAACCCATACTTCGGTGAAACGATTGCGCAGGGCGGGAGACAGCTCTTTCTTCCCGTAATCGCCTCCAGGATTCATGGTAGCGATGAGCTCGAAGTCCTCTGAAGCCCGGATGGGACCAGCTTCGTCGCCACGTTCCGCGAGGACGATGGTACGAGCGGGTTCCAGCACACTGTTCAGGCGTTCGAGAACCGAGTCGTCCGCGAGAGAGATCTCATCAAGGAGGAAAATCTGGCCCGCCCTCATCGCTTCTACCAGAGGCCCATCATGCCATTGAAACATAACACCAAGCGACCGTAGCTTTTGTCGTGATGCTCGCACAGCCTCCGTGTCCGCAGTGTCCAGGCGTCCCGACTTCAGTAGTGAGGTTATGGCGGAGAGTATTGCCTCAGCGTTGGGTGGCACAGACGCCATCCCGTACTGAGACAGGAGAGATAGTGCCTCATCAATCACTTGACGCTCCTGCATCGTGCGGTTACGAAGTGGTCGAAGACCACCGATGAGATCTGCCGTCTCCGTATTTTGGTGACAGTTCAGCGTCTGAAGCACTCGTCCTACTGCGTTCGCGAACACTTGACACACTGACGTTTTGCCGGAACCTGTCTCGCCAACGAGTAAAATCGGTTCGTGAAACCGCAATGCACGGGCGACGAGAATGAACAAGCGTCGCATAGCCTTGGTCCAGATTATACTCGATGTGGATGGAAATGGACACCCGATGAATGATTCCAGACCCTCGATGCTCCGATTGGCGTAGTACAGTGACTCCTCATCGATGCGAACTCGCATGACGGACTCGATCACCTCCTTCACAACCGCCTTGTCGTCATCACGGCGAGCGCGTTCAGCTAGCAGCATGTAGCCGTTCTCCGCAAGTTCCTGGTATCCAACGGCATCTCTGCCCGCCCAGCGAAAGAGATCCCGGAGAGTGGCGAAGCTATGCTTGCTTTCGAAGACGCGCGAAGACTGACGGCGCTTCTGCAATTCTTGGAAAACAGTGACGATGCGTTGACTGTATGACGGCGCGATGCGACATCGTTCGCAAAGGATCGTCTCCAGCTCGGTTTGCGGGACGTCCTGGAAATGGACTTCAAGAAAACGATTACGAAACGCACGCGAGAGGACCTTCCTTCCTGCGTACAGGCCGGGAGGATTTTGCGTTGCGAAAAGCATGAAGTGGGAATGTGGCCTCACGACCTCCTGGGTCTCAGGGATCACAAGCTCGCGATTGTCGTCGAGCAGCCGATTCAGAGCTTCCAGTACGTCAGTGGATGCCAAGTTGAGTTCGTCGAGAACAATCCAGTGACCCTCACGCAGAGCGCGGACCAAGAGGCCGTCTTTGAACACTAATTTGCCTGTGGAAGGATCGGAAACATAGGCACCAAGGTACTCCTGAATATCCGTATGCTCGTGATTGTTGATGCGAACGAAATGATGTCCGGTCCGCTTGGCCAGGTACTCGATGGAGCTGGTTTTGCCGGCCGAGGTCGGGCCCTCAATCAGGACAGGGAAGCGACGTGTGAGGATGACCCTCGCTAAATCCACCAATTTGCGTTCTACGGAGGGAGTGATGATGTAATCCTCGGCCGGATCGATAGGCAGCGGTCCACGCTCTAGATAGAACGGTCCAAACCTGACGAATTCGTCCACGGCCCGATTCGCCGGAGGAGCAGGCTCCTTCATCAACATCGAGCGCACGTTACGAACGCCCTTCAGAAGGTGCAGTTCCGCAAGCCCAGTTACCATGGCCAAGCTGGGTTCGTCAAGGACCATTGTGAACGCCATCATGCAACCTTCCCATAGTGATCGTCGGAGACCGAAGGCCGGGGTGATGTCCGCGGCGAATGTAAGGGCTCGGGAGAGAGTACGCATACTGTAATGGGGTCGGTGATTTGATCCATCGGCGATCCGCCGCTCCCGTGCCAATGCGTTCACAGCAGTATAGAACTCGGCGACGTCCAGGATCGCACCTTTGTCACCTACCGCAACGGCACCGATGTATTGGGACACGATGTCCAGAAGGGTAGCTCTGTCTCTGTCCGGCGCAGGCACGTCGATTTCTGTAAACCGCGAGCGAATGTTGGGGGGTAGATCCTTTTTGCCAACGTCGGTAGCGGGGTTCATACAGGCGAAGAGGCGGAAGTCCGGATGACGGGGCACCGGCTCCAATGATCCATGTTCTGTCAATGTTATGGATGCGGTAGGACCCTGGAGCAAGCCGGATATGCATTCGAGGGTTTCTGGACTTGCCAGGTTCACCTCGTCAAGGAGTACCCTGCATCTAGTTCAATCGTGGAGCTGTTTGCTGATATACCAAGCTTACCAGTCACCGGACCGTAGCGCCTTCGTAAGTGGCCCCTCGACGAACGCGAATGCAAATTTGCCTTTGCCCTGCACATGATGTATGTCGAACTGGCGCACATCCTGGCTGAACGTTTCCCATGAACCTTCGGATGCATCCAGCGCAGGTTTGTCCAGCCTCCGCCGCTTACGAGGGTGCGTAGAATCTAGCTCTTCCTTAGCACCCACGGGACCACTTCCATCTCGATTCAGTATCGGCTGGCTATATCGCAAGGACAAAGACTCACACGTCAAGTTCCTTCCTTCGTTTCTCAATCTGATCCCTCGCCAACCTCACAGCCTCCCCCCAAAGCGCGACCGTCCTCTTCCACTTGCCCTCTCCGAGAGCCTTTCTCACGCTTTCCTCGAACTTCTCGTTCCTTTTCCGGCTGAACGTCGCCCCAAACAACTCCAAGAACCGTTCCTGCAACTCCACCGCCGGCACACGCGCGTCAACGGGCTTAAACCCGCCGACGAGGTCGGAGGACTCCGTCTGATGGGACAGGTTCAAGCTGATGAGTGGGCGACGGAGGAGGGCGGAGAGGTGAGTGATGGCGGACGTTTTACCCGTGCCGGTCTCGCCGGTGAGGAGGACCGGTTCTCCGAGCGACACTGCCGTCGCAACGCGTGAAAGTAGTGAAACGGCTGGGCGATGCATGGCAAAAGGCCGCATTGGCGGTGGGACGGCTTCCCTTACGGAGCGCACGGGCAAGCGTACTCGGCCTGCTCGAACAGCCGCGACGTTGCCGTTGACGTCCCGCTCGACATTGAACTCCGGCACCCTCGTCTTGAGGACTTCGTGCCGTTTCTCCGGGGTGAGACCAAGGTGTTCGCCGACGGCGGCAACAACCGCTTCCTGATGGGCTTGAGCAGGAGCGGTCAGGGGCGCCGCACTGAAGAACACATCCCGCGCTTCGAGGTACATGTCTTCGCGGAGTTGCGGGTGCGGGAACGTGTTCCAAAGCGACGGAACATCCGCGTCCTCGTCCACCTGCATCGGCTGGTACGATGACGGCAACAACGCCTCGATGCGCCTGCAGAACAGCTCGAGCTCTCGCAATCCAACTGGCCGGGCATTGGCCGCAGCCGTGATCCTCATCGACTTGACAGCGGCCCACATTCGTAAGAAACCGCGTGCCGCTGGGCCGGCGATCCTCGGGAACTTGGCCTCGACAATCGTGCGCATCTCGTCCTCATCCGGAGAGTCCACCACCATTCCGTGCCACTTGTGCGCGCCGTAGAAGACCGGCTTCGGAAATTTGCTCGTCTTCGACGGCTGCATGGACCTCGTCGCGAACAGCGCAAAATGCTCCGACGCCTCAACCGTTCCGCGGGATGGCACGTCAATGTGCGCCAGGGCGCCAACAGAGTTGCCCACGCCCAGCGACTCAACGAGGGGTTTGACGATGCCGAGAACCTCATTCGATGCACGGTCGATGTCTTCGAGCACGATCCACCTCCCCTCTCGCATGGCGCGCACTAACACGCCCTCTTTCCATTCAAAGGTGCCAGGATTGAGCGGGGAGGACACGTATGAGCCCAACAGCGCACGTGGGTCCAAGGAAGTATCGGCCAAGTGGATGCTGACAACCTGATTCGGGGTGCCAGGGTGCAGCAGCGAGGCAAGATAAGAGATGAGTAGTGATTTACCCGCGGACGGGGCGGATGTAAGCAGTATGGGGTGACGGAGGGAGTAGCGGAGAGCCAACTCTTGAAGAGCCTTGACGGTCGTTGGAATGGGGATAAGCGGCGGAACTACGGCCTCCGAGCCTGGAGTGCGATACAGGAGCACGCCGTGAACGGCAACAACGAAGGGGCTACGGAACGGCTGAGTGGAACTCAGAGGTGAGAGCTTGGATCACATACCTTAAGTCGGATTCACGCATCTGCTCCTCCATGTCACCCTCCTCCCTGGAATAGAAGTCGGCAACGGGTCCGGTGAGGGAATTCCTGGCGTCGACGATCCGTTCCTGCTCTAACGCAGATAGCAACCAGCCATCAACCTCTTTCTTCGTCCCGTTCACATCCACTTCCCACTCTATGGGACAGTCCACATCATTGATATCCCCGATACACTCCATCTCAGCCTTCACCCATTCCTGCTCCGGCATCAACATCTGACTGGCGTAGCAACGGATAGCGAGTAGCCGCACGCCTGTATGCGGATGAGGTGCGCGGAAGAGCCTTAGCAGAGGGGCACAGGACCAGAATAGGCGATCTGGTGTCTCCGGGTTGGCGCAAAGTAGGCGATAATATGCCAGAAGCACCCGTTGGAGGCGCGAGGCGTCGAGATCCTCAACGGCGGCATTGCGAACGAAGTTCAGGGGCCCGTGCTCCAGCATCGGTTTTTGCAGAAAAGCCAGGAAAACACTGCGACGCATCAGGTGAGAGTTCTGCGGGGGTGAAAAACGAGACATACGGCCAGATCTCAACATGTGGTTGCACCAATGTGCCAAATGCGACGAATCGGTCCTCGAGATCGTCGTCGTTCAGAATCCACCGCGCGCACAAATCGATGAGGATGGGCCGTAGTAGAGATGCGACGGGTAGAGTGAGGGCAGGGACGGAGAGTAAGCTGGAAAAGACGTTCAAGAGTTGGCCCGAGGTTGTGGCCTGGGCGAGCGATGCGTGGTACGGCGAGTTTTGAGGTAGACTTGCTCGGAGTCGCCGGGCTTGTTTTTGGAGGTTGACCCGGAGCGGGTCGAGGAAAGCCATGGTCGAAGCCAGGCAGAGCAAACTCAGAAGAGCCTGCCACAAATTTCGGACGCTCTCTGAGTCTCATTGCATTTCCCACGCTCTCTCATCCACGTGATCGCGAAAGCTCCTTGCGATCGATTCCAGAAGTTTCAGTGGTAGTGTGCCTTTGCTTTCTTTCCTGTATATCCTCCCCGCCATGACCACGATATTCGACCTCAGAGGTAAAGGCCTCAAGCTAGAAACCGAAGATGACTTCAACAAGCTCGTCACGGACCTCGATCCCACAATCATCGAGGAAATCCACCTCGGAGGCAACACCATCGGCGTAGGCGCCGCGAAGGCTCTCGCCGCGTTCCTCACGAAGGCCGACAAGTTAAAGGCGAGTCTATGTACTTCTGCTCGTTTAGCAGGCTATATTGAGTTACAGTTCACGTAGATCGCCGACTTTGCCGATATCTTCACGAGTCGTCTGATCGACGAAATACCGGTTGCGCTTTCGGCGATGTGCGACGCCCTCATCGACAAAACCTCCCTGGTCGAGATCGATCTCTCCGACAACGCGTTTGGAGCCCGCTCGGCTGTTCCCATGGTCCCCTTCCTCACCAAGAACCGCTCTTTCTCCATTCTCAAGCTCAATAACAACGGCCTCGGTCCCGCCGGCGGCGCCGTCATCGCATCTGCGCTTTTAGAGTCGGCCCGACTATCGGAGAAGGAGGGCAAGAAGTCGAACCTCAAGACGATCATATGTGGACGTAACCGACTCGAGGACGGGAGCGCACTAACCTGGGCCGAAGCGTTTGCGGCGCATGGCACACTTGAGGACGTGCGCATGCCGCAGAACGGCATTCGGCAAGACGGCATCATCGCGCTCGCCAAGGGCCTTTCCAAGAACCCTGCGCTGGAGCGGCTCGACCTCCAAGACAACGCCTTCAATGTCGACGACTCGGACGAGGGGTCGCGTGCGATGGCGAACGCCCTCCCGCTATGGCCCGGGCTCCAGCAGCTTGACTTCTCCGACTGCGTCATCGCGAGCGAGGACGATCACACACCACCCGCCATCATCGACGCGCTCGCCGCCGGCTCAAACCCCAAATTGCACACGCTGCAGCTGCAGAACAACAACATCGGCGCCGAGTCGTTCGCAATGCTTGCCGAGTCGCTGCCGCAGCGCATGCCCCTGCTCAAGCGGTTGGAACTACAGTGGAACGACATTGACGAGGACGATGAGGCGTTGAACACGATGACCGATCTTCTCAAGGCTCGTGGGGGCAAGCTGTTCATCGACGACGAAGAAGACACAGAGGAAGAGGAGCTATCGAGCGAAGAACCTGAGAAGGAGGCTGAGCAGGAGGAGACGGATGAGCTCGCGGCCATGATGAACAAAGTGAACATTAATGCAGGCCCTTGATGTCGTGAAGGTTTGGGGTTGTTACATTGCTGCGCTTCCCATTATATCTAGATTGTACATTATAGCTACGCGGCTCTATGGCAGTGGCAACTAGGCCGTAACGTAGCAAGATTGACAGAACCATCTCTCAGCAAATCCTTTCACGGCCTACGACGCGTAACAATCCGCCCACGTATTGCCATGTGCGAATTGGCTCAAGTCAAGTATGGTGCTCCCTTCGTCGGGGATGATCATCCGACACGGTGGACGCATGAGATGACGGCGATGCTGTTCCGGGTTACACAATAGACGCGAATTGTTGGGGCCAATGATCCAGCCATCCTCCATGCTGAACGCGTCCTCAACCTGAGTCTGAGGAGCGAGGCGGCCCCGCAATTCAGGCAGTATCAAATGAAGGTCAACAAGGGCATGCTGTGGCTCCGATGAGATTTGTAAAAGAGGGTGAGGTTCGTATGCCGGGCTCTCGTAGTTGGCTGTCCCCGGGTGGATATCCCATATCCGCAGCGTCTTGTCCCAGGACCCCGAGATAACTCTTCTGCCGTCTGGCGAAAAGGCAACGCAAGTGATGGTCTCGCTGTCGCCATGCAACGGCCCGCCAATAGATTCTCCTGTCGCCGAATCCCAAACGTACAGGGCATGTTGTTCGTTCCTGGATGCTGAAACGATGCGATTTCCATCCGGAGAGAACCCGACAGCCTGCACAACGCCGGCATGGCCGTTTACGAGGTTCGACATTCCAACATCCCAGATCCGTGACGCGGGGGCCCAAGAACCGGAGACGATGCGGGAGACTACCACATTAGCATACTTCCGAGTTCATTCGCGGAGTATACGTTCATGTTAAGTATGTACTTATAGACATTTTCCATCCTCGAGCACGAAAATTACTGGGCAGCCCGGTCCGTCATTGCAGAAGGCGCCCATACCGGTGCCATGCGTATGCCATCCCGGCGAGACCGGCGGAGAGCATAACAGGTCTGAAAAGAAGACGTCCGACAGCAGCACCAAAAGCAGTACACAGGTACAGGCTCTCAGTTATGCTTTTAACCCTCGCCACACGCTTGTTGAGCATGTCGTAGACTCCTTCGCGAAGCACCTCCTGCTCCAGCAAGAGCAATGGTCCATCATCGGGCAAAAGCCAGGGACATCCATTGGTGAGCGGGCTGGGATCTGTCGCCGAATACACGATGGCGTCTATCCAGGGGAAATTGTGAGAATGCATCACACGAGATTCCATGGGAAGAACCAACAACTCACTTGCAATACGTTCAACAGGCGTCATTGGAATGCCGGCGAGGATGACCTTGAGTTGTGTATTCAATATATTTGTATCTGTAACACAACATGGTACCGTCGTGAACATAGCTAAACGGATGACAAGACTGTATCCTCACCAGCAAACCATGGATGAATACTCGAGATCCGGATATTGTCTTTGGCATAGAGGGGAGCCAAGGCACGCATTAGGCCAAGGACACCGTGCTTCGAGGCGCTGTAGATAGGTCCCTCAAACAAAGCAATCCAAGAAGCTAGAACCAATGCATCAGGCCCCGGTGATCTTAAGCAACGGGTAGATCATACCAATGGATGCTATCAGAACTATGGCCTTCAATCCTTCGAGAGGTGCCCGATTGATCTTCAGGTAATGCTGCGCTAAATTGACGGCTGAGGCGTCATGTCAGTGACATCCCTACATGGACGACGGACTGCCCCACTGTATAGTACAGCGATCAGGTTTATCTCGAGTGTTTTCAAGTTCGGTTTCAATGGACGAGGGTCGGGCCCGGAAGACATCGAAGTGACGAAGTACTGGCCCATTTCAATGACCCCGGCATTGGGAATCTAAGAGATAGAGGACGTCATTGTCTAGCTTCAGGGTATCGAGTGAACAACAGGTTACAACGATATCGACCGCGCCGTAAGTTGAGATAGCGAGCTCAAATAGGGCTGTCTGATCTTCCCAAGATGACACATCACAGCCTTTGACGACCGCTTGGCTATGGATGAACGATGGAACGGTAAGAATCGGTTCCATAGAATTCCTCCTTGGGGTAACCTCACCCTCCTGCTGACTTGATTCGCGAGGCGGTTTCCTGAGCGCCGGCAAGATCAATGTCACCAATCACTATCTTTGCCCTGGATGACGAACCAGTGAGCTTGAACCAGAATCGATGTGCAGGTGACACGAACCCCAACTTTGCGAACTGTGTCGCTGCTGCGCGCCCGATGCCACTCGCTGCCCCTAGAAGATAACGGTACACTGATAAAGCCCTTGACTTGGCGAGCACGAACACCGAAGCCCAGCATACCCGTGATCAAGACCACTTTCCCCATGCATCGATCGCCGTATGTCAGGAGTTGATCGTCCAGGATCGTGGTCATGATGCACGAAGGGGGTGGTTCGGGTGAGTATATGTTGGTGAACAAACAGGGGCAGATAGTATTTATGCGTGTTCAAGTACGGTACACCTTGGCTGTGAGGACACCCATCAGCATCTTTTGGCTGCGGTCTCTCAGTTTGTAAGGCACAATGAGTCAATTACGAACCTGATCGGTCGGTGACACATTTGAACCGGGCCGCGCTAACTGGAGCGAGGCAGAAGCACAGGAACCAGCGGTCACAGGTTCGTTCGAAGCAAGAACATAGATGACAGGTTGAGACTATTACAATCATGAGCTTAGGCAAGGTCTCGCGTGTGGACATCGGGAAATTCGATCATGTGCGGTGCGTGTGTAGCAGCAGCACGAAGTGGACGTTCATCCACCGCCGTCGCAAACTGAATATATGTGGGTTCAGCAGCACTTGACGTCTTATAGTTGCAGAGAAGATGCTCACCTTCGCTGCGCTGTCATTATTTACGATAAGGTTGCCTTCCGTTGATATGAGCTACAGATCATGTAACCGATTCCGGGCCGCGAGCGTACACGTAAGTCGTTCAACGAGTTGATCGATGGGTCTTAGCGGGACTTCCGGAAAAAAATCTCCTGCCAGTGAAAGGCGTTCCAGAACCAGTAGAATTGCGCCGATGGAGGGGGTGCGAATGGCAGCACTGCAAGGCACCACCCAATCTGGCCTTAAACGCTCTGGCGGACTGCACAGTCACGGTCTGCACAGCTCTGCACTGACTCTGAGTGCAGGCCGCTGTGGGAACGAGGCTACCACAACGTCATCCGCTTCACCAAAGGGACGTTTGTTCCGTACGAATCAAGTCGACGTCGCATGCCCGGGTGCACGAATGTGCTTCATTCTTAAGCTTGAGCTTGAAACATCGTAGTCACCATTCCATGGCGTCAGACTCAGACGGGATCGAAGGTAGGAAAACCACTTCGGGTGGAAAGCGTCGTCAACAGTACGATCGCCGCCGCCTGACATCATAACCTACCCGCCATCCGCTGCGCCCCTCCACCACCCACGGTCATCTTCCTTCTTCAGACTGTGCATATAACCAATCCATCCCCACCCAATATGATGGAAAATCCGTCGCTTCTACCTCTCTTGCCAACCATGAACGGGCACGATCGCGTCGACGCCAACAGACTGAACCGCGCTCGCGCAATGACCCTCGGTTCCTGGGTCATCAACTTTGCCTGCCAGATGTATGGCATGCTCACGTCCCCTAATATGAAGGAAGTTGCCGATGATGTAAGTGCATTCCGCCCACCGCATTTCGCAGTCTCATGTATGAGCTTGCAGAATCATTACGCCTTTTCGCCCAATCCCTGGTTCATCGGGGCCTTCTTTTCGATGCAGACTGTTCTGCAACTTTGGTGGATATACCTCCTGTTCAAGCATTCGCAGGAAACTGCAGGACGTTTGGATGCGCTGGGATATGCCCCAGTGTATGCCATAGGCAATATATGCATCGGCACGTCCACCCACAGTCACCTTCTTCTCCCCCTTGCTCATACCTTGACAGCCGCATGGATGATCTTCTGGATCAACCAGATGTTCTGGCCAGCACAAGCGTTGGTTACGATTAACTCGTTCATCCAGTTATGGGCGATGACCCGTCTACCGTTCATTACGCGCCTCAACCTCTCTACGCACCTTGTTGCAAAAACATTCGCCGGCATTGGCGTGCTTGACTTCCTCGATAACGGTGCTGTCGCATTGAGGTACAGCGGCCCTCCAGGTCAGGTAGTGAAGGCAATCGTCGGTGTTGTCTTCGGCATTGCGGTGAGCAAACATGTCCAATCACATCTAATCTTATCGAAATAACCAAAATGTCGTTTTCGCAGTCGTTGACGCAAGATCCGATTTTTGGAGCATGCTTGGTTTACGACCTTCTGGGCATGTATGTCGGACAATCTGGAACATGGGGCGCTACGCTGATGTGGATGGTGGTTGCAATCGGCGCCGTCGTTGCTGTAAAAACTGTAGTCTTCCGCATCTTCTAGAGTACATTGACAATCTTGTGATCTTGAGTTTGTAATATATAGTACCGCCAATTGACGTATATGTCACCCCTCGCTATACTCCTAGCCGAATGCCAAAAAGCCGTGCAAACGAAACTCACTAAATATAAACCTTACTTCAGCAACTGAAAAATCCTTCAATATGACCGCGGTACACTTCGACGCAACTTCTCCATACTCAAAGGCGACATCCTGCTATGACCATCTACGTCTCATGTATATGTACATACACTCTTGCAGATGAAGAAACTGATATCAATAACCGGAACGTGCCAACGCTTGACCTGCCGCCGACTCCGACTTTGCCATATTGAATGAACGAACGTAAGTAGATGAATTGGGAAGCTCATGTGCCCTCATTCGAGCTGCGCCTTTCCGGATTTCTATCGGTATATAGGGCGGGCGTCAAGAGCTCATGCCGATCGAAGAACATTCTCAAGCTCAGTCTCTGCGCTCCCGGTTCGTACGTGTCGACGTTGCCTTATCCTCGTCACTGGCAAGGCTGCGATAACGCCCATCCTGGACGAGCAACTACTCGCCTATGCTGAGCGCTGCAAAGGGAAGGTCGTTCTCATCACCGGTAAGTGAGCGCTGACCCTGATAATACGTTAAGGTCTTAAGCATCTATGGCCTCCATGTGGTTATTATAGGCCTAGGCGCGGCGAGTGGGATCGGCAGGGCCACTGCGATTTAATTCGCGAAGTTGAGGTAAGCATCTATGACTTAAGTTATGTTTCGACTTCGCTGACGCCGCCTATTAGCGCAATCGTCGTCATCGGAGACGTCGATGTCGCTAGTGCTGAAGCAGTTGTTTCTGAAGTCCAGCGCGCTCGAGGGTGAGGGTCGTGCTTGCCCTCGATGGACCCTTTACAACATCAATAACCGCGTAGGCAGGCAGCGTTCAAGCCGTGCGATGTACTCTCTTGTGATGACCAGGTTGCGCTCTTCGACTTCGCAATCGAGCGATACGGGTCTGTTGATATAGTAGTAGGTCCTGCTCCGTTATATATGTTCTTTAGAGGCTCATGATCGATATCAGATTCCGAACGCAGGTGTCAGCGAGATAGGCCGCTTCTCTCTCCCGACCTTGTCAGCAGGACCCAATCCTCGCCAGCTGAAGCCAAACCTGAAGACATTGGATATCAATTTGACTAGCGTGCTTTACAGTATGTATCTCCCTATGTTACGCACCAAGTTACCTCAACGATGCTTCGCAGCGGTCAATCTCGCTCAGCATTACCTGAATGTCAACAGGATTCCGGGTTCTGGTATAGCATCAATGGGTATGCATCCTGTTCTATCAATATCTGTGTCGTCATCCCGTCAATCATGTTCTTCAAGCATCCTGGGCGGCCCTTTCCGGAGGTCCGCTGTATAGCGTGGCGAAGCATGGCTTACTTGGTCTGATGCGCTCGTTCGCTCCCGTATATGCGAAGGAGAGCATGAGAATATCAAGCATTCACCCCTGGTTCGCAGGTATGGCGCGCTATACCCTTTACTTTGTTTATTCTCCTGACATTCGTTTCTACAGACACAAATGTCCTTAGCACTCCATTGAAGGTTACGTTAGCAGGAATTCCCTTGACCCCCGTCGGTCGAATAGCAGGCGAGTGTCCCCTGCTCTGCGTTTTTGCTACGTATTTATGACGAATCTTCCAGGTGCAATCGTATATACTGCTACGGATCCGAACCCGTCGACAAACGGATGTCCGTGGTTACTACCGGATGACGGTCCCCTCGTCCTTCTCGAGCAAGAAAGGCTTCGAGAGGGTGTACATCAATTACTGAACGATCGCTGGATGAGGGTCGTTCGGTGAGTAGCACGGCGGCACTCGTCTGGATACTACTCATAAATCTAACAATGCAGGACTACTGAGTGCATCAAGCGAAGCGCAGTGTTCATCGCTGCTCTCCTGGGCCCTCTCCTCTGGTCACGCCAACAATCCTATCAGCCAGCATCTACCTCGCAGTTTATGCTTTACGCCGATATAAATCTTGCTGACGACATTCGTATTTCTGGAAGCGTTGGGTTGTGGGAAAGGAATCCTTACAGTTTGTGATGTGGCGTGCATGGCATCGATACCTGGATGAGTCGTGAATTGCGAGACGCATGTTGAAGGGAAGCACCGTGACGAAGTTGCGCTCGCCGCCTGTCGGCACGGGGTTTTCCCACGTCTTCGCTTCGTCTTTCGACTTTCGTCTGAGCTTGCAAGGTGTTCCTACCCACCATGAGACCTCGGGTCACCCTCCCCCAACTCTCGCAGGCGCGGCACAACCACACACGCGTACTGCAGACAGCCCGCGCGAAGAATCTGAATGCCGCCTCGCCACGCAAGCCTTTGCTACCCGAAAGGCAACGCTACCGCGCACCCGATCCGTTGCTGAAGGTTGCCCCGGAGGCTATCACCGAAGACCTCACGTTCGTCCATCGACCGCCTCCGAGCGCGCCGACGCCATTCTCTCTGACGACGAGCCCTGCGTCGCCGCTCCTGCGACCGAAGGCGCCGGGGGATGTCGCTTCGTCTGGCGAGTTGCAATTACCGCCCGCTGCCCGTGCCACAAAGGCCGTACCCAGTAACCGGCTCTCTCCCGAGCAAATAGAAGAGATACGCAGGCTTAGACAGGAGCATCCGACGGAATGGACGAGGGGAAGGCTGGCGAACAAGTTTGGGTGCACGAGCGCGTTCGTGGCGCAGATCGCACCGCTGAAAAACACGACGCGGAAGGAGGTACTTGCCGCGAGGGACGCAGAACATGAGATGATGCGAGCGAACTGGGGAGAGCGCAAACGGCTCACGGTGGAGGTTAGGAGAAAGCGGAAGGAGTTCTGGTGACCGGTTTCGTCGTGCACCCGGGAGGTATGTGCCAAAATTCAAAATTGCCCGCTTTCTGACTCCAGGCTGCAGCGCTCTGCATCATCGCGGTGGTATACTCAAGCTATCAACTCACTGGTGCCTCTTGCTACCTACTGTGTTATACATCATATCTGCTTTAATAAGGCTATGCTCGAAGGAACGCCCGAACTTGCTGAGCTATCTCGTGGTCAAGTACGGACCTTCCCCCTCTCACTCCTATGCATCTGTACCATTGTCAAGGGCCAAAGACGCGGGGGCAACATCCTTCCACCTGTAAATATTATACCGGTGATTCACTCCCTCCAGCCGGGGTATGCATGCGCAACCCCCACATCCTGCAAACGGCTGTGAATCCTGGCTGTGCTTCGCAAGTAAGAGATAGCTCACCACCAGTCTTCTGCATTGGTATGACGAAGACTACCTCTTTGACGCGAGAATGCAATAGGGCCATGCTACACATTATGCATGGTTCGTGCGTGATGAACATGGTCAGACCCGTAAGGAGATAGTTGGTGCCGTTTTTGACCGTGCTTGTAGATGAGCTGGCATCATCAAGAGCACCTGCCGTATGTTCCATTCGTGACGTGCCAGATCGTGGTACAATGCCAGATGTCGAGGAGGAAGCCCGATAGTCGGCTATCTTACGAATGCAATTTAGTGCAGCGTGTTTGAGCGGGTGTTTGGTCGATTTGCGTAGGTCGTGCGCCATGAAAGATCGATTGGTTGCAGGGTGCGCATCTGGTTGCTCAGCCGCCTTTTCTGGTTCCTCGGCGCAAGGAGCGGGTACGTGTGCCACAACAGGTAGCTACCGATCAATCAGAACAGAACGAGAGTGGAGAATGTTGTTCCATATACATACTTCTCCATTTTCTCGAGCCCGAACAGCTTCGTCGTAGAGTACTTGTACAGCGTCCCATGCCCATTTCACCTGCAAACGCCGGGCATCAGTTGACAATGCTCGAGAAGCTGCCGAAGATCAACGTGCCTTCCCGCGTGGCCACCTCTCCGCTGCGCCTTTACGACGAGGTGCGAAGATGGTTGGCCACAAGACATTTTTCAACTTCAGCGAGTTTTGGGTCCGTGCGGGGTATGATGGAACCTTCGTCGTGTACGGGAGGTCTAAACCGAACTCGTCCGGTAGTCTCGGCGTGCTGTTCTCCAGGTCGCAGTCGGAGAAGCTGGAGGGGGCAGAAGCCTCCGCAGTAAGGGAACCGGACGGAGTCTGGGACGACGCGGGATATATCAGGAAAGATGTACGGCCGTCAGACTTGCGGATGCGCTTGAGATGTCCAAGGGTGGAGGTTTCAAGTCCGGATTTGTTGAGCCATTCGAGAAGCAATGTTATGAGTCGAGGATCGGGGACGTCAACAATCCATGCGTCCACTGAGAACCAACATGTTATTGAATGCTCTTCTCATGGTGTCATGCAAGCAAAGGGCTTCACGTACTGGTGTGTATGGACGCTTCATCTTCTTCCTCCAGTTCTTCGGGACTGGAACGTATCCTCTCCAAAGGTAATTCTTCATCCGGAATCGGATCGCATGGATCGCCGTTGGCCCATGGATTTACTTTCTCCTGGTCATCCTTGAGCACCATGCCAGCCATTGCCTCCCAAATGTTCTCCTCCTGATCCTCTTCTAGAGTTGACGAGTCTGAGTCGACTGGCTTGAACCACAGCTTGTGGCCGTAAAATATACAGAGCTCCTCGTCGAGATCGATCTGGCGCGTAGTTTTATATCGTATAGACTCTGTGGAGTGATCGAGACTGTATGAAATGTTCGGAGTGTCGGAATGATTGAACAACGATCCTGTTTGACTTTGGTCGCGGTACGATGATATCCGGCGATCGCAGGGACTAACCGAGACCTAGGGCAAGAGCCATGCGACCATCCTTCCAGTTGAATGTATAGTGATCAAGCACAGTGTGTCTGCCATGCTCCTCGTACTCCGCTTTGGAAAACAGTAAAACAGGACTGATTTCAACGAGTGATTGAGCAGGTATAGGGCGTGCAGCTACAGCCCATCGTCAATGTGGCCCCTGCACAGTGCTGATGAGCGGGCACCTGTGAACCTACCATACACTCCCCTGCCTTTTCCCTCTGTGTACCTGATGCAACACCCGGACGAGTTCAAGTGATCTGGAGCGGTGGTAAAAGCGGGCATCGAGGGTCAAATTCGTTTCGCGGAATTTGATGACGACACCGCCACTGACACGTTGGTCCACCAATGCCTCCTCTTGCGTTCACTCAAAGATCGGACGACGACATAACGCGGCCCGTCTTCTAGACATCCCCAGGCGCTACTCGGAGGCTGCTTGGCTGGACATGCCGCCTGCACTTGGACCTCGACCGCTTCCGTCGGTCATCTTGCTTTCGCTGGTACCGGTCGGTGCTTGGTTCATCGTCCGCCCGCTGCTGAGCCCGGCGCCGCCTCTGCCCGCGCTCCATGCATGTGTCGGATTCTCGATCTTCGCATTTCTTGCATCCTTATATCTTGTTCCGGCACTGGGTCCAATACTCATCAAAGCTCGCCTCTCTGGAAGAGACTTGTTGAAGACTTATGACACGCCGATGTACGTCTGTCCATGCCGTCATATACCTTGGGACTGAGATAGTTGCATTGGTAGACCAGAAAGCCTGGGTCTAGTCTGCGCATCCATATATATCATCCTGTTAATACTGTTTATCCCATTCCCATTCTCCCAATCCTTCGCGGACCACCGGATTAAACATGCCAAATCTCAAGAAGGGCTAGTAACGACCGAGTTCCCACATCATCAGGTAGAACTGCCGTTTCTTGCGTCTCGTCAGCCCTCCTGACTTCGTCCTGTCATCAGCTATCAGTCTACTTGGCATCTCTCCTCTCTCTCCTGCTAGCTACCATGCTAGGCTTCCTTGATGACATTTTTGACATCCGGTGGCGGCACAAAATCCCGGTCCCTATCATTGGCTCTATTCCACTTCTGATGGTCTACTACGCTGAAGGTGGTAACACGAACGTCGTGGTACCCGTGCAGCTGCGGTCCCTCCTTGGCCCGCTCATCAAGCTCGGGCCTCTGTACTACTTGTACATGTCCATGCTGTCTACTTTCTGCACTAATAGCATCAACATCCTGGCCGGAATCAACGGCGCGGAGGTCTCACAAGCCATTATCATCGCTCTCTCTGTCATTCTGAACGATCTGCTTTTTTTGCCGTGGCCGGTGGACTTTCGCATGCCCATACATCTCCTGGGATCGGCGAGCGAAGTAGAGGTCAAGGTCGGCGGGGTGTACAGTGCGGGGATGGCTTACGGAAGCACGCAACTGGTCGAGCGACACCTCTTCAGCCTGTATGTCATGCTGCCTCTGGTGGGAGTCTGCCTGGGCTTCTTGTACCATAACTGGTATGTACCCTTTGATTATTCACGGTACAACACGTTCATTGCAGATTTCGCGCAGGTATCCTGCGCGCGCATTCCCTGGCGATACGCTATGCTATCTGACCGGCATGGCATTTGCCGTCGTCGGAATCCAAGCCCACTTCTCCAAGACCCTCCTCCTCTTCTTCATCCCTCAAATATTCAACTTCCTCCTCTCCTGCCCGCAGCTCTTCGGGCTTGTTCCGTGCCCGCGGCACCGTGTTCCAAGGTAGTTGCTCTTCCATACCCTAGCGCAGCGGTCTCTGACATTATCCTAGATTTGACCCCGACACGAACCTCCTCCACCCTTCCAAAGCTCACCTGCTCGACCCTACAAAACCCGTATCCCAGACGAAAGTGAAGCTCCGCAATATCATTCTCACTTTGTTCAGCACTTTCGGCCTCACCGAACTCACTACCGACCCGAAGACGGGCGAAGTCACGGAATGCACCAACCTCACCATTCTCAATTTCCTACTTCTCAGATTAGGTTCGATGCGGGAAAAGGCATTGGTGCAGACCCTGATATGCGTACAGGTGCGTCCAACGCCATTTCCGGGGCCAGATCAGAGCTGATGTTGCCGCATAGGTTGCTGGAAGCGTAGTAGCCTTCGTGGTAAGATACGGTCTTGCGGGGCTGGTTTACGACGGGGATAGACGTTAGATACTGTCGAGGCCAATATTAACTTCAGCCGCCGATCCTGCTCATGTCCCGAGCTCTGGAGCCAGCGTCTTATCGCGGTACGTCAAGCTCCGTCTTGTTCGTCCGATGCGGTGCTATTGTTTCGTCTCCCGTCAATTCATCGCTCATCCGGCGCTGCGCCGCCCGACCCTGCCCATTGGGACGGGCGTGATCGGGCTAACGGTCGGTCGTCCGACCGTCATGTCGGAAACCCGCCAAGGGAACGTGCGGGGGGATGCGGGGTTGCTCCAGGCATCAATGCCACGATTGGGGTTAGATCGCCCTCGGAGATCACGCTTTTAGGCTCCCGAGGCCGTATCAAACCTGAATAGCGCCTCTGCCGAGATCGCGAGAGTTGAAGCGGACGCTACCGAAGGAAGCGTCCACGACGCCCAGGTCGGCGCTCCGGCCGCGGTTCACCCAGATATCAGGCGCATTCGCTCTCGACCGCCGCCGACGCGCACAGCACCCAAATCATGACGTTCCGCGAGCCCGACGCCCTCCCGACATGGGCGTGTAGCCGCCCTACCCTGATTCACGTGATGCGGGGGAGGCGGCTATATCACATGAAAATGCAGGTCTGAACATCCTTCATAACTCCTAAAGATCCCCGCCTGCTCGTGCGAGTACCGATCTCATATTACCCCCTCCCTTACAAGAAATCATGTCTCAAGAACGGGCAGCATTCCAAGCCGAGGTGCGCCAGGTTGAGGAATGGTGGAAGGTAAGATGGGTCGACCCTATCGTTACCAGATAATGTCTCATATATTATGTTACTCCAGAACCCCCGTTTCGCGCGCGTAAAACGACCATATACTGCGGCGCAGGTCGTTGCTAAGCGAGGAACGCTCCCGATCTCATATCCGTCCGACGTTCAGGGCAAGAAGCTTTGGCGATTACTTGCGGAGCATGCGCAGCGGGGCACGCCGTCGCACACATACGGAGCGTGCGTACAGTGCTTTGAATGCTGCTATGCGATAGTGCCAACATTATTGTAGTTTGGACCCGGTCCAAGTGACGCAGATGGCAAAATATCTCGAAACCGTGTACGTGTCTGGGTGGCAATCCTCTAGCACTGCCTCCAGCACGAATGAACCTGGCCCCGATCTCGCTGGTAAGCTTAATTTGCTGGATGGGGGTAAATGTCCCCAACTTACCTGTTTGCCCCAGACTACCCATACAACACTGTCCCGCAGAAGGTGGAGCACCTCTTTATGGCCCAATTGTTCCACGACCGGAAGCAACGGGAGGCACGCTCGAATCTGTCTGAGCAAGAGCTCGCGTCGACGCCATCCATCGACTACCTCCGGCCCATCGTCGCCGACGCAGACACCGGTCACGGCGGTCTGACTGCCGTAATGAAGTTGACGAAATTGTTTGTGGAGAAAGGTGCCGCGGGTATTCACATCGGTATGCGAACTTGTTTCATTGCCTTCGCTCATTTGTCCTGACCTCCTGCCCAGAGGATCAGGCGCCCGGTACTAAGAAGTGCGGCCACATGGCTGGCAAGGTTTTGGTACCGATCTCTGAGCACATCAACCGACTTGTTGCTATCCGTCTTCAGTACGATGTGATGGGCGTCGAAAACCTCGTGATTGCACGGACGGACTCCGAGGCGGCCACTCTGATCACCACGAATGTCGACGAGCGCGACCATCCCTTCATCCTGGGCTCAACGAACCCGACGTTAAGGCCCCTCGTGACGGTGATGAATGAGGCTGAGGCGACAGGCAAGTCCGGTGATGCCTTACAGGCGGTCGAGGATGAGTGGACTGCGGCAGCCAACCTCCAACTGCTCTCTACAACGCTCGCCACTGCGCTGCGGGAACAAACTGGAGCATCGCCCTCGACCATCGACACCTTCCTGTCCAAGGCAGCGCATGCCTCGCGTCCCCAAGCCGTCGCGATCGCGCAGGAATTTGGCCTGAAGTCGGTGCCGTTCTGGGATTGGGATGCCCCTCGCACGCGCGAAGGCTTTTACCGTTACCAGGGCGGGACGCAGTGCGCTATCAACCGAGCAACGGCATTCGCTCCCTACGCTGACCTGCTGTGGATGGAGACGAAGAAGCCTATATTGTCCCAGGCGGTGGAGTTCGCGAAGGGTGTGCACGCGGTACATCCGGGCCACTGGTTGGCGTACAACCTCAGCCCATCCTTCAATTGGGATGCTGCTGGCCTTGGAACGGACGACATGAAAAACTACGTTTGGGAACTCGGCAAACTGGGCTTCGTCTGGCAGTTCATCACGGTAAGCCTACAGTTTGGGGTTATGCTGGGTGATTGCTCACAGAAGTATAGCTCGGCGGTCTACATTCAAACGCCTACATCTCCGATCTCTTCGCGCGCGAGTACGCTCGTGAAGGTATGAAAGCGTATGTGGAGCTGGTCCAGCGCAAGGAGCGTGAAATTGGCTGTGACGTCCTCACTCATCAGAAATGGTATGTCATCTCAAGCTCATCAATCTTCCTGTTCTGATGCCACGATGATGCGCAGGAGCGGCGCTGACTACGCCGACAACTTGTTGAAGACGGTGACCGGTGGCGTATCATCGACCGCGGCAATGGGCAAAGGCGTAACAGAGTCACAGTTCCAGAGCAAGCTTTAGATTTGTTGTATCTCGTGGAGGGCATGATCGTTGACCATCATTTGTATCACGTTTGGCAAGCCATAACGACACAGTTTATCACTAAGATCATTGCCCTGTTATGAAAATCCGGCTTTGAGATGCCACGGGGATCACTCACCGACGTCGACGCTTTCGTATGGCGCAGATTGTTGCGCTACTTTGTGTTGGCAATAGAACTAACGTATGACGCGATTCGTCCATGATAAATCCGGCTCGCAATCGGATCCGCAGCATCGGATGTGATCGCGCAGCGAGACGCAGAATCGAGCAACAAACACTAGAGTCGAATAAGAGGATGGAACCTGGTGTTGATAGCAGTACAATTGCCTGGCGAACACTCTAGGATAGTCAACGATGATCTTCGCATCCACCAAGAACTTGAACCTGCGCGAACTTCGCGAGTTCGACGTTGACCGCCTCCTCGACTTGATCAACGATCCCGCCGTCATGCGTAGTGGGCCAGGTTACCCCCGCCCCAGGGGGCCGACACTCCGGAAGGAGCTGGAAAGCTCGCCGGATCAAAATCTTCTTACGGTCATCGTGGAGGCAAAGGAGCCTTTGGAAAAGATTCCTGACGGAGCGAGTCCGAAAGAACAAGAGGACGCGCTTTTCGTAGGCATGGTTGGGCTAAGCTTGCGTTTCAAAAAAAACCGGGAGGCAACGTTGGAGATCAATCTTGTAGACAAGTGGCGGGGAAGGGGATTTGGGACCGAGGTCATGCTATGGCTCGTGAGCTATGCGTTCCAGCAGCTTGCGTTGCACAGACTGTCACTCGGGGTCTTGGCGGGGAATTCGCCTGCGATCGCGGTGTATAAAAAGGTGTAAGTGGGATGACAGATGACTGTTGTCTTGATCTCTGAACGATACGCAGTGGCTTTGTCGAGGAGGGACGCTCGCGAAAGTCGAACTGGCAGGACGGAAAGTGGCAAGATGTGGTGTATATGGGCCTATTGGAGGAAGAGTGGCTGGCGAGCGCGCAGCAAGCGTGAAACTTCACTGAAACACTGAAGGCGCACAGAGATACTAGGGACATAGAGCACTTCCTTTTCAATGCGGGTGCTCTAGAACCCAGAGATAGCCTCAGATAATCCGGACACCTGACAGTCAAGTGACTGATCATGTGATCGTGTTGCCTGCCTTCGCGTTCCCGCAGCGGCGAGGTCATACGACTCTGCTTGAAGTTCAAGCTGGACGTCCAGTACATGCACTGACCCGTCCCCTGCTGGTCCATATCACATACTATGCTGGAAACTACCAAGGGTGGCACGAAGCCGTTCTTCACGGCGACCTCAGCGTATTCTCTGGCCGCTGTAGCCACCATCGGTATCCTTGCTCGCACAGGCGCACGGGCCTTTCTGCCTCGCAATGCTCGCTGGCAGGACCGCTTCACGTTCATCTGGCTGGTAAAGGGCCATTATAATCTGTCGTGATATAATAATCGTCTGACTGGAATGAACAGGCTTTCGACGCCATGATCCACTTCAGTTTCGAAGGCTCATTCTTGTACCTCTCCACGTTCGGCCGACAAGTAAACACAAGCGCAGGTCCATTTGCCGAGCTATGTGAATTCTAATTTTTCTACTTCTATTATCTCGAAACAGTCTGAAGAACCCCTTCAGGGAAGGAATACGCGGCTGCGGACTTCCGGTGGGGCTTTGCCGATGAGACTGTCGTTTCATTGGAGATATTGACAGTGCTCGGAGCTGGCCCGCTATGGCGAGTAATCCATGGCGAAGCAATTCACTCCGTGCTCATCACGCGAAATTCAGCTGTTATATCCTATGGCAATTAGCCAAGGACGATCCAGCTAGACATTACTGGATTGTGGTATTAAGCACTGCCGAGTTGTACGGTGGCTGGATGGTATGCATCATCCATCGGACAGTGACCACAACCAGATTCTCACACATCATTCGCGCATAGACCTTCTGCCCAGAGTGGCTGACCGGTTCACCGAACCTGGATACCTCTAATCCCCTTTACCTTTGGGTATACCTGTTTGTAAGTTCTGCCCCTCATTATCTTGTCATACACGTTCAAGTTCAGATCGTCATCATCCCAGTTCATGAACGTTATGTAAGCTGGTTTTGCCGTCTTGGCGCCTCGACTCTCACTCACCAATTTCATAGTTGGGTAGTGATCCCTCTCTGGCTCATGTACGATTCATACGGTCACATCGCGGCAAGCCTGCGAAGCGCGAAGAAAACCAAGCGAGCATGATAATACCATGATTGTTGCAGGAACGATCTATTGCTGAGCGATTTCTGATACAAACTGTTTGATGCGTTGCTACTTGCTATCGAATCGCAGCGTGTTCATCGGCGAACAAGATGATGATTGCCCAGGAACATCAACCCGCTGAAGCCCCAAGCCTGGCACTGACCCAGACTGACCCCCCGGTGTCATGAGATTCCCGTTACCAGGGAGAGGTGCCTGTTTGTGAATGGCGAATCCATAACAGAGTTCGTGGGTACGAAAGACGTAGAGTGGAAGACTTTGCTGGACTTGCCTGCTGAAGCACATCATCGAAGGGCATGACGTGAGTCTGAGCCTTGAAGTATATCTGAAACACAACATGCGGACTTGAATGACTGCATGCCCTGATATCGTGCAGTATCAAGCGAGAATATCATGGAAGCCAAGAACTGTAAGCTTCGAAGACGTTTAATGATCGCCCAAAACTGACAAGCCCCTCAGGTTATAATGTTCGACAACCGTTCTACGTTGGGTTCGTGTCTGGCCCCGTTCGATACTACGGATGTATGCTGATACAACACATACTTTCAGACACTGCCGTTGTCGATTACATTGACAAAGAGGGCGGTACTCAGCCTCATCATATTTTCCGTTTTTGCGCTATGACAGAGGTTCCAGTGCCTGGGGGTGCAGAGCTGACCAAGGACAGGGCGATGACAGAGCTCCAGTCAGATAGCGTACAACAACAACGATAATACAGCTCATTCTTAGAACGCGCATGTACCGAACATCACGGTCATGCCGTACACGTTGAGCAATCATGCACGTCATGTTCACATAGATCACAATCACGAACCACGGGAGCAGATCCAACAATCATTTGCCAAGGTTCTGGCGCGAAAGCTCCTTCTCGAGCTCGGCACTCGGATCATCCATAATCGGTTCCGGGGCTGTGGCGCGAGCGCCGGTGTAACCGGAGGTGGCACCGTTGCGCGGCGCGTGCTCCTGGACAGGCGAAGAGATGATTTCGTCTCGAGATGGTATAGGAAGGCTGACGAAGAGGCATGAGCGAGGTGAAAGGAAGTACAGTCGAAGGACACACCTGTCTTGCTTCCGGACTTGACCAGCCGCACGCGCCTGGGCCCTCACCTCCGCTCGGAACGAGTTAACCTCTTCCACAATCAATTTCTTCATGCCCTCAATGCTGTCCTCCTCTTCAAAGCTGAAGTCGAATTTCTGGCGGGCAAGCATCAGCATCACAATTTTTGCATAGGCCATTAGCGAAAACTGGCTTACTTTCTCACAAACTGGTTCATCTGCAGGATCGTGCCAGACCTGGAGGTATGGATGTTTCAGCGCGTCCTCGCAGCTGATGCGCTTCGCAGGGTCAAAGCAGAGCATCTTCGAAAGCAAGTCAATCGCAAGGGGATTGGCATGTGGGTATAGATTTTGGAAAGGGATGCGCGGTTTGATTGGCAGCGATCGTATGTAATCTTGGGCCTGCAGGAGATGAACGATCAGTGGTCGCCATATTTCTGATGCTCATTAACGAACCCGAGGAGATCCAACTCGACGAAGCGTATCCTCGGATGGCGTGCCGAGATAATGCAGAATCTGGTTCAATTGATCGACGTAACTAGACCGCGAAACCGCCGCAGTTCAGTGTCGGCTTCGTAAAGCTGATGCTAGGAACTTACTCGCGGCCCTTGAAGATGGGCTTCCCGCCAAGAAGCTCGGCAAGGATGCAGCCAATTGACCAGACATCGATAGCTGTCGTCTAGATCAGACGGTCAGATATGGATATGCTATTTCATCAGGAAAAGAGCTGAGTGCTTACGTAGTTGGCAAAGCTCAACATGATCTCGGGTGCCCGGTACCAGCGAGTTGCAACGTATTCAGTCATGAAACCCTGGTTCCCCGCCGCCCTGCTTGCACCACCACCGGGAGTGTACCTAGGTAACGCGAAGACAGCACATTAGACATTAGACGATGCGTCCTGCCGTCCTCGATGCAGCGGGTTCGACCGACACGTACCCACGCGCTAGGCCGAAATCGCAGATTTTAAGCTCGCAGTCAGCATTCACGAGTAAATTTCCGGGCTTGAGATCGCGGTGCAGGACGTTCGCGGAGTGGATGTACTTCAGACCACAGAGCGTCTGGTAGAGGAACGACTGGAAGTGGGCATCGGAAAGCGGTTGACCGGAGCGGATCTAGACGGAAGAAATGGCACAGGCCAAGGTTAGATGGTCCGTCGCGGGTGGACGAAGAAAGGTTTCTCTCACAATGGCATGTAAATCGGCCTCCATCAGTTCCTCGTAAAGATAGACTTCGCCAAAGTTGCCGTCTGGCTCGAAGACGATGTCCATGTCATAAAGACAGGTGATCTGTGATTAAATGTAAGCACCCGACCATGAACGATGATTAATGTTCCGACGAACGTTCTTATGGCCACGGAAGTGATGCAGCAGACTACCATGAGCGTAAGCAGAGCCCGGTTGATCAACATCAATGTTATGCACCGAATTTCGCGCAAGCATCGCTTCGTCAGGATCCGCTAATCGAGTTGCGGACGTTAGCGGTGTGCGTATGCTCATGTTGGGTCCGATGCTCACCTTGGTGTTGATATTGGTGATCTTCTTGATCGCGCAACCTTCACCTGTACGGCGGTGGGTGGCTGCTACGACGCAGCCATACGCACCCTGGCCGAGCTCCTTTACGAACTGATACTCGGAGTCGACCACAAAGGTGGAGTTTAAAGCATGAAATGAGTGTCGCTGCATGTTATGTAGGACGACTAGGCGACGTGGCCTGACCGATGGTAGGGTGATGGAAAAAGCTGGAACGCCGGGAGGGATCTACAAGGTTGAATATGTATGATCTGGAATGATGGTCGCGATAGAACGAGATGAGAGTGCGGATTCAGCGCCTCGAGAATACAGCATGGCACAGCTCAGTAGATTGTTTCAGATCGTCCATTCTTCAGGCCCTATCCGCGTGCCAGATGCAACACATCCATCCTGTCTTAGTGCCCCCACCACACGTTCCGAGGAGGTACGCCTGGTTGTGGATGATATGCTAATATTCAACCCGCGGCCGTCATTGCGATCGAAGCTCGCATCGGCTTGTGGCTGTGGTACCTACCAGTCCATCGAAGAGCACATCATGAAATGATCATACTATCTCCCTACACAAGGTCCTGAAAAGCGACGTCGATACATATTATATAGGCTAAATCGAACACTCGGTCACGCCAACGGCTGGACTAGCGGTGCCTATCCCGTATTTATGTATCCGGGCCAGGCGGCGATCGTACGTGCAGAATTACTCTCGGCAGCTTCTTAGCAGAAACTCCATCTTTCGATGGCGAATCGTTGGTATTTGCAATCGCCGGGTCAGACAGTTCGGTCTTCGAATCCTCCATTGGAGGCCGTGGGGACCGCGTTCCTTTTCCTCTGGCGCCAGCGCCTTTCTTCGCCGAGGTGGATGTGTTACCCGAGGCGGTACTCGCAGCATCGGTGGCGGCGGTTCGAGATTTCCGATCACGCAGCGTCATTGACGGGGGAGGGAGAGATACAGGTATTGCTGTATCACCCTCGGTCATGGAGGCGAAGATGGCTTGTGTGCGTTGCAGCCATTCATCTCCAGGCCCGGGCGCGGATGGCCTGGCACCTCTCGCGCGCTTCTTCGTCGCTTTCTCCAGCTGCCATTCGCGCATTAGCAGGGTATCACAGCGCACACTCTAGGTGAACGCACCCTCGCGAGGTTATGTACGTTCCACCATTCCTTGTCAACCTTCTTCGCGCGACTTTCGTCTACCAATCCGAGCAAATGGGCCATGGCCCCGCTGGAGAGGGCGCGGTCGCTGTACCCTCCTTCCAGCACGCTCACCTACGCCACTCGTCAAAATAGCTCTTCATTAATGTACGACCATGTACTCACCAATCGCCCTTGAGAATATTTCTGAGCAAAGGACATCGCATCGCGAGCAAAACGATGATAAAAGTCCACGGGAACTCGGCGGCCATGTCGAGACATCGAGGGATATTCATGTTCGCAAGCATCAAAGCCACAACTGAAATGCAGTCATCAATCATCAGATATAGAATGATGCTCACGAAAGGATCGCACGCTGACCTGATGAAGATCAGGACATCTTTACCGCCACCCCCCGTTTCTTGAACGAATTGTTCCGCTCTCTGGAATATAGCAGAATATCGCTGTGGGTACAGCACATCCCAAAAATGCTCGTCCGTCGAGTAAGGCTGCAAATGGCTACGAGAGTGCATCAGAACAAACTGAGGTAGACATGAGCCGGACTGCTTGCATGTTCTCGATATACTGGCCATCTTCCGATATGATCAGACATTGCATTTCAAAGCAGAAACTTGCACTGTACGTACGAGGTCCATGAACGGATGTTGAAGCAGCTTGGACAAGAGCCGGAACGCCGTCCTGAGCTCGATTAAATCAGCGATACAGAGTAAGAGCCAATGTCTTGATCATTACCTCGCAGGGATAAGAAAGAACATCGTGTATACTTCCGTAGAACACTTGTAGTCCAGCGGCGTCAGGTAGTTTGATATCGTTCCTTTATGCATTTTCGTAGTGAGTTTTCCTGCTCGATAACACGCTCTCCGTTACTCACTCTGCACTTTCCGCAAATCGTCGCTGCGCTTCAAGCTCCTGAGATTTGCGGTAAGTTTCTTCGTTGATTTGCCACACGATGGACTGCGTTCCGTTCCCTGCTCTGATTGTCAAAACTTTTACTGGTTGTTCACAGGCATTGAAATGCCCACCGTGGTGCAGATCTATATCAAATATCAAGACCCGATTTATGCCATGCTTGAGATGTGCTGATGATGGGGTCAATGGCGCGCATCGGGCACAAGAAACGAATTACCATGGGCTGCTGCAACTGCCACATTGTTGACAAAGCAGAAACCAGATGGTGTATCTTCTCCACAGTGGTGACCCGGTGGTCGAACAGCAACAAAGGCACTGCGAGCCGTGCGCGGGGCTGCATTAGCCGATGACTCTGCGATGACGGTATCGACAGCTTCGCAAACAGTCCCTAGCGCGCCTTGCATTGCTTCCAAGGACTCTGAGCATACTGATATCGGCATGAGACTCTGGTTAGAATAGGCGAACGGTTGTCAAGCCGTGCTCACAATACAGATCACCCTGGTTCAATCCTTCTGGTATTTCGCTGCCGCCTTCAGCAATCTTGGATATACTTTCTGCCGCCCATCTCTACCCATGATCACATTAGGATCGAACCAAAGGATAGTGCAGAAAATCAAAGCGAACCTTCAAGTTTTCCAAGTAAACGTCGCCATCGATATCACCATGCACATACTTCACAGCGGCATTATGGAGGATGTCAATCGCAGCGGAGCTTTTGACAACTCGAACCCCGGAGCGTGCTTCGAATGCATCATTGGAAGCCAAGTTCATGCGCTGAAGGGCGGCAGTGAGGTCCTCGGCAGCGTTGTGTTCAGCAACGCTAGGGTTTGCGCGCGGTTGTAGTTCCTCAAGTCGCGCTATAGCAGCTGACAGACCAGTTTTGACGGCTCTTATACGTTCCGGCCGCTCGACAATATTACTAGTGTCTTTGTTCCGTACGTATCGATGCTTGAGGCATGCATCCTGTAGAAACACTGTGGTGGAGGCAGCCATCAGGCTGTGGCGTATATTCTTATGCGGATCTTGCTTCGCGTAAATAGAGATGCAGCCTCAAGCAGATGTAGATAGCGGTATCACAGTAGCGAGCTGAAGGACGGCGTGAACATGGACGCGCTCAGCGCGATCGCGACGCGAACTTGATTTAGCAGTGTCACGTGGAGGATACTTCGGGATCAGGTGCGTTTCGCAGGCCAGTCAGGCTTGAGCTCGAGCCATCGTCGATCAATTGTTTCCTTCCATCGGTACAGCATACATGATACTACAAACACGCATCTTCGACGAGCAGACAGACTCAGACCTTGCCGACGAGATTCATCTCCTATACGGGATCTCAGTTCGCGTACAAACGACAAAACGGCGGTGCACAGAACCTGGTAGGTGGTAACCTTGCCTGTGTTGTCGTTCCGGATGGAGTATTTTTTCTCCTATCACGACGAGATATGTGGTGAGTCTGAGAACGCCGTGATTATGAGATCACGTACCCCGCCCTCGTCGACAATCTGCTCAATCACGCCGGTAGAGTGCGCGACGTTGTCGGCGGCACCGCCAATAGGCTTGTACTCGACTTTGTCGCCCTCCTATCTCATCGGACTCGTTAGAATCAGACAGTCACAACACCCATTGATGCCGCTACATGCCTTGTAGGCCATGGTGAATTTTCGTAAGAGTGAGAGAGTTGGTGAAGCAAAGTAAAGGGTTTGAGTACCAGATGGTCTTGCAGTCGCGGACATACGAGGCCTCTATATACCCGTGATGTACCTGTTGACGTCAAGCGACGATCCCTCTCGAACGCGAGATCACTGGGGGTGGATCGCACCAACGGCTGACCCCGTTTCTCGTAAACAGTCCGTATAAGGCATTCGACCAACCAAATCCGGAAGCGCTATGAAGGAAAGTACATACACGCACCGCTTCCGCCTTCGAACTTGAGACCAATGCGCGTCAGCATCCTGCTTTGCTCCATCTGACCAGCATGCTCCAACGTCGCCGTGCCTCAGAGTCAAATCTCCGCGTCTCAGAAAGCCTGACTTGTCGAGAAGAGGCGCGGCGAGGTGATGATGTGCGGATGCAGTTGGGTTCGTGCTACCGTTACCGAGCACATACGAGAATCTTTGCAGCATACTTGGCCAGGATCCGTCTCCGACGATCTACTTATCTCTGAGGTTTTGGTTCGAACTGGTTTACAACATGACAACCATCCGGTCTCGCCATTCCGATTTGCACAATATTCGCCCAGGTACCTTCGATCGAGTGAGCAAGTATAACCGTCATAAGTGATGATTTATCTGAATCTTGTCTTGGATGTCCAGCCAAGGCAAAGCGTGTACCTTGCGATACGACCGTCGGCTGATCCCGCAGATCAATCTGAGATAAACCACGGAAGATCTGCTCGCCTCGCACGTCCAAGAGTCCTATCCAGTGACATTGAAGCTGATTGAAGCGGCTTTGGCAAGACCTCGCTCCCATGCGGACCGCCCCGGCCGCGCGACGCTGAAGAGAATCGCAGGCTGCAGCCACCAGAGAACCTTCCGGACGTCACTTGACCTCAGCTACACGCGCCCCGATGCAGTCGCCATTTACACAAATACGGTGGTACGCAACCCGAGCGGTACGATCATCGCGTAACCGCGACCACGAATACCCCCTTCACACGCATTCGCCATTCGAAAGCCCCGAATCATTTGATGCATGCGCCTGCAACGTGGTGGGGCTGCCCTCCCCCCCTGTTCGCGCGCCGTGCGGGGTTGGCCAGCGGCCCTACTATCTTAATCCGAGACACGCCAGACGCTGCGAACACGCAGCTGCCTCGTGGTCCGGGGGAGGTACGCTAGATATGTCTACGAATTCCGCGATAGGGTCAGACACGAACCGCCGACTGGACACCGACGACCGACCCAAGACAACACCCGCATGCGCACATCGACACGAACATGAGCGAGCCTTCTAGCGGTAAGTATCCTTCGCGTTACGCTTCGCGTCGGCACTTCTGATGGGGGCCGGAACGTGCAGCCTTGTATATTGTCCCTGATCCGCGCTCCCCCGGAGGGAAAAAGGTCGTGCGACGTCACTACCCGCCCCCGACGACCGCGCCTCTCGATGACGACTTCGACGCCGTGACCGCGCCTACGGCCAGCGTTTGGGCGGGACGCAGGACGCGCACGTCGACGCACCTCATGCAGGACGACTTTGACGCGTTCACGGCTCCGACCACGAGCGTATGGACCGACCACCCGCGCGCGCCTCCTTCGCCCGCGTCGAGCAGCGGAGAAGCAGATCCGCCCGACGAAGTGACCTGGATGGGGCCGTCCTCGAGACACGGCGGCCGTTCGGCCCAGAGGAGATGGCGCGGCACGGGCACGAACGGATCCCAGTCGAAGGAGAACCGATACCCCGAGTTCGAGCGCACGGAGGAGTACGTCTATCGCGGCGACATCGACCCCTCGGAATGGGGAGGGAAAACATTTGACGACGAGGAGATCCGGATGGCGTACGTGAACGGGGGCGCCATGGAGCTCGAGACGGAGCCTCCGGCGGCGACGGAGACCGTGATCATGCGAAGACGTGGCGCGGAGATTGCCAACGGTCGTTGCGCGGGGATGGCCGGGGGCAGCCACGGGCGGCGGCAGATCGAGGCCCCAGGGTCTCTTCGTGGGCGGGAAGGATCTTGGGAGCGGTATAACGATGAGACGAGGAGTTATCGGGCGGAGGGTGATCCGAAGATGGTGGAGAAGCGGATATTGGAAGATGGGCCTGAGAGGACGGTCAGCATCTGGAGGCGAGAGGTGGCGAGAGACGCTGGAGACGACGTACGGAGCGTCGCGGACAGTCACGCTCAGCGCAGGCTAAAGGCGCCCGAGCGGGAAAGGGACCGGACTCGGGATCGGGAGAGAAGCCAGAGGAGTGGGGGAGCTGGCAGCAGCCAGGCCGGATGGCGAGGGGACATGTCAGAAGGTGACAGGTCTCGCTACGCTGGCAAGGTGTGTAGTAGCAAACCGTAGTGATTAATCCCGGCCAAGGAGCTGAGGCGTGTACGTGTCTAGAGTACCGCCGGCGGCCACCGCGACTACGCGTACCCGACGCCGCCTAGGAGCAAAGGAACGTCGGCTGGGAACAGCCTAGGGCACAAGAGGAGCGCGTCTGACCCTTGGCGGGGGAGCTTCAGCCAGCCTCAGGCGGCTTCGACGCCTCGACATACGCTTCGAAGGCAACCCCGGATAGAGAGCCTGGCGCGGACGTCGGTGGTGCCTGACCTGCGCTCGGTGGGCAGCGCTCGCGCTAGGAACACATCGCGCTCGGGAACTTCTTCCGAGGGACATTCGGCGGGCGAGGCCGCGACGCCATCGCTGGAAACGGTGCTCAGCGGCTGTTCGCCCTCTTTGCTTCACACGGCGCCGGTCCTGAGAGATCTTGGGATACGGAGCGTTGACCATCTGAGGGCCATAGGGAGGATGGAGAATGACCTGAGAAACCGAGAAGTGAGGCGGGAAGCATTCAAGCGGGGCTTGACTGTAGTGGACTGGGCAATCTTGCTGGACGTGATGAAGCGTCTGTGACGGACGATGGTTGTATGTACCTTATTCTGTACGCGTATGGAAACCATGTTGTACCTTGAATATCGAGAGCTGTACCGAGAGCTGGCCCCGGGTTGGTACGGGTGAGGTGGTAGAGCAGCAAGCGAGCACAGATTATGCGCTGGTACATCGTATACAATCCCCGGTTCAACCATTGGTTAGGTGACTGGCTGAGAACGGTCAGGTGATTCGCGATGACGGCGGTGGCGATGCAGCTGTGACCCGCGTTGTGGAGAGCGACGACGGGGACCACTGCGAACTCTGTTATGTTTTCCCTGGCCGCCTGCGCTGCCCCGGATGGATCTGGAGCCGGCTTGGGTCCGCCTCGAACTCGGCGCTGGGGCTCGCTGCGCCAGCCGGGAAGATGTGGCTCACCGGGCGTCATGCGCCTACAGAGTTCAGCCTCTGATCGAGATCCGTTCAGGCAGCGGAAGATGCTGCTCTGCACTCCATCCCCGACTCATCGCACGCCTGCGCTATTCGGAGCGCCTCTTTCCACAGTCGGGCATGCGACCTTCAACGTGGGGGGACGCGCACTCGACGCCCGGACAGCGCCTTCCACGCACTCGTTCCCGGGCGTGTCTCTGCACCATCACACGTTCCCGCGAGACCGAAACTCAACGTTGAACGCTCTCTTCTATTTCACCCTTCTCCGAGTTCTTCAGGTCACGGGCACTCCCCTCGAGCTTACTACCCTCCCGTCCCCTGATCACGACCTCATACCAGCAGATCACGGGAGTGGATCTGTAAGCCAATGGCCGCGCATATATTAGCGCGCACCAGTTATTGCGATCGCATTAGGCGTCTTTCACCTCGAATCTGCCAGTCTCCTCGCAAGAATATCTGATCGCGCGCGTCCAATATGCCGTCCAAGCAAGTCTTCGAGGCGAAGGATGGAGCCACCTACACCACCTCCAACGGTCGTCCCGTCGACGAACCGTACGCCGCCGAGCGCATTGGTCTGACCGGTCCCCTGCTCCTTCAAGGTATGTGTCTTCTTCCGACGTTCACCGATCTTTTCACCGAAACATCCTACTTTGCAGACTTCCACCACATCGACCTGCTCGCTCACTTCGACCGCGAGCGTATCCCCGAGCGTGTCGTAAGTCCCAGTCGGCTGCAGTTCCATACGCATACACTGACCGAGCTCTCCATTTCTACAGGTGCATGCCAAGGGTGCCGGTGCCCACGGCTACTTTGAAGTCACCCACGATATCAGTGACTTGTCCTGCGCCAAGCTCTTCAGCAAGGTTGGCAACCGCGCCAAGGCCACCGTCCGCTTCTCCACTGTCGGCGGCGAGAGCGGTTCTGCGGACACGGCTCGCGATCCTCGCGGCTTCGCCGTCAAGTTGAGGACCGAAGAGGGTAACTGGGACTGGGTGTTCAACAACACTCCCGTTTTCTTCATCAGGTATGTATCGCCGCATAACTGAATGTTCATCATACTGATCCTCTACAGGGACCCGGCCAAGTTCCCTCACTTCATTCACACCCAAAAGAGGGACCCCCAGACGCACTTGAAGGATGCCGACATGTTCTGGGTAAGCAGAACCTGGCGACATGTGCACTCGGCGTGGGTCTCACGGTGGACGTTGATAGGACTATCTCTCCCAAAACCCGGAGTCCATTCATCAGGTATCAGCCGATCTATTCGTTCGAGGCAAACCACCGACTCACATTTCCGTGCAGGTGATGATCCTCTTCTCGGACCGTGGAACCCCAGACGGCTACCACAACATGCACGGCTACTCTGGACACACCTTCAAGTTCGTCAATGAAAAAGGCGAATGGCACTACGTTCAGATCCACCTGATCAAGGAGGGCGGCTTCAAGGTAGACCACTATATGCTTCCTCCTCCAGCCGGATCACGACTAAAGGCTCGCACTGTAGACCTTTGATAACGAGAAGGCGGGAAAGCTGGCAGGAGATAACCCAGACTACGGCATCGAGAGTCTGTTCAATGCGATCGAGTCCGGCAACCACCCGACCTGGAACGTCTTCGTCGTCAGTATTTCTTTTTTCGATTGCGTGCTCTTTTGCACCTCACGTTTCTCACCGCCAATCGGATCTATAGCAAACGATGACGCCAGAACAGGCTGAGAAGTTCCGGTACAGCGTTCTGGACCTGACCAAGGTCTGGCCGCACTCGGAGTTCCCCATGCGTCCCGTTGGCAAGTTCGTGTTGAACGAGAACCCGCAGAATTACTTCGCGGAGGTCGAACAGGTGACCGCTCTGGCCCATCTCTTCATACGCGAACAGGGCTGACGGCACACCCCATTCATAGGTCGCCTTCTCGCCTTCCCATATCATCCCGGGCGTCGAACCCTCCGCCGACCCCGTCCTGCAATCTCGCTTCTTCTCGTATCCTGACACTCACAGGCACCGTCTCGGCACGAACTACCAACAGGTTCGCCCCCCCTGACTTGTTTGCCCGATCTTGTCAATCGCTCAACCGTCGCCGTCTAGCTCCCGGTTAACAGGCCGACGTGCCCCATCGCCAACTTCCAGCGCGATGGCGCGATGGCGTTCGACAACCAGGGCGCGCGCCCCAACTACCAGAGCTCGATCTCTCCTCTCACGTACAAGAAGAAAGCCTACACGTCTGAGCAGCACGAGACCTGGATCGGCAAGTCGTACGCGGACTTGAGCTACGTCACCGAGCGTGAGTTATCCAGACACGAGAGAGAGGGCTCTAGACGAATATTGACATGTTGCCGCGCCCGCAGTCGACTTTGAGCAGCCTCGGGCCCTCTATCAAAAGGTCATGAACGACGTCGACAGGGACCACCTCGTCCACAACATCGCCGTTCACCTCGGCAATGCCAAGTCCAAGGAGGTTATTGCCCGACAGCGTATGTCCCCATGAACGCGGACAGTGTTCAGACATCTAATCCGCCGAACAGTTTCCGTCTTCGCTGCCGTCGATCAGAGCCTGAGTGACCGCATCGCGAGCGCGATCAACGCCGAGAAGGTCAAGCCTCTTCAGGTGCGCCCAGCTTCCGAGGCCGTGCGTTTCCGCACGAACATTGGCCCCGCTTGAGTGACGGTGGGGCGCTACGGTCGACGTGTAGGACGCGGGAGAAATGTGCCACCTTGAATATCGAAATAGCAATGTATGATCTTTCCAGACGAATGTACAACCAATAACACAATTGCCTGCAACGTAACGTGCGCTATACACTAAATGATCGCGGATCATTATCGCGGCAAGCTCCCATCAATTGTCTTCAACGAAGGCGCTTCGCCCATCCTCAGACGGTATATGATGCTGCATATTTGACTACAGTTGATTACTGTTACGTGAATCCATCGTCTTCTCGCTTCACTGCGGGTTAATGGGGCTCATCTGCGCCTTGCGGCCTCTCGCAGGCCAGATCTCGCGCATGGAGTCAGCATCGAACACCCTGCCGCCCCTGACCACGTATCGGATGTCGCGAGTGCTCCGGATGTCGCCCTCAAGCAGGTCCACGCCTGGCGGGTAGACGACAAAGTCGGCGAGTTTTCCGGGGCTCAGGGATCCCAAGGAGCTGTCAAGCCCGAGCGTCTTCGCGGCGTCCGAAGTTGCCGCGCGTATGACCTGAGGGGAGAACGGTCAGAGGGAACGGACCAGAGGCGGAGTGGGTGAATTCGGACCTCGTAGTTCGTCAGACCACCTTGCCTCGCGAACCACATCTCCGCGTGGTAGTTGAGACCAAGCGGTTGTTCGCCGTGAGCGCCGATGTGCGCTCGCAAGCCATGGTCGTGCACCATCTTTGCGATCGATGAAGAAACGTTGAACACGGCGTAGGCTAACGTAGTGGGAGCGTCGATGAGAACACCGACGGCGATCCGTTCGGAAGGACTTACAGTTCTTGGGCCGCGCCGTGGATTCGGCGATCCCGGCGAGGAGATCGTGCCTCATGAAGCGACGGAGCCTATGTCCGATCAACGTAAGCTCGGGGCACCACACTCTCGGCCAGATGCGCATACTTGGGATCGTTGGGAATGTCCTCCGTCGCCCAGATCAATTGCTCGCCCATGGGTCCTCCGTAATTGACGATCTACGGGGATCGACGATGAGTTGACGCGTCGTCTAAACGAGCACAAACTTCATACGTGTGTAGGGACGGCGGCTGTGCCACTGAGCGCGTATAGGCGCAAAACATCGTCGTAAAGCAGAGGGACAGGGATGTTGTGTTCGACAGTCGTCATGCCTGATGGGTTGTCAGCAAGTCGTTCGTCGTCGGATCACCATGGTTGAATTACCATCGATGATGTATGTAAGATCCCAGTCGAAGTTCATGCCCTGTCGGTCGGCCTTGAGTAAAATTCCGGCACAGTTCAGAAACAACTAACGCCCTCAGGTACGCAGATCATAGATAAATTGCGAGCGGCCAGTAATAACCTTTGTCGGGAAGCGCTGCGTTGAGGGAGTGAGACCTGGGTGATTTCCCTCACTGGTGGCCACATACCGGATCGGCAGCTGATAATTTTTGTACGAGAAGGCTGAAGGTCCACCCTCGGCCTTGATTCTGATTAGTGCTGAATGCGCTTCATTCATATCGACGATATCTTCGTGGTAGCCGGGCCCTCCGGCGCCATAAATCACTGCGGTGAGCGTTGTGGCGTCAGCTGATGCCTACACTTCTGTCACGACATGGGACGCACCTTGTCCGGTCTGGAAGATGCGCGGGCCCAACATCTGCCCGCTTTCCACTCGGAAGCGCTCGTTAAATGCCTTCACAGTGTCGGCGCTGGGACTAGAGTAAATGTGTGATCAGAACACGCTGAATAAGTACGACAGAATGCGACTACGGGCATACTTGTGCATTGTTGTGACGCCGTAGCTGAGGAACGTCTGATGCTCCCAGCTGCGGGCCGGATGAAGGACACCAAACCCGTTCCAGTGCGCGTGCATGTCGATGAAGCCTGGGATCACGAAGCCTTTGGTCCCAGGATGAGTCACGAATGGCATATACAACGTGGAAGCGCACCTCCTCGAGCATCGAGTACAAACGCCGACGTCGGCACCTCGAAATCGGCTGCATCCGCGCCAACGACGGCAACGACCACGCCATTTCTGACGACGAGAATACCGCGAGGTATGAGGTCGGCGTCGAGAGACGATCCCGCACTCATAGTCAAGATTTTGGCGTTTAGGACGATGAGGGTGCCGTCGCCACTGTTTCCATAACTGGCAACGTCCGCCTTGAGCCTTCCGATGTCTGTGGCGTACTCGACTACGACTTCCTGATAATTCAACAAGTTCTTAGTGCAGTCAATGCCGAAGGTCAAGCCGTCGTGCTTTATCGCGTTCGTACAGTCTCGGAGCTTGGAAACCTCGAGGTAGTGCAGGTACGGGCCTGATGGCAAGATGAGCGATCACCGGGAGCGACCGGATGAAATGGTCCGCCTACCAAGGAACCAGAACAGCTTCTTCCCATCCGAGCTCCATGCGATGTCGTGGCCTCCGTCAAGGCTGACTCTTGCAAGCCCTTCAGTAGCGTTACCGGGTTTGCTCCATAATGGTCCCTGGTTATCCGCGCTGTCGAAAGGCGCGACGTACACGTGCTGGAAATCGACGAAGGCCGCGTACCCGTCTCCGACAGCGACCTCTGAAGACATCCGCCCAGTCGCGATCGTCTTCGTCTCGTACTGCCCCAGCGCACTGGGCGTGCCGTCGAGGTTGACGACGAACGCGCGATCATCCGTCTCAATCGTAAGAGTGCCAGCTCCCTTTCCGCACTTGCCCGTGAAGTGCAAGCGCGGCTTCCCTCCGATTCCAGACGCTAGCGGGACGGCCCGAAGGTGCCCAAGCGAGACATTTGTGAGGTCAGAGAGGTCGAGCTCTCCGGCGTACAACCCAGCGCCGGCGGTGGCGACGATGTTACCCGACAACCAGTCTCCTCCCGTGCGGACGAATGCGACGGTCCTCTTGTCCCCGCTCGTCGACGAGCACGGGGAGACAACCGGTGAGTAGTACCTGCCGAAGGGTAGGCCCGCGACGGCGTGCGCTGTGCCAGTGGAGAGATCGGCGATCTCGAAGGAGGTGAAGTTGACATCTGACCACCTTTGGTGGATCACGAGCGGTCCCCCGGGAACGAATGAGGGCGAATAGTATGGCGCGTCCCGGTCCAGCGTCGGCACCTTCCTCGCTTTGCGCGTCTCGACGTCAACAACGTATGTCTTGCCTGCGGCTTGGGCGACGATGCGATCTCCTGCCTCGTCCACGGCAAGCTCTGTGAATGCGTACACGCGTTGGGTGTCGGCCGTCTCCAGTTCGACGATGTCCTTTGCGATGCTGCGCGTCTCCGCTAGCCGAATCTCCACGTGCGCGGAGAACGGGATGGCCTGCGGCAAGGAACTGAAGTCGGAAACGCGCTCACCGCGGGCGTTAAGGATGAGCGGGACGCGGTAAATCTGTCCTGCAGCCCAGATGATGATGGCGTCATCAGCGGGTGTGAACGTGAAGGAAGGGTAGGTGTTCATAGGCGCGTAGATGGGAGTCGCGTCGTATGTGAGGCCGTCAAACGCGTAGTGGATCGTGCCTGTCTCTAGGTCTCTGTCGAGATCGTGAATCACGGATGTCTCGAGGCGGCGAAGGGAAAGACGCACTTCAGCACGAGCACTTCGTGGTCGTTCACGCGCCGCACGAACGCAAGTGTGCGCCTATCACGCGAAAGTTCCGGTCTGCTCGCCCCGCCGGGGACCGCGCTGACTAGTTCCTCAGTGACGTTAGTGGTGAGGTTCTTTTGGAATAGTGCGTATATCCCGGCATGAACGTCTGCGAAGCTTGTACGTTTAATTTAGCGTGCGCACGCGCATTTGACATTACGCACTTTTGCTGTATTGGAACGTGCCATCAACGTCGATGACGTTCTTCGAAAATATAACGGTGTCGTTTCCTCTCCAGATGAACTGCTCTGGGCCAACTTGCTGCTCGCCATATTGTTCGACCGTCCAACCTGCCGGCAGCGTTCTCCCGACAGCCCTCTTGCCTGATCCGGGTTCGACGACCTTCACTCCGTTCGGAACATCGTACAACCAGCCTTCCCCGGCACCAACCGACCGAGTGGACGTGTACCATTTCGTGGCAACGACAGACGAACCAGAAGGGTGGAAACGCGCGTCGGTGACGAAACGGTAGGTTTCGTTCGTGACACGTACCGCTGGACGGGCTGCATGAGGAGGTATTTTGGTAGGTGGAGAGGATAAAACGTACCTTCGGCGCGTCCTTCTCGGACCAATCTCCTGCGACGTCTTTCCTCCGTCTCTTTCACGCCCATGGCGAGCAAGTTCGCATCCCGCTCAGCGTTATCCTGAAATCCTAGCGCTTTGACGTCCATCGCCTGGCAGTTGCCTTTCCACCCGGTCACCCATACGTTGTTCACGCCGAGCCCCGCATCGCTCGTAAATGATAGTAGCCTGCCGTCTGGTGAGAAGTGTGGGTCCGTGTCGTGCGGCACGCCGATAAGGACCGGGACAGCTTGAGTGGGCGCGTCGGAGTCGCGATGCAGGTATGCGGACGCGGGGAGGCAGTAGATGTCGCCAAGGAGGTCGAAGACGATGTCGCCCGTATGTGGATGGACGTCAAGGCGCATCCACGTTCCTTCCGTTACGTCGAAATCAAGCTTGCGCGGGTACGAAAAGTCCGTCGAGATGTCCCAGTGCTTCTGGGGCCGCAGCGGCCAAACGTCGTCGCGCCATGCGTCGCCAGGCTCCGTCGATGCTGCATGAACCACGACGCTCTCATTCTGCTCGACTTTGTGGGCACTACGGCCCAAGTCGACGTGGATCGAAACGAGGGACTTGCCCGGAAGGAACGCGGAGAGTAGGACCCATCCTGAGACGGCGAGGATGATCGTAAAGAACGACGCAGACCGTGTCGGACGCGTAGGAACTAGGTAGGGACCCTGCACCGGCAGTTGACCAGCCTTGGAGTCCATGGCGGCCCCGACTTGCTAGGTAAATGGGTTGGCTACCGGTCAAGCCTGTGCGAGCGCAGTAAGGCGCAGTATCTGGCGTAGCATGCGATGAGTATGGTGGGTCCACATGGCGTGCCAACGGCAGTCCGGCCGGGCAAAGTTGCGGCATCTGTTTTGCGCGAGCAGTATCCTTCAAGGTTTATATCACCAACTCCCTGTGGCCAAACGATGGCCGCGCCAAGACAGAGAGAGTGTTATCGTTGTTACCTGAGCGCGAGAAACTACATAGGCTACTGACAGCGCATACGCTGCAGTACAGACGCTCATGCACAGTCGCCGGCGCACTCCACCGGGCGCCTTTGCCCCCTCTTGCGATCTCTCATGAGTGATCTCGTGTATATCAAGCTCATCAAGAAATCCTGCGGACTATGGCCTTCGTTCGAGCCCACGAGACGAGTAAAGCTGGGTGACTACGGATACATCGACCAGGGATCGCTGGTGTTCCAGATCGAGGGAAACATCTTTGACGAAGGATGTGCACTGAAGTGTGGAGTCCAGGCACCCAGCGCGCCGGGGAAGGCGGAGACAACGGAGGTTTACAAGAACGATAAGACATATATCAATGAGGTGGATAGCGACGGCAAGGCGTGAGTACGGCCTTCTGCGGGCTCTAAGACGGGCTAGTCGATTGGCTGAACCTGTACCGTGGCAGCGGCGTAGATGGCGTCGCTGGCGCGAGCATCAAGGTCAAGATATGGTTTAAACGCGGCGGGGCAGCCGCGCTCATCATCCACAACGTGCGGACCACGCACATCGATAGACCGGCGAGGTTGAGAGCGCTACGCGACGATGACGGCCTGCGGGGCAAGATCATCGTGACGGAACTGAAGGAATGCGAGAGCTACTTCCTCGCCGTTAGCAAGGAGGAAGAACACGACTTCCTCGTCGAAGGAGGCGCCGATGTACCAATTGCGGACGTCGTTGGCGCTGAAGGCGGCGCAAAACTCGGATACCGCTTTGCCGTCCGTGGCGGCCCGGGAGTGACGAAGTATAGCGCTAGGAGCGACGTTTTCTACCGTATGTCATGTCCTTGTACCCGATCGGCGTACATGAACAGTGACTGTCCGCCGCACTGTCGCCAGCTTTATTCAAGCTTGAACGAATCCCGTCGGGGTTTTTGCCATGGAACCAAAACATGAAACCCTTTAGAGGCAGATCGAGGCTTCCTACCTATGAGTCGGGGTCAGGATTCGATGACTCTGATTCTGACGTGTCCATATCGGACCTCGAAGATGATGTGTATGAAGATACCATCAGAGAGATTGAGGGGTAGCGGGGAAAGGGAGACAGTTGGCGAGGTGAACATGCCTTGCGGCGATGCTAACCCGCATTCTGATTACTTGGACCTCGTTTCATCCCAGCGATATAGTTACATATTACCAGTACATTCGTTTTGCACTCTGGAAACCGACTCTCATAAGGTACTGCAGGCAGACATGACTGGCACCGGCAACCCCTCCTCGCGCGGTTTCCGGAAGCCCTTGAGAAAGTCGGTCACCACGAGCACGGACTTCGGAGGCATAGGGGAGGGCGGAGGCGGAGGGAGGGCTATCGCCCCTAAGGGCGTACTCAGAGCCGCCGGCGATGACTGCTGCGTTGCCCAGCGTTCCTCTATGTCCTTCAGCGTTTGCCGATACTGTTCCACCCTCTTGTAGCAGTCATTGTTGTCGATGGCCCCGCATTCGTAGTCGGATATAAAGTATTTGATATCCTGGGTTAGGCTGTCGACGTCTTGCGCCGCTCGACGAGAGTTGCCCGGTTCGCCGGAGTTCTGATCCATCTGTTAGTGATCGAAGAGAAAGAAAACTGATTGGGTCCTACCTGGATAAAGGCGATCACGGCACTGAGCGCAGCGGTGGTGGCACCTTGATGATAGTATCAATGACCTGAACGAACAGCGCTGGAGAGATCGTACCCAACATCGTAGACGTTATGTGACCATCGTGAGATTTGAGCATTGCCGAAAGGCCTGCAGTGGCTACTCCTACGCATCCTTGTAAGACGATGGCAGCCCAGAGGAACCATCTGATAGTCGTGTCTAGCGATTGAGCGTTAGCATTGACCTCCGCCGCTCGAGTGTCAGGCGACTTGCCTCTGCGATGATACACAACCTGTCGCTCTTGGGCACGTTCGAGGATGGGCTCGACCCAGTTTCGCAGGGATAGAGGGGTCTGAACCATGGTAAGTATCAGTTTTCATCAACGCATGGGACATTCTCCGAACTTACCATAGATGATGAGAAGCTGGATACACGGGAGAGTGTTTGCTTCTAGAGGAACGATCAGTAAATTGTAAAGAGCAAAATATCCGGACCATACCTTGTTGTCCTCGCAGCCCATGCTAGATACTGAACTATCGTAGGAATGTCTCGTGTGATGCGTCGGAGCAGATCGATGACGAGGGAGCGAGATGGTTGAAAGGGCATCCTCATGAGCAGTATTTAAGTAGCCCGGAGGATGCACGCTCCGCAAGCCGTGCGGGATGCATCAATGCCTCGGTTGAGAAGCAATTCGTTTCCTCAGAAAAAGCATGCTCGCTCGCATAACGGCAGGCGCATGGCCGACATTGCCCAATTCAAGACGCAACAGTCGTTTCTTTGACGCTTCGCGAAGTCTTCGAACCGCCGTACGCTGCTAGAGTTGGCGTAGTAGACGAGCGCGCCGCTCTCAAAGCCGAGGAACCATTCAAACATTTCGTGGTGACAAGCAGATGAGTGGACTGTCCAAGGTGTATCGTACGTGTTGCGCTCGGTGCCGCAGTGATACACCGGTTAATTGGCCGGTTGGTGGGCGCGGAGGCAACACTGGCGGAAAAACAGAAAAGCCGCGGATTTGACTTTGAGGGGCTCGCGCTGCGGTCCCGAGTCGTGGCACAACCCGTCAGAGGATGTCGACACCGCCACCCTTCCATGTATCCTCTCGCCGAGATTCAACGAACGATGAAGACCGGTGTACGCCTTCCCGACGCAGATATGCTCACTACAGCTCGTCTTCCATATCGATGATCTGGCATCCATCGCGAATCGAATGCTCAGGCGCGCGATCCAGCACTCAGCCAGTCATGGAGTGCATCATCGCACTGAGGCATTGTTCATGTGTTCATGTCAACGTTCACGATTTGACGTGACCGAACTACAATGTTCAAACGTTCACAGTCGAACCGCGTGCATCCTTCCAACCTGCGCCGACCATTGTGTGGCGCCGTAAAGCCTGCCAGTGGCAACCGCTCGTTCTCCCATGCCTTCACCGCCGCGCAAGTTCGGCGTGGCGCGCCCTCCGCCGGCGTATGCACCTGGAGATCTTCACCCGGCATCTATCCGAAGCTCAATAACAGATTACGGGTCGGAGCCCGAAGATCAGCGCAAAGGAGATGCTTCCGAATATGCAAGCGATGAAGAGTCTCCGGTCCGCGGGACCATGGACAAGTTCCACGACCTTGTCAACGCTTTCAGTTTGGGTCAACATGAAGAGGACGATCTTACCATCGACCGTGCACTACGACGGCCTCGTAGGTTACTCGATTCTGATGAGCTCGATCTCGAGGACGACGACGGCGTGGATGAAGCCGAGCTGGAAGACGCTGTTATGCCTGGCACGCCGCCGGCACCAACCGAGGCCGTCTCAACCAAGAAGCCTCTGTCTTACAAGGACCGACTGAAGCAGGCCAAGAAACAACGAATTGTCACCCATCAATCCTGTAAGTCCTGTGAGTATGTACCCGCCCTCGGTAGCTCAGGCTGTTGTCAGCGCTCTATCACAGGCAGGAGTACCTCAGGGTCCTGGCAAAAGCATTACTCCAGTTTGGTGCCCCTTCTCACAGAGTGGAGAGCTTGCTCCGAACCGCCGCGGCAGTAATAGACGTTGATGCCGAATTCTTATGCTTACCGGCCGTCATAGTCGTGGGCTTCGGGAAACACGATGGCTGGAAAGTGAACACCCATTGGATCAAGAGCGACAGCGTCATTGGTCTGAGCGCGCTACATGACGTACATCATATCTACAGACAAGTTATTCACGACAAAATGAGTGCGGAAACCGCTCGCGAGGAGCTCATCAGGATAATTAGGGCCCCTCCACTCTATGGTATCTGGGTCCGGGACGCTCTTGCTTTCCTTCTCTCTGCTCTGATCTGTCCTCTTGCCTTCGGTGGAAGTTTCATCGATCTATGGATTGCGGGAGCTGGCGCGGCGCTACTAAACCATGTACGTGCGAGCATTGGCTCGCCAGGTTACGTCGTCGTGTTCGAGTGAGTTACAAAACTACGAATCGCTGGACGATGCGACTGACGTAAACCTAGATTATTCATAGCAATGTTCACCTCGTTTGTCGCACGCGCTCTTGGCAGCATCAACCCACAGGCGCCGATATTTTGCTACAATGCTATATCGTCCTCCTCAATCCTGTCTATCCTGCCCGGTTTTCTGATCCTCACCGCTGCTCTTGAACTGGCCTCAAAGCAAATGACAACCGGTGGCGTCAAGATGGTGTTCGCGTTGATGTACACGCTTCTGCTCGGGTTTGGCCTCTCGATCGGCTCGGACTTGTACCTGCTGTTCGACAGCAAGGCACGGCATTACCTTGACTCCATCGCAGTGACGCTCGAAACCGACCTAGACCTGACTGGCATGATCAGAGCCAAGGATGGCCACTTTTTTATTCATCCTCTCATCGGCCAGTTCAGCCTCGGCGACGTTCTGCATGACTCGCGGACCGAGAACATCATCAAATCGTGTTTGCGCTTGGAATCTGCGCCGTGGTATCGCCAACCGTTCCCCACCTGGACGCAGTTCCTCATTGTTCCAGCCTTCTCCATCACGTCCTCCTTCGCCCACGGGCAGAAATGGCAGTCTCGGGAGTTCGTCGTGATGATCCTCATATCTTGTGCCGCGTATGCTTGCAACGCATTGGCCAACGCTCACATGCACAGCCGTTCAGACTTTGTCGCAGCGATCGGCGGGTTGGCCGTCGGTTTCCTCGGCAACACCTACTCGCGTCTCAGCAACTTCTTCTTCCGCAACCGGCAAGGAACCGCGTTCAACGTGATGGTCGTCGGCATCTTGTTCATGGTTCCTAGCGGCCTCTCAGAGACTGGAGGCTTAACGGCTCGCGGTAGTGCGGTGGACATAGGCGGCGCCATGATAGGGGTTTCGGTTGGGATTACCGTGGGCCTATTCATAGCCAACGCTGTCGTATATGCTTTTGGGCGCAAGAAGACGGGAGCATCTTTCTCTATGTAATGTTTGTGTTCGCATTATCTTACTCAACGATCGACCCAGCGTACTATAAACAAGGACTTGATCATGCACACTCGCGAAGAAGATATTCCTGTCCACAGGAGGAAGCCGCTGCGGTGACATTGCTTGGCGGATTACGTATCATGGCTGAATCGATATCACATCCATAAACTGCTACAATACGGAAATCGCAAGTCCAGAGAAACCAAGCACAAAGAGCGACGCTCAATAATGTCCATCAACAGGCCAGATAATATGAATGATCTCAGACTTCCACCTTCGCTCCGATCGATTCCATATCCTGGCTGATCAGCGTCGACGCCGACTCCATTCCCTCTCTTTTAAGCTTCTCGTTGCGGCTCTTCTTCCTGCCCTTCTTCATGAACTCAGAATCTTCACCAACGAGAAAACGGGTAGATCGGAAGGATTGACGCGTGGTGACATTAACTCTCTGAACCAGCGGACACTCGGAATAACCTCAACTTACCGACATGATCATGCGGTACAAGAGGTGGAATGTTGGTATGGTTGTTCGTGGCGGAAAGAGAGCAACCACGTATAATGAGGCGCTTCAAGTGCGAGATGAGGAGAATAGAACGGAAGCTACTATTATTTGAACCTCACAAGAATACCGCCTCCCGCAGCCGCACAGCGCATGCTTGATCACCGAGGGCTTTTCTAAGCCAGTGAAAGAGCAATTCTAGGTTGAGTGGCTGCGTCCTCATCCCTAGAAATCCAACAACGGACGGTGCAACTTCCATAATCAAACCACGGCACGTTGGAGTAGAGCTGATCCCAACAATGTCAATTATGATAGGTAACGACAGCGAAACATCGGCTGAGATAGCATGCAGATCATAGTCCGTAAATGATTTGTAGACTCATGACGAGAGTAAGTCGACGAGCTCAAGTGTCCGATAGCGTCCGTGATTCCAGTGGTAGCCAACAATCCCCCCCTATGTCGCCCAAGACGCGAGTTGCGCGCGTTCACTGGATGGTGAACTTGGGGGACTTGTTTCCAGAGTCACCGATCACTAACGCCACAGTGAGTCGAATTCCCGAATAGGTCAAAAGGCGGTCGATCACTTACGGACGACAATGTAGTCGTTGCGAGTGGTCACGTTGGGGACGGTGACAGCGACGGAGCCGGCGGAGATGGGGAATTGTGCGGCAAGAGGGTGTGCTGAAAAGAAATAACGCGTCAAACCCGTCATCGAGGCTCGGTAGGGGGCCATGACACGTACCGATGTCGAGGTGCTCGCTGTCGTCATCCGACTGCTGGTAACCAAGGAGTAAGACACCAGTCGAGTTCTGAGCCTCGGCAGGAATCTTGCTCGTGTCCCAAGTGACGGTCTGGTTGCTGCCGACAGCCCAGGTGGTGACCGCGGTGGGATCGGTGATGGTCGGCGTGAACACAATGTCCTCGGTGGGGTGGACAATGGGCGTCGCAGCGACGAGGCCGGCGGCGGCAAAGAGGACAGCGGCAAAGGACTTGAACATCATTACGGCTGGTGGTTTGCTTGGGTCGTAGAGGGAGAGAGCGAGCGACGGTGGCAACGACAAGGGTCAGAGAAAAGAGGAAGGGAACGGATGCGGTGGACGGGGATGGCGCGTTCGTTTTATAGTGAACATGGCGGCCATCGGCAATGAAGTTGAGGCAGAGAAGCGCAGAAGCAGTCTGACAGCCTTCGGAGCTGCACCCTGGTTTCAAGGGCACCGATCCGCCCTCTTCCTTTTGACCAAAGTATATCCCATGCACTTGGCATCAGCCTGCATATCATCTCCGTTGGAAGACCATTTGCACGAGCAGCGTGAACAGCGTCCAAGCATGCCATATATCCAGCAGCGCGGTGGAGAACGTCGTTCAAACATCAGCTGGCTCGCCGCTCGCGTGCCCCGCGTCAGGCCACAGGCGGCGCTTGTGTGCTCGCTTACATAAGCCACAAGCGAGGTTCTCGGAAGCGAACCAATGGATGATGACGGAAATAGGTGCCTTCCTTTATTTTCCGGTCAATATAAGGTCATGAGTTCACATCGCGCGTATTATCTAAGGGTGTTGTTGAAGTTACAGTGTCCACAAATGAATATGAAGGGTATAGGCGGCATTGATACAGTGATGATGTCGTCTATGCGTTATGCAATGGTCTTGGGGGGCGTGCATCCAGGGAGTCTCTATACCGCGGCAAAAGACGGATAGATCTTGATCAATTGTCTAGGGTTGGCTTCCGCCATGCATACCGGGCATTTCCTGCTCTGCCCGAGCGCAGTGTGGGCGCATCTGACCAAGCAACATCCCATGAGTCACAAATGGTATGCGAAAGGGGTAACAGACACGTACTGCTCGCAGAACAGGTGCCCGCATCGAGAAACAACGGGAAGCTTGGGGAACTGAGAGCAGATGGGGCACGAGAGGCGAACGCCGCCCGACACTCCGCCGGCGCCTGCTGATGAGCCGCTGGCGCGCTTCCCCTTGCGTTCGTAATCATCGAGCAGCCTCGCCGGCCATCCAACATACACGCATCCCTCGTCGGCGGTCTCACCAGAGGCGAGTAGCCTAGCGCCCTTGTCAGCACAAGTAATGATGTATCGCGCGCGGAAGTAACTTACGTGTGTTCAAGCAGTTGCGAGTTCGGCTCCATGCTAGCCCCAGACAAAAGTCGGCTACCGGACCTGAGAGCACATCTGCGAAAGGACTGTCAAATTTGCGCATAGAGATAGAGCACGTCTAACTCACCCATCGCCGATGCGCAGCCTGTTCAGGGCGAACTTGCCTCGAGAATTGATATGAGCGACAACCGAGCAGTCGTCGAGGGCCACGTCGTCGCCGAGCTCGACCAGGTCGGGCTCGGTCATGAGACCCGCCTTTCCGCCAGCCCAGATAGCACAGTTCTTTCCAATCGTCGCGCCGAGAGCTCGGAAGTACCACACGATATACGCGGATCCACAGATAGGCCCTAGCACGCCGCCATTGCCGTAGCCGCGGTGCAATGGGCGGCTCAGCGTGAGGTGAAGCTGCCACCGCTGGCAGTACGAGCTCTTGTCCCACTCGCACGGGCCAGCCTCCCTACGACCGATGACAAGCCACTTGGTGCCGATGACCCACGCGAGGGCGATCATGGCCTGGAGGTTCAAGATGATCACGAACGACAACGCAATGCAGCCGAAGAGAGTGCCCATGCGATACCAGTACGGGTAGAAGAGGTGCAGCTGAGGGAGGTGGATACGAAGCTGGCGGAGGATCTGGGCAGCAGCGACAGCCGAAAGCGACCAGAAAGCGGCGGAGAGCGAGGCAATGAAGATGTTGATGAGGACCAGCATGGGGTACGGGTAGACGAAGAAGTCCGCCTCGCGCTTGTAGAACGCGCGACCGAACGGCGTGGTAGTGTCAACGTCTATATCAACGCCTTTTCCAGCACTGAAGCAGATAGCCTCGCCGTTCTCACTGCCCATCCAAGTCGATCCGTCGGGGTAGATGCCGCCTCGCTTGCCCAGGGCGCCCGAGCCCATAACCGTCTTCCGTCCCACCGTGGTGCAGGGAAGAAGGACGACGCGATCCGCAATCATGGCACCAGAACCAATAGTGATGCGTCCAGTGCCCAGGGCATCCGTGGTGAAAAGCTCAGACCGCGAGCCGAAGACGACATCGTCGCCAATCGTGAGAAGCTCGGGGTCCTGGCAGTAGATACCGCTTCCTGGCCAGTACACACGCTTTCCGATGCGGGCACCCATGGCGCGGAAGACGACCGAGGTCATCTCGTAATGGGTACCAAGGATATCGAATGCGCGCTTGAGGGTGTGCTGGGAGAGAAGGACGGAGTTGATGTAACGACGGAGCAACACCCATTGCGAAGCCTCGGTAACGGAGCGCTCGCTGTTGAGGCCCAACACGCGCTTGACGATGATGCCGAGAACGAGCTGGATCAGAGGCTGGCAGCAGGCACGAACGATGCGAGCAACGATGTGCCACTTGATCCGAGGGGCAGCGGCGAACCAGTCGATGACGGACTCCATCGCGTTCAGGTGCTCGTTCTGGATCGTCGTCCGGGTGATCATCAGCCATAGGATCACGAACCAAGGCACGTAGCTCGCAAACTGGACTATGAAGATGATCGGCCAGGCGACGAACAGCTGCAGGAAGAAATTTGGCTTGCGCTGGATCGTGCGGTTGACGCTGGCGTGGCTGGGGGCGAGTGGGTGTTCATGCGACGAGGCGTGGGGACCGTAAACAGCGCCGGGCGGGATGAAAGCACCGGGCGCGATCTGGGTGTAGGTGTTGACGACAGCGCGGGCACCAATGTGGATGTGGTCAAGGCGCATGTAGCCGTCCCGTTCGACGCAGAACCCGCGAATCAGCGACTTGTCGATCCTCGCGCCGTCGTCGATTTGAATGAGGTCGAACTCTCCAAGCTTCGCAGCTTTGTCGATCTTGACATCCCTGCCGATCCTCGCGCCGAGCAGGCGGAAGTACAGCCTCTCGAGCGCGGGGTGAGCGGCGAAGATCCCACGGCCAGCGGCCCGCAGCGACTGGTTCACGATCCACCAGCGCAGGTGGTATGTGCTCCAGAAGCGGTAACGTCCCGGCTGTAAACGGCGGGTTAGAAACAGTTCTTCTTAACGCGAGTCGTGGTTGACGTACCCGGTACCTTCCAATGACGATCCACTTGAAGATAATCGCGGCGACCGGAGAGACGATGCGAGACGACAGGCGAGCCGCGACGATAGCAAAAAGTAGCGAGCCAATACGTTCCCAGTACATTGCGACCGTGAATTTCGTCACGTAGGACAAGCAGAACAGAATCATCGTCCACGTCCAAGCCGCCTTCAATGGATAGAAGAAGAGAATGGGGATGATCTGAACGAGGAGTGAAAGGGGGTGGGTTTGACCGCGGCCGCGATCGGGAAGCTCGTACTCGCCACCGTAGCCCAGAGTGGGAGCCTCGTAGCTGTTGATGCTCTCAGCGTACTTGGATTCCTTGTCCGCGAGTGTCGAGTTGGACATGGTGGCCTCTTCCGCGTCGATCAGGGAAGCGATGCCGTTGATGGTCGAGTTCGTGAAAAGGTCGGCCACCTTGAGGCTGATGCCGGTCTCCTTCCGGATGAAGTACGCCAGCCGACCAAGGAGGAGCGAATTTCCACCGAGGAGGAAGAAGTCCGAGTCGCCAGTGATCATGCCCGGCTCCTTCGACAGCAACTCTGCGACAATGTCTCGGACTGCCAGGGCACTAGAAGACATGCTGGAGGAGTTCTGGCGCTTGATTTCCTCCTCCATCGAGTTGAAGTCGACGCGGCCGCGAGACTTGGCGAGCGGCCTGCGGAAGACGTGCAATGGGTCAGGAATGCTGTAGCCAGCGACGACGGTGTGAAGTGCGTTCTTGATCACGGTTGAGTCAAGTTCGGACGACCCATCGACAGAGACGAAGGCTTCTGGAGTGCCATCGCTACGAGAACGAAGGGCGACCTCGTTAACACCCATGATACTAAGCATCGCCCGTTCGACCGCCTGAAGGTTGACCGAGACGCGAGAACAGGCGATGGGTTGAGAAAGCGGGGAGTTCTTGTCCGGAACTTCCGCCTCAAAGTGACGCTGAATGGCAGGGACGTTGTCGGTGAGGCATCCGAGCCCGAGACGCTGGGCGAGCTTGATACGGAGCGGCTTGCCGGCGGAGTTCTTCGGCAGATCGTCCATGTAAACGACCGCGAAAGGCCACTTGGAGGGGTGCAGCTGATCGCGGAGCAGGTCGAGCAAGGCGGAGAGGCTGATGCGGGGCTGACCGGGAACAGGGACAACCACAACACCGATCGTCTCCTGCAAGACGTCGTGCTCGATGGAGAAAGCGAGTGTAGTCTTGACCTGTTCCTTGGCGACGGTCATGATAGCCTCCTCGATCTCGAAGGGGGAAATGACTTCTCCACCCTTGTTGATGATCTCCTTCGAACGCCCGGTGATGTAAAGGTAGCCATCTTGGTCCATGTAACCCATATCACCCGAGTCGAACCACCCCTCGCTTGAGAACATCGAGGTATCGAGAGGACCGTCGACGGAGACCTCGTAGCCTTCGAACGTCGGAAGACCGCGAACACATACGGCACCGTAACCGCCGCTCGGAAGTTCGCGCTCGAGATTGAACGGGTCGCGAATAGACAGGTAAGGTCCGCAGGCGATACCGGAGCATCCAGGTCGGTCCAACTGATACGACGTCGGCGGAGACGCGATGGGCATGCATTCTGGGCAACCGGTTGAGACGCGATTACAAGGTTTGAAGCGGAAACCGCATACCAGTCATTCCGTAGGAAGGGAGCACAGCAGCACCGCCAAACGTCTCCTTCAACTCTACAGCGAGCGTGGGCAAAAGACCACCCGCAGCGTTACAGATCATCCGAATCCGGGTGTCACGGGATGGAACAATCGCATCAGAACGAGCCGCCAGGATAGCGTGGTGCATCGTCGGAGCAGCATAGTACCTTGCTCAAGAATCAGAAAAGGGAGCAGAAGAGCAACGGAGATGGGCATACCATGTAGCGCCGAACTCGGTCGCAAGAGTCCAGAAGGCGGTGGCGTCGAATCCGCTCGCCACGATGGCACTGCCGCCAGACATCATGGGAGCGAAAAGGTTTCGCACGATACCGCCGACGTGAAAGAGAGGCATCATGTTTGCGTTAACGTCGTCCTCCCGGAGATCCCAAGATTTGATGACGGCACAGGTACCAATGATCAAGGAACGAAGGGTATATCTGCCCCAAACCGTCAGCAACACGAAGACGCGCGCGCAGCGAAAAGAGGAGGCTTACGGGACGACCTTCTTCTTACCGCTGGTCCCGGAAGTGTGCAGGACGAGCGATTGGTCGTAAAGGGTGTGAAGTTGCGAAGGGGTCCGCGACGATCCTTCGGCGAGTGAACGGCCGTCGTCGTCGTCGTCGCACATGACCGACATATCGAACAAGCCAGCCGGCCCGCTCGGACGGGCCTCGACGAAGATGATCTCGCAGCCGAGCTCTTCGCGCAATTGACGGAGCTCAAGACGCTCCATGGCATCCCGTGTGGTCACAACCGCCCTCGCCCTCAACCGCTCAGCATCCTCCTTCAACTCGGACGCCGTACAGCTTGCATTGACAGGGGCGCATGTGTGGTAGCTCGTGAGCGCCAGAAGGGCGACGGCGTTCTCGCAGCCCGTCGGGAGGGCGATCATAACCCGGTCGTTAGGGCCGAGACGCCTCGATGGGTGGGACACGGGAAGCGAGAAGGTCGCCACGAAGTCGTAGAGGGTGCGGTGCGTAAGACATGGCCGTAGGGGGTCCGGAGACCAGAGGGCCGCATCGGGGGTGGTGCACAGACAGTCCAGGAAGGTGTTCACCTGGCCGTTGTCCGTAACGAGCTCCGCAAGTTGATCTCCGAGGGAGAGGCCCGGACGGGGGGCAGGGAGGGAGTGGATGAACGCCAATGGGATCGACATGACTGACAGTCTAATCCGTGCTCTAGTCGCAAGAGGCGACGATTGATAGAGCGATTGGGGGGCGGCGAAGGGAGCGTCAAAACACCCGATGAATCGACATGGCTGCTTTTCAATCCGCTGGGTCGAAGATCACGGAAACAGCCACTGAGAACCGACCGCACATGGGGCATCAAGTGTTTCGGCGTGCTGTTACTACCGTGCCGCGAGGACGTCTGCAAGAAGCGGTGGGCCAAACGCCCGCCGGAGTCACGTGATCCGCGTCGATTTCCTTATTTGGCCAGAATCCAGCCCGAAATGATGATCAGCGGGGTTGTCTCTGATAGCAACGCCTGTCGCTCTCCATGACGAAAGCCTGAGGATTGGAGCTGCATCACGTTGTGAGCAGTGCTGTGTTGCGAGTCGAAACGCCGGTGGCCGAAACCGGGGTGCTAATTTTTGTCCTGGGGGCCATCGACAAGCAATCATGTATACAGCGAGCTTGCGCGGTGCGCTCGCTTCTTGCCGCAAGTGAACCGCGTCCATTCCGTCGAGCTTATGATCCCGCATGGTTCCTTATCGGGCCCTCGCGTTTGCGAAGGACGATGTGGTGGTGAGCAAGCTTGCGCCCGACCGTATTCACATGCATTCGCAATGCCGTCGGTGTAAGCGACGTTGATACCGTCTCTGACAATCGTAACGTCAGCTTTCACACCCTCAACACGCGAGCGAAACAGGCTCACATGCATCCACGGTCGCCCGATAGTTCGGGGAGCCGCACTGTGAAACCTCACACACCAAGGGGAGCCGGGGCACTGCAAGAAACGACGCGATCTCCAGAAGATCTACGTGATAGGCATCACGTACCACCGGTGGGGGCCAAGAATAGCCGGCGGTTGTGCTATTGTTGGGCACCGATGCGCGCGCGACTGGCATATGCTCGCGACCAAAGCCTTATAGGAGTGCACATGGAAGAAGCAGACCTGAGCAGGGGGAATCCTCTCAGAGAACGAGCAGCGTTCACGGCGTTCCGAATGCGCTCGGCGCTCGCCGTCGATATGGACGAAGAACCTCATCGCCGCCTGCATTCATACGTCAGAACACCACCCTCAAACGGTACCGCAGAGAGCGAGCGCACCTGGTGCCAGATGGTGCTCTCCGAGACATCACATGTTTCCCACGCCCGTATTGCGCGCTCGAGGCGTTGTGGCGTTCACCGCCATCCAAATCAGCAGAAGCATGTGCCGACCGCGTATCGTGCTGAGATGGTTTGGAAGTTGCTCGGTACTAGTACAAAAGTACGGTGCGCCATCGGGTTAGCTCGCATTCTTCCCGAACGTTTCATGTGTGTCGTTCTCGGGGAACCGTCGACGCCCATAGGCAGCATTACTGTCACCTAATCAGAACCGCGAGCAAGCCTATCCGCAGTGCTGCATAGTCTCACCAAATCGAACCCCTTGTTTCCGGATTCGTGGTTTGCTTCCGCGCTTGCAAGTGTTGGCGGGAAACGTCGGCGGCGGAGCGCTCGCTGCCACGGGGCTCTGCAAAACGTTGCGGTCTGGCACCGAAACTCCAGCTTGCGACACATGCTATGATTGCCGACAAACGGGAAGGCACGAGCAGTTAGATAGTAGTGTCTGGGAGGACGCAGGCGACGATGGAAACAAGGGCAAGCTCTGTGTCGAGTTTCCAGCCTAGTTTTACTAGTAGCCTCCCTGGGACTGTGCCACATGACCACGACCGTCGACCAAAATAGTGCGTCCACTGTCCATTTTCGTTACCGCCAGCTCAAGGCGACAATTATAGGCACTGCGATGACGGGATGGTCATTTGTACTTGCTGCGGTCCCTCGCAGTGTATGCATTGCATACCTGCGCTACTTTTGGAACACGGCCGTCGGACAAATATGAACACTCATGCAAGCCTTTAAATGGTCTAACGACCCTCCAGCAAGAACGAACGTATCGTGACGAATCTCGAACTATCATACTAGCGAATCATTCCGACGCATGCTATCTCTATCCCTCCTGTCAGCCTTGACGAACTTGCCCACTTTGCGTATCGTCGCTGGCGGAGGCGACGGAACCGCCTGCGATTGCATCGGAGTCTGCGGAGTCTGCGGGGTCTTCGGCGACGCTGAGGGCGGGGCCTGCTCTCTGAACGGCGGCGGGGGCGCCTCACTGTATCTTGCCTTGTCCATCGATCCCTTGACGTTCGCTCCGATGGAGGGACCCGCACCCGGGACGCCACTACCACTTCCGCCCTGACCGTCTTTGTCCGCGTCGTAATCCCGCGAGAGTATGTCCTCCAGACGCGCACGGAAGCGATTCACGTCTGCCATGTGCGCCGCCGCCGGATCATCGCCATAATCATCGATGTAGTTGTCCATCGTGCGTATAAGTCGGCAGAGGTCCGCATGGCGGCGCTCGGACTTCTGTGGCTCGTCCTACCAACCGACGTATGATGGTCGGGTTCTTGAATACCGTATTGAAAACATATGTCGATGGCAGGACTCACCTGGTGGCGCACTTTCGCAAGGTACCCCGATATGATGGTGCTTATTGCGCCCAGGACGGCGGTGGAGATCTGACCCTGGTGAGACGATCCGTTTTTTTGGTTTCGAACTGGATTATCTGAAGACAAGCGGTTAGATCGGGACGCACACGTCGACTGTTATCGATTGCGGACAACAGCGTGATCACGGCGCCGACCGCGATCTGCGTAAAGAGGACCACCGTGAGGCCCCATCCGGTCAGATTGGCTGCAGAACCGTATGATGAGCCGACGTTCGACGCGCGGATCAGCACGAAAGGTGACGATCGCACCGGTTGCCTTGCTTTGATCGACGAAGCTCTGCGCCTCTCGAAGCGTTGCGGCAAGTCTCCCTCGCACCGTGTTGTGGTCCGGTCCCTGCGATCGCGAGAGGTCGGGGTCAGAACTCATTCTCGAAGACCGATGGCGGCGCGTACTTCGTCCTTGTCCTCGGCCATGGCTCTAGACAAGTAACACCGGGTTCAACCACGCCGCTGCATCACGCAAACCCGCCGTGGTTGGAAGACCAATGTTCGATGATGGACACTGACGCCGAGGTCGTGCTAGCCTAATCGGGTCAGGGGGTGGCTGTACGGCGCACTGCAGTGTATTTTTGTCGCGAGCGCGTCGCTGAACCCGCGAAGCTATCGCATTGCCCTGGACGCGGGTCAAAGACGACGAGGGAAAACAGGAATCGCAAGATGGCCGAGCCGCGGCGAAGACGCGCGTTCTGTCGCCACTGATCTGATCTGTTTCTGGCCTCGACGAGAAAGTATGGCTGCAGCCCGGATGTGGAGAAAAAGACCGCTTATGGCAGGCGCCCGTCCTAGTCTAGCAGAATGCCTGTTCGCTGGGAGGCATTCCGGACGCTACAGCGAACCCGCTTAGCTCATCTATCTGTGTCACCGAGCTCGCCAGCCCGACGCACATGTTCACGGCGCGAGACAAGCCGTGGGGCCTGCGCCCAGCGAGCTTAAATACGACTCGTGTACCGCATTCCCCGGTCCTCCGTTTGCTCCTCCCAGCTATGTCTTCTCCCTCCCTTCCGCCCCCCGGTCCGCATGACCATGTTTGTGAGTGCGTCGTCGCAGCCATCACCAGTTCTGACGGAGCGACACGCAAACATACAGCGCCGGACGACCCGCGTGCGGTTTGGCCGTACGATCCGTCATTTGCCGCGGCACTGCTCTTCCTCGCCCTGTTCGGGGTGTCGACGATCCTCCATACCGTGCAAATGTTCCGGTACAGAAAGGTAAAATACACTCTTACTCGCCTGTCTCTGTAGTCTAACAACACACCGTCAGTGGATTTCCTGGGTCATCATTATGAGCGCCCTCTGGCAGGTTGTCGGATTCGGTAAGACCATCTGCCTGACCCGCACCGAGTGCCGCAGACCGATCAATGCGCCTTTCCAGTACTCCGCGTACTCTCCACCAGGCACCAACTGAACAAAGGCTACTACTCTGCCTTGCAAATCGTCATCCTGCTCGCCCCGTTATGGACCAACGCCTTCTGTTACATATGCCTCGGTCGCATGATCGGCTACTTTGTTCCTGATCGCAAGCTCATCGGTATACGTGCCGCGCGCTTTTCCTGGCTGTGGATCTGCCTGGATTTCGTGTGCGTTGGAGACTTATCTACCTCAGATGCGCGATTTCTCAACTGCCTCCTCCAGTGCATTCGTGTGAGAGCAACAGACGCACCGTTGCAGCTAACTGCTCAGCAAACCATCTCCACAGCGTTCAAGCTATCGGTGGAGGCATGGCTGCCAACACTGGCCACACCGCCTCCGACGCTCGCGAGGTTCAGAACGGTCTCCATGTTTGTGCGTGCAATCCTCTTCCCCGGACTTCTCTCCCCCTCCCCCCCGGCCAGCGGATGAAACGCTCATCCATACCCCGAATTCGTATAGATATGGGCGGTATCGCGCTCCAGCAGTTCTTCATCTTGTTGTTCCTCTTCATCGCGTACAACTTCCAGCGGAAGGTGAGCAGGGCCCCGGCCTCGCAAGTGCCACCGTACAAGTGGAGGCATCTGCTTTACGGGCTGTATGGTGAGGGTTGTTTTTTCTCGCGTCGATCCAGCGTCTTGACTATCAACAACAGGTGCTCTCGTACTTATCACGGTCAGAACGACATTTCATGATCCTTTCCCTCTTGTATTCTCATGTTCTCGTCCTAGATCCGTATCATCTATCGTCTCGTCGAATTTTCGGGTAAAAATCTCACTAAGGGCTTCGTGCCCTCGCATGAAGGTCCGTGTAGGGTACACCGGATCTCATCCGACCATAGCACTAACATGTTTCCTGCAGTCTTCTACTACTGCTTCGATGCGCTCCCGATGCTGCTTGCGATTTGGATCTTCCATGTTGTCCACCCTGGCCGGTACCTTGTACCCGAGGGTCGCAGAGACAACGCCCAAGCCGCCTCCCGCCGCTCCGAGTCGACGCTCGAGAAGCGCGACGCGGAAATGCACCAGGCAGCGCCCAAGGCACAGTAAACGACCTCTAACGAGGTGCATCACTGTTGCTCCGTTTTGCTGCGAGATGATACCGAGTTGGCGTTCTTCGTGACGGCCGACAATGCTGGACCCTGCCAAGATTTGCGGGAGTTTTCTGTGGTATGAAACTTCCCATGGAAGAGTAAAGTCATCGTAGACTCCGCTCGATATTCTGTCGCTCTTTGCTAGCTACTTGCCGATTAATTATGCAACCGTCGCCTTCTTTGGCATTTTGGATTCGTGTTCGGAATGGTTCATGAGATGCCCGCGCGTCGGATGCGTATTAGCGCTCGGCGCTCGCATTGTAAACGAATTGCGTCGCCGCGTGCCGTGCAACGAGGGTCATACAACGTCGAGAATACAAGGCTTCGGCATCAGTAATAGATTAGAATGGGCTATAGAAGTACATCGTAGTGTTCGTATCCAATGATCTCGGTGCTGAACAGTCCGCAAGCCAATGGCTTAACATATTTCTAACGATCTAAACGGGCGTTTGCTTGACGTTGGCTATGATAACTCTAGTAGACCCCATATATGACGATACGCGGGTTGGGTGGGGTCGACTCTTCATGCCGACTTGCGAGCGGCCATCTTCTTGAACGGCGCTAGTAAGCTACCCTGGCGGATGCGGAACAACCAGGTGAGGCCGTAGATCGCAGCGATGTTGATCGCGCAGTAGACAATCATGAGGCCGAAGTCGCGCCAGTGGTTGGAATAGAAGATGTTGAACGTCGCCTATACGTAGCGTGTGAGATGGGCTTGATGATGATGAGTGAATGGTTTGACTGACCTCCAAGAACTCATTGGTCGTCCTGGTAGAGCAGAAGTGGCACTCGTCCGTTGCATTCGGGTTCGTAAGGTATCCTCCGGCCTTAGCGATGTAGTTCGCGAAGTAGTTCGAGCAGGTCTGACCCGACGGAGGTATTATCACCGCGAGTTCCTTGGTGGAGCATGTGATCAACTGGTTGCCGATAGCTTGGCCGAGGACCCCTTCAATGAGGTACGTGTAAGGCGAGACGCGGTACATCCTAGATATATGTCAGCCGAGGCTGTCGAGAGCTTGGAAAGTTCCCACCATTTCCACCAGCCCAACTGGCGGAAAGGTTGCATGACACCGTTGAAGGTTAGGACGAAGCTGAACAGGAAGGAGAACAGCACGGATGCGATTCTGGGTACAAGCAGTTGAGTAAGCAATACTTGGACGAGGACGAGAAGAGTGGAGGACGTACTCGGCGTTAGGGGACATCGCAGCAACAGCTTGTCCGATGGTGGAGTAATAGATCGGGAAAGCGATGCACATCACAAGATACGTGTAGCCGGCGCGGTCGTTATTGAACCCGACTGTCCAGTACTGAAACGCGAATCAGGATATTGCCAATGCCCTCGCGGCAAAGTTGCTTACCCAACATAAGTAGAACAACGATGATCCAATAATGTTCCATGGAATCTCTGCGATGATCTGCGCTGTGAGCAACGCAGTCCATGAGAACATCCGGGAAGGACGCTCTCGTATTTCGAAGACTCCACGTGTCACAAGGAACGGAACCTGGCCTTGTTGCGCAAGGGGGACTGATAGAATGCAACCCTGTCATGACCTTAGTAAGTCCATCGTAAGGACGTTCTCCCGAGAGGGTCGTACCATGTATATGGCGAAAAGCTGGTTTTGGACACCTTGCTGGGAGTTGGCCGATTGGAAAAATGTGAAACTGTACGGGACAAATGAGAGGGCTATGCGCGCAGCCTATCGCTGTGGACATACCCGATGAACAGACCGCCCGCGATATTCAGCGCGAATTTAGATATCAAATACGTCGGATCGCGCCAAATGTCCATGGAGGTCCGATGCAAGAGCAGAGCAACTTGGTACGGCCAGGCTGTGGCGTATTCTGAGTGACGAGCTACTTCGACGGCGGGACGATTCCGGCCGTCGCGATGAATAACCTCGATCTCTTCTTGAGTTGCTTTGAAGTTCGGGCTACTTTGCCACACCTCGAACCAATCACGATCCGTCGTAGCCGTCGCTCCGGCGCCAATGATGTCGAGCATATACTCGGCTGGGTTCTCAACTTCCGTGATATGACGGGCTCCGTTGCCTTCGAAGTAGTCAATCATCGCTTGAGAATGGTGTCCGAGCGGTCCGAAGTAGACTGTTTGGCCTCCCTTCTTCAACAGCAGGAGGCGATCGAAACATTGGAAAAGCTCGGCAGACGGCTGATGGATGGTACAGAGAATCGCTTGGCCGCTGTCCGCAAGTTCACGGAGGAATTGCACAATTGCCCAAGCAGACTGCGAGTCCAAACCTGTAAGAGGTTAGATCTTTTTCAGGCGGGCATACAAGATTCATACCTGAGGTAGGCTCGTCCAGGAAGAGAAGTAAACGCGGCTGGGTATACAGATGAGCACTGGATAGAGCGAGAAAGTGGAGCCCAAACCTTAGCAGCCAATTCCACTCCAATCGTCGTGCGCTTGCGATGTTCGACACCCAACGATCCGACGATGGCGTCTGCCCAGGCCTCAAGACCGCACATGTGTAGGCATTTCTCCACGTACTCTGCTTTCTCTGAGCTAGGAACGCTCTGGGGCTGTCGCATATCCGCCGAGAACCGGAGAGCTTCGCGAACGGTCATGTTGGCAATATGCGTGTCCATCTGTTGCACGTAACCCGTCTGCGCCTGGAAATCCGGAGGAAGGGGCTGTCCGTTGACGAAGCGGTCTCCGCGAACGATTCCGCTGCCGACGCGCTCGGCCAAGACATTGAGTAGAGTCGTCTTGCCGGCTCCAGACTCTCCCATCAACGCAGTAAGCTTGCCAGGAGCGACGTAACCGGAGACATCGGCCAGGAGCTGTCGCTCCCCGCCGGAGACCGGAACGTAGTAATTGAGATGCTGCCACGAGAAAACATCTGTCATAGGCGGTGCAGCGATTGCATCCTTCTTTTCGTCCAAATTCTCAGATTGACCACGAGATGCGTTCGACTTCCCCTTCTCCTCGTCGGTGGCAGCCTCGGCTTCCTGTAGTACTTGTGCGCGAGAGCCTCGCTTGAAGAGAGTGACAGCATTTTGACCCGCCAGGCTCGTGTTGAACTCGGTAGCCACGAGCAGGAAAGTGATGAAGCCGACGCCAAAGGCAAGAACGATGCCCCAATCCTGTACACGTTTTGAGTTCCCAAGGGCGGATCAACACACATCGATGACTTACCCTCCAGAGATATTTGTGGTAATATGCATAAGAGAGACTGACGTAGCGAGAGCCCTGCACAGTGTTCTGGCCAGGTAGGGAGCCGACCGTGGCACAAGCCTGGTTATTCAGGGAGACACCTTCGTAACCTGGTCCGGAGGGGACCAAGTTGGCGCAAGTCCCAACCAAGTCGTAGAACTCGTTGGTCATGATCGCCTCATAACCGTATCTAGTATGATAATTTAGTGGGCCCTGAATCGGCCATAGAATTGAGCATTCTTACCGAAGGGGATTTATGTAGGTAATCCACTTCAATGCGCCGATCATTGACGGCTTGGGAATGGAATAGCCTGGTTGGCTGCTCATTGGTACGCGATTCAAGCAAAGATAGTCGTTGCAGTACTCACCAGTGTACAATACCAGAGCGAGGATACTAATACCTGCGATGGTTTGAGCCGGTGCGGGAGACTTGAACGACGCGGCCAGGAAACGGAACCTACGAATCGTCAGGAAATGATACAGGGCATAACATAGACGAAACTCACCAAGCTTTCATCGTCACTGTCATGGTGAACACCAGGAGGTAGAAGATGAAAAACTGGCCCGCCGTGCGCTGCAAGCCAACAAGAAAATAGATGATGATGGAGAAAAGTAACATGGTAATGAACGTGATAGGCACATCGACCACAGTGAGCGCGACCGCCTCGACGAACGGGTGGTACATGGCGGCTCGGTTGTGGCGGAAGACAATGGGACGTTGACCGAAGAGTGCGGGAATCTCGGACATGGTGCTGAGCGCTGCGAAGAGGAGGGAGAAGAAGAGTACACCACCGCGCGAGAAGTAGGCGGAGGTACTCTTCGGCAGGTTGTAGAAAACCGTTCCTGCAAAAACAGTAAGCACGCGAGAGAACGAAGAATTGCGGGGGAGCTCACCGACTATGATGGCCTGAATGACGAATGATCTGCATGAGGAAGGTGAAGGTCAACAACATGCTCGTGCCTCCAGGGGCGCGATTCGACTCACAAAGTCATGATAGCCTGCTCCGCAATGCTTCCCTTCAGGATTTGCGTCCGGCGAACCATCAATGTCTTGATCTGCATGAAGACCGTTATCGTGTACGGCGAGGCCTTGCGCGTCCGCTTCGCATGCTCTGCACGAGCACTCGTCTTGTACGCAGCTGAGCGCTCGGGCTTGCCGGTAAACTCGGCCCGATAGGACTCAATGTCCTTCTCGTTCAATTGGCTCAGCTCGGAGCGTTTAAACGCGGCCGCCATGTCGGTCGCCGTGAGCGGGATCGGAGTCGTTATATTCTCCTGGAGCTCACGCCCGTTCGGGTCCGTAACGGACACGAGGAAGTCGGCCGTCGTCTGACGGTTGTGAGGGCGGAAGCCCAGGTCGAGGAAGTACTGCCGTGCACGATCGGCGGGGCCAAAGTAGACCATTTTGCCCTCGTTGATCACGCAAACTTTATCGAAGAGCTCGTACAACTGTTCGCCTGCTTGGTAGATCGAAACAATCGTTGCTAGCGAGACAAACCATCAGCGAGACTGAACTCGGCAGTGAACATTCTGAATCTTACTCAGACGCATAGTGTCACTAGCGATGCGGAGAGCGCGAACAAACTCTAGCGCGGTACTTGCATCGAGGCCACGGGTGGAGTTGTCCCATGAACCGATCAAGCTCCGGGTGGCAAGCGCCTCACTGATGGAAACACGTTTCTTCTCACCTCCGGAGACGCCTCGAACCCTGTTGTCTCCGACAGGCGTGTTCTTCGCGTGTTTGAGGCCGAAGATGGTCTCCAGGATGTTAGTGATGGTGTCCACATATTCCTCGCGAGACATGCCCGCAACACGATTTCGTGGCGTCCGTGTCTTTGCTGCAAAACGCAGAGTTTCATCCACGGTGAGTGTCGGGAAATGCACGTCGTCTTCGGGGGAGTATTGGACATCTCCCCGGTATCGACTCTCGATCTCCTCGGGCGCGAAGGAATCATAGTGCACTTCACCCTCGATGGCGTGATAGTCACCCCTTTGATTAGCAAGGGTTTTGAGAAGCGTAGTGCATCCAGAGCCTGGTCGACCGAGTACGACTGGACGCCGAGTTTAGGGGCGAAACGCGGTCGGAAAATCAGCTACTCACGAAGCATCTCGCCTGGGCGGACCACCCCCTCAAAGCCAGACAATATATCGCGGAGAGGCGGATGCCTGGCATTCTGTATGGACTCCCATATTGTAGCGGGGTTCAACATGGAGGCGAGCGTCGGCTGGTAGCTCGCCGCCGCACCAAGCCCGATAACGCGCAAGTCCTTGAACATGACTCCAAGCTCGCGAAGCTTGACATCCTCCTTCTGTAACCTGTAAGAAGGATCCGTCAATATGTCGAAGCGTCGGATTCAGTGCATATACTCACTTTCGTATCACTGACCGCAAGGTTTTGCCGAAATCGAACTTTTCACCGAGCAAGGTCTCATCTGAATCGGTTTCGCTCTCCGGGGAGGCCGGGCGCGCCTGCTCTTGAACGGGGTGTCCGGACGCGCGACTCGCGACTCGCTGCGCGGCCGGAAGATCGCGCTGCTCCTGGGACATCCGCGACAACGTGCGGGCTAGCTCTCGGACGCCCTGGGGATCAAAAAAGCCGGCGTCCACATGGGACGCAGACGAGCCTCGACGCCTGGGGTGGTGGTGAGGCAGATGGGGACTCGGATGTGCATGCGCATGTTCGTGGTTGGGGTGTGCTAGATTGTGGATGGCCTCGTGCACGATTTCGCCCAGAGCGGACGGGCCCTCCGGAATGACGGGGAGAGCCTCGTCGTGCTGGGCGTGCTCGAGCTGTTCAGCGTCTTCGGGCATGCTGGACGGGGTCAAGAGCGATCAACGGGGTACGCATCTTATTATATGTTTATAGGAGTCGATATGACGATCGCTAACGCGACCCCCGGCGGACTGCGGCTCGTTCGTTTTGCCCGCCGATCGACCGGTTGTCGGTGATCGTAGATTCCCACGTAAGCCGGCTGACGCCCATTCTGGTTCCTTGCGCTCCTTCTCCCCGCGTCGTTGAACCGGTGTGTCAGCATGTTCACGTCGCTCCACCGACGGCCAAAGCGGCAACGCTTCGTTCTGGCAATGGCCGACAGATTTGCGACGGATGCATAGCGGGTAGCACCCTTTCCGACGCGCCGTGACACCGCGGACTCTTTCTTTTCACGGGAAGGTCCAATGGATGATCCCCATCCGCCAAGACATGCGAAATCCAAGCGGGATCAGGGTCTGGACTGCACGCATCGATAGTAGTAACTTAGCGTTAGTACATACACAGACTGGCTTGATAAGCTGCACGTTTAGCAAGATAAAGGGCCCTGCTACGTCGAACTTGAGACCGTGCCGGCGTAGTAAATCCTCCGCACCCATCGCCGACGACGCGTCATGCCCTGGCCAGCGCTGATCCACTCGTCTTTTGGGGCAGCACTCGCGTCCTGCCAGGCGTCGTTAGAATATACCCAACCATCTACAGACGCGGTACATGGGTTTTAGTCCTATTGCTGACATATTCTCGGGGCAAGACTCACATTCATCCGATCCGCACTCTATCCATGTTCCCTCGACATCCGGGCGCCAGTCCTCCGTCTCGACGAAGGTCCACCCGGGCGCCAACGAGAACGTGAGGTTGCTACTGCAATCGCGTCAGCATGTGTACACCTCGGCCAAGAATTCACGGAAGCGCGAGAGCAAGAACAGGGCCACTACGCCGCGCACTCATCGCGGCCCCGATATCGGCGCAGCTGAGCGCGGCAGATCCCGCGCGTAGCGAGTCGTGGCAAATACCCATGGCGCGATGGTGCGAATGCGAGCATGGAGGGCATCACAAACTCGCATCTGACGAAGACGCCACGGAACCTGATCAGGAAAGGGGCATCACAAATCCGCACCTCACTTCACCGCTTCCGTCGGGCTGCACGGCGCTCCAGCCGTCCCTGCCTCGCGTCCACGCCAGTCTCTCGCCGTGTCTCAGATTCATTTTGCTCCATGCACCTTCTCCCGCAGAGCCGGACGCGCCCCCGCCGCCCGTCGCACCGTCGGCCGCGGCTCCCACGCGCGGCGCAAACCGCTCGTTCTCGAATAGTTCCACCTCTCGCATCTCGCTCCGCCAGTGCTTGTCTTCGAGCCTGTCGTCGTCAACCGCGCGAACGAGGCGGGCATGCATGCGTCGCCGGTTGAGCTCTATAGATGGGTGCGCGAGCAGGCGGGGAAGAATGAACCCGCGGATGAGCGGGTGGGTGAGGCCAAACGGCGCAAGGCCAAGCACAAGGAACGTCGGGCGCATGGGGAGCGTATAGAGGAGGGGAAGGCTAGCCATGGCCAGCACGGACAAGCACACCAGCAGCGGTTTACTGTAGACACTCTGATGCGTCAGGTGCGGCAGCAGAGGTATCAAGTAGTCGTGTAGATCGGCGCTATATCAAATTCGGGTCAATTACTGCCGGTCTAAGGGAGGAGGTTGACGTACACGGCACCCATCAAGTTCTGAATACCTTGAATGTTAGCCTGCCAATCAACGCTGCCCTCTCCAGGTTGGGTCGTCGGTACTGGAGGCACGGTGCTCCCCGAGTTGTAAGATGCGATGTGATGGGACGGATATGTGGCGAGGAGAACACCAATAGGAAGCAGGAGAGGCAACAGCAGTACGAGCCGCGGAAAGTAACCTGCATGCTATTTTCAGACACCCGGACGCGCAATACGCAAGAGGACAACATACAAAGGAATGCGTAGGACGCCATCCAGACACTAGTGACTCTCCATCCCCTCCTCCACATCAAGATCTCCTCCATCCGGTCTTGTAGCCAGAACACCGGCCCCACTTTGGAGACAAAGCGCCGGAAGTTGACCGTGGTAATTGGGATAGACAATGGATCGCGCTGCGGGGTTCGTGAGTCAGTAGTGGTTGATCTGAAGCAGTTACAGAGCCATACCGTGGATAATAGCTGCTCCGCATGTCGCGGGTTCCGCTCTGTCCCGTTGCTCGGCAGCGACGACAACAGGATAGCGGGCAAGCTAAATGCCGCGGCAGCTGCTGGAGAGGCAGCCGATGGTACGCTGGCGGCGGCGGCGGCGGCCTTGGCGGATGAAGAGAGCTCTTCGGGGTGAGGGAGGGAGGTGACTATCCTGCGTGCGGGGTGGACGTTATCGCTAGAAGGAGTGCTGGATCGTAGAGGGGCTGCATATGGTGGTATCTCCACATAGTCCACGGTGGCCATTGTTGTTGGTAGAGCAACCTAGAACACCAGATCCCTCTTGAGGACAGACAGTGGAGCCGCGCCCGTAGTTGTTCGTGCGGTGTGTCAAGCGGGTCAAACGACTGCGTAGGTACTGTAACTGAGCGCTCTGTAACTGGTTCCGCTGCCAATGCCAACGAAAATGTCTTCACTTGAGTCTCGTTGCAAGAAATACTGACAATGGGCCTGTGTAGCAAAGTCAGGCCTGGCAATAGTTTAAGCACGCTCGGAACGAGGGACTGGACAGGCTTCGTTGTCACGTGCGTATCCCCGTAGAGTACATGTGCAGTGTACACTGTACAGCGCCCGCACGTTGCAGAGAATATCGTCATGAACTTCGATCAACCCGCCGACTACTACGATTATAACGTCCCGGAGCTTGTTGATGACCTAAACAACCTCATTCGCGCTCTGCATCTTCACAACATCGAAGTGCAATCTCCCGAGGAGCTCACACCGTCACTCTTATTAGGCCTTCTCGAATGTATTGTGCAAGCACGCCTTCCAATCTCACAGGATATCCGCAGAGCTCGCGACCTCGGTGCCAAAGTGCAGGCCATGAAGATCTTCCTCGGTGTGCTCGAGGACGATGTGCTCCAGCAGGACGTTGGGCTCGCGAATGTAGATCCTCGGAGGCTGGCTGAAGGCGAATGGGATGAGACTGTCTACGTAGGACAGGTTCTGTGCTGGCTTGCCAGAAGGCGAGACATTCTGCCTGCCGAGCCCGAAGAAGGGCCTGACGTGGATCCATCGACCTTGCCGCGATTGCCTTTGCCGCATCTACAGACCCTGTCTCCTTCAACTCGGTCCACGACGACGAACAGCATGAACACGGGTCTCTCCATTACCTCTTCATCGGAAGAGACGGTCACTACCGCGGATTTACAGCCATCTGAAGGAGACGAACCCATGGACGACGAGAATCATGTACCTCCCCGCTGCATTCACGAGGTCGACGATACTCCATCCTTCTCCTTTGGGGTGCCAGCCAATGAGTCTCACTTAGGGGTCCGCGGAAGTAACGTACCAGCATACGATGCAGACGACCCTTTCGCCATCTGCGACTGCGCCACTCGAGCTTCAGCGTCGAGCGAAGGCAATCGTCCACCGATCCGTCATACAGGCTGGATAGAACGAGCAGATGAAGAATCTGAAGTGAACACATTTGAGGCGAGTTATCGGCAGGTTCGCCAAGCTACGCCGAAGAGACCCGACAGTATCACCACACCAGATGTGAGTATGCGACACTCTGTGCTCAGTTCCCCGCTCAACTGCATCTTGGTGGATCACTGATCCGCAATGCACAGGCACGGCGCCCATCCTTACCTTCAGGTTTCACCCCGCCGCACTCGTCAACGCCGAAGAAGAAGGTCTATGATCGCATTACGGCCCGTCAGGATTTAGAGTCCCCCACGCGACGCAGGATCCAACTGCTGAACGAGCGAGCAAGGCTGTTATCGGAGCTGGCAAAGCTCTCGATCTGAGCTATTGGATTTCGCTGCCGACGTCTCCTCATGTATATCGCTGAAGCCCCTCGCCCGTGACCATCTCGAACCCGACACATCGGAGATCTCCAAAATGAAACCTCGAGAACAGCTTTCACCTGGAACCATGTCCATGCGTCGGTCCTTGCGGCTGCTTGTAGGGTTCCGATCAGAGGAGGTACTTGCAGATACGCGGGACGTCCCGCCGGAGCCGGGTATATCAAAAGCAAGTCACATCTCTGTATTATCGCTAACAGTGATGTCGCCAGGGAAAGGAATGCAATCCTCAGCTGCCTTTCCCTTGGGCTGATAATCTAGTCAAGAAGGGAGAAGATGTGGTGATTCTCCATGTTCCGGCCTTTGGCGCTTTCATGGGTCAAACTTGTCTTTCCGAGCTTGACCCTGCCTTCAAGTTGAAAATATCACCATGTTGTAGTCTACTGCGCCGGTTCCGCCGTAGCTTAGGACTACTAACTGTGCACAAGATAAAGCATGATGATTCGAGGCGCATCAAATTACCAAAGAGACACACGCATGTAGTAGAAGTGAATCTTGTTTCCCTCCAAGTTTAAACGGGCGAGGAGCCCGGGTTAGTGAACCAACTCTGAACGCCTGTGGCAGTCAGAATTCTTCCACCCATATTTCGTCCAGGAAGCGCACGTCGTCGATCGTTTGAACATCCATCTTCGCTGAGCCATCGCCTCTGTTAAGCCATATCCACCTACGGTCATTGGTCAGACAGCGAGGTGGAACAGCCAAGGATAGTACAGACTTACATTTCACTACGTATGTCACGTAAGGTCCCCATGTAGTCTCGAACACACCCGATCCTTCATCCCAAGAATTGTCACCGTGGTCACCACAATTACTGACATGGCATTCTCAGAGGTTACAAATACGTCGGAAAATGACAAAGATACTCACAAGTGGATAATGCCAGGTACGAGTGGTCCATCTTTCCTGCGGTTCTCCGCATATCCACTCACCCCCAAAGATAAATCAAACGCTTCCGATTCCGTTGCGACATCCGATAGTTTCCCAGGATCCACGCCGTGTATATCATCGCAATAGGAGATATCCCAATTGGCGAAGACGCACGAACTGGTCGCGTCGATACGTGTAGAGCAGCGCGTATACACCCTGGTCTGCGAAGTCGATGTCTTTCGGGTTCCAACCTACTACTATTGGTCCGATTGGCAGCCTGGCCGTCGTACACCAAAGCAACCACGCCTTCCTCTGTTGGCGAGCCTAAATGGCTCGGATGTCAGGGCGGCGGGTGCAAGAGAGAGCAAGAGAGTGGAAGGCATCAATGGCGCCTCGCGCCACCGCATGAGGGCCAGGTTGAGACGAATTACACAGGAGCAGACACTACCTGCGTGACTTGCTTCTTCCTTTGCAGTGACAGCTGCGATGGTGTTGGGTGTAAATTGCTCGAACTCGCGCCAGAGCGCCACTGGGTCATCTGCAATGTAACCTGATCAGGAACGAATGTTCGATGGGTGCCAACGCGCTTACAAGTGAACAAAGAATCAGTATCAATATAGATAGCTTTCTCTACAAGGATGATTTCGTGTAAAAACGGCTTGACCAGTTGGTACTTATTCACCGCGTCCTTCGCTGACACTCTGACCAGATATTCACCTCGCTTGTTCCACTCCACGGACCTTCCCTACGATACGCAACGCAAGGGAGGTGATTTCCAAGACTTCCTGCGATGGATGCACCAACGGCGGGTCGGATGTTGCTACACTCACTGGCGCCCCTGTCGGCTCCCCTCTCGCATCGAGCGCCAGACCACATTCAAACCTGGTCTCGCCTGTTGCAAGAACCGTTATCTCTTGATTGAACATCAGTCCTTTCAAGCCGGGAGACGATGCCCCCCTGTCGCTTTGCGGTGGATATCCTACACTTGCCTTGGACCACCGTTGGACCGCGACCACGGACGCACCCTTCCTCCCTCCGATGAAGACATCCAACGAAGACATTCAAGTCACATTATATCCTCCCATTAGCTTCACTTCATTCCACGACCATTGCACTTCTGTGACCCCTTGTCGCCTCCGCCCCGCCAAACCCGCTCCATCTACATCGGTCACGTGACGCATCTTCCCCGCGTCTACCTGTCTGCTCAGCCTTGCGCGTTGAGCTCTCCCTTAGACTTCCACCTTGTGCGCGAGGCTTGCTACGTTGAATGCTCCGCCTTGAGCGAGCCAGGACCACGCCCACCCGCTCTGCACCTCGCAAGCGTGACTCGGTCTGCTCCGCATCCCGCGTTGAGCCTTGTCGCATTGGCCCCGCTTCGCCTTCCAATTGGGCTCTCCCTGACCCCGCCTCTCGGCCTGTTGCGAGATCGCGCCGGCGATGGCATCCCCTGCTACGCCTCCGGGAGCATGTTCCGTCTGGGCTCTCCCTGACCCCGCTTCTCGGCCTGTTGCGAGATCGCGCCGGCGATGGCATCCCTCGCTCCGCCTCCGGGAGCCTGTTCCGTCTGGGCTCTCCCTGACCCCGCCTCTCGGCCTGTTGCGAGATCGCGCCGGCGATGGCATCCCCTGCTCCGCCTCCGGGAGCTTGTTCCGTCTGGGCTCTCCCTGACCCCGCTTCTCGGCCTGTTGCGAGACCGCGCTGGTGATGGCATCCCCTGCCTCGCTTCTGAAAGCCAATGATTGACATATACCTATGTTGCTCAGTCTATCGAGGATGCTTTTCCCCAACCGCTTTTTTCCCACTGGGTTTTAGTGGTTGGGTTTTTAGTGCGCCGACATGGATCGACTACAGCGCAGGTAGGGGCCTGAAGAGGTCAGGACTCTGGGGTAGGACAGACCTGGAGTAGGGCATACAGTACGATACACATTCATGTAATTATGCACACTCTGGTCGAAGCGGTGTGTTGGCTCATAGAGCGGACGGGAACCGTGTAGACCAGGGTGTCCCGGCTCGCCACTAGTGCGAGGCCCTGGGGCCCGGCTGTTCCGGTATTGGGACCGCGCCGGTTAATACTACCTACCTACCTACCAGCTGCCTACGCCACTTCGGCGCACGCGCTCGAACGCGTACTCTTCGTCGACGACGTAAAGTCTGACAATTATATCCCGCACCGGTCTATCGACGAGGACCAGCG